TTCAATCCTCTTCCCCTCTCCCCACATCGAGGAAAAAATGCACAGCCTCAAAATGTCGGATTACTCCTCCATTCGCACAGCTTGCATCCATAACGGTCGTCTTCCGTCCACATCACAGCGCAGTCAGTCTTCAGGCTTAGAGGCCTTCAGCCATTATACTCCCGACGTAGCTCCGCAACAGCCAGCAGGCTTGCCGCTCCACCAGAGGTCGCAATCAAGAGTTCCTCTCGTACTATCAAGATTTACTGCCCAGTCAATCACAGTAGGGTAAAACTAACCTGTCTCACGACGGTCTAAACCCAGCTCACGTTCCCTGTTGGTGGGTGAACAATCCAACACTTCGCAATTTCTGCTTCACGATGATAGGAAGAGCCGACATCGAAGAATCAAAAAGCAGCGTCGCTATGATCGCTCGGCTGCTACAAGCCAGTTATCCCTGTGGTAACTTTTCTGTCACCCATGTCCCAAGCCTTATAGGACATGGGATCTCTAGGCCAGGGTTTCCCCCAAACAATCCCGCAATAGGAATAGTCTCAAGCAGGCTTATGCCCTTGTGCTCCACGCGTGGTTTCCTTCCCCGCTGAGCCCGCCTTAGGACGTCTGCGTTAGTCTTTAGCAGTCGTGCCGCCCCAGCCAAACTCCCCACATCCATAAATAAACCGCTGAGGCTCAGTCATAGTGGTCTCGCACATCTCCCCCCACCTCTCTTCATAACCACCCTCAGCACTTCTCACATGCTAGAGTCAAGCTCAACAGGGTCTTCTTTCCCCGCTGATCAGCCCAAGCCCGTTCCCTTGGCTGTAGGTTCACAATACAGGTCGTAGGGACAGTGGGAATCTCGTTGCTCCATTCATGCGCGTCACTAATTACATGACGAGGCATTTGGCTACCTTAAGAGAGTCATAGTTACTCCCGCCGTTTACACTCGCTTAAGCTCAAAAAGCCGTAACTAAAAGTGCACTGGGCAGAATTCACCTTGCGTTCTTCCGCAAGGCTATGTTTTTAATAAACAGTCAGATTCCCCACAACAAACAGTTCTAGCACGCTAGAGCCAATCCTTCTCCCAAAGTTACACATCCATCTTGCCGACTTCCCTTACAACCCTTCTCAAATTCGCTTCCGCGTCAAACAGTGGACACCTGTTGCGGTCTAGGTACGACATGCATGCTTCTTTTTCATCGGAACAGGTCATCTCCTCAGCGCTGCTTCGTCTCTTAACAATCCACACCGCTACTTCCCCTAGTTCTGCTCTCCTAGGATCAAAAATCCCCCATCCGTCATCATCAAGTCGCCTCAAAGCATCCATACACTCAATCTTCAATCAGTCTCCGTTTCAACAGTCGATTCACCCCCATCAAATGGGGAACCCTCGTCCACAGCGCAAATCCTTTCTTGTTACTACTACCAAGATCTGCTCATATCACCCCTCCACCCCCGCTCACGCAGGACCTTCGTCAGAATGATATCGCCCTCTTACTCAGCTCCGCCGCTAAGGCCTCGGATACCTGCAATTCAATCCCTTCCATTTTCTCCAGCGCCCAATTCGGTAGGTACGTTGCAACACGTTTCTTAGCGGATGCCAACCTCCATGGCCACCGTCCAACTGTCAAAATCAAACCGCCAGATTCTCTTCCCTTGCATACGGCTCCTTATCCTAAAAAAGGTTCATCCCTTCTCGCACATCATGCTTACCACAATATGCCCACTGGCTACCCCCTTACAAGACATCTTCAAAGTTTAACGCTATCGCATTAGTGCTTTACAACATCTTACATCAAGTCGCCGCTGTCCTGAGAGACATTTCAGAGGGAACCAGCTACCAGATGGTTCGTTTGGTCTTTCGCCCCTATGCCCATCTCATGCCATCGAGTTGCACGTCAGAACGGCTTAGATCCTCCAGAACACTTTCGCATCCCTTCAATCAACACAGGCATAGTTCACCATCTTTCGGGTCGGATCACTGCATCCACTAGCTCTCGCTAAAACAATCCAGCCATCCTCTCCTTGGTCCGTGTTTCAAGACGGGCGGGTCTCATCCCCTTCAAAGCATTCACTTTCATTTTTCATCTTGTCTTTTTCACATTTCAATCACTCTACTTCTTCGCTATCGGTCATTAGCTTATATTTAGCTTTCGGTGAAAAAAAACACCACCCAATTCAGGCTGCACTACCAAACAACCCTACTCTTCTCTCAAGTCCGGATACTTACAGGCCATTCCCCCTCTAAGATCAGGGACTTCAATCCCTAGCTCAGTCTCCTCCTACTCAAAACAACCCGCCAAACGCAGTTACCATTCGAGCTCCTGTCCTTTCACTCGCCGCTACTCCGACAATCCCTTTTGGTTTCTTCTCCTCCCTTTATTGATATGCTTAAGTCAAAGGGGTCCCCAAGCGCTTCCGCTTCATTCAGACATCCTCAAAAAGGCATATCGTCCTCCTACACGTCCTTCCTCGCTGCTAATGCCTATCAATCCCGTGAATCCTCAAATCAAAAAAATTCCCCCCAATCTCTCAAATACTGATCCTGCTGCTGGTTCTCCAACAGCAGCCATGTTACGACTTATATCTTATCTAACACGAAGGACTCAGACCTTCCAATCTTCGTCCACTGCGTCATCTTAGATAGCGACGGGCGGTGTGTACAAAGGACAGGGACCCATTCAAAACAACTTGTTCAATCGTTATTACTAGGAATTCCACGTTCAGAAGCCCATTACACAGCTTCATCCCTCACAGCAGGCTCCCTCGCCATCTATCGTAGTGCGCGTGCCGCCCGCTTCATCTCAGGGCATAACGGACCTGTTCTGTTCCATTCCTCCCTTGCCCCAAAGAGCACTGTCAAAGGGTCTCACATCTTACGCAACTTAATCCAAAGCTCACGCCATCCATTTCAAACGGCCATGCACCACCGCCGCGCGCATCCCGTCCTCGTTCTCCTGCCCGCTTCAGAACCGGTAAGTTGCCCCGCGTTGAGTCAAATTAAGCCGCACACTCCACTCCTTGTGGTGTCCTTCCGTCAATCTCTTCAAGTTTCACTCTTGCGAGCATACTATCCCCAGAACCCACATACTCAAGATTTCTCATGCACAACACTATATAGTCCCGTCCAGTCGGCATCGTTTACTGCTAGAACTAAAACGGTATCTAATCGATTTCGATCCTCTAGCCTTCGTCCTTCATCGTCACATAAGTCCAAGAGCACAGCCTTCGCTTCTGTCCGTCCAGTCAGGGTCTTCGTATTTCACCCCTCGCCCAACTATCCGGTGCCCCTCGTCCTCTGCCAAACCTCTTACATCCACATCAGGACATAATCCCCCAAACAAAGACATACAAAAGACTACGGACTTTTTAACTGCAGCATTCACCATAGACACTATTGGAGCAGGTATTACCGCGGCTGCTGGCACCCGACTTGCCCTCCAATCAATCTCGACTCCTTTACACTCGAAAAAAACTCACTTCTCATAACCGCCTCCCCAAAGGATTAGGCAAGTTTCGCGCCTGCTGCCATCCTTGGACGTAGTAGCCATCTCTCAGGCTCCCTCTCCGGAATCAAACCCCGATCCCCCGTCTCCCGTCTCCGCCTAGTTAGGCCATTACCCTAACTACCAGCTGATAGGCCTACAACTTACTTGGCTCGTGTCAAAAACACTCCTAGCCCCCTACCTGCAGTTTCCCGCAGTTACAGCTCTCCCGCCAACCAAATCATCGTACTATCACTGAGCCGTCCGTCAATCCCCCACAAGGTTCATCAACATGCATGGCTTAGTCCCAGAGAATAGCATCCACGTCAGGCAGAATCAACCTGGTGCTACCCCCCATCAAAAATCTCTCAGATCCCTCATCAACAAACCCCTGGCCACAGCCACATCAAATCCCAAAAAATCCTCCATCCCCACCGTCAAACACAAATCTCTCTCAGAGGAGACCAAAACTAATCCAAAACCACTCTCTTTTCTCCCCACATCCCAATCCCCCCCCTCGCTCCCCCTTCTCTCCATAACCCCTCCCCCCACATCCCAATCACAACATGGACCCCTGCCCCCCAAATCCGTGGTAGACTACATCATTACCCCCGTCCCTGAAGATCCCCACTTCTACTATCCCTATCTCCTTCCCAGACTCTTTTGTTTCAAGCATTGCAAGAGCCACTTTCCTTTCTCTTTTCACTCCTCTTTCTTCGTAACTTCTTGTAAGATCGAAGAAGTCGTCTGCATCTTCATGTCTAAGCAGCCCCACAGCCTCCACTATGTCATGAAACTTCTTCTGCTCTTTGATTTCCTCAATGCTTCGTCCTCTCCACTTCTGTTCCGTTCCCTCGTCCAAGATGTTCTTTATAACTTCAGGTTCCTTCTTCCATTGGAAAACCCTCCCATGGATTTCGTAGTTCTTTTTCTTTGTTTTTTCTTCCTTTTTCCCCCCTACTGCTCCCTTTTCCGACTTTTTGTCTTCTATCTCTTCTTTCTTGTCCTTTGTAACAATCTTCCTCTTTCTACTATTCTCCACTACCTTTCCCTTCCCTTTTCCCTTACTTCTTCTCTTTTCTTCTTCCTCTTCTCTCATCAGCTCTTCTGCATTTTGGTTAGCTTCCTTTTCTTTCATTTCTTTCTCATCTGTATTTCTTTTCTTTCTTTCTTCAACCTCAAGAACAATCCTATTTATTTCATTCTCATAATCATCTTTATATTCTAAGAATGCTTCCTTTACTAACTCTGCTGCAACCTCCCTTCCATGTTCTTTATTGGTATTTATCAAAAGATTATGATCCAAATAGCCTATTAATGAAAGTATATCACTTTTGTATTGATAATACGAGTTCTTTGGTTTAATTCTCAATTCCTTGGCATGTAACCTTCTCAGACCAAGCTTCAAAATAAAACTTTTTATATCTTCTTCTCTTTTCCAGAGATTCAAACACTCATCGCATACCATATTCATCCCCTTAACTATTTGGTCTTGTTCTTGGATGGTACGAATAACTTTCCCATGTATCTCGATCTCCTTTAATTTCTCTTTTCTCTTCTTATTTTCTTCTGAATCAGGGTCAGGCAAGGCCTCTATCTTCTTAATCTCTTCGGAAGCCTTGGACGTAAGGATTTCTCCAAGTTCATCAAGTGTTTTCTTGCATTCTTTGACTATTCTCTTTGTTAAATCTCTAAATGTCCCATTCTTCTCATAAGACAGATAAACCGAATCAAAATACCCGGATTGGATTTTTGCCGTGGCGAATGCTTCTATTAAGCTTTTAATCCATTCATAATAAATCGAGGTATTCAAAACTCCCATACACTTCAATGCTACTTTTGTAATCTCCCTCATAATCTTTTTGACATACTCTCGTTTTCCACTTTCTATCTCGTTGTACTTTGTCGTAGGGAATACTAAAAATGAGTCATTATGAATAACAAATGGATATAATATCATTTTCCGATAATTAAATATGTCAGGAGAGTTATAAAGTACTTTTTTTATCCTTCTTCTTATTTTCTCATCATTCATCTTCTTCTCAATTCCTATTTCTGTATTTGCTACTGCTCTTTCCGGGGATGCTCCCCACACAACATTCATCATTCCAAGTACTTCTACTCCACAGATCCAGATCATCCAAAGGGGAGAACAAATCCAACTTATATTACTCTCCCTTTCTTGCCTTCATCAAGGATTCATTATTAATAAAAATATCGATTTTGATAAGTTCCTGACTTCATTCTTCTCCAAATCAAGAATATGCTTTGTCAGTTAGAAACAACTCAATTCTAACTATCTAACATCTTCAGAATGATAATAACAACAATAACAAACTCTTTGTCTGAACCACTAAACAACTCTACTCAATCTCACATAAACCATACCTTTTTATTCCAATCATATTGTGGTAGGCCTTTCTGTCACATCTAGCTTCGTTAACACCTTCTTTGTGCTTTTAAGATCCACACAGAGAATTCAGAACTCCTTCCCCATTCTTTCCACTGACCATTGCATTCATCGAGGATACATAAACGGATTTTCCTCACCTTCACTCTCCAAACAATTCCTAGACAAGGTCTCAAAGCCTTCCACAACAAATGGTACTTTTCCCTCCCCTGCATTCGTCAACTCAAAAGCTTTATATGTTTGTTGATTAAGATATTCATATAATAAGTAAGCTATCTATTTTCCATATCTCGATTTCATTCTTCTTTATTCTCCATGTCTTTATCCTCCCCTTTCCCTATATATCGAGATAACCTGGGAACAAAACATCTTCTACGGCATCTTTCTCCTTACCATCTACAATTTAAAAGCTGTGCAATTGTTTGTCTTCTCAGTTAACTTCCTATACACTAGTTACTTTCGTATTTGCATCTTATTGCTAAAATTTCTTTACTTTGGGTCCCAACATAAATGAGTTTCCCATCCCATATTACTGAGTTTATTGCTCCTACAATCTTCATCTTTCCAACGCAGAACATAGAACTATCTAAAAAGTCCCAAAATCGAAGCATTCCATCCTTGGATCCGGTAACAAACGAATCCTCCATCGATGCTCCACACTTGATCCATGAGTCATGTGCATATGGAACAGTTTTAACTATGGTTCCATCTTTCCATCTTCTTAACGAGCAGTCTCTTCCGAAGCTTATGAGTTCGTTCTTATAGCACAATAATCCCTGAACTGAGTCCAGATGTGGAGGGGAAAGGGTTATAAAGCCATCATTGTAGCGCTTAACAGTATGGTCTCTAGAGCCTGTATATGTGTCCTGCCCCATTCTTTCTATGCAGAACACTGTTCCGGAATGTGCTTTTTCGGCAAATGCTAACTTACAATTCCTTTGGTCCAGTATAGAAAGAGTCCCATCTTCATGCCCTGTAAATATATAGTTATCTCTAGAGAGTAACGCCGAAACTTCGCTTCTGAAACCATATACTGGACGTGTACCAGATCTGTGGTCAAACCTCTTCAATATTCCTCGAGTTGTGTATAAGAGTGTTTCTAATCCTTCCATACATCTAACGCCCTCCTCTGTAAACAGAGTTTCTGTCCTATCACTCCATTTTCTAATTTTATTATCTATAGATCCAAATACAAGGCAGGAATCGAAAAGGGCCAATGTAGTAGGGAGGTATCCTGATAGTTTCTCTACGATAGTTGTATTCATGGTTATCTTCTCTTTTCTCGGTGTGAAAAGTGCATATTTTTTGGTATTTCTTTCTAAATCAAAGGAAACAATTCTTTTATGGGTCTTACTGGAGGCTGCATGTGTCATCTGATCTTCTATAATCTCGCATGTGTCAGATATCTCTAGAGAGTCTACATATTTTCTTATTGTGTCGATTTTGTTGTATTCCCTTTGGCTCTGATTTTCTATTTGGCGTTTGTATTCATTATCTCCTGGATTATTTGTCGATGCTTCCGGTTCGTCTAACTCTGCAACTATCTTTAATTTCTCTTCGTCCCTTTTCTTTCTGGAACTATTTTCTGGAGAGTTTATTCTATTCTCCGATGCTTTTCTTTTAAAAGATTCTAGGCCTTTGTATTCATCTGTGATTAAACCTCGATTTTCCGGTTCTCTCGGCATTCTTTGAATCGTATCCTTAAGTTTTTGATTTTCGTTTATCAGATTTTGAACAAAAGGATGCTTTAGAATTTCTTGGACGATATCCTCCCTTCTGTCGTTTTTTTCAAAATCTAGAGTTTCTAACTTCGATTTGAGACTCCGATTCTCCAAAATTAATTCCTCTATATTAACTTTGGACTCCCGACGGAACTTCTCCTTAAGTATTTGGTTTTCAGCCTTAAGCTTCTGTATTTCTTTTTTCAATAAAAGAGTTGTAAACTTTGAACTATCCACTTGTATATTCATTTTCGTCGTGGTTTCTATGGAGGCTGCTCTGCTTGCATACTTTAAGGTGTTGTGTGTTTCGCCAATGTCGGCATGAGAAGAAGAAATGCAAGCCACCATCAATACATATCCATTAAGGCAGCTTTGAAGAATTCGGGTAAGTTTTGAGTCTCGAAAGGGAATGTGGGAAGATTTCTTAAATAAAGCAGAAATGACATTTCCAAGAGCCAGAAGCCCTGAGTTGATGGAGATTCCCTCCTTTGCACGGTCTCCGGCACACATGGTTCTTTTAAGCCTTTCGCTTCCTGCCAAGTCAACAAAGGAAAACTTCGATGTTATGAATGATCCATTTACTTCCTTTCTATGGAAAAGGGTAAATATAGCATGGCTTCTAGACGATTTTGAATTCATATTGGTTGATTTTGTTGTTCTTTCCAAGGATCCCTTCTTCAGGGCCTCAATTCCATCTTCGTATGATTTCAGAGTCACTTCACTTGCTCCAGCAATGGTGACTTCTCCATTTACTTCTCTCAGGCTCAAAGGCATTTTGTGCTTACTGAACAGGTCAATCACTTCTTCATTGTAAACCTCGATGAAAATGCAGTTTACCTCCTGGGTTATCTTGAATATGTGCTTAAGAGACTGGGGAACAATCCCCGTCATATCTTCGTGTGTCATTCCCATTGTGTAAGTTTTTCCACTGCCTGTTTGTCCATAAGCCATCACTGTGCAATTATACCCTTCAAGAAAAGACTCTGTGAGATGCCTGACACTTCTGTCGTAAATTTGTACCTGCGATGTAGTAAGGTGCACTTTACTAAAAGTGTAAGTTTTTGTTCCTACGGTCAATGCTGAAGGTGTACTTTCTATTACATTGTCTAATCTAGGATTTATTCGCACCTCGACTTGAATTGTGTTCTTCTTATCTTCCATCGGGAAGACTTCAATTATTTTTTTTATTCTTCAAAGGAATTACGATTCCGAGATGAGAAAGACATCAAGGAAAATGCTTAACCCCAGTGCGAAATGATGTTATTAGTTTTCCTAATTGTAATAATGATTATGACCGGGTTGCTGGCTGGGTTCAAGCATTATGGCTCTTCAAAGTACAGAACAATTCCTTTTAAGATAAAATCAAGAGCTCCCGAGAAGATTGCATCTACAAGGCTACTTGGGATGACTATAGAAGATGCTATGAAGAGACATCCGCTATTCAATTTCTACCCAAGACAGTCAATCAAAGAGATTTTAGAAAGCTGGGATAGAGTAAAGTATAAAAATGGGGACATAATAACAACGCCTGGATTTATATTACAAGGTTGTGTGGAGATATGGTATGGAAATTCCCTTACCTGCATAAAAGAAAAAGGCTCTTTTCTTAATGGATCTATGGAGCTTTTAGGATATACCACAAGAGGAATTAAGAAGGCAAAAGGCTTTGTTGAGGTTCTCTTGGTTGATGCCTCTTTAGCCAGAACCGATGTATGGTATATCTTGTTTTCCATGGTTAGAAAGTCATGTATCGAGGTAGCTTGCAAGTATTTTGAGTTGGAAGGCAAGCTTGTAGAAAAAGAAACTATGAAGATTGGAGGTGACGGAATGAGCCATCTAGATTTGTTTCTAGATTTTCTGAACAGAAAGTTTTTGCAAGGCTTGGATGATGGAAAGGAGGCACTTAAAAAGAGCATTGAAACTAGATTTGTTGGTAAAGGTGAGGTTCTTAAGGACTCTGGAGAGCCTATGGATTATATTGTGTATGTGGTTTCCGGAGAGATTCAGGTACTAGCGGGAGAAAATGCTTTTAGTTTTGGAAATGGATCCCTGTTTGGATATTTTTCCTTATTTTTTGATTCATATTCGTCCATCAAGATTCTGGCAAAGGGAGATTCCTCGATTCTTATATGCAATTCATCGGTTCTGTTCAAACTTGGCCTGGATGAAAAAAGATTTGATCATTCTATGTTACTGGATATCGACGAGTGTCTCCATGTAATAGATGAGTCAGTCGAATGGATAAGGCTTTCCCCAGGGGATATGATTGTTCAAAAAGGAGGCACTTCGAAGGAGATCTTCTACATTGCGGCTGGAAGCATAAAGTCTGCTTCGAAGGAGTTTTCTTCTGGAATGGCGATAGGGGATAGGGAATGCATCTTTGGGGAAAATTGGGGCGAATCTTTTGTGGCAACCAAAATAACCGATATTGTTCGGATTCCATCTCTTTTAGTAGACTATTTCTTTGAAAATGACAAGACTTTCTTCAAAAAGTACACCAAAAGACTGTTTGAGAATGGAAGTAGAAAGAATGGAAAAATAGTCAGCATCATTCCGATTGGGCAATATAGGGATATTGAGTCTTTTTCAAGAAGGCTACGAGCAGCAATCGGAGCTTCTTCATTGCTTTTGAACCGTAAGGATGTTGTTGACATTCTTGCAAGAAGATCGTTTGATACGACTGAGGAGCTCGGGTTCATGGATTACCTTACAAAGATGTCTAAGCGCTATGAAATAATTCTTATTTACGTAGAGAACGAATATTCTAGATTATTGAGGTACTTGCTAAACTTTTCGGACATTTTGTTGACAGTTGGAACAACATTTGCCGACATTCCCGAGTACAATGTTTACTGTCGAATAGAATTTGTCAAAATCTACGAGGAAAGAAAGGCTTTAAACGAAAGGAGCATGAGGAAGCGAGAGAAAACTGCACCTTCTCGCACCGGGAACGCGAATGAAAAAGAGACGCCGAGACAATATGACCGGATTCATCATGTTCTCTTTCCCTCGAAAACCATTCTTTTCTGTTCCAAGGACTTTCAGAGGCTGGCGAGATCGTTATTAGGAAAAAGAATAGGACTAGTTTTAGGAGGAGGAGGAGCAAGAGGACTGGCTCATATTGGAGTTATTCAGGCACTTGAAGAGGAGGGAATTCCCATAGATTGTGTTGGAGGAACGAGCATGGGAGCATTTATCGGCGCCTTGTATGCAAGGGAATGCAATAACTATTATGTGTTTAAGCAGGCAAAAAGATTTTCTAGAAAGATGTCCAACATATGGCTTCTCCTTCTAGACTTAACTTATCCCATCTGCTCTATGTTCTCGGGGCACGGATTCAACAGGTCACTCCATTCTGTGTTTGGTGATAGTCTAATACAAGATCTGTGGCTGGAGTATTTCTGTATCACCACCAATATATCTAACTACGAAGAAGAGGTGCACAGAAACGGAATGATTTGGAGATATGTGCGTGCAAGCATGGGGCTCTGTGGATATCTGCCTCCTATATGTGATAACAAAAAACTACTAGTTGATGGAGGATACTTGAACAACGTTCCTGCTGATGTGATGATGAGTATGCAAGTGGAGAAAATCATTACTGTGGATGTTGGGACGGTTCTAGAAAATGATTACTTTGATTATGGAGACACCCTTAGTGGATTTACCATCCTATTCAATAGGTTCTTTGGCAACAAGAAATTTGTGACGATGGAAGAGATTCAATATAGACTGGCCTATATCTCTACAGAGCGAAAGACAAAAGAGCTCCAGGCAAACGGAAATATAGTTATGCTAAAGCCTGATCTTGGAAAATATAGAACGATGGACTTTAAGAAGTTTGACGAAATTGTTGCATGTGGATACCAGTCTACCAAAGATGCAATCTCCGAATGGAAGCGGAAAGGAATCTTCGATACTCTCTTTCTCAATCTAAAAAAACAAACACCAAAAAGAAGATATTCCGTGTGATGGAGTCTTCATCCTTTTCATTAAATGTTTATAAACTCAGCACTACTCCCAGCATAAAATTACTAACTTTATATCCCACCATTGGTTCTCCATTTGCAAAGTTCTATCAGTGGTAATGTATCAACACTCAAACAAGGCTGTTATGATTGGAAGGTTTTCTTTCTTAAAAAGAGAAGTTAGAAAAAGTCCAATGAACCAAGACTTGACTTTCAAGGACGACCCTTTTAGAATAATCGACTACTCCAAAGACGAGAAGGCACAATTCTTAAGGAATCTACGTGATAGGATAACTTGCAACGAAAGGGAAAAGTCTCTCTTGTTTGAAACCGGATTTACAAAGGATAGAAACTTTAATGGAAGTGTGGAGGAAAGCGCGATAAGCCTGGAGGTATTGGCCTTGTTAGCCACTTCCAAGAACCAAGATATCAGACAGGGAGTTAAAGCATGCTCCTCCCAAGTCTTTGAATTCATAAAGCTACAGCCGTTACCACCTTCCTCCATCCATATCTCCATGTTTCGATCCTTCAGGATAATCATATCTGAAGTAGACCAGGATTCGTTTTGCGACAAATACCTGCCTTTTTTCTTATCTGTGATTGAAATGGAGCATCAATCTTTATGTCTTAATTCGATTAAGAATGAAATAATCGAACTCTTTTATCAGATGCTAAAGATAGACAAAAAGATCAAGTTCAAACTTAAAGGCAGAAGGTTCATTAAGATCTTATGCAGCCCTAACCTTAATGGTATAAAACTCCTCAACGAACTAATGAATGAAGATGTGGGAAAACATATTAAGATGAAGCATTTGCTTGAGAGAGTAAACAGCTCCAACATAAATAACAAGTTGGAGGTTCTTTCGTGCTGTGCCAAGTTGTATAAGCTGAACCATTCTGGAGACACAAGAGTTATGGAGAGAATCTTGTATGAATTGAACGAACTTGTGGAGTATAAGAAGGAATCTCTTGTGCTTGTAGGCTCCATGGTTCAAGACAACATCCAGGGACAGCTCTTCTGTAGGGACATAGGGCTGGTCTCCAAAATTGCAGACCAGTTCCACGAGGGCCATCCAAACTTGTTAACTCCTGAACTTCTCTTTTGTTTACATTCCCTGACGGCAGGACTTGAGGAGAACCGAAAGATCATTGCCAAAAGCAAAATAATTCCTAGTGTTTTTGGAGCCTTCAAGCAGAGGGTAAATAGAAAGCAAATAGACCTTGTTTTTGTCATGATTGTCTTACTTCTGAAAAGCATGACAAAAAGCATTACATTTCTTCGATCGGATCTTTTGGACTATCCGGTTATAGATCTACTGATAGCTGTTTTGGATCACAAGTTTCCGGACACTGTCGATGGAATCGATAGAATGATAGCAGAGGAAGATCTAAATTCAGGATTTGTTGAGGAAAACATTTTGAATGTGCTGGTTAACCTGGTCATGGAATACGGGGACTATAAAAATAAGTTTATAGCATCGAATGGGGTCGAAAAGGTTCTCAACTACACATCCAAGTTTCCGCTTGTAGTCCTACAAATCTTTAAAAACTTTCTGTATGATACTGGGTTCAATTCAAAGGAAGTCTTTATTAAGGCAACAGACAGAAGATTTTTCAGTAAATTTCTTGATATGTACGAAGAGAGCAGAAACACAGAGATACTTGAGGGATGTTTCAATCTGATGAGAAATCTCTTGTGTGATGACACTCTTGACTATATTGTCCAAAGCTACGAGGGAATGATTGATTCGATATTTCTTTATCTAGATAGATTTGCCAACGAAACAACCGTATCAGAGAACAGCAGAGAAGAGAATGTTCTATTGCAGATACTCTACACTGTAGTCAACCTAAGTGCCAACTCAGATAAATTCAAGAGCTTAGTGTTGAACAAAAAGCATTTGGATAATATGAAAAAGGTGAGCACAACTAGAAACCTTTCAATTGCGTTTATATGGATTATAATAAACCTGTCATGGAAAGAAGATGGATCAGAAAACAGGGTTCAGATCCTCTGCGACAATGGCATAAAAGAGTGGCTGATCAAAATACAGGCCAAGGATTCGGTGCTAGCCGACAAGATAGGAACTGCATTGGAAAATTTGAGATTAACATGACTTTCTCGGTTCCTATATGCTTGAAAATAGATTAACCAAATAAATGATAATTTTATGAAGTCAGACGATCCTTCTTACAATCTCTTCTGTTAACATTTGTTTCATTGCGTAAGACAGAAGTCCAAAACAGATGAAACAAACATCAATCTATAAACCTAGTTGTGTGTTTTTGTTCAATTCAGGAATGAATGTCGGTTTACGCAGTTTGTACTTCATTTTCATTTCGATGGCATTCATGCTAATGAAATGCAGATGTATTCATCACAGTCACAGTTACGGCCACAGCATGCATAATAGAAGGTGGCATCACAGAGACCTAAGAGGATGGAGACATCCTGTGGTCGAAAGGAATGCTTATGCGTATAGAAGACGAACACCGGCGTACAATGGTAGAGAGATGATAACATTAGAGGAACTAAGGAAGCCTAATGTTCCAATAATTGTTCCTTATGAAGTAACCCCCAAGCAGGTACTGACCCTTCTAAGACATTAAAAAGGCTTATCTTTGAAAATGTAATTTATAAAATGAATCCTATTAAATAGGGAAAATTTATTGGAAGCTATTGTTAGCTTTGCTTGGATATATAATAATAAATCCCTGATCCTTCAGATGTTCCATCATGAGAATGTCTTCTTCATTCAACAGTTTTTTCTCCAGTCTTTCCCCTTCTAGGAGACTCTTAGATCTCGTATTAGCTAGGACATTCATCATGCATAAATTTATAGAGAGAATATAACGGACTATTCTCATTTACTTCTCTGAGCGGAGACATTTTAAACGATTCAACAACTTAAACTGTTTCAGGTTTTATTACCAAGACCAAGGGAAGATTTTGAAGACAATATTATTTTGTTTTATAGTGAAGGATTGACATGTCCAATAGCCTTCAGGCTTACGAGCGAAAGATCATATGGGTTTATTCATAAAGATTCCTTCTTATTATTATAGCTAATCATTGCTTCCAACCATTTAAAAGCTCGTGCAAGAGGTCCGGTTATGCTATTAGCACTTCCGCTTGTTATAGTAACGTAGAAAATCTTTACAACCTGTCCCTTTTCCGGGTCCTCCTGATCTTCGATTCCAGTCTCCTGAGCAAGCCAGGATTTCCATTGGTAATCAGCCTCGGCAGTTTCCGGCGTATGTCCCTCAAGATCGATCTTATTCATAAGTACAACTATTGGTGCCTTTTTTTCCAGAGCTCTTACAGTCTCATATGCTTCTTTTACTTCTAAAAATCTTTCTACATCATGAACATCAACTATAAACACAATTCCGTGGCAATCATAAAAGTAATCTCTCCATGCAAGTCTTGCTGCTGTATGCCCTCCAAGATCAATAACCTGTGCCTTCAAATTTCCTATCTCTATATAGGAAGTGCTGGGATGATGAGTAGGCATATAGACATCTGTTGAATCACTTTTCAATTTGTTCACCAAGGTGGTCTTCCCTGCATTGTCTATACCAAGGAAGAGAATCGAAGAAGGCTTTCCAAAGAGAGATTTGATGAAATTTTGAAATACCTTTTCGTAGAACTCAGTAAGCTTGAATTTCACAAGCTCAAGATACCCCTGTATGTTACTAAACATTGTTGTTTTGTTTTTTTCCGGGGTTTGTTTTTTCGAATTTATATTCTTCAGTCTTAAAACCGCACAGGCCCTCCCATCTATAGAGACCCTATTCCTCTGCATTCCTGGAAATACAAATCCCCCATACTTTGTTCTTTTACTTCCTCACGGAATTCTTCTTATATAAGAAATCTAAGCTTTCAGAAAGTGGATTGTGAAGTATTTCTTTATCGATGTCCATGAAATATGTCATGAAAAACAAGGCATCACATCCTTTCAAATATCTTTCCAGTTCCTTGAGCACTGGCACTCCGGCTCCTCCATCGATGCTAGGGTCAAAGTCGATCTCTATGCAAAACACCTTCTGCCTAACTACTATGTTCACAGATCCGTAGAACTTGAGGTAGAATCCCCTGAATTGAAAGAATAGCCCATTTGGAGTCATATGCCAAGAAACCAAGTCCAGCCCGGCTAATTTTATTAAGAGTTGCCTTAAAGAAAATGGGGATATATACACTCTGTTCAATCTTATGTATCCATCGATCTCAAACACGGTCAATACGTCTTCTAGCCTAGGATTCTTAAGAAGACTATTTATCTTGTGAAGAATTCCTTCCATTCAGGGTCCATCACAAGAGAAAACATTAACTCTGGACAGGGATTATTTCATCTTTAAAAGGTATTCAAATTCTTTCTATTGGATAAAGTCAATTTGTTCTCCATTAGAAGTCTATATAACGTTGAAACATCCGGTTTTGCTTTAACTACAACATAAAAGAAAATTGTTCGGATCGACTTATGAAGCCATTCCTAATAATTCTTTCTCTGATAAATATTACAAGTACCGAAACCAAATCCAGAGCCCATTCCTTACGCCACAAAAGGTACAATAATAATCATCTGTCACAAAATCACCTCCATCGGAACCACGACTTTTCTCACTCAACCCATAATAAGCCCCTCAGTGGAATAGGAATATCTGGAATAAGGAGAATCTCCCCAGTTTACTTACCCGGGTATACAAGTCCATTAGTAGCCGATGTGGGTGGAGATTCTGGAGAGAGTGGGGTTATATTGGCCCCAAGTGCTAGCAACGGTTCTATAAAAGAGAATGTAGGAATATATGTTTCTCCGTCCCCCAATGGACAAGATACAAACACCAAAGAAAGGCTGGTTTCTCTGCATCATCTAATACATCATGCACAGGGAGAAGCACTAAAGGCAAAAGCCATGAGCTCCGCTGCAAAGCTCGAGGCCAGTCAATTAATTGCCTTGAAGCAAGAATTAAATGCAAAGATAATGGCTAATAAAGCCGAGATGCTACGGGAAGAAGAAGAAAGACTTGTCTCTCAAAGATCGGCAGATCCCTTGGTCTTAGTAAAAGACACCGTTCCGATTGCAAATGTGGCAAACAACAACTTGAGTTTTGAACATCATAATGAACTTTTATCTCAGAAGCTTAATATGATAAAGAAGGATCAGGATGATGCAGTAAAGAAGGCAGAAAAACTTGCAAGGTTGCACAAGGCAAGAACAGAAATTCTCCCAGACAGCCTTGTTTCTTCCGACCCCGATCAATTTAAAGAATTTGTCGCGGCTGGTCCTGTACAAGATTTAACCTTTGAAATCCCGGTCGATCCATCGGTTGGAAATTACTATATTTCTGGAAATCCCGAAGGGAGCCTTTCTTCTGAGGGGATGAACTTAACCCAAGGAGATTTGCCCTATTTTGTTGCGCATCAAGAAGGCTCGGCTTATAGTTCTTCCTAGTTTATAAAAAAGAAGGCATCTCTAGCTTAGGTTCAAACTAATTAAAAGTCGATTCTTGTAATCTATAGCTACATAAGTTGTGGATATTAAAATCTAAGAGACCAAAAGCTAATTTATTACAAGAGGGTCTAGTCACTACTGCTATCACAGGACTCTTCGATATTATTAGATAGGAAACTAGACCATGATTTGTGGGTAGGAATCCAATTTTTGTAGAGCCTGGCCTCTAAAGAGTTCTGAGACTCCCTCAGACCATATCCTAGTGAATTCTGGCGAGCCACAACCATTCTCAAAGTCAAGTAGACAAGTTGCATCTTTCTTTTCATGTATTAGAATGTTGAGCAGTTATCCATAATTTTTTTATTCATCTGTCGATTCAAAACAGTTTTATGGAGAGTCAGATCAACGAAAAGTTATTGGTACGGTTAGCCGTTGATTAGGCACGGGTACATCTTTTAGTTACATTAACATCTCCGAATCTGTCTTGTTGAATTTCTATTTTGATATTCTCAGTCTAATGGATTATTAGAAGAATGGTTGGAGACCCTTTCAAAGTGATGGACAGGACAAAAGGAATTCTGAAGGTGGAAAACGTGGAAATTACAATGGAGGGGCAGGTAATATGTAGGAACCAAAAAATAGAAGCTGTGGGTGTTTATGGGATTTCTGGACTTTACAATGCCCTTCGAGATGCTCTGATGGCTTCACTGACTATTCCTGTCATTTCTGACACTAGTCTAAGGTTTTATGGGAACATTTCCTTCGATGGTAGTCCTATAAGCTACAAGGAACTTCGGAAGATGATGAACCTGTTTACCATGTTTTATTCTTGCGAGAGTGTCCAAAGTTCACTTGAATTTGTAAATTTTTCTAAGGTTAAGGATGTGATGAGTGCTTTTGAATTGGAAGCTATAAATAGTTGTGAGCTCTCAAAGTTAGGGATTTCGGAGTCTAGAAGATGGGAAGCAGCGGTCAATGTTGCTTCGGGGTCGAAGGTGGTTGTTCTTCGAAATTTCCATTCTCCTTACAAGAATGTAAGAAAGTATCTGTCGTTTCTTGTTGAACATGCAAGAAACAACGGGTCTGTAATCTTTGTGGAGGATGACTTTCCCTTGGAACACGGTCTGAATGGATGTGTTATCATAAAAAAAGACGGCTTTGAATGCGTGAATTTCTCTATAGAAAAAGAATTCTACAGATACAAAAGAGTGTTACTTGAGATCTTTCTGAAGGAGCTTGAAGTAAAGCAGAATGATGAGAAAGATGCAAAGGAATCCAATTCATCGGCATCCATAAACGAGAGTTCCGATGGCTCTTGGGATATGGCCGGACCGTTGGGGAAACCGGTAGGGTTTTCCGCTTTTAGAGGAAATGCTTTGAATTCAGATAAATATATTGAAGACTCAGAGATAGATTTCCATGGAAACTTCACAGATCCTAGAATAGTAATATTTGATGATGCAGTAGTCTACAAGCTTAAAGACCCCCAACTCTCTTCCAATTCAGAACAAAAGATCTCGGATGTCTCCAAGACATACGATCGTGGAAATAGCTGTTGCTGGATACGTAGGATAGAAGAACTATTTACAAAGTGGTTTTTTTCGGTAGACATCAGGCTTTCTCTGCTCTTGACAAGACGAAAGTGTTTTCTTGAGGAAAAAAAGACTAAAGACTTCAGGAAATTCATAGTCTCATTTCTGATGCAAGTGTATTTGGCAATAATTTTGAAGTTCAAGGGATCCATATTCAATGATACAACCATATTCTCGATGCTTAGTACTTTTCTAAACCCACTGGAAGTATCTAAAAGATGGGAAACTTCTGTCGAAGATCTTATCAAAAGAATACTTTCAACGCCTATCTCTACCATGGTGCGATGCTTTGTAGATTTTCCTGGTGTCTGTTTTTCACTTATGGGGTCTACATTCAGAAATACCGGTAAGTTTATTGGGCAGATAAGATCATATAATTGGGATCTGGTGGATTACAAAATAATATCAACAGGAGTGTATTTTCTGGTTTTTACAAGAGGAGGAACCATGGTTAACGAGGAAAGATTCCAGAACTATAGCCGTAGAAATAGAATTTACTCGCCAGGAACATACTTCTTTCATATATTTATTTATTTATTTCTCAAGGCATGGATTCCGGTCCTCCTGATTTCATATATTCTTAATTTCAATTTTGTCCCTGTTTTTCTCGTAACAGCCACTTTTACCTGTGCTCTTTTGAATTTGGTCTTAAACTTAAAGCTCAAATACATGCTCATGTGCATAGCTCTTGCATTCAACTTACTGTATCCTCTTGATGGAGAGCACTTTCAAAAAAGCTTTTTTCTTAGATCTTCCGAGTCGTTTAATCTTCTGGTTGCATGCAGGCAATTCCCATTGGCATCGTCTCCAAGAGAAAAGCTGATACTTTTGGGCTGTTTACTACGAGGATTTCTGTTTATATATTTCTTCTTCTGCTACATATTTGCCAAAATCAATACTTAAAACTAGACATGTGTTGAGAAGATTATTCCGAAAAATCAATTAGAAGAGATTGATTTTATTATTAAGTGCCCAATCTATATCTCATTTCGCCAATAAATTATTTAGGATGTAAATAAATGGCCGTTGGGAAGACCAATTTTCCTTGATTACTTTTTGGAAAAGGCAATAAGCTTCTTCTCTGTAATAAGGAGAACCTGAAAGCAAATTTGTCTACAGAAAATTTCCAAAAATGGTATATTTACATATAAAACTATAAATAACTTGAAAAAGATAAACCCATTATGAACAAGAAGAGTTTTTTGAGGATATTTATCATTACAATTCTTGCTTTGGGCATAACTCTTCTAGCCTTTTTCCTTCTTAGAGAAAAGCCTCTAGGATACCTCACTGAGGAAGACGTTCAATCACTTTCAAGTGAACTTCAATTTAGATTCAAAGATTCTGGGAAAAACGAGGATGGAAATGAGGTTACCGACGTTAAATTCTTTGTCTGCCTGAATAGCATCCTAAAGTTGTTTAATTCTGTAGAAATCAGTCTTATTAACACCTTCTTGTCCTATGGAGAAAAAAGTAGTAAAGGGGAGAAGAAAGAGGAGGAGGACTACAACCATAAAGGATTATATGTAAAGAGTGCATTACAAGAGGCTAGAAATATAATGTTCCTGTCCCCAACCTCGAAGGAGGCTATAGTCGAAATTTTGCAGAAGGAAAATGAAAAGAAGAAAGAGAGCGAGCTTTTAGATACTGTCAGAAAAGCATTTTCCGAGGTTCAATTATCACCGGAGGAAGATGACGACTCTTCTAGGCAAAAGAAGGAGGAGCTCAATAAGGTGTTGGCCAACCTCTTTATTTGGTTCTGGTTGAAGGGAACCCCTCCAGCGGACAAAAGAATTAATACCTTCAAAGGGGCTTACGAAAGCAATCAAGATATTAAGAAATATCTTCTGGAATATCTAGACGAGGAAAACAAGGAGGTTGCAAACGCAACAATATCCGTTAGTGGAGAAAACGAAGTAATACCCGTAATTGATCATATACTACTTTCTATATTCAATGCTTCAATATACATGGGTCTTGGAATAAGTCCAACCGACATACCTGCAGCAACAGCTATTTTAGCAGCTGGAGGAATTCTAGAAAAGGAAGGTGAACAAATCAAAAAGGGGTTTTTCCAGGGACTTCAGGATTTCTTCTTTGGTTCACCAAAGCAGGAACAATCCCTCCAACAAAGCGAGAAACTAGAGAAAAATGATGGGTAAAAAACACCTACAACAATCAGCATCTTTGAGACCAAAAATAAATTTTTCATTTTGATTCAGTTTTCTAACAACCTAGGAAGATCGGATAGAAGGAGTCATAAAGGTGAACTGAACTTCTTAATTGGCAGGCATTTTTCGTTTATCCTAAGTCCCTTGAAAGAATATCGCAAAAACAGGCATGAGACAGATGGTTTTCCGTGCCAAAAACACAACATCCTGGATTTGTGGTTCCTGTAAAGGTAGGATATACACCTTAAGTTTATAGTATCAGACTGATATTCCCCTTAAGGAATATTCTGGAATATAAATTGCAGAAAAAATATCAACCCCGCCATGAAGTCAAAAAAACTGGGCTTTTTGACTCTTATTTCTCTTGTTGTGGTAGGATTTGTGACCTGGTATGTTCTGTATAATTTATACTATCTATTTATGAGTGATGAAATTGCAAATTCAATCTTTGATAAGTCAAAACTCAGAGGTAAGTTCGAGGACAGCGGAAAGGTCATAGAGGGAACGGTTTTCTTCAGTTTCCTATACAAGTTCTTGACAACTCTTGACGAGAAAGTTATAGGCGATTCTTGCATTGAAGATGTTTACGACAAGAGTATCCTTTCTGGGAAAGAAGATTATTTAAGGAATGGACTTGAGATGGTAACTAGGGCTCTTTTCAAAAATAGGAACGTTGAAAAGGACTTGAAAGAAATATTGGAATCAAGTATTTCCGATATTGTTGCTCCAATCAAAAGGCATGAAGTTCAGTATGCAGAGGAGGAGGGCAAGAATAATGGTGAAGAGGACCAAAAGTATAACGAAGATGTTACTTTAATGGTGTCTAAGGCCTTTGTCTATATTCTTCTCCGGGAAAGATTAGATCACTCCATGTACAAGAAATATCTTGATAAGGTAAAGGACGACTTCAATGAAAATACAAAGGATCACTTGAAGAAAATTGGAATTAGTGAAAGAATCTATATTTTTGAAGGGGAAAGCAACGTAGGCATGGAAATATACGATTATATTCGTGTTGTAATGTTTGCAACTAGTAAGCTCATCCCGGATTCCTTAACTAAAAACTAATTAAATTATTAAGATCCATTTCTGTGATGTTTGATCATTTAATTAATGTTTACTTCTCCCTTATTCTAAGAGAGATGTCAAAGGTACTAACAGAGCGTTCAGCAGCAATGACGATGGTAGCGTCTATGCTGGGTGCAAGCATATATTTCACACCAATTGCATTTAGATTTGTTGGATACATTTACGGATGGATTATCATCTTTATAATTGCTTCGCTCACATCGTTTTCCCTGTACTGCATCTCATACTCTGCAATAAAGATCGGGAAAGGCCAGACATATTCGTCGCTGGGGGTTTATATATCTCCAAGACTTAAGCATGTCCTTGATGGGTTTGTCATTGTAAATAGCTTGTCTGCTAATGTCTGTCTTTACAGATATCTTTCCGAGCTGGTTGTGGCAGCCTTCCCCGAGCTGCTGCTTACTTCCTTTAGCTATGAAACTACCAGAAAAGGAATTGTGGCCGTTCTCTTAATTCCCTTTTTCGCTCTTTCCTCCCATAAAAACCTTTCCAGCCTCAGATACGTATCGCTTGCAATGGTTGTTTCCATTGGATATTTTATCTTTCTTCTAATCTCCTACAATCTTTTTCTATATCCCAAGTATACCTCCTACGAGGAAACATCTTTCCCTCTCTCCAATGGATTTTCTTTTTCGATTCCCATTTTCATAACAGCAATGGCATGCCAATCGAATATGGTAAAGGTTCTGGACGAGATGGCAAGTGACTCCATGAGGAAGGTTAAGCTTGTGTCTGTGTGGAGTGGTGTCGGTGGAGGACTAATCTACGGACTGATAGGGCATCTTGGATATTCTCTCTTTGGAAACACACTCAATGGGGATTTGCTAAGGATACTTGCAGACAAGGGTTCTTCAATTAATATCCAATTAGCAAGTACTGTCGACAAGTATCTCATATCCTCAAGAGTAGCAGTGTATGGATGCATCTTGATATTTATCGGAAGCTTTCCAATCCAATTGAATCCACTGATAACTACTTTATTCAACATTCTGCCCGAGGAGAGAAGAACAAACACTACCCGGATGTTTCTAATGGCTGCCCTGATCATGCTTTGCTTTTTTCTAGTCCTGGTTGAGGATTTGTCTGCAGGACTTGTGATAAGCATAGGAGGTGCAACAGTAACAAACTTCATATCATTTCTCTTTCCATTTATTTTTTTCATATCAGTGAGAAAAAGATTCTCCCTCAGTACATTTCTGGCTCTAGTTTGCATTGCGGCTTGTGTTTCCAGCTCGGTCTACATGTTAGCTAATATAGTAACTGGAAGGAATAAGATCATGTAAATCCAATTTCTTAATAAATGAAATCAGATCTATTAGGAAATATATAATTATAGACACTCTCTCTAGCTTCTAACAGCAGAAGGCTCTCTGACCAATATCTTTTTTGGTCTTCCAGGACCACGCTTAAGCAAGTTCCGATCCGACTGGCACTTCACCGGTAGATCGGCCACTGGTATTATATCCTTGAGGTCCTGAAGTCTTGTCTTTGAATAAAGATCGCTAACATACAAGTATGGATCCTCTCCAGAATCAAGTATTTTTTTGCAAGCATGTGGGCACGGAATTAGAAACTCCTGGAACTTCCCACACGTACATGTCTGATTCTGTAAATCAACATCGTAGAAAGTATCCGCTGTTTCTACAGACGTGTTCTTCTCTATTCTTCGTATAACATTGTTTCCGAACAACCCCTTTCCTTTCCCTTCTCCAAAGCTAGCCTTTTTTCTTTGGCTCAGATTGTCACTGGAAAGTTTTAGAATCGCACAGACACAATCAAAAAACGGAAGATTGAAGATTCCCAGCCCAATAAACTCTGCATCACACTCACTTGTATTCTGCATCCCAAGCATCTCCGTTTCGCAGCAGCTCTTCAAGTAGTGTTTTCTTTCCATAAAGTTGAGCTCTGGTGTGCTCCATTCCTTGGAGGTGTTACATTTGTTCCAGATGTCTTCTACACCATCAATAGACTTATTTTTGTTGTAGTAAAACTTGCATATATCACGGGTTTTCACAAAAAAATCCCTCTCCTTTCTCCTGAGAATGTTTATAAGCTCGCAATCAAAGTCCACAAGGAAGAATAATTTAGGCATTGAATCAATAAAATACTCAAATGTGCTTTCTCGACTTCCCGTGTCCGACACCGCGCAGGAGTAAACAATAGGTGACCATGTAGGATCTCGGAGAACTCCCAGCATCGCAAATCCCTCCGTTCTCTTGTATATTCTTATCTCCACTATTGGAACAAGTACATCAAGATATTCGGGAAAAGAGAAAAAAAACATCTTTTTCTTCTGATGAGCAACTGCACAAGGATTAAGCTCCAAGAACTCTTGGGAAAACTCCTTGAGTGCCCGGCCAAACAGCTCATCCTTTCCTCCCTCTTCTCCGCAGATCATCTCCATATTCTCCTTTTCTGTCTTATCATTTTGTCTCATGGCCTTCCATACAGAAAAGTATCCCATCTTTATGTTCATGTCCGCCAAAACAGATAGAATCTCCCCTATTCTTGCATATCTATCTCCTATAGCTTTCTGAACCTCCATTCGAACCATTTCATCCGGCGATCCGTATTTGGATGTTACTACCGGGCATTTATGGGACAGTCTAATCCTTTTAACTACAAACACCCCATCCTTCTTCCTCAACTGTGCAACAATTCTGGCATCACATCCAAATTCCTCTCTTCCCTTACACAGCACAGAAATCGATTTGGGCGTCTCCTCAAGATCATAGTTGAGATTGTTTCGCACTGCGTGATCTATTAAAGCCTTCTCAGCCTCTTCTCTTGTGGAAAGTATGTCATTAACGGACAGCCCTTTCATTAAGGGGTTTGTTATTCAACAGCTTTTATTCTTTACAACAGACAGATGGGCTATAGCTTTGTTTCTCAGCCTCCCAGAAACACCAACAATAATGCCATTAGGACTTCCTAAAGACGCTCATACTTATTTTTGTCCCTATCCTTCCCCTTTGAGCAGTATATGCAGCATATTTTACTCTTCTTCTTTCCTAATCCCTCATTGTCAACAGTTTCCTTTGTCCAAGTCACACGCCTTGTTTTTATCAGCTTTAGCTTCATCTTGGTTACTGTCACTGTGCTTGACATATCCTAGGGTTTGTTTTCTATAGAATATAAATGGATCAAAGCTACCCATAACCATCCTTCTTATTACACATTGTCTAGCCGTAAGTGCACTAATGTGTTGTAGCTATACCATTCCAGTCCATTTCTTTATTAAACAAAAAATTACCCACGAAATGAGAGAGTACAGGCTGAAGTCAGTAATTCCAACGGAATCCGAATCAAGGGGACTTTACTATGATGGAGAAGTCTATTTTTCGTCCAATAATCATCTATTCAAGGCTTCCAGGGGAAGATATACCAAGATATGTGATGTTGGGGGAACCATCATTGACTTCAGTATATCAGAGAAATTCTTCATAGTCACAGAGGAAAGGATGTACATGAATAACGAAAACAGAATGGTTGGATCTCTCAAAAGAAGGTTTTCCTGCATGGCAATCAACAAAAATCTGATGGCAGCAGGATACTCCAACGTCCTAGAGATATGGAATGTTCCTAAGGAATTCAAGTTGCCCTTGTTTGATCTCCATTCAAGACATCTTGGGCACTTTCTAGAAATCACAAGTGTTAAGTTCCTGAGCGATAATCTGGTTCTAACAACCAGCAGAGACTGCACTGTAAGGATTTTTGATATTCTTGAAAACAAATCTAGCCGACTGTGCAATACAATGAGTGTTCCAATCGCGGCATATACCATGGGTGGAGAAAATAAGGAGCTAATTGTTATTTGCGAGGATGGAACTTTATTGTATTTTGAGATTGATGGAGAAAACATTATTTCCAAAGGAATTGTGCATCACAATTCGAAAGTTTTGGCTTCCAGTAGTAGTTTAGGCTTTGTGGCTATTTCCCTTGATAAGGAGTCTGGAGAGAATCTGCTTATCTACAATGGACAAGAAATGGTTTACTCTGCATCAGTAGAACATAAGATTCTGAGTATTTATCTCCATGAGGATTCTATTGCAGTGAAGGGCCCTAAGTTTGTTGGAATATACAGCCTATCACTCAACCTGTTTGTATTTGAGTTGGATCTTCCCCGAATAATGACGATGGATGTAAAAAAGGATATGATAGCTGTTGGATGCTCTGACAAGAAGGTAAGAATCTACGATGGAGAAAGATGCATCCACACATTCTTCGACTCAAATGCCACTCATGCAGTTTTCGGAGTGCATATTCTTCAAAACTCTGTTCTGTGTCTTTATCTCGATGGAAAAGTATCTATTTGGGATATAAAGAACGGAATTTGCTATAGATCATTTGAAATTCCAGTAAGAATATCGGCTTCAGAGGTTAGTGATGATAATCTTCTACTGTTTATTGCAGACTTCAATAACTATTCAGTAAGGGTGATAGATCTCCAGAGGGGGAAGGAGATTGATACTCTTCAGGGCCATGAAGGTCCTATATTTAGGATGAAATGGGATGGGGATTCTTTATATACACTGTCCTATGACAACACAATCAAAAAATGGAATGTTTATTCCCAAACGGTTACTGAACTGCAGTCCAGAAAGATGGCCACTGGATTTTCAGTGAGAAATGGCAAGCTCTGTGTGGCCACGGTGGACGAGTTAAGTATCTATGACTCTGGCTTCAATTATGAAAGAGGAATCAAGGTATCTTTAAAGGCTAGAAAGAGAAATGAAATATTCATAAGCGAGAAGCCTGTGGAAAGCCTAGATTTCACATTCGACAACAGATTTATAATCTCGGGAGGAGAAGCAAATACAATGCAGATGATATCCACAGAAACAGGCGACGTTGCTCAGGTGCTTCGAGTTTCCGACAATAGAGAATGGGAAAACTATAAAGAAGTTCTTGGGAAGGAATCTTCTAAATCCTTTGATAAGACAAAGATCATTGAGGTTTTAAAAATAATGCACAGCAGCACCCAAAGGGAGTTCTATGTCCTTACACGAGAGGGAGTAAGCATCTATGAACCTTCGCTTGTCAAATTTATTCCACTTCGCTTAGATGTGTCTTTAACACCAGAGTCGATCAAAGAGTATTTGGACCATGGAGAATACTTGAAAGCAGCAATAGGATCTTTGAAGATCAACGAATACGAGATTGTAAAAGAGGTTTTGCTTTCTTGTCCATACAACCGAATAGAGGGGGTTGTTAAGCATTTGGATGCAGTATTGGCCGAAAATCTAAGGCTTGTAGTATCAAAAATGCTTGATAGCCCAATCCACCATTCGACAGCAATCAAATGGCTGAAGTCCATTGTTTTTTATTTTGGGTCGTCTAAAACACAAGGCACAGAACTGCATAAACTTAGGAGAGAAATTGACTTGACACTAAAAATAGGCAAGTTGAACAAGTCAATGCTGCTCAATATCATCGAGAAATGACTTTCTAAACACTATCGTACAATATGATTGGTCAATAGAATGCCTGTCAACCAGTGGAGTCGAAGATTTTCAAGGTAAAAAGAATATTAAAGAAAGAGACAAATTTCGAAATGTGTTGCGGCAATTTTTACTGCTTTACGTTTGGATGCATCAGTATACCGGAAAAGATCGACGTCCCAGAGGGATATCCAGAACCTGCAAAGAAGTTCCTGTGTCCCTACTGCGGATGCTTAACCGATTCTGTATATAGGAAAGACAAATACTTTTTTAGCATATGTTTTATTCCATGTATCCCGTGTAAAGAGAGTTCTCCATATCTCTCCTGCACTAGTTGTAAAAGAAATCTGGGGAGTATTGGAGACTACAGATGTAAGAAATGTGGAGTGGCCACAACCTTCGAATCAAATAATTGCCCTAACTGCGGAGGAGAAAAAACCCAGTCAAGTGGCGGATACAGAAGACTGGACATGGTCTAAGTAGGCAATTAAGATAATTGATTAAAGGTTTTATTGTCTTGCTCGTTTTCTCGAGCCTTGCCTGCAAAGGGGCTTAATTCTTCTGTAGAATGTCTATCAGCGTCCTTATGGTCCCCACCAAGGCTGCACTTGTAAATATCATTGCGAGGATGCAGACGGCTGTAAAGAACTTAATCTTCTTAGATGCAAAGATATAGCATATGAACGGGTGATATACTAGCAGAGGAGTCATTCCAATCACAAAAAGCACCACATAGAAATGGAAAGGCCCGATGATCTCGTTGAAAAGGACCTGGATGAACACTATGCTTAGCACAAGGAGAGATAATAGCCACAACCTGGTGTCTCCTTCTGCATTCACCAAGTTTTTAAAAGACTCAACAAAAGAATCAAATTGTATCACAAATAACGAAATGCATACTATTGGAATAAGAATGCACATCACTTTGGTTGTGATACAATACTTATCAATTGTAGATGTCCTCAGGTAGGTGTTCAACTTTGATGACCTAAGGAACATAAGATTCAGAATGTCCAACGAGTTGTAGCTAGATCTTATCCACCTTGCCAAGTGTAATAGAACTAAATACATTCCAGAGACAGACAATGAGCTCGTAATAGCAACGTATTTGGCACTTTCCCTATGCATGGATTCCCCTATGATTTTGACTCCTCCAGATATGAACTCCGCCGTATAAAATGCTATGGTGGTTACCCAAAAGAACGACGGTAGGAGGCTTCCTTGAGAATATGATGGCTTTGGAAGTGCCGAGTTTATTCCTAGGAAGTACCCTGCGATTATGGCAACTATAAAAAGGATACTGGCCGATGCAGAGATAATAAGAAATATCTTCCTACTGAAGGTGGAAAAGACATATAGAGTCAGCCCCACCAGTGCCAATCCTAACCCAAATAATATCTTGTATATAGCCATCGACTTTCTGATTTCGTCCAGGAAGGGAAAGTAGATAAACAGTACGTTGAAAAAGACGTCCACTGTGATAAGAAGTGTTGTGTATTTCAAAACAGCAGAAAACACATCAACAGTTTTCGACAAGGGCCCGCAAAATCCCCTCGAAATATCTCCCAAGGACTTCAACTTCTCTTCGCTTCTCTTTTTCCCTATGTACTCCACTATGTATAGAGATAGTCCCATAAGTATTCCAGATGCAATTATTCCGTAGGTATAGTATTCTGTTTTTACTCCTTTTGTAAAGTATGTCAAGGACAAGAACACGGGAATTATAGGTGAGGTCCCAATTATCTTGTAAGACTGCCCAAGTGTAGAGCAAAGACGATTTCTTGGTTCTTCCATGTGTTTATTCGGCGAAAACAATAATAAGAAAAACATGAAACACGTGTCACTAGTTCAACCTCTCTGCGGTTTCAGAAGCTTCCAATCTTGGAGCCCTTTTTTGGATTAGATATCAGAAGTAAAACGATCAGATTTGGTTCATCTTTCAAAGATGGTAAATCCAAGAAGGGTAGAGTAAATCCCATCGATGGAATCCGAGTACTTCTCTGTAACCTTGTAGACCTTATCCAAGACTTCACTGCTCATTTTCCATCCTCTTCTAAGGCTCTCCTCTATAAGCCATTGTATGACAACACAGTTCTTGAATGTCCCTTGTTTTAGAATAAGGTCAAAGAACATTTTATGCTTGTCTTCAAAAATAGTGAAAATTTCGTTGGATCTTTCTCTATGGCACCTCACTATCATTCTAAATAATTGTTTGTAATCGTCTGTCCTAGAGAGTATTTCAACAGCTTTGACATTAAGATTATTTCGAAGGCATCTTTCCAGCTCGATGGTTTGCATTTCCTTTTCATTCTTCTTTGCAATGGTCCTGTTTAACACTTCCTGAGAGTCGTCTTGAAAAAAAGCTATTAGTCCGTTTCCAGATGTTATGAGAAGGGATCCACTGATAAAGGCCCATACCCGGTCTCTGTGAACATCAATGTTCATTTCACATGTTCTCTTTTTAACATTCCAAACTTTCATTTCCCCAGTAGCACATCCGGAAATAAACCTTTCGTCATTTCTGTAGAACTGCCCCTTCAGAACAGCGCTTCTGTGTGCTGTAAGCACCCCAACACACTCAAAAGTCTCTATATCCCAAATCCTTACTGTGGTATCTGCAGAACATGTTGCCATCAGATTTTTGCCAAAACTCACACTCCATACACCCTTTGTGTGCCCCGAAAGCACCTGAAGGATTCTTCCTTCAAAGTTAAAAACCTTTGCCTTCTTATCTTGGGAACATGTTGCAATGAGTCTTCTTTCCTCGTTGATTTCAACACTGTTAATCTCCTTGTCATGGATTCTTTCCATGAACACATTATCTTTGTAGTCCCATATCTGCAGAATCTGATCGCTTCCAACAAGTACAAAAATAGAAGCTCCAAGAACACATCCGTTGAGTCCTCCAAGACCATTCTCAAGTGTCTTAATTCTCTTCAAAACCACACTTTTCTCTTCTCTGTTTTCTGTATCTTTCAAAACAATCTTCCAAAGAATGGCTTTCTTGTCTCTTGAGGTTGTCATCAAGAAGTTTCCATTGATTGAGAGTGACATAATGGCTTCCGAATGTGCTGGAACAATATCTCCATTGAATGCATAGCTTCCTTCTCCCCCATCTACAAATGTGTATCTCAACCTTCCACTATTTGTGGCAACAAACAGTACGTCATTCCACTTCTTCATGTCCGTTATCTCATCATTATTCCCAATAATAACAGAAGTAACCCTCAAACTTTCGTCAACAAGAAATATTTCCTGCTCGCTTGTTACTATAACCCCCTGAGACATCCCTTCAACAATCACCTCATCGTCCACTTTGATTTCTTCTTCCACCACAGTATTTCTCATATCAGAAACATGTTTTCTTTTCTTGTATCCGTCATCTGTTCCACTTTCGTCTTCGTAGCAATCGTCACTGTTCTCTCCGTAAATCTCACACCGTTCTTTTCCATTTGGAAACCCATTCTCTTCACTCTCGTCTTCAAAACTTCCATCTTCTTTCCTAAACCGAAGCATACTCTGCGATGATCCTTCTCTTTCCGCGAGAATGTCCCTTTTATATTGAATCTTTCCATCATAGTCATATACATGGACTATTAAGCCTTTCCATATATACAAAAACTGCCCATCTCCTACCATAAAGTCACACTTTGTGTCCAATGCCACCTTCTTAGACTTTTCCAAGATCTTTAAAACCCCTTCTCGCGTGACTGCACAAACATGGCGTCCATTATATCCTATTCCCACTACCTCCGGCTCATGATACTTCAAAAGCTCTTCTCCTCCTTTATAAATCCACACCTCATTAGCATCTGCAGAACACACCATATTTCCAAACCTTTCTAGCTTTCTTATCATGCTGTCCATTCTATAAGACCATAAAGGTGCCTTGCTAACCAGATCTATCTTGGAAACGGATCCGTCAACCCTTCCGACCACAACAGAAAAGGCACTAAATCCTTCATCAGAAACCACTAGCTCATCCACAACCATACTGCACACCTCTATTTTTGAAAACTGAACAACATCTTCTACAACTCCCTTTGCAAGATTATAGATAACTATCCCTTTCGAACATGCAACTATGTATCCATCCCTTACATCAAAGCACTTGAGGGAATCAAACGGTATTTCTCTAAGAATTTGGAATGTCTTAACATCAGTCTCCACTATTAGATCATTGAATTGTGTATACAATATGTCTCCTTGTCTCTTTGGAACTCCTGTTGTTAGTATTGGCTTCATCTGTTTCTTCAAATTAAAATGCACCTTCATATGCTTCTTCAGTGGGCTAGAAAATATTTCTGAAATTCAACCGCGAACTACCTCATTGTTGAAAGCCCTTTCCTAACCTTCTTTCATGCACCGGATGAATCTAAACCGATCAAATAGGAGGAAGATGGCATTGTTATATTTGTAGAAAATATTGCTTTCTGCGCTTTGAATGTCTTCTAGGACATAGATCAGATCATGTCCTTTGAAAGCCTCGTATATTTCCTCCCTACACTTGGAAACATCGTACACAACAAAAACTTCTTTTTTCACACCAACGAACAGCTTGTGCACCAGCGGAATCTTTCCACAAAAGTCAAAAACAGCTATAGTCACACCCATCCTCTTTATATCCTCCATTTGCATTCTAATCTCCTTTAATTTCAAAATTTCAACAACTCTTTCGACATAGTATTCATATATGTCCACCGGTTTCATAGGGACTATTACAGCTTCAAATATCTCCTTGCCGTCTTTTATACCCCTTTGTCCCCATCCCTAGATGATTCCTATTCTCTATGGCTCCCAAACTGGAACTTCTATCTATGTCAGCAACCTCATAGAAAGAGCACTTTTGTACGGATACGACCCAAAAACAATTTACAACCTGGATTGCTTTTTCAACTCCCGAGATCAGGAAAACCTATCGTCAGTAATGGAAATGGATCTCTTTGATATAGAAAAAATTCTTGACATAGACTTTATCATATTTGTTTGTTCAACACATGGTGATGGAACAGAGCCATTTAACATGACTAAGTTCTGGTCTTTTCTGTCAAATAGTGATCTACCAGGCAATCTATTGTCGCATTTAAACTTTGCAGTCTTTGGCCTTGGAGACTCTTCGTATGAAAAGTTCAACTACTGCTCCAAAAAACTCTTTAACAGACTCAGGATGCTGGGTGCAAAGCCTGTGGTAAGAAGAGGAGATGGAAATGCCCAGGATAAAGAGGGATTTCTCTCTGATCTTCGCCCGTGGCTACTAGAACTCATGGCTCATTTTGATCCTCTCAAGATAAAGCACATTGATATTCTCTCTCTTAAGCCTGAGAAATATACCTCGAGATTGGTTGGGAAGAGATTGCTGACACCCGAAGGGCATTTCCAAAAGATAATAGAATTGGTATTTGAAATTCCAGAATATAAAGAATTCTCGCCGGGAGATTGCCTGTCCTTTTGCCCAGAAAATTATAACTACAAAGAGTTTATGAAATACAACGGCATGGAAGAAGATGTAGATGGGATATCATCGTCCTTAATGATGAAGCATTCAATAGACTTTAACTCACAACCTCATCAGCCATTCTTTTTTGCACTGAGGTATTTCTTGGATAGAAAAGGCGGTATCGAAGACGAAGTTCTTTTAAAGATAGAAGAGATTGCACAAGACTATGATTTATATTATGAATATATAGTTAAGCCCAAAAGAACAATATTCGAGGTTCTCCAGGAGTTAAGAGTGAAGGTTGATGCCAGGTTTCTCAAGAAATTTGTACCTACTATATACCCAAGGTTTTTCTCTGTAACAAAGAAGAAAGGTCTATATCATGTTACTGTTGCTGTTGTAAATTACAAGACTATCCTTTCTCAACCTCGAAGGGGAGTCTGCTCGGAATATTTGATGGGCCTCAGTCTAAACGATAAAGTCCCCATAGGAATTGGAAGAAGCAATCTATACTTTGGATCCAACAAGCTATTGTTTATATGCACGGGTACTGGGATAACTTTACCAAGAGCTTGTATCAACGAGTTTAAAGACAAAGAAATTGTTGTGTTTTACGGATTCCGATACAGAGATAGAGACTTCCTATATTCCGACGAATGGAATTGCAAGAATGTGAGAATGCTTACTGCTGCATCCAGAGATGATAAGATGTATGTGCAGGATGTTTTCAATAGAAACCCCATTGAAGACATTGACGAGTATTTAATATTTGTGAGTGGGAATTCAAGATTAAACAAGGAGGTGAGGAAATTGTTCCAGAAGTTGTATGGAAGAACAATTGCATTCCAGTCTGAAACATGGTGAGTCTTTCCCTTGATTCTCCTGTAGGTTTAGTGTCGGTAGTAAAAGCAAAAATTTGCATCACCCCAAGAAATGGTAAGTGAACAATCATGGAATTGATCTAACTTTTAGGCAATACAACCACCAGGATCATATCCACAAGGGAACAAGAAGGGAAAAGCCAAAAAGAAGGCTGGGCAAAATACATTTGAAAGGAAGGAGTGGTATAACCTCCGATCTCCATCGATTTTTCCCTGCAATATCAGTGGAAAGACCTTTGTAGCAAAGTCCACGAGCAAGAATACCAATTTGAAGCTTATAGGAAGGAGGTATGACGTTAACCATGCAGACCTTACGAAAAACAATGATTTCACACATCGGAAATTCATATTCAAGGTAGGGGATGTCAAGGGGGCCGATTGCATTGGATTCTTTGATGGAATGGAGTTAACATCTGATAAGCACAAAGCAATGATCAAGAAATGGCATACTCTTATCGAAGCTCAAAAGGACATTGTGGCAAAGGACCGGAGCGTTTTCAGAGTGTTTGTCATGGCAGTTACGAGGAGGCCGCAAGGGTATACCAAGAAGACATGTTATGTCAAGCATTCCGAAGAGAAAAAGATCAGAAAGATTATGTTTGATGTCATTGAGCAGGAGCTTGGAGGACGTAGTGTTGATGAAATCATGAACAAGCTTTCTAACGAGACAGTTGGAAAGAGGATTGAAGAGTTGGGGAGCGAGATATTCCCCTTGCAAAACTGCTGCGTTAGAAAGGTCAAGACAATCAAGAGCTATCAAGGAGTAAGTATTGGCCAAGAGGAGGAAGTTGGAGCCATAGCTAATTAAAGCATTCTTTTTTCCTTTTCGGCCGATATTTCAGTGTGTCTAAATAGAAAGAAGCCTTGAAAATCACCACCGTGTTGTTTAATCCTCGTCTATATCCCCAAGCCCCAGATCTTTCAGCTTCTGCCTCACCTTCTCATAGGTGTCGTCGGGGTTTTTGACGGTTATTCCATGGACATCCTTATGGATGTAGATTTCGTAGTCGTTTCCTCCCTCTTGGGTCATATCCCCGAAGAAATACACATTCTCAATTCCCTCCTTCTTTATGTGCCTCAGACAGTATGTCTTGTCCCAGCCCTTTGGGAAGCAGTCAATTGATATCTGTCCTCCAATCGAGAACACCATACAGCTACCTTTGAATTTTTCCCTCATGGCTGCAACCATCTTTTCTCGGAATTTCTCCTTCTTATCAATCTCAAAAAACTCCTTGCGCTCCTCCCTACTGCAATTCCTTCCTATCGGGCTTATGTTAATCATGGAGTTCCTATATTCAATGAAGTTACCCCTTTTTATGGGAATTTCCAGCTTGCTAAGATACTCTAGGACAAAGTTGACAAACTCTTTGTAAAATTTCTCCCCAAGGACATCGATTATCTTTTCCTGAGACTCCAGAGCCCCTTTCTTGTAGAAGCTGAGACCGTTTTCTGGAAATCCATAATCAAATAGCTCAAGAAGATCGTCTCCAATTTGCTCCTTTTGCTTTTCAAGGTCTGATCCCCCCACAAACCCCAGGCAAACCTTCTTCTTAAGTTTCCTTACCATCTTCTTCATTTTCTCAGTCATCTGAGCCCTTGATTCCGAAAGCGTTCCGTCCACATCAAACAAAAAGATTGTCTTCTCGTCTTTTGCCATGGTCCATTTCGTTTGCATTCCTTTTATTACATTTTGTTTCAGATGTTTAATTCATTAATGGGTATGTCAATCAAAAATCATTGGAAATATTCCAATAGGTCCTGGTCTTCGAAGAAGGCACAAACACAACTCAAGATTGATTTCTATACTCTAAAGGAAGCTTTACTTTTATTGTTCAATAGACTCGGAAGAAATACACTCCAAAATGGAATCGTATCCCTTATCTTCATAGCATATTCTGTACACAGTGCTTATGAGAGGAAACTCATCAGTTCTCTTTTGTCTTTTCAGGTAATTGTATACAATAAGAGCTGTGTTTGGCCCCTGGAGCTTTGTAAAACACATGGTGTCCTCGGCCTCTTTTAAGCTCATTCTTTTTTCTGCCATAAGCTTTGCACATTTGAAGTTTCTTCCCGAAATGCATGATACAAGAAGATCCCCCACTCCAGATGACTGAAACAGGGACTCTATTGTTGCCATCGGGTAGAAAAATTTGAAGAACTTTCTCATTTCGGCAAATCCGTTCCTGAATATGGCGACCTTTGTATTGCAGCAGTAACCTAGTCCTTCTGCAAAGCCATATCCCATGGAAACAATGTTTTTCAAGGCTCCAGAGATTTCCACTCCATAGACATCCTTGATTTTTGTGATCCTGTATGTGTAACTATTAAAGAGTTTGTAAACTATGTCGGCTGCATCCTCATCTGTATACCCCAATGTCCCTTCGCTTATCATGTCTCGTGCAACTTGGTCGGCGATATTTGCTCCCATCACCACGCTTACATTTATGTTTAGAATCCTGTGAATAGACCTACTCACCAGATCTATGTCTCCATCTTCTGCGCCAATAAATCCTTTTGTCAACGACACCCCAATGCAGTTGCTCTTCACCAATCCCTTTAAAGGTTCTATGGCCTTTATATATTGATGGGGAAGAGCAAAAACAAGCACATCCGAGTCAGAAAGGGTGCATATGTCTTCAACAGCCTTAAGGTTCTCGGGAAGATGGATTCCTGGCAAGTACTTCGGATTGTTTCTCTCGCTGTTTATAATGTCGCTTAGGATTCTCCCCTCAAATTCCTCTCTATATCCCCACATCCTGACGTCCTTTTCAAATATGCTGCTTTCCATCGTGTTGCTTGCCAGAAGCCTGCCTATTGCAGTGCCCCAGTTTCCATTACCTATGATAGAAACCTTCTTGGACATTGTATTATTTGTTTTTGGGGTACAAGTTATTTTGTTAAATATCCTTCCATAGCTCTGTTTCACAGTCTTGGCAAGTTCGCAACTTTCATACACTTGAGCAGAGTCTTTCTTAAATTCCTTTAGAATACCCTCTCCAATGGCAAGCACAAGGAAGGTGGAAGTAAACTATGTGGGAAACACTCGCAACACAATAGAATTGAAGATCGATGGAGAGACACACACACTAGGAAGTCTTCTTTCGGAGGAGCTTCTCGAAGACAAGAGATGCCTCTTCAGTGCATATAGGGTTGAGCATCCTACCGACAATCATGTCTTCCTTCGCATTACAGCAGACAAGGATTGTCAAGTAAAAGACTTACTCCTGGAGACACTTAAGAGAATCGAGGAAGATACTGTATTATTGATAAGTCAACTCAAAGGATTCTAAAAAGACAGACCATCCTATTTATTCGATAATAAACCAGTAGATTTTGTCCAAGATACTTTATAACAAGTTTCAAGCTAAAGAGAAGGATCATAATCGCCTGCCTCCCTGATGTTTGGGGTTATGATTTCGCAAACAGCCATTTCCCCTATCTCGTCTCCTTTCTCATATACAAATTCCTCGTCCGAGTCATTGTAGACAATAACACATACCTCTCCTCTGTAATCGCTATCCACAACTCCTCCCAACTTCTTTATCCTTGTTGACTGGATTTTTCCAAAGTATCTCTTTGGGATCTTCATCATGAATCCAGCAGGAATCTTTGCTCCACATCGTGGGTCAACTTTACCCGAGCAATTCGAGTAAAGCTTGTAAACCCCATTTATAAGCTCCGGTACCTTTGCTCCATCTAGAACTTTCACCGAGAAACCCTCTTCTTCCATGTGGGATTAACGAGAAAAAGATATTTTATCCCGGAACATTTTTTTCTGGCTTTTGATAGAAAGAATTTGTTTATTCAATAACAATTTCATCCTCTCTTACTCCAACGTCCCAGTTGGTTTTGATTAGATATGGATCTGATATGTGAACTCCTTGGCTGTCGGCATATCCAATCTGCACCTCATTCGACGCATTACAGTCCCTATAACAAAGAATCTCCATGGCCTCCTCAACAAGACGGATTGCCTCCTCTCTTGTTATCTCTTGTTCTCTTCCTTCTACCTTACTCCTAAGAAACGGAAGAGCCAGATAGCTTCCTATTCCTGTACATATTACATCCGAAAAGTAGAAGTTCCCCAGACGATCTACACATCCAAGTGTCTTCTCATTGGTCTCAAATTCCTCCTCGGAGTTTCTTACTGTCTTCACTCCTCCCACACAGACACTTAGATTTAACGGGCTGATCCTACTTCGGGCTGAATATAGTATTCTTTGAACCATTTTGTGATAACCCTTTGGATCTATTTCTCTGTTGTCCTCCTCTGTCAGGATATTTAATGTTTTTATCAAGTACTGCATATCACTCACCTCCCCGGAAATTCCCACGAGTGTCCTGCTTCCAAATTTAAACATCCTCTGAACCCCATTGAACTTTGTTAGGCGCCCGTAAGATGCCTTGGCGTCTGCTCCCATTATGATTCCATCCTTATATCTGAATGAGACCACAGAGGTTCCTGTTACAAAATCCCTCATTTCCGGGGCATTTCTAAGGAACTTCATAACATTCCGATGTTTATGGTTTGGAATCAGGGACTAAACACCCTTCAAAGGGACCTGAACAAAGGAATCCTTCTCAATAAGACATCCCTTCTCGATGGAAATAAAAAGATTGCCCAACGACGTGATTTCCAGGATTTCTGCAGGAGAAGTCATTACAAGACCCTACAACATCCTAAAAGAAGTCATAGAAAATTCACTCGATGCAAACTCCACTCACATAGCAATTAAGATTGGGATAGATGGCCTTTCCCTTACAATCGAGGACAATGGAGATGGAATACATGAAGAGGACTTTGAACTTCTTTGCAAGCAGTACTGCACCTCGAAGCTTACCAAAGAAGAAGATCTTTTTTCGCTGTCTTCCTATGGGTTTCGTGGGGAGGCTCTTTCCTCCATAAGCCGATGTTCTAGGATCCGAGTCAGGAGCAAGAGAAGAGAAAATGAAATTGGACATGAAGCTGTGTACCGGGACACAGAAATTGTAGCAATAAAAGGCATTGGAATGAAGGACGGGTCTGTTGTTGAAATCAAAGACATCTTCTACAATAATAAGGCAAGGGAAAAGCATTTTTCAAAGAAGAGAGATGAGATTCGAGAAATGATGTGGCTAGTTGGAATATATTCTGTATTCAACGAAGATGTTTCTTTTGATCTGTTTTATGGAGGAAAGCTACAGGAAATTCCAAAGTCCAAGATGTATTCTGGGAAGGACGGAAGTTCTAACGAAGATAGAGTAAAAATGAAGATCAAGATGTTGGATGAGCTTTATAAGGTAGATGGGGAGCTTCTCTTTTTGTTTGATGAAGGCCATCTTGCTATATTTTCAACTCCTCAATTCAGTCTAAAAAAAGGTGTGTTTATTCTTTTTGTGAATGGAAGATTGGTTGTAAGCCAAGAGATGAAAGAAGCTTTATTTAAGGTGTATAGGGGCCTAATTTCCGACGAAAGACAACCTTTTATATATCTAGAGCTGAATATAGAAAAGAGTATGGTCGATGTCAACATTCATCCGAGCAAAAGGGAAGTTCTCTTTACAAATGAGGAATCTGTAATTCAGAGGCTATACGAATGCATTGAAAACAAACTGAACAAGATGAATTACGAGCAAAAGACATTGAGGCCGCTTCCAAGGGAAAGTAGCTTCCAAAGCCCAATTAAAGTGTATTCAGACCCAGCATCCCAATCTATTGGCGAGTGTTTGGAGAAGGAGAAAACGGAAAGACGAGAGTTCAGTCTTTTTTCTCTTAAAAAGCTGAGGACAGAGATAGTTGAGCTTGATTCCTCCTTTTTTAAGGCACTAAACTATGTTGGAGCGAAGGATAGAGATACTATTTTGGTTCAGCATGGCTCATCACTTTTAAACTGCAGGACTGCTCTGCTTCTCAAGGAATATCTTTACCAAACTCTGATAAGCGATTTCGGGAACTTCGAAAAAAAGAAGACGCTTATTCCAATTGAATCGGATATAGAAGATAATATGAGAGCGTTACTCAACGACTACTTCTCTATAGAGATAGTTGAAAGGAATATTGTCAGCGTTCCTATAATATCAACTATTTGTATAGACCTCCCTACGTTATGGGCCGGATTGGATGTCAAAAAAGACTCTGAGTACGAGACATTGAAAAATATTATCAACACCATATCTACGCTTTACTCCTCGGCGGAAATGTCTCCAAAGCTTTTTAACGTCATTAAAAGAAAGATTGTTGGAACAGAAAAGGCATTGGAGTGTTTCGGACTTGTGGTGACACTCAAGGAACTCTACAAGAACTTCGAAAGATGCTGAGTGTTGGATGGAAACAAAAGTTGGAAAACATTAAAAATTTTGGACCTTAATATGAATTAGCCAATCTAGGAAGGATATAACCTCGGAAGTGCGGTCCCCTTACAAATGAACAAAGGAGAATATGAAGCATTATACAAGAGATCTATTGAAGACAAGGAAAGTTTTTGGGAAGAGCAGGCCAAGGCCTTCTTGAAATGGGACAAAATGTTTGATAAGGTTTATAACAATAATTTTGAGAGCTCCAGATGGTTTGAGGGAGGGATGCTAAATGCGTGCTATAATTGTGTGGATAGACACGCAGCTTGTAATCCCGACAAAGTTGCAATTATTTATGATAGGAATGACGGAGAGTCGATTTGCTATACATTTAAAGAGGTGCTTGACGAGGTCATAAGAATTTCGGCTGTGCTTAAAGCAGAAGGCCTTAAAAAAGGAGACACTGTTGCTTTGTATATGGCAATGTCTCCTTATGCTGTGTTTTCTGCACTTGCATGTGCAAGACTTGGCCTTGTTCATAATGCCATTTTTGGAGGCTTTAGTGCAAGTAGCGTGGCTCTGCGGCTTGACGACTCAAACGCCAAGTTCTTGATGGTCCAGGATGTTGTTGAGAGACACAGCTCGACCATAAACTTCCTTGGGAATGTAAGGGAAGCCCTTAAGGGAAGATCCATTCCTGTTTTGGTTTTCAATACTCTTCAGGATGAAAAGAAGATACTGGACGAACTGAACGGAGTTGAAGGTAAGATTTTAATCTGGTCAAAGGTCATGAAGAGGGAAAACGAATTTATTCCCTGTGTGCCTGTCGGAGCCGAGGATAGTCTTTTCTATCTGTACACAAGTGGAAGTACAGGAATTCCAAAGGGGATTGTGCATACGGTAGGAGGATACCTAGTGTATGCAGCTCTTACTTCCAAGACATGTTTTGACCTTCGAAAAGAAGATGTTTTTGCTTGCACAGCAGACATAGGATGGATTACAGGCCATACATATGTAATTTATGGCCCGCTGTTGAATGGGGTCACAACAGTTGTGTTTGGGGGGACGCCGTTCTATCCTTCGTACTTCAGACTTTTCAAAATGGTTGAAAAACACAAGATAACACAGCTGTATACAGCTCCAACTGTAATCAGGACATTAAGGAAGTATTTTTCGACGAATCCGCTGGATCATGGGTGCGATCTGTCTTCATTACGAATTCTTGGTTCTGTCGGAGAGCCTATAAACAAGAATGCTTACCTATGGTTTAAGGAAAACTTTAACAAGTGCTCCATTGTCGATACTTATTGGCAAACTGAATCTGGAGGGATTCTGATTGCTCCTATTCCATATGTTGTTGACGGAAAGCCTGAATGTGCATGCCTTCCATTTTTGGGCCAGGAAGTTGTTATTGCAGGCAAGGATTCGAAAGAGGATCATGTTATTGAAGCAAAACCTTATGAGCTTGGGCGTGTTCTTTTAAGAAGATCTTGGCCAGGAATCGCTAGAGGAATTCTAGGAGATCTAGAGAGGTTCAAAAGAGTATACTTCTTCTATAAGGGGTTTTACTTTACTGGAGATGAGGGATACAAAGATGCTGATGGGCACGTATGGATAAGGGGAAGGGCAGACGATGTGATAAATGTCTCGGGACATCGGATCAGCACAGCAGAGGTTGAGAGTGCAGCATGCATGGATCCCTACATAGCCGAGGCAGCAGCTGTTGCCGAAAACGATGAAATCACCGGCCAGGCGCTTTGTTTTTTCGTAGTTTTGAAGGATAAGGAAACACCACAGGATAAAGTAAAAGCGTCTCTGAAGGAAACTCTGCGAAACAAGGTCGGAAAGTTTGTTAATCCCAAGGACGTTTACTTCTGCGAGGGGATTCCTAAGACTGCGACTGGAAAGATCATGAGAAGGGTTTTGAAAAATATCTTGGCTGGAGACTCACTTGGAGATATGTCGACCTGCACCAATGTAGATGTTATCGAGGGTTTGAAAGATCTCGTCTCTCCAAAGGCAAATTAAACTTCCATCAACTATTTGGAAAAGTCTTGATTGATAGCTATAATACCTTGATTTGTTTAGGGCATGAAGACAATTAATGATGTAGACATCGAAGGAAAATCTGTATTTCTCCGAGCAGACCTCAATGTCCCCTTGTCCAACTCTACAGTTTTAAATAATTTTAAGATAGTTTCTGTGCTACCAACAATCCGTCTCCTTTACTCCAAAAACCCCAAAAGGGTGATCATTGGAAGCCATTTCGGAAGACCCCGGGGGAAATACTCCAGGGATCTTTCTCTCCAACCCGTGTACCGGGCACTAAAAGAACTTCTTAGTAAGGAGCTTGGAATAGACCTGATTTTCTGCGATCTATGGGATGTTGGAAGTATAGAAGATGCATGGGTATTGGTGGAGAACCTAAGGTTTTATTACGGCGAGGAAGAAAGTGATGACCAAAATACCGTCCGTTGCTACAGGAATGTTTTTGTGAACAATATGGACATTGCAGTCATAGACGCATTTGGATGTCTTCATAGAAAGTGTGGATCTATACAAAGGACAGGATTGCCTTCGTACTCAGGGCTTTTAGTCCAGAAGGAGCTGGTCTCTGCAAGAGAAATAATGAGAGAAAATATAGATCTTATGATACTAGGAGGGAAAAAGGCGTCTGATAAGATCAAACTGCTCAAGTCTTTGGGAGAAAGGACTAGGAGCTTGTTTATTACTGGAGGATTGGCATTCCCATTTATTAAATATATATTTGGAAGGGAAGTTGGAAAGAGCATCTGCTCAGACGTTTCCGAAGAAGAAGTAAAGAGTATATATGAGATCTGTAGAAAGTACGGAACAAATATAGTCCTTCCCATTGACTTTGTTGTTCTCTCTGGCGGAAAGATATGCATAACCAATGGCATACCTTCTGAGGGAAATGCAATGGACATAGGGCCTGGGACTGTGGAACTGTTGAGGAAGGAAGTATCTAAGGCTCGGGTAGTCTTTTGGAACGGACCTCCAGGAGTGTTTGAGGAAAAAGACTTTTCCGAAGGGACAAAAGCTCTAGTGAGCATTCTGGAGAGTCTAAAGAAAGAAGAGAAGAAATCCTTTTGTGGAGGAGGAGAGACTGTAGGTGCAATTAAGTTGTTTGGAAACTATGACAACTTTACTTATGTGTCTACAGGGGGAGGAGCACTGATGAAGCTGCTGAGTGGGGAAAATCTTCCCGGCCTTGACTTCCTCTCAAACCAACCTTGAGTCTAAAATCAAACTAAGTAGGCTATCCCAAGACATTCTTGGAGTTAATGATCCAGGCATCGTTCTGAGAAAGATCATAGGATACGAAAGACATTTCGTCCCTAAAGCTAGGACAGGAAATGAATAATGTACCTTCTACTGGCACAACAAACGGATATAGATCCTGGCCTACAACAAACACATCAGGAATGGTATCAATGTCTAGATTCGAGATCCCAAATGGATTGAAGCTGTATTGCGACAGAACAACTCTGGCAAAAGAATCTACATAATTCTTCCCAATAAAAGTTCCTTTTTCCTTGTATCTAAACAAATCATCTCTAATAACTCCGATTGAGAAATTATCGGTCTCAAGTTTAAATGGGTTGCTTGCTGCCTTAATAATCTTACTGTATTCCTCCGGCACCTCTATCTCCTTTGGAAGAAAGGAAGGATAGACATCATCGGCATCTGGGCACAGAATGATATCTGGAATGGATCCAAGTGCGTTGTTCGGCCTAAGTCCATTCATAAAGCTGGTGTAGGAAATACCAGATGATTTCCCAGAACAAAGCTTCCCCATTAGCACAACAACACCTGTTGGAATCTTGTTTAGAATCTTTCTCAAGGTTGTTCCGTTGGCTTCATTCATATGGAAGTCTGAAAAAAATAACACCTTAAGATCTCTCCTCTCCTCTTTAGCTTTCTTCGAGGTCTTCTCTATACTGGGGAGATGCACTCTAGACATTACAAATCTGTCTCCTGTTTTTCTTCCCTCCATAGCTACAAAGATGTTATCACATAGAAACACATCTTCATGACACTCGCTTGTATCGATAGGAATTATGTCCCCATCATCCTCCAAAACCTCTCTTCCGTTTCTGTCCTTGTAATAACATCCAAAGATAGTGGCATGGTCCTCGTCCAACAAATATATAGGCGTGACTACTCTTTCTATCTTCTGGAGAAGATGTCTATACTTCAATAGATCGTTCTTCTCCTTGAAATTCTGGCTTAAGACATTATAGACGTCCTTCCGGGTGTCCAGAGACTCGATAATCTCTCGGATTAGACCTAGGTCTGCAAGCTTCGGTCCGCTTCTCCTCTTGTACTCAATCGATATGTTTTCCAGCATTGAATCATTCTTGATATTGTGTTCCAAATATTCCAACGTCTCAGAAGAAAGCATTATTCCTTTCTTGCAGGTAAATTCCTTGTAGATACTTTCTCTCATTCCTCCAGGGGAAATTTTCTCAGTCCTTCACAATCTTGCCAAATAGTTTTATTTAGATTTCTTAGACTCCATTTGCATCTGCTCCCTCAGTCCGTTGTATTTGTCTAGAAGGCTAAAATACTCGTTTTGGTTGTTCTTCAGCTGCTTTATCAAGATGTCTCCAGACAAAATCTTTTTCTTCAGATCTCCAATCTCTGCTTCCAATTCCTCTATCTTTTCGCTTTTCTTTGTATTTTCTTCCAAAATCTTCTCAACATATTTCTTCTGATTCATCGACTGCTTCCTGAGGAGATGTGCAGACTCCTCTTCTTTAAAGAGCAGGCACATCGTTCTAGTGAACATCCGAAATATAATTCCCAGAAACAAGGTAAATCCCGTCAGATACATGTTTCTCTCTGCCTGGTATAGTACGAAAGGATTGATGTGATCCTCTCCCGTATAGATCTTATATGCCGAGTCCACAAACATTATGAGTATCATTGCAAACAGAACATAGATTATATGAAGAAACCCTCTGTAAAGCTTCGACGTTGGAAAAAGCCTTATCATTCTCTTTTTGAGGTTCTTTGATATCGGAAGCAGCATAAACGTGAACATGCACATTTCTCCAAAAAGAATACTTTGCACAAGTTGTGTGGTAATCCCCATGTTGTTTAAGTAATCTGGAAAAAATAAACCTGGACTATGAAACATCTCGGCAAACAAATAGTTTAATACTTCACTCATCCCCCGTAAGGTTCATGTCTTCAATAAGACCTCTTCTTAATGCAATCAGTTCGTTCCTCACTCTTTGTGTAGATAAATACAAGTCCTTATAGGCTCCTATTTTCATTTTGATCTTATTCAGTAATGCCTCGCATATTACATTTCTCAACCTTTCTATTTTCTTTGTTTCCAAATCCTTCTGCTCTCTTGCCTTTTCCTTTCCTGCGTCTAATATACGCTGAACAACCACGTCTTGTGAGCATTGGCCGATATCCTTGATAGCAATCCGTGCACATTCAGATGCAACCTTTGGATGGACAATTCCACATATGAAGGCAATAATGCACATAATCGGATTCTCGGCCGTCTCAAATAGCCTTCCAACAGAAAGATCTGCCTTTGAAAATGTGTTCTCCAGTATTGGAAGCCGAAGGAAATGAAATATACATTGCTCTTTTGTCTTGGTTTCTACATGCTGACTTACCAAATTCCACTCATCTCCGAACTTATTGATTCCCTCCAACAGAAGAAACTCCTCTTTTTTGGACCACATGTTTTTAACCAGAGATTCGGTAATGGGGAGAAAGTCCGATCTTAGAATAGTTGCTGGGTAGACTCCATTATCAATGCATTCCGAGCATCTAAATACTAAAGACCTTGTGAAAAATGATGCCTTTTCCCCACAGTTACACATAGATCCTTCCAAATGTCTTTTTATATCCACAATCTCTTCGGTGTCTCCTTCTTTAGAAGTCTCTTGCACAGAAATGCCATCCTCAATCTTGAAAGACTCAAGGTTTTTGATCTCCTTTACAATCATGCTTCTACAATTGATTAAACCCCACCTCTCTGAAAACGAAAAGATCTTAAGCATCCAGTACAGATCTATATCCACCAGTGTCAGGGCTTTCCCAACAGTCATCGGCCTGCACCCATTTTCATAACTATCGATTATTCTGTCTCTACTCTCCACATATTTTTCTTTCCCAACAGCCCGGATAACCTCATCCATGCTTGGAAGTTCTAATTGACTTACTTCGCCCTTCCTAAACCAGTCGGGGTGCTTCATCTGGTATGTTTCTGTGTCTACAAAGTCCAAAACCCCGCTTTTCATCCCAAATGCTTTGGATGTTTTCGGGGGATTTGCATTGGGTCTCTTCCTTCCATAGATCTCCTCGATCTCAACACTTTCTTGCAATGGGAAAATGTTTTCCATCCAGGGCTACACCCAAGGGAGTTAAAGAATAACAGAGTAATTTATTCTAGCTTGGCTATGGGAAGAAACATTCGCTTCAAAATATTTCCGAGTCGTCGACAGAGGAATAGTCATCGTCCATATGATCTTCCATGTCAATTCTATATCTTAAGATCCCTCCAATCCCTCCAAATCCTTCGGCAAATTGCGTTCCCTCCGCGCTCTTGTCGCTTACAAACATCAAAGTGCATCCAAAGCTCTTGTAGTTTTCGGCAATCCAGTCCACAAACAGCTCTTCGTCCTTGACATTCGTTAGATTCTCATAGACTATAAGCGTCTCCACAGCCCCCATCTCCAGGCATTGCATTGTTTCCTTCATCGTAAAACAAAACTTACCGCTCTCTGTGTTGATCTCATCAAAGAACTTCTGAAGCACCTTCTTTTCCTTGGACAGCTTTACGTCTTTAAGAATATCCTCGCATAGCTCGATGGCTTGATTCAGTCCTCCCTCTCCCCCATAGTTGGTATCAACCGTCTTTATCACCTTTATACGGTTGTCCAATGCCTGAGATAGCTCGTGCTTGAGATCAGACTGCCCTGCAAGTACAAGCCCCTCCACATTCATAATACAGTTCGTCAGAAACAGATTCCCTGCTATCTCTGCAACCTTTTTGACATAGGCATTCCTCTTTTCAACTCTAAGACGTGCAAATCTTACTGACGATTGCCCTCCTCGTCCATGTTTTTTTGGAAGATCCACATGTATTTGCTGCAGAATCGTCTTCACATTCCCCTGAAGAGTTGCAAACACAGTAGAATGCCCATCCATCACAATAAACCCGTACTTGGCCTCGTCTTCAAAAAGTGCCAAGAGATCGTCTACATGGAACTTCGAGTCACACATGTACAAGGATGTGTTCACAGGCTTGATAGGCTCAATCCCAACACTGACCTTCTTCTCCTTGTTCTGATCCATAAGAACAGTTCCAACAAATATCCCAAGGCCGTTCGGAGGTGTCTTGTTATACTGCTTCAGCTTACTTTGAGCAGAGGTGATAGCCCCAAGAACGCTTAGCCTGTTTACTCTTGACTTGATATTCGATGCAGTTCCATACTCATCCGTAAGCATCTTCGAAACCCTGGATATCTGATCCCTAGGAGGAATGATTATAGATATCATCGATGTCCCGTTTCCCCGACTGTCGCGAAGGTTCTTCAATAGCTTCTTCATCCTCCACATCTCCACTTCATCCAGCATCTCATGGGCAGCTGCAAATATTTTTATGCTTGGAAAATACTGCTACAGAATAATGAAAACACACTATTTTTTATTACGTTTACAAGCATTTATATCGATGAATACATCATCCGATTCTGGCTCGTCGGGAAGGTCCACATTCTCAAGCTTTTCCTTCTTATACTTCAATTCAGTTGCCTTTTGCAAAAGCCCTGTTATGACATCGCTGATTTCATTTTTCTCCTCCTCAGACTCCTTTTGCTCTTGCTCAGCCCTGTATATCCCTATTGTCTTGTCATAGTACTCTTTGCTTCTTTCAAAGTCCTGCAGAAACTCATAACAGTTTGCGAGGGACAAGTACACATCAGCATACTTGAAGCAGTCTTTTTCATATATCTTGTCCATAACTGCAACACACTCAACCAACTCGTGAAGTGCATCCCGAAACTCATTGTTTAGAAGGCAGATCTCTCCTTGAAGAAACCTTGTCCGTGCCAGCATCGAGTAGTCTTTCAATATATTGAAGGCATTCTTGCATATCTCCAGAAGATTCCATGCAATCTCCAGATCATCTTCTGCTCCCTTTCTCTCTTCTAGATTCAGCCCCTTCCTTCCACTGATCTTGGATATCTCCTCAATAAAAAACATATCCGAACTCTTGATAAGAGCATCCGCATACTCGATATAAAGATAAGGAACCTTCTCATCATCAGGATTCACTCCTTCAAGGATCTCACTGTATATTCCAATTCCATGCTCAAACTCGCCCTGGGCTATAGATGCTCGAGCCTCCGAAAGCAATGGAAAGGCTTCAGCAAGATCTTCCATACAAGGGAGAAAAAATTTCTTTATATCAATAGCTATTGTTCCGGAAGTATTCTTTTGGATCAAATCGGTGGAAGTCGCAATAGTATCTCCATCCTAGGGTAATGACAAGTCTTTCCTCGTCTCGGACTGCAAAGAGATACCCTTGGCCCTTTGCCCATCTCAGAAACTCGGAAAAGTCATCTTCGCTCTCAAAAACTTCTGTCTTTTGCAGAAGAAACCATAGTCTAGATATCTCGACTGACTTCTGTTCTAGTACAACAAAAGTTAGCACTAGAATTAGTCTTCGAAATTCCTCGGTCGGATGTGGATCTACATCATTTGAAGGCTCCAGTCTTCTAATGAAATACTTCTCTGCATCCATAGGATCAACAATCTCTACTTTGCTAATCCCAACGAGCTCAAGACCCAACTTTCTCAAATATTCTTTGGAGGCCTCTATGAGGACTATCACCTCCTTTATTCCAACTTTAAGCTGTGCTCGAACACTCTGCTTCCTTGTTGGAACAGACTTCCTATGATTTTCTATCAACATCCTTACAAACTCTCCAACCAAGGCTTCATTGTTGTTCATAAGAAAGGACGAAGCGGTTATTTTCCTAGCCATTTTTACCCACCGAAAATGCCTTCCAGCTTTGTGAGCCTAACTCCGCTCATAAGAACAGAAACTGGGATATACTGCCATCTTCTGGAAGTAGATAATGTAAAGATTCTGATAAATTGTGGAGCATCTTACACAATGGACATGTCTATCTATGCCCCTATCCTTCCCCAGATACTTTCCTGTGATGCCATCCTCTTGACAAGCTTCGGCATCAATTGTATCGGAGGCCTACCCTATATCCTGCAGAACAACTATTATAACAAAGTCTTTTCTTCGGTACCGGTTAAGGTTCTTGGGAAGATATGCCTGGACGAGCATCTAAGAGGAATGGGGTTGGAGGCAGAAGTAGACATTGGATGCTTTGAAAGGATATCGGAGATAAAGTATTCGCAACCAACGATGGTAAACGATGTCGAGATATGTGCATACAACTCTGGAAATTCCATTGGAGGATGCTTGTACAAGATAAGCAAAGGCGCAGAGAAAATTGTTGTTGGGTTCAATGCAAACCATCGAAAGGAGAACCATCTTGATGGGATGGGATTTGCTGGAGTGGGAGATTGCAGTCTGTGTGTGTTTAATGGAAATCACGTTCTGGCCGAGAACATCTCGATTGCGAAGAGAGACAATATGTTCAGAGAAGCGATTGGAAGCGCCCTTGATTTGGGAAGAAAAGTGATTTTGCCAGTGAAGTATTCACGATTTCTTGAGGTTGCTTTGATACTCAACAGTTTTATGGGGCAAAGAAGTGAAAAGATTGCATGCCTGTCATACTTTGGGCAGAGATTTGTAGAAAGAGCAAAGTCGATGATAGAGTGGGCTGGAGAGAAGGTCTCCTCCATGTTTTCTGAAGAGAAGATCAACCCATTTGAATTTGAAAAAATCGAGTTTATAGGACATTATCGGGATGTTTCTGAATTTGATGTTATAATTGTGATTGATGAGTATGTGCATGGAGGAATACTCACGACGGTTCTTCACAAGTTTAATGATGAGAACAATGTTGTTTTTCTCACAGATCCCAGGATGGAAGCCATTATCAAAAAAGAGTCGTTGGGGATGAAGTGGTATGACTTCAGGCTTGTGGAAAGGGTAAATGAGAAGAAAAGGGGGAATGGAGACATTGAGGCCTCTGTCATTATAGACGATGCACCTGATGCAAATGGAGCCGAGACACATTGGTCTGAAACGAGATATGAAGTATGGTGTGAAGGAGGAGATGAAGTCTTCCCGGCGGTATCAAGAAGGAGGGCATATGATGACTATGGGGAGTACATGGACAGATCATTGTTCGTAAGTGAGATTCTCTCTGCAGAAGAAATATCTGAGGAAAAGATGGAGAAGGAGGTGGTAGTAGAAGAAAGAGAGGTTGCAGGGGAAGGAATTGTTTTGAAATACAGAGTTGAAAAGATGGACTTGATGGGAATCTCGGATTTGAACTCTTGCAAGATGATAATAGAAACCATCTCTCCAAAGAAACTTGTATGCATTGGAGAGGATGAGGATACAGAGTGCTTCTTCTACCATACGTTCAAGTATATGCCGTGCTTTGAGGATGTATACATGTGTAGGAGCAAGATAATTCTGTCCTCCGATGTTTCTATGGGAATGGTGAAGCTAGATGAAGGATTCGACAGTCTGAACTACCAGATGATAGGGAATGACACGGTGGGGAGTTTCCGAGGAGTCAGGGATGGAGATGTGGTGAGATGCATTGGAAACGGCCCCGGGGTGATGATAGGGCATGTAGACATTAATGAGCTAAGAAGAATGATCATCGAAAGGAACATGAGGGTGGAGCAGGAGGAAAACGGGCTACTGGTTGAAGATTGTGTGTGGATTAGGATAAATGCAGACGGGCTAACGATAGATGGAAAAGACTCGGGAGTGTTTTATGCTGTTCGTGATGTTGTGTACATGAACTCGGCCTTCATATGAAGAGGCTTTTGAACATTAAATCCTGTGAATTTAGAGACTTACTTCTGTTGGCCCCAGATGTATCTTGAACTCCAGAACCTCTCAAGCAAGAACAGATACGAGAGGTATAGAAAGAGCGACACCATAGTGATTGACAACGGAACATACGAATGCAAGGCCGGATATTCTGGAGATGGACCGCAGATGGTCTTCAAAAACATTCTGTATCGCCACAAGACTGTGTCATCGATAGAAAGCTTCCAAGGGGCATCTCCTAAGACAATGTTTGATGGCGACGTTGTGACCAACTTTGAAGTTTTGGAGAATGTCATTGACGAAATTCTTGAGTATTTGAAGCCGGAGAAGCTGAAGAACCTGATATTTACAGAAAAGATATTTAATCCGACACACGAGGACCTTGTGAAATTCTTGTTCGATGTCTATGGATTCGAGAAGATACAGATTGGGGTGGATAGCTACTATTCGTATCTTTGGAATATGAGTGGGGAAGACTGCATGGTTGTGGACATGGCACATTCTGCAACCACATGCCTTGTCATCTGCGGAGGGCGGATCATGGACGTCTACAAGATCAACTTTGGAGGAAAGGCTGCAGGAGATTATCTCTCGGCACTGATGTTTAACAAATTTTTCAATGGGAAGAAGAACTATAAGGGTCTAATTCCATATTTGAGATGCTCTTTGGACTATAGGAGAGAGACAGTTCAGATCCTTGAGGAAATGAAGGTGGGAAACTATTCAAGAAATTACTTTCTGGATGAGGAGCTCGAGATGGTGAAGGAAAAGCCTGTAGATAAGAAACAGAAGATGTGTGCTGCACCTATGGTCTCTACCTCCATGCCTGAGATCGATATGTGTCTTCTTAACACTGCAGATGTTGATCTGGATCCGGAAGAGATTAAGGAGAAGAAGAAACAGAAAATCTTGTACCACTCCACTCTCCATAGACTCAAGACCCGGGTCGAGAAGTGCTTAGAGAAACTATCCTCTCATATTTTGTACATGGAAGACGAGAGAGAGAAACTAGAGGATCTTGAGGGATTCATTAGCAAGAAAAAAACGGAGCTTCAGGCACTCAAGAGGGAGCTGGAGATAAGGAGTAGGTTAAGAAGAGATGTTAAGAACAGAAAGACATATGAGTTTCAGGTTAGGTTTAAGGAGGGGGAATTGACTGCCGACGAGAAGACATTGGTTGAAAAAATAAGAGATGCCGAGGACTTAGACAAGGAAAATAAGATTCTGGAATCTTTGAAGAGCCTCATCCACCAGATAAAAGAACTAGATCCCTACTTTGAACCATATACAGCCGACACAGTTGACCTTCTTAGCGGCCATTTCATCGGAAGAATGAACGCAAACGTGGATCTCCTGAAGATTCCAGAGATAGTTTTTTCTCCTTCGATCATAGGACTAGACCAGATGGGGTTAACAGAGATAATGGAAGATGTTAGCAAAAAATATAGAGTGAAGAAGGTGCTATTAACAGGAGGTTTCTCTCAGATAAAGGATATCGATGTCCGCATAAGAAATGAAATGACAAGCATGTCGTTTGTGGGGGAGATCGAGGTTATAAAGGCCAAAGATCCTATAGGTGATTCGTTCCGAGGAGCAAGGATCTGCGAAGCATTCCCCACATATACTCTGGAGGAATACAACCGTTCAGGGATTGTCGGAGTATGTAGGATTCCTGGGGAAAAATCGACTCTGAATCCCAAGTCTTGAAATAAAACACATCTTGAACTACCTGAAGATAATTTTATTAACTTCTGCCTCAAACTCGTCCCTTATTGTTTGAAGCCTTGATGCAAAGCTATTATCTACAATTGTGGTATAGTCCTTTGAGCACAGAAGAACTCCCCCCACACCCTCTGGAACCATTTCCCTGATCTCCGAGTTTTTACACTCCTTTTCCACCACCTTCCTGTCCTTCTTGTTGCAATATACAATGAACTCCCCATCTATTTTCCTAGCACATTCAGCTATCAGAGAAGGATTAAGGGGTCTTGAGGAGCATATCTTCAGTGTCTCCCCATAGATTTCATCTAGAATTTTAACTTTTTCTTCAAGATACTTCTGATTGTACATGTTTATCAGCGAATTCTCTGCCATTACTTTTTTCTTCTCAATTTCTTTCTGTTTCAACAAAAATTCATTCTCTATTCGAGTTGTTTCCTCTTTAATTATTCTGGCCTTCTCGGCATTGTACTCCTGTGTAGCCTTTATCTTCATTTCCCTGATCTTCTCGTCTGCCTCATGGTTGATGAATGTCATCATCCTCTCTATGTCCTTACTCGGAACCCTGTCCATCTCCTCTGTTAAAGGGTATTGTTTTCACCCTATTTCAGGGACAGAACAGGAGTTCTATCACTCATCATCCCTAAAATTGATAGCGGTACTCCAAAAGAACTGCTTAATTAGATTTAAACATTTATTCTACTATCCTCAGACACCCTTGACAATCTGGACCACATCACTATCGTTTAGGATGTGCTCCTTCCCAACCTTTTGTGGATTGTGTTTGACCGAGGTCCCCCATACCAATGCATGTTTAAATTTGGCAAGAATCCCTCTATGTATTGCATTGCAGAAGTCCGCCACACTCCTCTTGCTACTCTTAAGAATAACAGGCTCTTCGTAGTCGATAGGCTCCCCTTTTGGCTTTGGGTATATCCTTACAAGATCAAGATAGTCCCACATCTTGGATAGAAGTGAGTCGAAGTTCCACCCCAAGTTTGCACACACTGGGACAGAATGGGGGATCTTATAAAGTAGATCCAATTCCTCTACACTGATCGAGTCAATCTTGTTCAGTACATATATGCAAGGAACATACTTCCTATTTCCTTCAATCACATCAATGAGATCATCGATTGTGCACGGCCCATTTGTTATAACTTCTGCATTTGACATTCTGAACTCCCCAAGAACAGCTTTTACCGTAGCAGCATCCAGGCTGTCTCCAATTAATGAAACTCCTCCCTTTTCTTTCTTTGTTATCTTAATTTTTGGAGGCTGCCTATTGAGTCTGATTCCAACTCCTTCAAGCTCCCTCTCAATCACCGCCTTATGGGACACAGGCTTAAGAACATCCAGGCATACTATAATCAACGAACATGTTCTTGCAACAGCCAAAACTTGCTTTCCCCTACCTTTTCCGTCCTTTGCCCCCTCAATTATTCCCGGAAGATCGAGGATCTGTATCTTTGCTCCGTTGTAGCTCAGCACTCCAGGAACTGTTGTTAGTGTAGTGAATTCGTATGCAGCAACCGCACTGAAGGTCCCTGTTAGCCTAGACATAAGAGTGCTCTTTCCAACACTCGGAAATCCCACAAAACCGACTCTTGCTATCCCTGTCTTTCCAACGTCAAACCCTCCTTCTCCTGACGATCCAGACTTCGGTGCAGATATTAGCTCTCTTCTCAGCTTGGCCAGCTTTGCCTTCAGAATCCCTAAATGATTGCTTGTGGCCTTGTTCTTCTGGGTTCTTGCCATCTCAGCCTCTATTTCCCTAATCTTGTCCAAGACGTTCATTAAGGGCCATAAGCTTTCTGTATATATCCAGAGATTTATAATTGTCCGTTAGATCCTTCGAATGAAGATAGTTGCCGAGTACGACATAAGACTGTCGAAAGAGACAGAGCCTATAGCATTTTACAAACTACCATGTACAGAAAGAAATCTTCGGATCCAAACAGTGCGCTGGAAGCGCCAATTCAAGTACTTGGAGATGGATATGAAGTTACCGAAGCCGGGACGAAGAATGCGAAGGACAGAAGAGAGGAAGACAAATATTATTACCTACGAAAGCTATGGATTCACACCATCCTCTATTCAATGGTATGGGAAGATAGACCACCTCAAGAAAACCATCATTCTGCGGCAAATAGAATGTATCCACCTATTCAATCCGAAGTTTGGGAGTTCCGAAATAGAGAAAGACCGCCAGGAGGCCGATGGATATCAGTTCAAGAGGGCAGAGACACGCGAAGAAAAGGAGCACAGAAGAAAGAACATAAACTTCTACATTAAGAAGATGAATCTCGAGGAGTTTGTTACAATGGAATACAGCAGGAAGGAGATGTCCCAGGAGTGCAGCAATTCCCACGACCTATCTGCGGTTGAAGACGATGTGAAGCCTGGAATGAAAATAAGGAGCTCTATAATTAATGCTAAAGTTGTCAATTTTTCTGAGCTTGCTCTACTTTACAAGGACCAGAACGCAATCAAGGCAGCATTATCGAGATACACCAACTTTATTAATGGAAGATACATACTTTCCAACATGTTTTATGAAAAGAGTCTGCACTGTATTCGAGATGGGATTCTGGAACTTTTCAAGGGTAGGGAAAGAGTCCTGTGTAAAGATGTGTATCTACTTGCAGGAGAGGAGAAGTTCTTGGTTGAAGAGCTCTGCAGAAGGGATGGGAAATATTTCCTACTCAGAGGTTTTAGCGAGGACACAAATAAGTGTGATGATGGCAGCATAGGGCAAGAAATACGCTTTATAGTGGAAAAGCACAAGCCTTGTTCGATCGAGGTTATCCAAGAGGAGATGCTGCTGGACCCTGATGCTATAAAGAGGAATCTGCCGGGAGATGTGGCGGTTCTGGCAAATGGAATGCTTGCGGTCTGCAAGGGAGATGATAAAAGAAAAAGAATAATAGAAATGCTGGTGGAAAAGAAAAGCTGGAAGAAGAGCGAAGTGTTAAGGATTGCACAAAACGAGTCTGGGGGGATTGAAGATTTCTTCTCTGTGTTCGGTGAGTACTGTGAGCTGAGGGGGAATGTGTGGAGCATCAAAGAATAATGTTCTGGGCCCTTGGCAAACTATTCGGGACTTGAAAACAAAAATTTGATCCCTGCCTGGATAGATTATGATGGAGTTTTGTAGGATTAATGAATTGAACAAAAGGATCCAAGAGCTTTATCATGCTATGCTTGCAGTGGTTCCGCTTGAAGGGATTGGAGAGCATCCGTTTGATTACTTCAAGGGAGAGGTTGGGCGGATAATTGATTCTGTAGATGTGGTTCTTAAGGAGATGGTCAATAAAAAGTTAGAATTGCAAAAAGAAATTGATGGAATGGTGAAGGAGATGATGAGGGACTGTACAGACATTGAGGTGTCTGTTCCCTCTATCCCTAATCTATGCAACCTGTATGTTCTCAAAGAATATGTGAGGAATGAAGCAGAGGGTATAATGATACTAAAGAAGGCAGTGGAGGGACGGATGGCAGCGATTATAGAAGAGATGGAGCTGGAGGCCTCCAATGTTGGGATGAAAAAAATTGACTGGATGGATATGGAGTGTGCTGGAGATAAGAAGGGTGTCTCACTAATGAATCTTCGGGAGCTTGAAATGCATCGGGATGTTTTGAGGAACAAAAGAGAGAGCATGGAGAGAAATAGGGATAGGTTGTACAGAGAGCTTTGCGTGTTTCTATCACAGTTGTCCAGAAGTGATCCCGAAGTGACTATAGATCAGAAGATCTTTATTCTTGAAAGACTTCATAGAAGATACAAGGAAGAAGTTGAAAAAAGGGACAAAGAGTTTAGAGGACTTGAGATGGAGATAAGAAGAAGAGAAGGGTATCTCGGGATCGCATGCAAGGATATTGAAATGGATTTGAGCGAGGCAAATTTAGAGATGATGAGGGACTACGAAAGGTATCTTCTGGAAGAACAGGAAAGACAACTTGATGAGATATACGAGAAGAAAAAAGGCTTGCTCAAGGAGCTTCTGGAAGTTTTTGGAGAAGATATGGAGGATTACAAGAGGACTGAAAAGGACATTGAAGAGATGTCAAAGATGATTGAAAAGCTAGAATCCAAGAAGGATCTCTTCCTGTCGATAAGCTCACTGATGGAGAAAAGGTCTGAGCTTATTAGCAAGATGAATGAATTTGAGAAGATAGCGTCGGATCCAAAGAGGTTGTTTAGGTCGTCTTTGCAGCTCTTGAGTGAGGAGAAGTTCAGGAACAGCGCATATCCAAATCTAATAAGGATTGAGGAGACGATGTTCAAGCTTCTGGACGAATATGAAAATAGGTTTGGAAAGTTGTTTAAGGATGGAGTAGACTTCAAGGGATCGCTAAGAGAAGAGATAGAAAATAGAATTGTAAACAAAACCGTGTTTATCAACAGGTTGGATTCGCCTTCCAGAAAGAGGAGATAGTGTTTTCAGAGTAAGGCCCATTCCTTTTCCCTGGACAATAGGTTCTTGGCCCCAATCTCAAATGGTGGAATATATCGACGAGTATTGGCGAAGAACATATGGCTCTACCTTGAGGCGTGTACAAAAAACCACCAGGAGTACATAAGTGATTATACTACAGCTAGGTCCCTGGATTCCCCACTGTGTATAGACAGGAGCAGTTATCTTAAGATTAAGAAGACTCTGTCTTATGGGAATGGTCCCTACAAGAGATACTATTTCGTTGTATTTATCTGTCTTGTGGAGGGCCATAAAGCCCGGGATGTTGTCTCCTCCTAGGATGCATCTTCCAACTTCCTTTGAAATTAATTCCATAAAGTCCTCCTGAGACTCCAAGACATCATTTAGATTCCAGCCGATTACTTCGGAAAGCCCCCTTGGGCTTTCGAAAAGAAGGCTTTTTGAGAAGCGAAGAATCTCCTTCATGGTTTGAAAGATTCTGCTTTCGATCTCTGCCAACCTCTTGGCCTCGTCCTGTGACTGGGCTGCATTGCGTTTTCCAGATGCAAGATCTCTTATGGTTGTCTTTAGATACTCTTCATTGTCTATAAGGATCTCGAAAACTGTGTTAACTGCGGAAAAGTACATTTCTCCGGTGACAGGCTTGTCTTCTCCAGAAACTATGTTTCCAAGTCTGCAGTTTTGAAATGCAACACCGGCAACTTGTCTATCCATTTGTCCTATTTCATACATTCCGTGATTTATCTTTCCAAAATAAAAAATATCTATGTTTCTCATTATAGCATACAGAGGGATCAATCTCATGGATCTGTCTATTTGTCCAGTAATGTTTATTTACTTTCTCAGGATGGATGATGCGATGTCATTTAAGATGACGGATGAAGGGATTCAGGGCACATCTTTCTGTTTGGCAATGGAGAGCAGTGAATAAACAGAGAAAAGGGATCCCTCTGATGGACATCAGGCAAATAGAGCTCCGGAGACAGCAGGCAAATATTTTGTTCAAGGAACAACGGATCGGCGAGGCACTGGACATTTACCAGAAGTCTCTTGCAGAAGCTATGAAATGTGTAGTGCCAGGCACTAGGAACTATCCCCTTGAGGAACAATTGTCTCTACTGACGTATAATATCTGCATAGTTTATTACAGGCAAAAGAACTTTCCCAAATCGCTTGTATTTGGACTTGAATCACTAAAGTATCTTGAAAACGACAAGACTCGAAACAAGATATGTGCAGTATACCTTCGGCTTGGGATGATACGGGAATACAAGGAAGTCTATGAAAGGATAATGGATAAGAGTTCTAGTCCTGAGATTTCCTCCCTGCTGAGCAGAATGAAGCTGGACAAGCAGACTGTTGAGAAGTATCTAGAAAGGTGCATAACACTGAAAAGACTACAGGAGCTATCTAAGGAAATATCTGAGGGGAAGGTCATACCGACGGACATATTGGAATCTATACTTGAGCAAGGAGAAAGTGTTTTTTTAGGTTGCGAAAATGTTGTATATGTTGAAAGCGATAAGGAGGTTTTGGTTTTTGGAGACACACATGGACAGTATTTTGACATTGTGGGAATCCTGAACAAGGTATTTGATGGAGACAGGGTGTTCATATTTAACGGAGACTACGTAGATAGAGGAGCACATTCGGTGGAGAATTTTGTTCTCCTGCTCTCGTTAAAGATCCTCTTTCCAAAGCGTTTTTACCTAACAAGAGGAAACCATGAACTTTTGGATATAAACAAGGTCTATGGCTTTTACGACGAAGTAAGAAGGAAATATCCGTTCAGCAGCAGTTCTATATACCAAAAGTTTCAGAATGTGTTCAAAGCACTGCCCATTTCGGTAATTGTTAATGAAAAGGTCTTCATAACACACGGGGGACTGCCAGGAGTGCCGACCAGGGTGGAAGATCTGCAGAAAGCCTACAGAATGACCGATTCACATGCAGATGAGCTGTTGAAAGGGTTTTTGTGGTCGGATCCAGAGGAAATAGAAGGAATAGAAGAGAGCAAAAGAAGAGCCGGTGTGGTTTTCGGGGCGGATGTGACAGAGCGCTTTTTGGAGATGAACAGATTGGATTTGTTGATTCGAAGCCACCAAGCTGTCGAAAATGGATACAAGGCACACCACGGAGGAAGACTTGTAACTGTATTTTCGGCACCTTACTATGAAGGCAGTGAGGAATTAGGTTCCTATCTTATTCTGAATCCTTCGGAAAGAGAAGGAGACCAAACTATCAGTGTGTCTGGTTTCACAAGATACAGAGTGGAAAGATTCGGAAGATCCAGCCACAAAGAAGTATTAAAGCTTCTGTGCGATTAAAGTTCTTTATTTCGAAGGCATATCTCAGACAAAGAAAAAAAGACAACCAGTGATTTGGGATTGGCAAGGCTCCTCTTGTGTGCTCTTGAATAATCCGAAACGTGTTTTGTATTAGAAAATGTATTTAATTTAGGGAAACAGATGATTGGGAGGATGAGGAATGAGTATGACTTATTGGACGAAAGAATCAGCAGATTCTGGCACCAAGCCTTCAAGGGAGCAGTGGAAGAGAGAATACTCCTGAAGGACCTGAATCTACCCCTTGCACGGATAAAACGGCTGATGAAGATTGAGGAGGGGGTCAGGATGGTTGCTTCAGAGGTCCCTGTCTTGTTTTCGATGATAACAGAAAAGTTCATTGAGGAGCTCACTCTTCGGGCCTGGATAAACACCGAGGAAAACAAGAGAAGGATACTACAGAAGTCTGATCTAACAGCTGCTGTGAAGACGTCCGAGATGTTTGACTTTCTTGTATATATTGTCCCAAGGAATGATCTTTTGCATCCTTTCAATCATCTAGTGCCCAACAAGGTGCATCATGGTGGAGAAGACTTTTCCGCCAGAGGAGATGCATATGTGAAGCAGCATGTGCTTGGAGAAAGGCAGATGATGGAAGACATGGCCGAGAAGATGGGGAATCCGCACCAGGGCTTTTATCCCCAGGAGCATCGGGTAGGGGATGAGGTTGCTAAATCCATGGCCAACTCTCATGCGGATGACTATAGAAGAGGGTTTGATATTCCCTTTGGTAGAGACATGTCTGCAGATATAGCACCAAGTTCCTTCAGATGATTTTTTATTAGAAAGTTTGTAATAAACTTAGTTATAGTTCTTTCCAGGAGCATCATTATTGCGAACTCTTATCTTTCTTCGAGTCACCTATGTGCTTGTCAATTATCTTAATTATCTCGGGAACAAGAATCTTCCTTGTCAGTTTCTTGCTTGCAGAATAGTATTCCAGGCCTTTGTACTCGATGCTCTTCATTTTGTTCCTTCCGACAATATCCTTCAGAAAAGGAAAGCTTGAAAAGATTATGTTCCTAACACCTTTGATCTTGGTTGCCACAAAGAAGAAGTCCAGGCCCATTGCCTTTCGGAAGCTTTCTATTTGAAGTTGCAAGGCCATCCCTGTCTTTCCCTCGGGGAGTCCCCTAATGTTCTTTCCTTCTCTATCTGCCCAATCCTCAAATGGGTACTTTACTGTCGATCCCCCGAAAAAGAACTTCTTGTGATGGAAGGCCTTAAAGTCCTTCTGAAGAATAAGATCTGTTCCATGTTCGCTATCATTTCTCCTGGCAAGCCTTAAAGCCCGTATCGTCTTCTTCAGCTCCTTCTTCTTCACGCCAGCCATTCTTTTCAGCTTTTTATATTCGGCTATATCGAAGATACTTGTGCGCCTTTTTAAGAATCCTGTATCCATCAGAATCGGAATAAGTAAGAGCTTAGCAAAAGCCGAGCAAAGCGCCTCTTTCTCCTCACCTTTCCGGCGCTTGTTCACCAGCTCTGCACAGTGGTTCTTTTTTGTCAGGTCCTCTCCAAGATATTTGGAAACCAATGTTGTTGCAGACCCGACGTCCAGATCGATATACATTCTTTTCGCAGGAGGAACATGCCCCGAAAGCATGTGGTGATCAATAACCAGCTCGACTTCACTATCATCAAACACCTCGGCAGGTTTGTTATGATCCGTGAGGAGAAGCTTGATCTTCTTCCCAGATATCGGATACTGCTTTCCCTCTAAGTCGAAATACGCTCCTACTTTTCTTGCCTTTGGTGAGAAATGTAGTGTTGGTTTAACAAGGAATATCAGATCGTCTACATCTATTCCAAATTCCCTACACACACACATAATTTCTCCTTTTGCCATGAAGACCTCCTTTCTCATATTGACAACATGAATAGCGTCTTCAGCATACGCCACCACCAATGAACTTATAAACGAGTCAAGATCACACGCCTCGTTTCCCATGGCAATCCTAAGTTCTCCGTGGAGAATTCGTTCTTTGTTGGTTGCAAAAAATGATTTCAGCCTTTCTTCCAGTAAGGTCATTGTTACTTCTTCTCAAGGACCTAATAAAAATAAATCTGAAACAAGAAGCAGCTCTCGAAAAATGCAGGTTTGTAGGATTCCTTTCTCCTTAATCCTTCGATTTCTCCTTTATGGGGTGACAGACTCCTTTATTCTCCTTACATCGATAAAAGATCTCAAGGCTGAAGAGACTCATGAGTTTTCTCACAGAGGAAGAGAAAAGAAGAATGTTGATTATGCAGATAGAGAAAACAGCTGAAGAAATCAGAAAGGGACAAAAACTTGGCATTTCACCAAACTACACACATTTTTTTGGCTTGAGATCATCAGGGATGTACTCGAAAATCTCGGTAAAATCCAAGGAAGGAATTGTGTGGGCTTGGTTTTTAATTGTAATGTTTTTGGTGTGCTCCACAGCCATACTGATTTTCATGAAAAAGTTTGATATCATCTAGTGGAAAGCTGTTTATGAAAATTTTGCTATCCCTGAGAATGGGAGCTGTTACAAAGAAGAGTAAGGAAAAGAAGCATGCAGAGCTTGAAAAGGTTGGAAAGTATGCAGAGGAATACCCCCTTGTTGCAGTGATTGAAAACCCAAGCATATCTAACGTCATACTCAAAAAGATTAGAGAGGACTTCAGTGGTGTATCCAGGATTCTGTTTGTGAGAAAGAAGATGGCAAGAGCGGTGTACAACATGCCTTCTATGCCAAAAGACTCCTTCTTCTTGATGTTTGGGGACACAGAAGCCATCGAAAGAGCCAAGACATACCAGTACGAGGATTTCCTCGAGAAAGGCGATGTTTGCCCTGCTCGGGTTGTCATAGAAAAGCAAGTGATAAGAAACAAAGAGATGATTGAGATTCTTCCTGTATCCATGAAGGACGAGCAAATGCAGTTGAAAGAGGACTATGTTGCTTGCGAGGCTGGAGAGGAGGTTGATGAGGTGAAGGCAAAGATCTTAAGGTTCTTTGGGAAGAGATTGAAAAAAAAGAACCTGGTTGTATTCGATGTAACCCCATCCTCCAGTCTTCTAAAAAAAACCACAAACGATTAAAAGATTTATTGCATTCCATCTCCAAAGAAGGATCTTTCAATTTCAAGCTCGACTTCCTTTTTTGGGATTTTTCCAAGGAGGTTCTGTCCTTTGACCTTGAAGTCACTTGCATAAAGAGAATTAAGAGGCTTTCCCTTGTATCCCTGAAGAAAGGCCCGGACCAGACTTTGAGCTCTTCTTGTCTGCGACTTCAGTACGTCCTCCTTTAGGTTTATGCATGTCGATTGATCTATTCCCAAGGTCTCGCTGAAGGCTTTTGGCCCGTCCTCCTGCTTTATGCATAAAGTAAGAGATGACACAATCGAGGAGTGTGCATTCTCGAGGGCTCCTGAGTTGTATGATACCATAAATAGATAAACAGCCCTGTATGTGTCAAATGGCCCGGTATGGATGTTGAATGTTTCAGACACCTTCTTTACGACTGTCGGATCATCTATTTGGAGAATTTCAACCAACTCGTTGATGTAAGGGCACAGTTTGTGCTCCCGGGAGGGGCCCGATGCGTGGGCAATCACATGGACCAAGGACTTCACACAGACAATAAGATCTCCCGGATCCTCCGAGACCCCCCATTCATTTACAAGTCGGCCAATCTCCTTCTGAATAAATGGGCCTTGGTTTTCCAAATAGCCCAGGAGATCTCTGTTAAAGCAAGAAGTATCTATAAGCGAATAGGTGTCCAAGTCAGAATAGATTCTTTGAAGTATCTCCTCAGGAACATCTCCCAACATCCTAAGGATGGCAAAACATCTATCAAACGGGCCTTTCTCCAAAAACGTTCTGTAGTAGGAGCTTGAAAGCCCTCGGAACTTCTCAGGACTTCTTTTGAGATAGAAGAAAAATCTCATAAGCTCGTCATATGACCAGTTTCCTGTAAATTTCTCCTCCCGCCCAAGTCTTATAAAACATTCTACAATAACCTCGTTGGTGTAGGTCTTGTCAGATACATTGCATCTGCTCAGTATATGTTCAAGCTGCGGAGCAGAGAGAGGGAACAGCTCCAGAATCCTAATGACCAGTTTGCAAGGCTCTTTTTCGCTAAGGTCAAAATATTGGATATAGTCGACAGCAGAAAAGTCTTTTCTATAGATCGCCAGTGAGCAGCACAGAACAGGGTCACTGAATGTTAGATCTTGGGGAACATTTGATGAATGCGAAGCCCCAAAAAGCTTCTTCAGGAAGTAAAGAGCCAGCTTTCTTCCAATGCAATCTCCATTGACACCTATAAAGCTTATCACAGACCTTGGATAATTCCTGCAGATGGCGTTGAACAACCCAAACACTTCTCCTTCAATCTCTGTCCTTTGTCTTTCGTCGATGCTAATGTAGATCGAAACAACCTCCGCTAGAACATCTCCAACTATTTCCTCCGATCCGTCCCGCCCAAAAAGCTTTGTCCAGAACTCAACAGATGCAGAAAAGGTGATCAAATCCTTCCGAAGGCCCTTAAAAACATACTCGTACATCTTCTTGACATTGCTTACTCGAGGCGCCTTGTCCTTCAGATTATTAAAACATATTATCATTCCATAGGAGATGTCCATCCTCGACGCAAGATCAATGACACTTTCTATATCAAGCATTTCCATCCCGTCATTGAGAAACTCGATAGTCTTTTCGGGAAATCCAGCCCCTCTTCTCAGTATTATGCTGCAGTCAAAGGTCCGAGGCATCATCTTAAGGGACTCCGTCAAAATCGGAATGATGTGCTCTGCCATCGAGTCATCAAACAAGGGCATGTATGCATTTGACATAACGCCACATCCTCTTTTCAGCTCGTCTTTTCTTTCTTCGTTAATCTCCTGGCTGTAGTTGCACAGGTAGAGAAAGTTTTCCAGAATCTTATATCCCATTTCCTTCTTGTGGGAGAGAAGATCAATAATGATCGAGAAAAACTGGGGAAAAGTAGAAGGCCACTCATAAATCCCAAGAAGGGCAAATACCTGTGCCGCCTTATCAGACTCGTTGCTTTGGACAAGGCCGGCCATAAAGCCCATCTCCTCTTCTAGAGAAATCCCTGCCATCTTCTTGCTTCTAACTCGCTGCTCAATAACCTTCAGAGCATAAAACTTGACCTCTGGAATTGCAGAGGCCATCAGCTCCTTGGCTGGAGCGAGATCTTCCGAGCTCACACATCTCTGTATTTCCCTTTCTATCTCTGGCATTGCCGATGGATCGTCTTTTAGCCTAACAAACAGGTCTTCTAGCCTCATTTCTTGAGGAGGGCGACGGAATAGTAAATTTTATCAATCACGGACAATCATTCCTCCAAAAGAGTTCTGTGCACCTTTCAGAGCCGTCATCCCTAATTGGAAAGTGCCGGGCGCCAAATGGACCTTCTCCGACAAAAACGTCATAGCTTCCAAATCCAGCTCACAAATCTATTGGACCATCTGAACAGAATGGTTTTAAGTGTTTTAGAGTGCTTCGCAAATGAACAACGACGTCCTATACGAGGTCATCAAGTATCTAGACTTTCCTGTGAGAGACAGAAAGGTGCAGGAAGCACAATTCAGCAGGATTAATTCCAGAAGAATGATGAGATTTAATAGAAACCTAGTTGAGAAAAAGCTATCAGACCGCCCCCATATTAACGATTTAAAAACATCCAACATATATAAGGAGAGTGGAGTAAACTTCGCAAAAATACACAGGGTGCTGTCGGATGTCTTCGGCCGAAGAGGATCTCCTCCATTTCAGAACATATCTTCCACCTTGGCAGGACTTGTAAAGGTAATGGACTTCAAGTTGAAGAAGATAATGCTGGCATCAAGAATAGGAGGGAAAAGGTAGAGTTCCAAAGATTTATTAAAAGCTTTTATGTAAGCTAGCCACTGTCGGTTATTTTGTGAAAATGTTTCCAAAAAGCCCAAACAAGATTAACATTACCACCACGGCTGCAATAAGAAAGTATTTGAAGTTCTTCCAGAACAGCTTCTTTTTGGCTTCCTCTGCTGCAGCCTTATGCTCCTCGGTAGTCTTTTCCAGTGTGAAGGTTTCCGATCTTAAGTTTGTTTCGAGGTCTCCGAGATCTCTTTGGGCCTTTAACTGCTCCTTGAGAGCTCCCTGAAGGTCTTCTACTTCCTTTTCTATTTTTTGAGTAACTTCGTCCCCCATTCCAAACAATCCTGTTGTTTAGTATATTTTTCCTTAAAGCCCCTTTTGCTTCAATATAAATAAACCTGCGGCAAGACAAGAGCCTGGGCCTTCAAAGCACTCAATTAGTTAGTCTCCTTAACTCCTTACAGCTTATCAAAAATGCTTTCGATTGCTTGGTAGTTCAACTTTCCGGAAATCCTTTTGTCCAAACTTCTGAACGCCTCAACAATAGATCCAAACTCCTCGTTTTTTCTTCTTCTCTTCCCCTTTTTGACACTACTTTTCGTCCTCTTCTCTCGCTCTCTCATGAACTCTCCATACATCTCTTCCCAGACAATCTCCCTTCTCTTGGTCTCCTCAGGCGAAAGGATGTTCCTCTCGATCTCCTCGGAGTCAGAGAGAATTTCGCTGTCCACACTGCTCTGTGGTGTCGAATAAGGAATCACCTCGCTACTTCCCGACTCACACTCCTGCTTCTTTGCCATCTCCATTCTCTTCATCTTAACTGCAGGCGGATCCTCCTCCTTCTCAATCCATGTTGCATTGAACTCCTCGATACTAAGGTTGGCACTCTCTGTATCTCCTATCTCCTTCAGCCTCTTGTTGATTGTACTCACAGAGACATGGACTATCTTTGCTATCTCGTATATACTTCTCTCCTCTCCCACTATCCGAGATGCAATCAGGAGTGCTGCTCCGCACAAGTTGTTTGGCCTTCTTCCAACAACAATCCAGTCCCTCTTCATCCTGCTTATCAGCCTTAGGGAAAGCCCCAGCACCTCGGTGCTTTCAAACCGCAGCCGAGACACAAACCGTGGCATATACAGAGATGGATCGATCAACGGAATGTCAATTCCAAGCATGTTTGTTATCTTCAGAAAACTCTTTCCTATCTTAAACACATCGATATGCAGTGCATTCGAAAAATCCATCAGCATGTGTGGTGTCCTCTCCTGTCTGCAGACAATGTATATGCAGGCACTCAGAGTGTACAAAATCGATTTCCCCTTGCTTAGATTGTACTGGAGAAGAAGCTTGTACCACCTGAACGAGCATTCCACGTGGTCAACCCCAAGCCCCAGAGATGCACATATACCGCTTATTGTGTTTTTGATGTAGTAACTGGAATCAACAAATCCGGTCCCCACATTTCGGGAATCCATCCCGACAATCTGCCCGTTCAATGTGGCTTTCGGTCCCTCTGTGTTGAAGTTCAGAGATGCAACAATTGCGTTCTCCTCCTGAACCATACCACACACTGTGCAGTAGACAGCTCCTTGTGCTGTGTCTTCCGCAAAATCCCCAGAGGAACAATTAGAACATATACCCATGGGCTACTCGAAAGAGAAGAACTAAAAATCTTGTCTTGCCCATATCAATTAAGAAGTACATTTAATACCGAAGATACAGTCTGTCACTCGTATTCTTTAAAGACATATAAGTTGCTCCACACACAGAAGTCCTTTACAAGTGCCCTGGGCTCCTTTAGAAACTCAACCTCTCTATGCTTCTTCTCCAAGATCTCGTTCAACTCCCCATCTCCAATCCTTATTCCCTTCCGAGCCTCTCCTCCAACAAGATCCACAGATTCAAGCTTATACTCTACCTCTCCCTTCTTGCTTTCCTTCTCCAAGCTCGACTTAACAAATTCTTTCGTAAACTCATCGAACATCACATCGTCCTCCACCACCTCCTTCTCAACCTCGTTCATATCGCTCAGGTTGCTTCCGTTTCTCATCACCATCCTCAGCTGTGCATTCTTCGGAAGGACTCGAAGGATGTGAAGAATAGACTCTTCGCTTCCCATGCTGTATCTATCGTTCAAGTAGTTTTTCATCGTGACCTGATACCTCAGAAACGACAAAAGCTCAGGAATTTGATACTCATACTCCTCATAAACCTCCTCCACAAGAATTCTGCACACTAGCTCGGGAACAATCTCTCTTCCATGTCTCTTTTTTATTCGACATCCCAGTTGCTCAATATAGTATCTCAAGATGTCTGTCAGAACATTTAGTGCTTGGTCTGCCGTCTTATCAAATCCACTCTGTGACAGCACCTCCACAACTGCAAGCTTCAGTATCTTAGTACTCATGTTTGATTTCATCTGAAATCCGAAGGAGTAATTTTTTATCCGACAAATCATGTGTCTATTTACCCATCAATTAACCAAAACCTTGGCCATGGAAATCCAGTCATTTGCCCAACTATTTCTCTCCCCTTACTCTTCTCCCAGGCTCTTCTTCATGGCCTCAAGCTCTTTAAGTAGGACTTCAAGTTGTAACTCAAATCTCTTTTGAAGAATCGGATTCAATGCACTTTCCATCTGCTTTCTCTTCTCCTCAACACTTTTCTCTAGACGTTCAAGCTCCTGGTTCTTTGGCTTCTCTTCCTTTTCATGCTTGGTCTCGGCAAAGGGGATTTTGGACTCTTCCGAACGTGCTTCAGAATAATCCACCAGCTTTTTCTCGATCTCTGCAGCCAGCATGTCCAGGTCATCAGACGTCTCTTTCTCCTCCTTTGTGATGACCTCAACCAGCCGGGCCCTCATGTCCTTTTCTAGAAGCTCCCCAACTTTCTTTTCAATCTCCTCAACATACTCGATCTTGCTATTTTTCTTCCGGAATCTTCTTGCCTTCGCATACTTCAGCGGTGGGCACAACCCACTCAGCTCATGAATCTCCCGCTCCCTCTCAAAGTCAAAATCTCCATGCGGGTATACAACCACAAGAGTGGATATGTCTGCCACCTTGTAGTGTTGTCTATTATCCATTGTCTTTTGTGATTCGACTATACATGGGAGTCTTACAATTATCCCCGGATACTTCTGTCCACCATACGACAAGACAACAGACTTTTCATTGCAAACCTCCAGTGTCGAGTTCTTGAGATCAACCTCATTCTTTATCGATTCATGAAGTCGGAGAATAAACTGCTGCTCCATCTTCCAGGGCCTTTATTTATGCCATTCGAAGAAGTTCCCACATCCATTGGGAGCCCCGATGAGGTCTTATATGAAGGACGGCCTGAGAATAGGATTCACCAAGGAGACTTCTACAGATCATATCGAGGCTCTACCTCTGGAGATAGCTAGGAAGTTTGAACTACTATCGGGAATCTGCGACAACAGGTCCATACAAGAGTTTCCTGCTGCGATAATTAAAGAGATAGTCGAAATGTGCAATGATTTAAGAGACCTCGCTCCTCACTATAACATGCCTGAGGAATATGTTGAGTATGTTAGAGAGAACAAGGATGTCCTGGGATACTTTGAGGAATCCGAGAACAATCTTAAAGGAGAGGAAATGAGGATAATCAACAAGAGAAGGATATTCGATGTCTTTAGGAGTATGATGGAGAAAATGGAGGAGATGTAGAGTGTTTGATTCTGATGAAAGGCTTCCCGAGGTTATGGTTACAAATAAATCTTTTTATTACATGATAACTGGGAGGAATTCTGTGTTTCCTCTGTAGACAATTTTTTCAGAGAAGAAAGAAAAAAAGGAAAAACCCATGATGAAGGACCTTTTTGTAGGTAGTGAACCAAGCGAGGTGAAGGCCAACCGGCTCAAGAAGTACATGGAAAGCGGAAGATTCCTTGAAACTCTTTTTTTCCCACATGAGTTTTTGGAGTCACTAGTTTTATTTGCTATTCAGATACTCAACAGTACGGAACCTGAGAAAAAATCGTCATTTGTGTCTGGAGGGAATGAATCTCGCTACATTGTCCTCAGGCTTTTGAACAAGTTTTCGCTGAAAAGGATTAGGAATACAGGATTAGTGCATGCACTCCATTGTGTGCTTAGAAATGACAATCTCCCAAACGTGATTTTGTCACTGAAGGCATTAGGTTCTCTGAGCAGATCGGGGGTCATTGCAGGAGATCTGGTGGAGGTGCATGTTGGAGTCCTTCTTGGGATGGTTCACAACCTCTTTACAAACCTGGAAAGTGGAGAAGAAGGGCTCATTGAGATATCGCTATTTACTCTTACAGAGATGCTGACCCATGCCAGGGTTTTTTTCCGTGGGTTGGAGTACCATGCTGTGAAGATTGATCAATTTTTGGCCTGTGTGTATGGAAACATCAGAAGAGCTTTTGAAAACCGGAGATTCATGGATGGGATGATGCATAAAAGGACGTCTTCAATAAGCATGTGTTCTGGAATCTGTAGTCTCCTCAAGCTGACATATGAGCAGCTTCCTATTGTGTCGAAGTCAGGGCCTTATCATGTGTTTGCTTGTGAGGCAGCATTTGTTGGGATGTATTACTGTCCCTCCGATCTCCTGGACCTTAGGAAGGAGATCTACATGCTGTTTAGCAAGATGTGTATAGGAGACAAAGAGATGGTTCTTCCTATGATGGACAAAGTGTATATGGTTCCATTTCTTTTTTCTCCAGATGCACAGCCAATGAGCGTCAAGGGGATTGGAATGCTCTCTGAAATGCTCGTGCATGTTAAGGAGAACCTTAGCAAGGCAGCATACATGGAGTTTGGGTCGAAGGTATTCAATGTGCTTTTTTCAACCTGTTCTTCAATAAGGAGGCTATGCAAGGAAGTTCATGAGGGAGGAGAAGAAAGACAGAAATATCGGAGGAATGCAAGCGATATAATTAGCCAGGATATTGAAAGTCTCATAGTATGTCTAGGGGCGGTAGAGAACACATGCAAATGCTTTGGAGGCAGGACAGGAGATTCCGAAGAACTCAGCCACATTTATCTCAAGAGCTTTTACGATATAAGGAATGGATTTGAAGGAATCCAGGGATTAGTAAGACTGGGATGCGCAGGCAAGGAGGAGGAGTTGAAGAAGGTTGTAAAGAAATTTGTCTCTGGATTTCGAGAAGTGATTGGAAGAGCGGGAATCCTTGAAAAGTCTGGAAATGGGATTGTCTTTTCTGTACCCGAGATCAATATCCTGTATGAGATATTTGAGAGGTCTTTTGATGTATTTTTGCATGAGTGCCTGTGCCAAGAGCAGGACATTGAAGAGTTTTTCTCTGTGCTGTCTCTTGTTAGAGAGCACATTGGAAGCGATATAGTCAAATGCCTTTCAGAAAGAATTGTGGAGTACAGCAAGAAAAACGGGGAGTTCTTTGGGATATGGAGATTGATGAGCAGCTCTGTAATTTTGGGAAACACATTCTGTGGATATGTACTTCCACGAATGATCGAGGAGCTCGATAGAGAGGGATTTGAATTTGTCAAGAGGGCAATGAGATATATTGTTCCGTTTTTTGGAAACGATATAAAGAAGATAAAGCGAGTCAATACATTCTTCATGCACAGGATAATATCAACTCTGTTGGCAGCCAAGAGGATGGAAAACTTCGAAATTTTGCTGGAGATCTTCAACATGTTTGGATCGATGCCTGAGAAGAGCAGCTTTTTCCAGAAATACATCTTCGACAACTTCTCAAGGATAGTTTCTCATCTTATGAATCTTTATGAAGTTGAGGGAAAGAGCATATTTATAGAAATGATATTTTCCTTGCCAATAAGTATCAACCTACTTGAATCAGATATCCAATTTCTCATGAGACCTATTGAAGAGGCCTTAATGCTTCATGGGCCAGTAAGAACCAAGGCGCTGTCTATTCTTGTGTATGTTCTTGACTTTTCAACACCAGATAAGATTTCGGGTCTTGAGAAGACATGGCAAAACATTTTAAATAACGTAGCAGAGGGCTTGAAGGATAGCACAATGCTGTCGTTGTGTTCGAGAATACTGGGGAAGCTCAAGAGCTATCACAAGACGTTTGTAGTAGATGGGAAGATGTTTGAAGAGACAAACGAAGATTTAAAACTTATTAGGATAGTGGTGGATGGAAAGCATGCAGTTCCTGGGCATCTCTTGTTTTTCGATGCAGTGCAGAAGATAAGGGGGGCCTTTGAGCTGTCTGAAAAGAGCTTTGGGCCTTCTGGTGTTCTCACCAGGTTCAGGAGTCTAGGGCCCCGATGTGGAGATGGAGAAGCCAAAGGCGCAGCATTCAGACTAGTGGAGAAGGTGGTGTGCCATCTGATGGGATGGAACTCCTCTGGAAAGAACTTGATTCAGAATTATTACGAGTCTCTTCTGGAGGAGATGGAAGAGATAGGAAGCATTCCAGACACATTGGATTACATACACTCGGTTCATGGGGTTATCTCTTCGTTAGGCGGGAGGAAATGCTCGGACAGTCGGCATTTGGCCCAGTATGTCTACGATGCAATCCTCACGCTCTTCAGTTGCCATGGAACCCCTTTTGAAAAGAAAGCTCTGGAACTCCTTCATTCTATTTTTGGAGTCGTGATACTCCACAAGATATCTACTCTTCACAGGCCCAAGGGGAAGAGATACACGATTCTTCTTGACACAGACACATTCCTTGATGCACTTGTAGAGTCGTTTTGCGATACCGAGAACTCGATGCCTTTCAAGGTACTCTCTGTAATGTTTGTCCAGATGTACGAGATGTTTGGAAGGAAATGCGAATACTTCTGTGTTGAGATGTATAGGGCTGTTTTCTCCAAGCTCAAGGCCATGTGCAAGTCTTCGAACAAGAGATGTAGAGACGCTGGAATCAATGGAATCATATGTCTTGCAGCAACAATGCCTATTCGAGAGCTTGTGATGCTCCGAGTCCCGGAAGATTCGTTTTCATGTACATACCTTTATCTTCTTCCTCGGGGATCCGAAGATTTCTCTCTTCCCCTCCGGCTGGTTGTCTTTATCTTGAGATTCAGATACAAGGGAATTAGGAATTATTTGCTCTCCTCTGGAATGGAGAGGCACTTCATGATGTCGCATTTCAGACCGTTTGTTGCAGGCCTCTTTGATGGGAGAAAGGATGTTATGGACTTTTCCCAAGCTGTGTTGAGAGAAGTGTTCCAGAGCTATGGGCCTCGCCTACTGGAAAGACACAAGGACATGGTTTTTGGGTTTTTCAAGAAGGAATATGTAATAGGAAGCAGGGAAACAATGATAATGCACTTGAAAGTGTTTATTTTCTGCGTTCGAGAGGGCAAGTGTCCGTTTGACGATTGCGAGATGAAGTATCTTATCGAGAAGTTTCTGGATGGGATTGCAAGCAACGAGGAGTGGAGAGGAACTGGAGGGGTTTATATGGGCTTTGACCACTGTGAAAGAGACGAAAGCACAAACAACGAGGACTTTTGCAAGTGCAACAGATGCGGGAAGGGCGAAGAAGACACAGAGATTGTTCTAGGAGGGATCCATAAGAAGTTATCTTCGCTATCTATGAGGGATTTGATGGAAATTGCGCTTAAAAACAAAATGGATGTGGTTTGCGGAGATTGCAAGAAAAAGATCTACAGACATAAGGAGGAGTGGTCTCCTAGATTCAGTAACGAGGGGGAGGAGTTGATTTACTGGATAAGAGAGTTTTATTTGCTTGTCATTGAGTACAGGAAGTCCTTTGAGGAGATAAGAACAGCGGTTTTGTATTTATTGAGATATGTTTCGGACGATTCCTCGGATTACCTGCAGAAGGCACACAATATACGGCCGCAAGAGACAGAAGAGGTAATATCAGAGGAAGTGGAGAAGTGTCTGTCTGAGAAGGTCGACTACAAGATCCTCAACATGTTACTGTGTGCACATTCGATATCGGGGATTCGGGAGAATCCAAGGGTAGGGATGCTTGTTCTGAAGATTCTGAAAGAATTCAGGATTCCGAAAGAGTTTGCAATAATAGCACAGAATGACAGATACTCGATGCTGGCAAAGGCGTATGAAATAGGAATTAGACTGAAAAACCAGGAGGGGCTGTGCAACGAGATTCTGGAAACATACTTTGTACTTGACGGATATGCCAAGAGTTACACTTCCAGGATGTATCCTCGAATGATTAAGTATGTAGAGGATCTTGGATCACAGTTTGTAAGTTGTATGTTCCGAAGAATTCAAGACCCATCGGCTTACGAGTTGTGTTCACAGCTCTGCAAGGACTCGGCCAAGCTAAGAGAAATGGTGTTTGGAATGAAGGACAGACTTGCGGAGAGAATATCGCAAATATATTGCAGACTGGAAGGAAATGACTCCATAGAAAAGGATGTGTTTGTGTATTCGTATCGGTTTCTTGATCTTGCAGGGTATGAGATGAAGCCTGTCGACATTCAGGTTATTCTTGGGATTTATGCTGATGTGAAGACAAAGCCCAGACATGCTGTTGAAATGAGGGGGCTGATAAATAGATGCATCGACAGGTTTTCTCCAGAGAACCTCGAGACACTGTTCAACATAGACCCATGGTTTATGTCTGTGGATGGGATAGACCCGGGATATCTTACAGAGGGGCTTTCACCCTTGACTCTTAGGGGGATTATCCGGAGTATTGATAAGAGAAACAGACCCATGATTGAGAATTTGAGCCTATCTCTTGGAGAAAACAGACACATGCTGATTGAGATGTTTGTGGAGATGGGGATCAGGTCTGAGAAGCTTATTGGATACTGCAAGGAGAATCTACACATCACGAACCTTAGAGGGCTCCTGCTCTACTATCTATGCACATTCGAGCCCTTGCATGTCTATTTTGAACTCCTGTTCAAGCTCCCTTACGAAGACAGGAAGTACACGCTATACTGTCTAGAAAGGATTGTCGATGTTTTTGATCCTCTTCTCTTTGAAGAGATAATTCTGATTGTGCTGCGCTCTGAAGTAAGGTTCAAGACAAGTCTCTGTATTCTGTTTCCTCTACTTCTATCGAGGCCCAGTCTTATCAGCAAGAAGATTGTGCTTGAGCTTACAGGGTCGATCTATAAGCTTCTTGATTCAGAGAACTTCCCCCAGCAGAGAATGGGGTTTAAGCTGTTTGAAGTTCTATACAACAGGTGTCTATTAGGAGATGGATCGGGGAATATATGCAGAGAGTATGATTGGATCATAAGGAACATATACACTCTCATGTTTGTGAGGTTTATTCATATGGATCAGGACTTGGATGGAGATCTTCTTGAAAAGTACAATCTGGAGCTTGTTTTTGAGTTGGTGGAGTACTCTCCCAAGGAGCTAAATCTTAACAACATGTTCAGCTTTCTCGAAGCGGAGATTCTGAGCAAGAAGAATGAGGAGTACAAGATATGGTTTTTGAAAAGCATTGGAATGGCCATAGCGCCGTATTTCCGATCAAGGGCTTTGGGAATCAAGGTTATTGAGTATCTGGTGCGCATTGGGATGTGGAATTACAAGCTTCTTCGGGAGGAGCTGGGGGTTGTTGTGTACGACCCGAGCCTACTGTACAATCTCCTTTGCATGCTTTGTAGCAAAGCTGGTGAAAGAGCTGGTTTGGGATGCAAGGCTCATAGGGATGATGTAGAAAACATGGAGATATGCTTGATAGTGATAAGACATTTATTTGCAGAGTACAATAGAGAGAGAGGAGAAGCCAACCAGAAATATGTGGAGGAAGGACTTGAGAAGCTGTTCTATGTTTTATCTCTATACTCTGAAATGAAGAATATTGTGTGCTCGGTAACTAGGCTGTTCGTGGAAGCATTCAAGGACAATTCCTCTCGGATAGATCCATTAGTAAGCAAGATAAGTTTCTTGATGTCTGATTTCAGAACGTCGCTTGCAGACAAGATTGAAATGGCTTGTCTCTTGAGCAATCGAGGGCATGACAATGAGTTTCTTAGTGAGATGCTGCTTCCGGCCTTCAACAATTATCTCTACTCTGGAGTTACCTTTCCGTCAGGCCTGCAGAAGTTCTTTATGAAAGGAGTCAGTTCGAAAAACAGCATCTTGAGGAATGGATATCTAGATCTGATGAACCGCATTGTTCCTGTAAGCAAGTGGATGAGACTTAAGTATCTGCTGGAAATGGAATGGAAGCACAACGCAAAGATAGGATACACAATGACGGCGATGATGATCCTTTCTTGCCACACAGCAGAACTGGAGGCAGAAAAGTACTCGGAAATAAGACCGAGCAAGGATATTGAATATCCTTGGTCACGGGAGGGGATGAGATGCAAGGGAAATGTGAGCAGATGCAGTGGACTTGTTGCGAATCTTCTTGAAGATGTTGGCCTATACAGGTCCAAGGCGTCGAAGCCAGACCTCCTGGAAATTCTGTACCACTTCGACGATTCCCTACTTCCGGTGCTATCTGGAGTCTTAAGAACTACTGTATGTGGATTGGATTCCGAGAAATGTAAAAGCATATTCGAAGGCTTTGTGAAGTTCTGCTCGGAGGTTACAGGAGAAGGGAAACTTCTTGGAGCCCTTGTTAGGGGTCTTGGGCCTATATATAGACATGCAGATCTATATGAGCTTATTAAGGTATTCCGAGGAGGAGAGGGATGGTACACGCTACTGGAGTATGCAGATGATAGGCAGAAGACAGAGATATACAGGAGATTGATGAACTTGGATGAATACTTTGGAATGTCGCGGTCGGTGTGTATTTTTCCTGAGACGATGCAGGCATATTTCCTTCAGCAAGTGGGAAAGACCAAGGAAGCACAGGATCTCTATGAGGAGATCCAAGCCAGAGCAGGAAAGCACAAGATATCTTTTGACGAAAGGGAGTACAAGCTGTGGCAAGATGAGTGGGTGGCATGTGCAAAAGAACTGCAGCAATGGGATGTATGCTACGATGCAGGAGTGGAGATCGGGGATGGCTTGCTAAGTGGAGAATCGTTGTGGCATCTTTCGAACTTCACAAGCCAGAAGGCAGTGGAGAAACTCAAAAGCGTGATTGGCAAGGGAGTAGGATTTGAAAGAGAATTCCTCGATGTATTTGCAGATATATTTATGAAGTATTCGGCAGAGAGGATCAAGGGAATCCTAACAAAGAACATTGCAGAGCTCAGGAGTTACCCCGTAGGAAGTGGAGCAAACCTAAGAAATCTTATGTATCTGCAGATCATCATAGAAATGGTTGAGGCAGAGCCTATTTTTAACGACAAGATAGACTCGATAGAAGCATTGACATCGATATCCTTCCGATGGAAGGACAAGGAGCCGTCCATCTACAGCTCTTTTGCAGAATGGAGCCTCTTCAAGACATGGAGAAAACATGTATATTCGAGATTGGGAATGGGAGAGAAGATGTGTGGCAGAGAGATGGGATACAAGCAGCCAGAAAGAGGTTACACAGAGGAGATGGGAAATTCCTTGGGTAGAAAGCCTATAGCATCGCATTTGTTTTCTCCAAAAGAGATGAATGAGAACTATGCAAAGATAAAAAAGGAACTGGTGGCCCGAGGAACAAACGAATTGGCAAAGACTCTGAACATGTTTTCCAAGGCAGCCATCGACCATGGATACTATGATGTGGCTCTATTCCATCTTAAAGAAGTCTTTGACCTAAGCAGTGTAAAGGTAGGGGATGCCTTCCAGAAGGTTGTTTATGAGCTACTTTGCTTTCTCGGCAAGAAAGAGTACAAGATAGGAGCCGAGCAGTGCATGTCGGCAAACATACAACATTTCAGTGATACACAGAATTCGGTACTATTCAACATCAAGGGGCTGTTCAATGAGAAGCTTGGAAAGGCTTCGGATGCCGAAAAATTCTATTTGCAGTCTGCACAGATATGCAACACAGTTGGAGAAAACTGGCTCACATGGGCGAGTTTCTTGTTTGGTAGGATCGATGGAGATGCTCCAGAAGTAAAGGAAGACGTCTTTGTTGCTCTTCTACAAGCCATTACCTACTGCAACGGCCCAAATGCAAGGAAAGGAATTCTTAAGATGATTCTACTTATGGGAGAGCATTCCTCGCTCTGTGATGTGGAGTTGTTCCACAAGGTTCTTCAAGAGATTGACATCTCTCGATTTATATACTTTATTCCGCAACTGATTGGGCTACTGGAAAAGGAAGACTCAAGGTTGGTGCAAGCCATACTTGGCAAGATCTCGGAAGAGTATCCGCAAGCAGTGATAGGGCCCCTTAAGGCAGCTAAGGAAAGAATAAGAAGAAGCTTGGGGCTTGGAAAGGAAGATATAGAATGCAAGGTGGGGGAACACAAGGTAGAAGGTAGAAGTAGCGAAGATTCAAAGAGTCTTGGGACTGGACTGGTGACTGGAGAGAAGAACATGTTTTTGGAGAATGTTATGTGTATATACAACCGGATAAAAAACGCCCAACCAGGGAAAGAGTTCTGGAAGATCCTTCACTATCTTCACAATTCGCTGAACTCCTTCGCCTTTAAGGAGGAGGAGCTTGTGTATCTGGAGATCGAGAAGATCTTCAACAGTGCTGTGTCGCATGTTGTGCATGGGGCTGTTCCATCGGGCCTTGGCCATGCTAAGATTCTGAACGAGCTTATTTTCCAGGTTTCTGTTTCTTCCCTAAGCCGGAAACTCAAGGAAGAGCTTACATCTTCCATTCTCAAGATGAGGTGCATCTGCCCTCTTGAGAACATCGATGAAATGGTACGGTTCAAAAGTAAGGTGCAGAAGATTGTAGAAGAATCCTTCCATAGGATGGACAAGTCCGAGGAGTCTGAGGTGAATCTACTGCTATACAGATCCGACTACAAGCATCGAGTATTTGGACAATACTCGGAAATAAGAAGAAGTTACAAGAGCCTTGCGAGCATAGAGATGTTTGAGCCTCGGCAGCCCTACATGTACAGAAAAAGAATGGGATGCAATAGAATTCACCTGAGAGGAAGCGATGGGAAGATGTACAGATACGAGATGAAAGAGTTAAGGAAGATGAGGTTCTCTGAGTTTGTCCTTCCACAGATATCTTTGATGATTAACGAGGCGATGGGCGAGGACACCAACTTGCGAAGGAGAGGTGCGGAGTTGAGGTTGTTTGTTCCCTTTATTGCTAGTGAAGTTCTTGCATTGAAATGGATCAAGGAGCCTGTCTATTACATGGATAGTATATTGGAAGAGGGGCTAAGTAGATACAAGATGAACATTGATCAATGTGTGCTTCTTTATCTTGATCACTTTGCAACTATCTACGATGGGTTAGACTCAAGTCCAGGGCATTTCGAGAACAGATATCAGCTGGAGAAGGGACTCACTGCAAGCCTAAAGCCGAGGATTCAAGGAGACGAATGCCCCAATATAAGGAAGAAAAAAGGCTTTCTTGAAAGCAAGGAGTCGCAGGAGAACCTCATAAACAATGTTAGAATGGTTATTGAGAGGCAGAGGGAGAAGTACACAAGTGGTTTGAGACAGAACGAAGTCGAGTGTCTTGGATGCAATGAAAGAGGAGAGGGGATTTCTCCATGTACCTATAGATATGAAACCTCAAAGCGGCAAAGATACATGGCTTACGAGAAGGTATACAACACCTTCAAGAAAACTAGCTTTGTGGATGATTACTTCAAGCTTATTTATGGAAACCTGGGAGGATACTTCCGATTTAAAAACAAACTTCTTTCCAGTTATTCAGCCAACAGTGTCTTTTTGTACACGTTCTCTGTTGTAGACAGGAGGCCAAGAAACCTTGCCATCACCAAGACTACCGGCTGTTTTATGAATAGAGACGTCTGTTGCGAGGAAGCTGAGATATCGAGCAAAGGAAAGGGAATGGGGGCCATAGGACCAGGATACCAGAAGCTCTTTGGGAAAGAAGGGATAGAAGGCACAATGGTGTCTATTATGTATCATTATGCCGGGATGGTAAACAAGGGAGATTGGAGTAAGGATCTGGTGAAAGCTCTACTTGAAGGCAGGTTTATAGACATGACGGGAAAAGGACTCAAGGGAGCTCACAAGGAAATGCTAAGTAGAGTCTCTGAGATGATTGGAAAAGGCGAGGATGGGACCCATAATGTGATTCCGATGGTTAGTGAGTGGATGGACATGTTCAAGCTAGCACAGATTGATCCAAGACATATGTGCTGGATGTGATGACCAATTAAAGTCGATTTTTGTTTTCTAGGATTCTTCATCCAAAAGAATGGGTGGGTGATGACCCATGGATACTGTTCTGGTGAAGCTTGTGGATAGAAACCATGATGGGGCTGAACACAATCCCTTGCATGTGAGTACATCCTTTACCACCGAGGATCTTGAGCGCTATCTAAGATCTGTGCTTGGTGGAGATGGAGGCTATCGATTCTATATAGCAGGGCGGGGATTTGAAGGAAGTCTCCTGAAGGAAATCAGCTCAAGGGCTCTAGAGGTCGAAGAAGGACTGACTATTGAGTACGAGCTTGATCGGAATTATACACCTGATGTTTTAATAGAACTTGAGGATCTGGTGTCGTGTCTAACTGTGGTGAAAAGCAGGCAGCCGGAAGTATGGTGTGGGACCCATGGGGGGAGGCTGAAGATATATGCTTATCAGGATGGAGTAATCAACCTGATGAAAACAACAGACTACAGTAGAGTTCGGGGTGTTTCCCGTGAAGATGGTCTATATATCTACAATTCTGCAGGAGAGGTAGTGGAGTTTGAATCGGGAGATGTTCTGTTCAAGGTGGATGGAGATATAACCTGCATAGCCTCTTCTTCCAATGTGGTTTCTGTTGGAACACACGAGGGAGAGTGCTATGTGTTCAAAGAAGGACTTATGAAGGTACATAAGTTTAAGGCATACATATCGTCTACGGCTATGAATAAAGATGAGGCGATGTTTGTGTGTGCAGATGGAAATATAGGGGTCTTTGGAATCTCTACCAACACGTTCAAAACAAAGGACCTTGGGTATGGCGTAACTTCTTCGGATATGGGAGATGGCAAATATGTCTTTGGAACGTCATGCTCCGGTCTGGTTGTGGAAAATAAAGAAGAATCCACGTTTGTGAGTACAGGCATTAGATTTAGTAACAGGATAGCAATGTATAACGGTTGCATAGTTGCTCAGGCCTCCCAATATACAATATCTGTGGTAGATATTGGAGACCACCGAGAACTTCGGAGAATCACTGTGGATGAGTGTATCTCGGACATTGGATGGATAGAGAATCTTCTGATTGCCGGTGTCGGGTCCAGAATCCATGGATATATTATACACAACTTGGAATAGAAATTCTAGTTTATTTTGAATTCCTAGAGAGCAGCTGGAACAAACCTCTCAATAAAGCATCTTTGGCCTCTATATGTTATCAATGGGACTCCTGGAATTGTCTTTATTCTCTGCCTCAGAGCCGTATCCGAAGTTGCTACAATATAGCATCGATGTGCAGAAACTCTGTTGAAGATGCAGTCGTCTGCGTAAGTCCCCTTATGGTCGCATTCGAGCCTTTGGACATCGTCCCCTCTGATCAGTGCGAGTGCAACACGGAAGGGCCTCCCAAGCTTCTCCAGTTCTCCAACCACACATTCTGGAACACATATTTTGATGCTTGCATTCACTGTCTTCATTAGCTGTTCCCTGATGTTGTACTTCTTTCTTACACAGTCGTTGATGAAGTTTGTATCGAGAATGATATTATAAGGAGGCCTGAGCCTGTGGTTCAGTAGAAATCCTTCTGTGTTTCTTGGATTTTCACCGCCATCGTGAAGATTCTCAACAGGCCTTGTCTTTGCCTTCTTTCTATCCAAAATGTTAGCAACTCTCTTGCTTTTTATTGCATGCTTCACCCCCATCGGTCTCGAGAATACTAAGTTTTTTATCTAAATCGGATTCCCCTTCCTCCTCCGCTCTGCATCTGTCCTGATATATAGGCTCAAAATGCCCATGGGTGTAGAAAATGGAGATCTCGTGAGGATGGTCTCCATAAACATCCTCATTGTCTTTTGTGATATCTACAACATGAATTCGAACAGGTATACTTCCAGAAAGGGCACATATCTCCACACATCCGGCCTGCTGGTAGAAGGGATCTACAAATCTTGTGCAGTACTTACCCACGTCCATCTCCGGGATGTAGGGCTGATACTTGTCCGGATTCGACTTTATTTCTGTTGAAACAATAAGCCTTAGGTATGCAACACAATCATATAGTGAGTAAAGAGGAACATCTTCGATCTTTTTTGTCCCATTGGCTATGTCCACCAAGATTTCGACAAACGAATCATAAAACCCTTTGTATCCCAGCTCGTCTATATTATACAGGCAGAGGGCTTCATTCGTCTTATCAAATGCATCAATCAAAGTTCTTAATAGAACATCCTTTTCAGCAGCCAGGAGGTCTGCAAGCGCAACTGCATAGGAGATGTACAGGCAATTCCCATCCCGGATACATTCTCGGAACATTGTGTATGACTCCATGATTCTCTGAATCCGAGCTGTGTACAAGGGATCGTGGAAGTACTTATGTTCTATAAGGTTCTTCTTGGCGCTGGTGGATGCCTCCGTATTTGTTTTCTCGGCCATTGGAAAGGGGTAGAGGAAAGAAGGAAAATTGTTGATGATCTCGGCATAGGGAGCATCTCCAAGACTCCAACCAGCAGAATACTTCTAGGAGTTTTCGTTTTATCGGAAATATATGAAAACCCTTGAGGCATGAAAGGAAACAAACTGAAGAAGGAGTGCATTTCCATCTTCATGAATCTGGCAAAGACAACCCTTGGATCTGGGATACTAAGATATCCGTTTCTCTTCAAGACATATGGAGTTTGGTACACCATTCTTCTAACGTCTGTGTCTGCTCTGGCATCGCTTTTTGGGCTGTGGCTGTACATCGACTTGAACGACTTCTATGGCCTGGACAACTCGATGTCGACAATAGCAAGATACATATATCCTCCATTGCAGCCGATTGTGAATATAACTGTATGTCTCAAGTGCTTCTTGGTATGCACGGCATACCTTGTTCTACTCAAAAATAATCTTCCAGGAACAGTAAAAAGCATTTTTGGGCTGCAGAGCAGCTACCAGACCTTGTGCATGCTCGGGGTGGTTCTATGTGTGTTTCCATTTGTGTCCATGCACAAGATCGATAAGCTGAGGTATACTTCTTCGTTTGGGCTCTGTGCTGTCATAGGTCTTATGCTGTTGTCGGTATATAGATATGCAACAGCCGAGGATGTTCCTGTCTTTGAAGAGACAAAGGGAGGAAACTATCTGGGAGAGCTGGGGAGCTTTGTGTTTGGGTTTACTTGCCATCAGAACATATTTTCTGTGCAGAACGAAATGAAGGTGAACAACAAGACTGCGTTGAAGATGACTGTGTTTCTTATGCTAGTGGCGGCGTCCTCTGTATACATAACTTTTGGACTCACCAATTATCTTGTTCTTGGTAACGGGATGAAGGAGAACTTTTTCGAAAATATACCCGAGGGCATGAAGAGCATAATCTCTATGTTTTATTTTCTTGTTGTGATGATGTCCATTCCGCTGCAGACACACCCGTGCAGGAAGTACTTCCTCGATCTCTTTGACACAAGATACTCTACAGATGGAAAATACTGGCACTTAAGGTTTGTAACCAGCCTATTCATAATACTACTATCGTTTATAATTGCCATGAATGTGTCGAAGATGGAAAAACTATGCGAGATTGTGGGAGGAACCTTCTCGGCTCTCATGTGCTTTATATTTGGATCGCTGTACTACTTTATTGCCTTCTGGAACAGAGGATTTGAGGTGAAGAAAATACTGGCGTTCTTTGTCCTGGCATATGGTGTTGCGGCATTTGTCTCTCTGTTCCTTGCGCCATGATATGTCCAAAGCATTTACCAGAGGCCGGTTGGTAGGGGAGGCCCTTCCTTTTGATTTGTCTCCAGAGAGGTCCAAAGCCAATTCAACTATCAATAAACTAGTACCAGGTTTTTTCTGATAATACAATATGCCAATCCTAAAAGTACTTCTTCCTCGAATTCTAAAACACTCTGTTTCAGAACAAGGCCTGAAAATATAAATTCGCCAAGAACACTACTGCAGACATGAATGGCATCTTAAGCTTAGTTCTATTTGAATGGGCCATGTGCTTAGAAAAGGCTTTTAACCCTGTTCTCCCATCGACCGACTTTTATAAACCAAGCACAACATCTTCTGATAATGGACTTCTTGGGCCGAAGATTGAGGGATCGGCTGGTATTCATGATCCAGTGGCTTTTGGAGAAGGAAACTTCTACAAACTTCTGCATCCATCGATGACTCGACTAACCAGCTATCTGAACGACCACAGCTCGGAGTTCAGCGAATGGTATCGCTCTCCTAGCTTGATCATGGGCGAGGACCTTAAGGAAAAGATCATCTCTGGTCTGTACAAGGCCCAACCCAAGGATGACAAGGAGCTCAAGGAGTTCTGGGGTCTGATAATGGGAGAGCTTCTTATCAGAGACCTTCCGGAACTGAAGTCGGACCTTTCGAGCCTGAAGGAAATCCAGAACGAAGAGGATAAGAAGAAGAGCATAGCCGAGTTCAAGGGGATCAATGAGAAGAGGATCAACGAAGAAAACAACTTCTTTGGAACAGCATTGTTTATTCTAGATTGTCTTTCTCTCGGAGTAACCAACCGAAATGCAGAAATCTATCCCGATGTTATTGGGCCGTTCGTGGATGCAGCAATTGCCTTCAAGACTCTTGAGCATAGCTTTTCAAACATAATTGGATCTTCTAAATAGCTTAATTTGTGGGAAGCAAATAGGCTCTAATGAAGAATAAAATGTATATATGTGGTTTCGTGATATTAGTGGGTCCCTGCGGCCGGCCCGTCGAGGTGGCGTGGCCGAGCGGTCTAAGGCGGCAGACTTAAGATCTGCTATCGGAAGATGTCGTGGGTTCGAACCCCACCGCCACCATTCTTTTGTGTTTTTCCTCTCCTCAGAGTCCTGTCTCTGGACAATCTGCCAAAGACTTCCAAGTCTAAAAAACGAAAAGATTTAATAGAGAGTTATTGGTGATGTTTGATTGGTCTTGATCATCACTCCCTTCAAGCTTTGCGAGCCCTTCTTCAGGTATGAGATGAGCAGCCCCATCCCTGTCTTGATGTTTTCATATATGTGGTCTGTTTCCATTCCAGTATGGCCCACAGGAAACGAGGTAACTGCAAAGTCCTTGATACGGAGCTTGTAAGACCTTTTTGCCGTCTCAAATACCGTCTTGATATCGTCGTCGTTCTTAAGAATATAGGGTGTCTTTCCACACCGAAGAATGTTCTTGAGCTGGAAGACCTTGTTATATCCTGGGCAGAGGATAAAATACTTGTTCCTCTTCAGCACCTCGTCTCTCTTGGCTTTCTTGTTGTCTCCGCTGATCTCTTCAATAGACACATACGGTACCTCTGCATCAACACATGTCTGAACATGTGCCTCATCGGCAATCACAATTGTCTTGTCGAGTCTTCGCACCTTGTAGGGAAAGGCCATGTCCTTCGACAGTTTATTATCTTTCCTGGCATCATATCCCTTGAGATTCACTTGGATCTGGATCGTAGCTGTCTTCTCTGCATCCTCGTTTTCCTTCAGACGGTTGATAACCGAGATAATTCTCTTGGCCTCAAGAAATGCAAGTTGCTCCTCGCCTTGCTTGCTCATCTTACCCCTTGTAAAGGCAAAAATTTTTAAATCTTCTTCAGGATCCGAGAAAGATCCTTCTATTTAAACAGCTCTATGGCATTCTATTTTATTATGTCTGTGTTCTTGGAAATGAACATAGCCCATGGCATAGGCCCTGGTCACTTGTAATTACTGTAGCTACAGTGGATCTTGTAGTGTTGTAGCATATTGTCTTTTCTAGAGAACCTCTTGTTGCAGTCCTTGTTCAAGCACTTGAACGGCCTCAATCTGGTATGAACTATGTAGTGCCTTTTAATTCTACTCAAGGTAGGCAACTCCATAGTGCATCCCTCGTACGGGCAGACGTAGGACTTTACCCCATTCTTGGATTTATAAGGGAACATCGATGTTTCAAAGTCTGCAAAGCTTTCTATTCCTGCTTTCCTTGTATCGGAATCCTCCTGAGATACCGACAGCGACTCAGAATCCCTGGACTTCCTGCCCGCCTCAGGCTCCACTTTATTTACCTCTTCCAGCACTTCTCTCTTTCTTCTTTTTATCTCCCTTTTCTTCTCGTTGGCCTCTCTGTTCATCTCCAGGTGTCTGTTGATCCTTCCCCTGACAATCCTCCTCATCTCTTCCTCGGCCTCAAGAATAAGAAACCTTAAGGACATTAGCTTCTCGTCAAACTCCTCCGAATCTTCACTATGAACTGACCATTGGCTCTCAACCGACATAGGCGTGTTCAATCCGTCGCTGTTGTCGTTTCCATGGTATTGGGTGCGGCACTTCTTTTTGTCTCTAGGGTCTATGTCTTTATTATAAACACTTCCCCATGGGTAGCCTAGAGAAGAAAAGTCTCTGTTCCGCTTTCTCTTTTCTCCTCGATATCTGTTCCCTCCTCGTCCCAGCTCATAGAACCCTAGATAATTGCTATCGTTTTCATCTCTGCTTGATTCCTCGCTGAAGTCGAGCCTTCTTCGATTCATCTCCACTCTGTTCTTCAACATTTCTTCCTTTTCCCTCTATCGATTATATTTCCGTTCCATGATTAAGGAGTTGTACTCCTTATCTGCTATTGCCAATGGCAGGGCTCGGAACAACCATATTTCCACCCATCCTCCAAAGACTCGTAAAGAGTGCAGCCGTAAAAATTTGTAGAAACAAAGGCCTCACTCATGATATTTTCAATAGGAGACCAGAAAAAGAAATACGAGACAAGGGAGGATGTCTCAGGGGTGGTACAAGAAATAAAAAAGTCTCTGGACGAGCTTGTGGAGGTTGATCTGTCTGGAAACCATTTTTCCGAAGAGGCAATGGAAGAAATATGCCATGTCCTCAGGGATGCCAAGAACCTCCACGTGATCAATCTTTCCAGTGCGTTTCTGGGCCTTGACAAGGAGAAGCTGTACTCTAATCTCGCCATGCTTTCAAAAATGCTTGCCAATCACAAGATACAGAAGATTGACCTGAGCGACAATGCCATAAGCTCGGAGTTTCCCCCTGAGCTCGGGGAGTTTATTTCCTCGTCCACTGATTTGGTCCACTTGAAAATGAACAACTGTGGGCTTGGGAAGATCGGAGGGGGTAGGCTGGGAGAGTATCTTCTCAAGATAGCAGACAAGACCAAGCTGGAGGTGGTGGATATTGCCCAGAACAGGTTTTTCTCTTTTCCAAAGGAGCTTTCCGACGCACTGCTAGGATTCAAGAATATCAAGGAGCTTCGAATCCAGTACAATACAATCGAGGAAGAGACAATGCTTGAGTTCCTAAGGGCATTCCAGAGCCATTCTCTTGAGGTGCTTGACATAAGAGATAACTTCCTGTCTCTAGAAGGGTCCAGATACCTGGGGAGTCTTTATTGTGAATGGAATCTGAGGGAACTCAGGGTTGGAGACTGTATGATGGGAAACGAAGGAGTGAAGGATTTCCTCGAAAGAGCAAACAAGAAATTTGTGCCAATGGCCCTTCCTGGGGATTACGACGGCAAGAGGGAAAGAATTGCCCTCGATATATCGTACAATGAGTTTGAGCAAGATGCTGTTGAAATTCTCAAGGACTTCTGCAGTCGGAATATCATCAAGGAGCTCGTTGTGTTTGGAAACTACTACGACGACATAAGCGATATCATCGATATTGTTGAAAAGCAAGGAGGAGTTGTTATAACTGAGGAGCATACAGATCTGTCCAGCGACTCTGGGATGGAGATAGATGAGTCTGTGATTGAAGGGATTGCAGAGATGTAGGCGGCAGGGATTTGGCTGATCCTCTACAGGAATTCCTTAGTCTACGGTGTTGGAATAAATGGTTGTTCTGCCTAAGCGCTTCTTGTGTTGACTGGGAGTAATATCTGGAAATGTTTGGAAAATTGGACGATGAATAAAATGAAAACCCGTCTTTGGGGTAAGAAGAAGATTTCTGGATGATCAAAAAAGACGCAGAAGAGATTCTTATGGATCCTCTTGCAGGAAACATCATTGATGCAGAGGAAATAGTTGCAAGGAGCGAGATAAGGGATGAGCAAGCAAGAGTTTTGGAAGAGGAAAAGGAAGATGGAAGAAAAGGATCCAGATATAAAAGGCTGCAGACTGTCTTGGGAGAAGGGACATTCAAGAAGGTTTACAAAGCAGTTGACCAGGAGGAGGGGAAGGAGGTTGCATGGAATGAGATCAAAATCAACGAGAAGGGGCAGGACAGCAAAGAGAGGGCATTATTTGCCAATGAAATAGCACTCCTGAAGTCTATTTCACATCCTAACATCCTTCGGATCCTCGACTATTGGTTTACGGCTGACAGCTTTATATTTATCACGGAGCTGATGAGTGGAGGAACACTCCGGGAGTACATAGCAGAGATAGGGGATCTGAACGTCAAGCTTATAAAGAAGTGGGGAAGGAACATTCTTGAGGGACTTGTGTATCTTCACAGCCAGGATCCTCCGATTATCCACCGGGATATTAAGTGCGAAAACATCTTTGTGAATGCAGCTCTTGGAGAGGTGAAGATAGGAGATCTTGGGGTTGCCAAGGAAAGAAGGATGAAAAGATATACTGTTGTTGGAACTCCGCAGTTTATGGCAAGAGAAATGTTTGAGGGAGAAGGATATGGGGAGAAGATAGATGTGTATGCATTTGGGATGTGTTTGATTGAGATGGCAACGGGGGCGTATCCATATAGGGAATGCACTACGGCTGCAGAGGTCTACAAGGCAATTATACAAGGGGTTCCTCCTGTTGTCTTGAACTCTATCAAGGACGTATGTCTTAGGAATCTGATTATGAACTGCTTAGTCTCTGAAAAAGACAGGCTAAGGAGTGTGGATTGCTTGAAGCACCATTTCTTTGACAGTAGTAGCACATGCAATGGAGAATGCATTCCTGCTGAGTGCATGTCTGGAGTTCCTCTGACAGCACCTGCAAATGACATGGAAATAAGTTTTCTGTCATTCAAGGATAATGTAATTACATTTCAATTGTTTTTCATGAGCATGGCAAGGTTCATCAAGTTTGACTACGACCTCCAGTCAGACACTGTTGAGGATGTTGCAAATGAGATGCTGGAGGAGGAGGTAGTATCTGAGGATCAGAGAGACACGCTTCTTGGGCTTCTATCACGGGGAATTGAAAAGGCAAAGCAGCGGATTGAAGAGATGGAGTGTAAGAATACAGAAGAAGAGATGAAGAAGTTGAGCATAGATACAGAGAAGGAAAAGAGCAAGGCAGAAGGGCCGAAGAATGATTTCAACAAAATAACGGACAGAAATCTGAGTATAGAGGAGGTTGAATCGATGCTGGAGATAGATGTGAAGTTTTGCCAGGATGAGACCAGCCGTCTGTATACCTGGTCCAGAACGGTAAGAAATGGGGATTCGAAAGTGGGGGTGGAAATTGGATCTTCTCCAGACCATTCGCCAGAACTATTACCCAGCGAAGGAATAATGGAGGAACAGAAAAAGACTGGGGGAGGAAAGTGCTTCGACGAACTGGAGTGTCCCAATAGAAAATACGATGAAGATGTCTCTATTGAAGAGTTTGCAGCAGATGTTTCGGTTGCGACAAAGAGATCATCTGAAACAGTTACCAATTGGATAAAGGCATTCAAGTCGAATGATATCGACAGTGTGTTTGAACTAAAGATTCTTGTGGACGAGGACTGGGACAAGCTTGGGCTCACTGTTTTTTCGAGCCGAGCCATGAAGAACATGCTCTATGGAGTTGGCAAGATTCCTCTGAAGGAGAAGCAGCTTCCTACCAACACCTCGATCAAGGACTATGGAGGAGGGGTTGAGATCAAAGAGTTTCTCCATGAGATCGGGGCTATAGTTGGTAAGGACAAGTGTGTGTCTATCTGGGAAAGCAAACTTCTTGCACAGGATATTAGGACTGTCGAGGAGCTCCGATCGCTGCACCAGGACGACTGGGATAGACTGGGTCTATCTGTGTACTCGTGCAGGGTGATCAAGAATGTTATTTACAAAAAAGGAAGAGTAGTGCTTTGCTGAGCGACTAGCTGGCTCTTTACGATATTAAAGAACGGGTTTCTCCATAATCTATCTTGGGATTTTCGCAGTCTGTTATGTGGGAGGGATTTTGGAACTTTCTGGAGCAGGGAAGTTAAAAGAAAAGAAGGGTAGCCCATGAGAAGGATGAGCAAGAGCTATGATGTTATTCAGATTCCAGGAAGTATCAAGCACTCAGACCTTCCCGAGAGAATGGAGATTGGAAAGCCCTTTGAGATTAACGGAGACTTGTATATATGTGAGAAGAGGGGCGAAGGAATGATGAAGGTATGCTCTGAGAGCGAGGGAAGGACAAGCACGCCTGTCTTGAGTCGGGGGTTTTATGTAGTCCGGAGGATGTGAATATGTCAAACATATTTCATAAATGATTGAAGTCTATATAAGAAAGCTAAAAGAATAAACAACAATGAAGACAGAAATTAAAGACTTGTTTGAGAAGGACAAGAACAGAGCCAAGAAGCTGGCCAGAAAAGTTGATGTGGGAAAGGAGTTTATATACTATGACTTCTCGAAGACTCATATCACGGAGGAAATCATTGACAGATACTTGGAAAAGATGGATGGATTTGGAGAAAAAATAGAGGGAATGTTTAATGGAGAAAAGATAAACTATACCGAGGACCGGAAGGTTCTGCATGTGGCACTGAGGGATAAGGAAGTGCTGAGGGGGATTTCTGGAGAAGATGTGAAGCTGGACTCGGATCGTAAGATGGTTTATGACGAGTTGATGAAGATCAAAGGATTTGTAAAGGATTTCGATGAAGGAAAGATATGTGGAGTAACTGGGAAGAGGTTAGAAATGATTGTCAACATAGGAATTGGAGGAAGTGATCTTGGGCCCAGGATGGTGTGCGATGCACTTGAGTACTATGGAAGGAAGGGGATAAAGACTTACTTTATCTCAAACATCGATGCAACGAACACAATCAAGGTTTTTGAGAAGATTGACCCTGAAAGAGCTTTATTTATTGTGGTAAGTAAAACATTCACGACGCTTGAGACCATCAAGAATGCCGAGCTTTCAATGAGGTTTCTGGAGAAGAGGCTTGGTAAAGACAGAGCTGAGATTGCAAGTAAACATTTTGTTGCAGTGAGCTCGAATGTAGACGAAGTCAGGAAACACAACATTTCCCGTGTGTTTTCGATGTGGGACTTTGTTGGAGGAAGATTCTCCCTGTGGTCTGCAGTTGGGCTGTCAATAGTTCTCTACATTGGATTTGATAACTTCATATGTCTACTTAGAGGAGCTTCTGTTGTTGACGAATATTTCCGAAAGAGCCGGGGAAGGTCAAATGCTGAGATGATGCATGCGATTGTGGAGCTGTTCTATTCGGAGAGGGGATACAACAACAAGTGCCTTGTCTCCTATGACGAATACATGAGGAAATTCTATCTGTATCTCCAGCAAGCGGAGATGGAAAGTAATGGGAAACCATCGCAAAAAACAGACACAGGCTATATTATATGGGGAGGAAAAGGGACGGATGTTCAGCATTCGTTCTTCCAGTTGCTGCACCAAGGTACCAGGAAGATCTTGACGGAGCTTCTGATGCCTCTCAAACCTTTACATTCGGAGGAGGAGTACCATAGGATGGTTGTTGCAAATTGCTTGGCACAAAGCAGAGGCCTGATGATTGGAAAGGAAGATCCAAATCCAGAGAAGTCATTTGAAGGAGACAAACCAACCGTTACAGTCTGCTACTCTAAGCTCACGCCGGAGACACTTGGCGCCATGATAGCGCATTATGAGCATAAGATATTCATTCTGGGGCTATACTGGGGCATAAACTCCTTTGATCAGCCTGGAGTTACTCTGGGAAAGAAGATAGCCATTGAAGTGCTTGAGTCCTTTGATGAGAAGAAAGAGTCGGAGAAGTTTGATGAGTCGACAAACGAGATGTTATGCCTGATGAGGAGCTGCAAGAGGTGATCTAAGATGGGCTCACGAGGGTACTACCTTAATAAAATCCTCTCTTTGGTTTGTGTTCTTTGAGATTTGGTGAACGTTTTTTGGAGGAGAGGAAAACCCTTAATGTTTTCATTCAAGGAAAGGATGAAGACATTTGCTTCATGGCCTGAGAACTACGGTGTTGCAACGCCGGAGGGTCTTTCCATTGCAGGATTTATCTGCCTATCTACGGAAGAGAACAATCTGACGGTGGAGTGTGTGTATTGCAATAAGACACTGGAATGCTGGGAAAGGACAGACATGCCGGCAAAGGAGCACTACCTCCACATGAACAGCTGTCCACTTTTCAATGTGAACAGATTGGAGAGCAGGGTAAAGATGTTCAATGGATGGAGTCTCAAGGAGGCGAAGGCACTTGCAAGAATGGGGTTTGTTAAGTACAACCTTGGAGAGTCGGACTTTATCTTTTGCTATAAATGCGGATCGATCAACAGAAGCCATTTGTGTGAAAGAAAGAGAGGGCATCCATACAGCTTGGAGAAGCGTGGGAGTGTATTTTTTTACGACTTAATCGAAGGCATTTACAACAAAGAGCTGGTGAAGCTTACAGAGTACAATGTATATATTCCACAGCACACCAAAGAGTTTCTGAAAGAAGTTACCGGTGGTTGTTTGGGGTCGGTTTTTCGAAGTGTCGAGGATGTGATAGAAGAATACATGGGAAACAAGCTGTTTGAAATAGACAAGGCTATGAGCCATGATATCGAGAGAGCTCTTGATGAGGTGGTGGCGGGAATTGGAAAAAAAAGCCTGGGATGAGGATGTAGGCAATGATACGATCTTGGCCTGGGAAATTAGAGGTAAATTTTTTTTCGAGTCTACCCTTGTGAATGAAGGTAAGTGGACTTTGAAAGACTAATTTCAGTTAAACATAGCATATCCAACGAATGGTACACAGAAGATGTTTGAGATTGAAAGAAAGGTGGAATCAAGGCTTTACGACAAGAAGATAGGAGATCAGTTTGATGGGGGAATTCTCGGAGAAGAGTTTGAAGGAACAATTATGGAGATCACAGGAGGAGACGACTATCAGGGCTTTCCCATGGTAGGGGGGCACTTGACGAAGAAGAGAGTAAGGCCTCTTCTATCGAAGGGGGATACAGGATACCGATGCAGACGCAAGGGAGAGAGGCGGCGCAAAAGCGTCCGTGGATCGATTGTTTCTGAGCAGACCTGTGTACTGAGCCTGATAATTCTGCGAGCCGGGGAGAAGGAGATAGATGGGCTTACAAATGTTGTCAATGACGTTTCCCATCTTCCCAGGAAGGAGAAGAAGCTTAGGAAGATGTTTGGGATTCCTGCAGAGGAAGAAAACGTTGTGGGATACATCAGGAACATATTTAAGTCTGAATGTGAAGATCCAAAGAAGATACCCAAGATTCGGTGCAATGGAAAGAAAATAAGGAAGGAAAAAGAAAGAAGAGAGGAGGCTAGGAAGATCAGAGGAGAAAGAAGAAGAATATTGGAGGAGGAAAGGAAAGCATATCTTGAGAAGTACTTCAATAAAGCCTGATTTATTTTCTAGCAATTCTGTCTATGGTTCCAGGCCCCAGTCCTTGCACCATTCTGGGAGGTTGGCTACATACTCTATTCCATTATATGTGTATTTCCAAGCATGAAGGCAGATATAGTAGTCCTTAGTGACGAAAGACCTATTGTTTCTTCCTTTACAACTCCTTACCACATATTCGTATTTTCTTTTATCCTCAAAGCCACTTATCTCTGCATTGCAGGTGCTATCCCAAAGTGGCTGTGGCAACTCCCCATCCCCATACATGATGTCGTTTACAATTGGAAATCCTATACTTTGGAGATGAATTCTAATCTGGTGTGTGCGCCCGGTAATAGGCCTACATTCCACAAGCGAATGCCCATCTTTGTATGCTAGTCTTCTGAACAGTGTCAAGCATGCCTTTCCCTCGTCGCTAACATATCTGTGCTTTCCTTCGGCACATGAGATCTTCTTATCTACATCTATGCTGTCAGGAAATAGTCCTTGTACCTTTGCGAGGTAGATCTTTCTGGCTTCTCTGATTGCTTCCAAGCATTTAGAATGGTTTTTCACTGCAACAATCAAGACCCCGGACACAGGCATGTCCAGTCTGTTGATGCAGGCCACCTTCTTGTCCCCAAAGAGTGCTCTTGTGACCGAGTATTCTCTATAACCTCCGGTGGGGTGGCATGGCATCCCCGGAGGCTTGTTCACGACAACATAGTCTTGCTCCTCCCTTATTATATCTATTTCCGGATGTGCCGGCTCATGAATGTGGACTGTATGCCTTATGACATCTCCGATTCGGAGTATTCTTCCGGGTTCCACAATCTCTTCGTTAACTGTTACTGCCCCGCATTCCAACGCAGACAGAAAATAGTCCTTGGTTCTTGTTCTAAATTCCGAAGCAAGGACATCTATCACCGGTTTCTCACACCACCGTCCCTTAACGTTGGTTCTGAATGTGAAGAAGTATTCAGCCTCCCCTTTTGCCATCCCAGGGCTGTATTTTCGGCTTCAAGTCCTTGGCCTTGCCCACATGTCTATTTAATTCTTGGAGAAAAAAGCCTTTCCCATGAGGAACACAAACGAACTGGAGCTCTTGCAAATAACAAGTATAACCGCTCTGTCTCTGGTTGTCTATTCGTCTGGATACAGAAAAAGCATACTCAACGACTTTTTGTTCTACATAGTTCCCCAGTACTGTGCCGTGATGTTCCCAGACAGAATCTGGAGCACGTATCTTTGTTTAGCCATGCTCTTCAGATACTCACAAATCCAGAAATCTACAAACAGCAGTGAAAAAACTACGGTAATCGGATATTTAAGATTCACAATATCTCTTATAGTTGTGATTGCAATATACGGAGTGGACTTCTCGATATTTGACAGAAGACTTGGGAAGTCGGATTTTTTTGGAATCCAAATGATGGACATAGGTGTTGGAAGCTTCATTTATAATAGCGGGGTTGTGGGCTGGAAAGGAAGGCCTTTAAGAAGGTGCATAAGGTCCTACCTAGTTCTTGTTATCCTTGGGTTTGTAAGGTACTTTGTTGTTAAGTGGTTTAATATCCACGTAAATCCAAGAGAGTACGGAATCCACTTAAACTTTTACTTTATACTTGCAGCTGTGAGACTCATATGTTCACTGATAGGGTCCAGATACAACTTTCTTCTGGGACTCTTTTTAATAACAATCTACGAAGTCGTTCTCAAGTTCTCTGGGTTGGTGGGCTTTATCTTTTCTGATCAGAGGAAAACATTCCTGGAGATGAACAAGGAAGGACTAGTGGCGGTTATTCCATACACATCGATATTTTTGATGGCATCGGAGATTGGAAGAATATGCTCCTCCAAGGACAAGGTAAGAAGCAAGGGATTTCAAGTCCTGAGGATGTCGGGTATATTTGGATGTCTCTATGCAGTGTCGCAGCTCTCCAACGAAGGATCTAGAAGATTGGGAAATGCGGGGTTTGTGTTCTGGATACTTACCCTTCACACCTTGCATATGGGGATATACATGCTTTTTGAAAGTGTGATTGTCCTACACAATCCATTGACATCTATGTTCTGTAGTTCCAACATGATGTTTGTATTTTTGTTTTCAAACCTGATTGTCCTACTTGGAAACTTCTTTTATGATCTTGGGAGCTTTTCACCTCTAGTTGCACATCTGAACATTCTTTCCTATCTGGTGCTTGTGTTTTCGATTCCAGCTCTGTTGGCGAGTAGGTTTGACCTGCGCTGTGTGGGGCTGGGATACCGGTCCTGAAAAGAAATAAAAGCTTATTGGACCCTTTTGTTGGTATGAATAAAGAAGGCCATCGAATGGAACTGGAGGATGAAAGACATGCCATAATATTGGAGAATGTCTTCTATCTTCTTTGTGGGGTTGACACCACCCACTTAAGGATAGGAGTGAAGGACAAGAGGTATGCATTGATAGGAGACCCGACATATCCTCCTCAGCTTATTCTTCCGTTTGAATCGCTAGCAATCAATGTAAGAGTTCTCAACAAGTTTATATTGAAGTCACAGTATTCATCCGATACAATTCGAGAAATGGTAGGAGACTACTTTGAGGCTAAGATCGGCAAGTACTTGAAGGATCTTATGGGCCTTCGATGCCAAACACGGAGTATTGAGATGCTTATAGTGAGCCTTGGAAGCCGAGTCGAGGAGTTTGATGAGATGAAGGAAATTGTAGACGACATTAGGGACATGTCGGGAGTTCGGATACTGAACCATCTTAAGAAAAGAAGGGATAGAACTGTACATTTTCTAGGTCTTTATGATGATCTCATTAATCCTTGCATTCACCGAATAAGAGAAGAGGTGCAAGGTTGGGTTACAGAAGGGCTGATGCCGAGCAGTGAGTTTATGGTGAAGAAAAACGAGTGCTTGAATGAATTTACGGATTGTGTGTGGACACATTGGTATAGGATTGCCCAGGATAACGTGCCATACTTTTTGGAAGATCACAAGAACCTTATCTACAATTGTGGAAGGATAGTCAATCTCGGACGGATGATCCATGGGAAAAACATATTCCACAACTTGGCAGAGGAGTATGGGAATCTTGGGCTTACAGGGTTAAATTCATATCTGAACACACAGTTTTTAGAGTCACTTCGAAGTAGCCTTGAAAGGGAATTGGATGTAATGTATAGATATCTTCTGGTGAATGAGTCGTCTCTGTACTTAGACATTTTCGAAGAGTTAGGGGACGAGATGTTCTTCCCAAACGAAAGAACGGTTGCCAAGATGAATGCCATTCGAGAGTCGAAGAATGCGGAGGGCCTTATCTTTAGAAGATCGGATGTGCCCACCAACAAGTATATCCTGGAGATTTTGAATACCAAGATGGAGGCCTGCCAGGAAAGGCATCTTACTATGCTACAGCTCCTGACTGTCGAATACACTCCATCGATCCTCAGGAATTTCTTGTCACCAAGAACGGTTTCTGAGCTGGAGATAATTTTTAGGTTCCTATTTACACTTACTGGGTTGTCATACTACATGAGCAGATTCAAAGGGTTTTGGTTTGCAAGGATGGCGGCAATGGTTGTGGACAAATTCAGGTTTTCGATCCATTCAAGAATGAAGCCTGTTAGGGTAGAAAAGGATATGGATTACATAAGAGACTCCATGCTCTCAAGTACTAAGAAGTGGCTTCGAGACATGTATCTTACAAGCGGGAAGGCGTATCATGCATGGAGCAATTTTTTTGATCTTTGTTTCAACTTCTTGGACGTCGAGTACAAGTCTGCCCTTAGCAAGGAAGAGATAAAGATGTTTGAGGGTCGATTGGTTGGAAGTATAGTACTTCTTAAGGATGTATTGGAGGTTACCGAGCACAGTGACTTGTTTGTTCACTTCCTGGGTAGCACCCAATGGATAGACATAGGCGGTGGTTCTGTGTAGAACTTAAAGTTTTCCGAGTTTGTGAAGTTTCAGCTACTAAAACCTATAGAATTAATATTGGAACCTACTCTTCCAATATCAGGCTACTTTTATAAATGAGTGTCAGTGCTGTTTCAGATTGTGGTGATTTACATTCAGAAATACACTGGAAGATAAATAAACAATGGAGAGAAAGTCTCTAGGCAAGCCTTTTGAAAGAAACCTAAGGACTGTGAATGGCCTTGCAGATGGGGACTTTGAGATTTACAAAAAAAGCTTCTTCGAATACTACGACGACCTGATACGGAAGTACTTTGGGACCTTTGAGAGATTTAAACTGAGGCAGGGTAAGTTGGCAAGGGTATTCTTTTCACACGACACCTTGAAGCTTCATTCCAAATATGAATGGGTTGTTACGAGGCTCAGCTATGGAAAGGAGGGAGAGCTGATGGTTCCCAGGAACTTCTACATACTGACAGAAACGGTTCTGAGCCTTGACTGCAAGGTTGGAGGGATCTTCCGGGTCCGAAACTCAATTACTACCATTAAGGAATGTGTAGATGCAATCAACCAGTATGTCAGCAGAAACCTCTCTTACGGGGAGGCTCGAAGACTTCTCATCCGGGATTTCAATGTGATTGATCTCACGACAGCATTTAAGGAGATTCTTAGAGAATACTCCACCACCATTATTCCAGAGAGCTTGATAGACACTATGTTTAAAATAGCAAGGATCGAGAATAGAGACGATCAAATCATTCTTTGCCAGATGCTATTTATATCAATGCCAAAAACAAATAGACATGTCCTGGAAGCAACAATTTACTTTTTATATGTGATGCATGACATTGCAACAGACGGAGGAAAGAACCACAAGAATAACATGAACATGGAGGGGATTTCCACCATAATGATGCCAAATCTTGTGATCAAACCCCACAATGAACTGGATCTAGAACAAGTTGGAGTTCTTGTAAATTTTATGAAGATGTTCTTTAGAGACTTTGCAAAGATTATCCAGCTTGATCCGAACATCATGGAACTTTAGCAGCCTAACTATTCGACCAATAAATTCAAAAAAAGTTATTTATCTCTTTGCTGGTTTCCAAAGGTTATAACCGAACAAAGTAGTCCCTGGACGGATGGGATTGCTTCCGTTGGATAAAAGGGCCAGAAGAATGAATCTCTTTGATGTGGGAAGGTGTATACTTGAAGGAATTGAATACATTGAAGAGATTCTTGAGTCTGGAATCAACATTACAAAGGAACTCGAGAAGGATCTTTATGTGCCATTGCTACTCTCGAGGCTGAAGACAGATGGATTTACAGAAGAGGACCATAGAAACAGCACATCCATTGTTTGCTTGACGCCTTTGGGCCCGGGTTCGTTGAACAAGTTTCTACTGCGCTTCTTCAAGGGCTTTGCACTTAGTAGCAGAGATGGCCAAATCGACATTGAGTTTTCCTCGAGACAGGATGCTACAAAGTGCTTGTATCTGAGTAGCAGAGATTTTACCTTTCTTCGTCCATCTGGCTATATAGAGTTCCCTGGGGATGGAGAAGTAAGAGAGGCAGGAAGCAAGTACTGCAAAGATGTTCCATGCACTGTAGACAAGATTCTGCTGGGCCCGCTGGACATTTCCGCTTCTATCCTTCGGGATGCTCTTGACGAAATATCTCCCTTGCAAAGCTTTAGAGAATGTGGAAATCCCTCATATTTTGTCTTTACATTCAGGAACCCGGAACTTTGTGATCCTTTTGTAAAGGCCACAAGCCATATTTTTATCTCGGATGTGGGACGGCCTTTGGCCTCTGTAAGGGCTTACAAGGGTTGTTCAATACTGAATCTCGGCAGGAGCATTCCTTCTCTTATGCCAAGAAGAATGGCAGGGCCTATTGCGCTCAGCAAGGAAAAGACCAGGATAGTAGTGCTTTTAAATGTTATAGGCCCGTGGGACGTAGATGTTTCGGAAATCATCGAGGCAATTAGAGGAATGTGTTCTAGAAACGAAGGAGTAAAAAATGTGATGGTACCTCGGAGCAAACACTTTCCTGGAAGACAGCCTGGGAGTTCTCGAATATTTATAGAATGCAAGGACTTGGAAACGTCCCAGAGGATTCACAATGAGTTTGGAGGGCTTGTTTATAAGGATCGGATTGTTGCAGCAGGATACTATCCCGAGCTGAATTACTTTGCTGGAGAATATGAATGACATGACGTTTATTAAACAAAAGACATGCAAAGGAATCCAAACAAACCAGGATGAGCGAGAACAAGATTCCTTTGCATGTAATGTTGGTTACCTATTTGTTTTATCTTATTGTTGTTTTATTAGGGCATGCCAGAGACACATTTGGAAAGTGGCTTTTTCCCAAGATACAGAAAAGAAACAAGCTGGACGACAACAGGGTGCCGTTGTACAGCAACTTCGAAAGCTTCTTCAGACGTCGGATTTTCAAACGATTCCAGGACTGCTGGGAAAACCCCATTTCCGGAGTCCCGGGGAGGTATATCACTGTCCTGGAAAGGATAATAGAAGACTCCAATGAAAGCTTTCGCCTAACAGGAAAGAAGCTAAAGCTGCTCAATCTCGGGTCTTATAATTATCTCGGCTTCAGTAACAACGAGGGATCTATTGTGGAGAAGGTTGTGGAAGTGGTACACAAGTACCCTCTTGTACTGACGGCACCTGCAAGGGAGGTGGGAAGCTACGACATAATCAGGGAGTTGGAGGAGGAGATGGCGTCTTTTCTACATCAAGAGGACTGTATGGTGTTTTCGATTGGATATGGTACAAACTCCTCAAACATACCTGTGATATGTGAGGAGGGGACTCTCATCCTGTCGGACGAGCTTAACCATGCGTCTCTGATAACAGGGGCAAAGATCAGCAAAGGAGTTATAAGAGTATTTGAGCACAATAATATGAAGGACCTAGAGAGTAAGCTTATCTTCAACATTTCCCAAGGCCAGCCCTTGACACACAGAGCATGGAGGAAGATTGTTGTGATTGTAGAGGGAATTTACTCTATGGAGGGAACTATTGCCAACATAAAGAAGCTTGTTGAGTTGAAAAAGAAGTATAAGTTCTACATATTTGTTGATGAAGCACACTCGATAGGGGCACTAGGGGCCACGGGAAGAGGAGTATGCGAACATGCAAATGTGGATTTCAGGGAGGTTGATATTCTTATGGGAACATTTACAAAGTCTTTTGGGGGGATGGGAGGATACATAGCAGGATCGAAGAAGCTGGTGACATGGCTAAGGTTCTATGGTGATTTGTCTCTATATGGAGACCAAATGCCACCATTTGTATGTTCGCAGATACTGGAGAGCTTGAGATGCATAAAATCTACGGAGCTTGGAAGGTTGAAGATCGAAAAGCTCAGGTCGAACACGGTTCTCATGAGGCAGAACCTTGTGAATGCTGGCTTTTTTATACTTGGAGACGAATTCTCTCCAGTCATTCCGATTCTGATAGTGTGCCCTGGGAAGCTGGTTGAGTTTTCAAGGCTCTGCATGATGGAGGGGATTGGGATTATTGTTGTTGGATATCCAGCAACTCCTATATTGACAAGCAGGGTTCGGCTATGTATTTCGGCCTCACACACCACAGAGGATGTGATGAAAGCATTTGAGATCATCAATAAAGTGGGGGACAAGCTTGGAGTGAAGATTTGTAAATAAATGGGGCTACAAGCAATAAAGATGAGGAGAGGGGATCCCATGGAGACAGAAGTATATGCAGTGGACTTCAATCCGAGTAAAAACATACTAATATATGGAGGGGGGGACGAGAGATGCATTGTTATGGATCTCGGGACCGGCGACATTATCAGTATAGTAGAGAATTTTAACGACTCGATAATATTTTGTAAGTTTGTAGATGATGAGAGATTCATTGTTGGATCGTTGAATGGAACGATATCTCTAATGACATTAGAAGATGAGATTAATAGTGTTGAGGTGGGAGAAGACATCTCAAAAATGAAAATAGATGGAGATAAGCTTCTAGTGGGGACAGCCCAAGGAAATGTGCATCTATTCAGCTTGGACCTGTGTATTCAGAATGTCTGCATTGGCCAGCACAACGAAATACAAGACATATGCTATGAAAGAGGCAAGGCATACACCCTCAGCGAGGCAAACTTCATGGTATTTGATGCCAAGAGCCACCAGAAGCTTATGGACTTGTACGTGAGGGATGGAAGTGCCATGGACAAGATCCCTGGGAGCGATGTAGTATGCCTGGGGTTGAAGGGATGTGCTCTAATACGAAAGAACGCTCATCTTCTGGGAAGGATCGAGATTGAAGGAAGTCCGGAATGTATCCTGTACATGAACAACTACTTTATTGTTGGTGGGGATTTTGATCATATCCTTCTCATTAACATGCCTATGGGAATGCGCACATTCAAGATACCGATTGAGGGAATGTCAGGGATATCGAGGATAAGAGGAGATGGAGAAAATCGGATTGTGTTTGGAACGTTTGGAGGAGTGGTTGGCTTTGGCGACATAAGGGATGAGAAAAGTTTTAAGCTTGTCGAAGGTGGAGTGGGATGCATCTTTGATCTGTGCTTCAAGGACGGAATGATATATGTTGGAGGAGAAGAAGGATTTAATGTGGTTGATGTAGGAAAGGATTACAGTGGAGCAGCAAAGGAATACTTTCCTTCGAGCTAATACTAATAAAGACGAATCATTCAAATGATCTTGAAAACAGCTCTTTGGATATTAGTCCATCGGAGTTGAACATGTCTATCATTATTGATATATCTTCGTCTGGGATGTTCATGTCAAGCTTGGACGTGGCCTTTTTCAGTGTTTGGAAGGAGATGCAATCCTCTCCTGAGGAGAGAAAGTCAAACACACCGCTAATCTCTGTATCGCATGACGCAAACTCTACTGCATTATATTCTATTCTGTTTCCCATCTTCTTTTTTCCCAGCGGTTGTTTGAGTATACTCAGGCAATATCCTCTGTATTCCTCGTAGCTCAGAAACCCTTTCTTACCAATATCAAATGAATGTGGATCATTCGGGAGGCTCTTCTTTTCCATTAAAGTATGGGCACTCATACTATTCTCCCCAAATAGCTATAGACACTTGGATGAACGAAAAGGAGCCAGGAAAAGAAGATCATCGGAGTACAGGAAACAGATGTCCAAGCGCTAGTAGAATGATTCCTACAGAACTGGAGCAACTGGATGCCGTTGCAGATGCTTGTCTCCGGGTATCCACGCCCATTAAGAGAGAAGGATATGAACTGTTCTCCGAAGACTTACAGAGAACAAAAGACGGGTCGATGCTCAACGACAAAATAATCAATGTGTACTTCGAGCTCCTTGCCAAACACTCGAAGACTCCTATGTATGTCTTTTCCACATTCTTCTACACAACCCTGAGCAAGAAAGGAGTGGAATGGGTGCAGAGATGGACTTCAAGCGCAAACATATTTGAGAACAGATTGATATACATTCCAGTGTATGTTCCAGGGCATTGGATGTTTGTGGCTTTCGATGTCAGAGAGATGGTGCTTGAGCACTACGACTCTATGGGGAATGTCTACACAGATGTAGTCCTGAGGATACTAGAGTATCTGAGAAGTGAGTGGAACAGGATCTACGGGAGAAAACTCTCTGTGTGTGTTCGGATTAAAAGAAAAATACCCTTGCAAAGAAACGGGAGGGACTGCGGGGTATTCGTGTGCATGTTTGGAAGATACAGGTTAGACGGAGATGGCTGCTGGTTCTCTTCGAACGACATCCCAATGTTTAGGAAGATGATGTTGCATGAAATTATAGATGGAAGGATTCTGTACCAGACATTCCATTGGTCTAGCCAGATTCCCTGTCCAAAAGAAGATACAAGCACTGTAATTGTAGATACGAAGCCTTAGCCCTTCAAGGTTATGAAGAAGACGCCAAAGAGGAAAGAGACTGAAGATAAGAAGGAGTCCGTAGAAGAAGAAGGAGAAATCATCGAGCAGGTAGGACATCTCAGAAGGGAGATGTGTGAAAAGAAGCTTGGGTTTATAGATAAAAGTGTTGCAGATGAAATAAGGGAGTTGGTAAGATATTCTCTATACGAAGATGTAGAGGAGTTTGTAAACCCTTGGGCTGCAAATGAAGTGCATGGGATTTCAAACGACATAGCTGCAATCCAAGCAGCTCTAGACGACCAGCAATAAACATTCTGTCTATATCTATACAAAGAAGATAAATATTGGAAAGAGGCTCTTTATTTCATACATCATAACTAGGATGAATGTGGATTTTCCCATCGCTGATAAACAAGACACCTTCCTTACCTATAAGGAAAGACAGGACGTTTTCTGCCTTTTTCTGTTCCTCGATTAAGGCTTTCTCGCTCTCTATGCATGACTCGCTTTCCGATAGAAATGCCTCGACCAGCTCATGTCTTTCCATCGGATCCCTCGTCTTTATAAGGTATATGAAAGAGTTTGTTATTCTTATGTAGTCCTTGCTGTTTATCATGAATCCGGGCTCGTCGGCAGTCTTGGGAACTATTTCTATGTCCTCCCCCTTGACCTCAACAACACTGCTTTTCACCAGCCTGTACGCCTCCTCCACATACTCCTTTGTTACAAACTCGTTGTCATGGATCTTTGCAAGCGCCTCGCTAAGACGAATCAGACTCTCCAAATGCCTGACAGTCATCATGTAGTTGTTGCTGTGAACAAGACTATCCTGCCTTATCCCAATGTACTTCTTTATAAGCATCTCCTTTGCTTCATCCGTCATTTTTGGGGTCTTCCTTCTTGCATAGCGAAGATACAACTTTACTTGCTCCTTTGTAAAGTAACTTGCTAGCATCCCTTTGTCTGTAATAGATGCATGGCTGTTGAGTATGTGTGTTGCAACATTCCTGTCATTCTCCATATTTGCATCGTCGATCAGTACAAAGTACAGATCAAACCTGGACATCACTGGTGCACTGAGATTTATGTTCTGTCTTAGAGTCTTTTTCTTATCGTATCTACCCTTGATTGGATTTGCAGCTGCCAAGATGCTGGTTCGGGCATTCAGGGTTGCATTTATTCCTGCTTTCGAAATGGTTATTGTCTGCTGCTCCATTGCTTCATGGATGCTCACCTGATCCCGAACATTCATCTTATCAAATTCATCGATACAGCATATCCCAGTGTCGCTCAACATCAGTGCCCCTGCCTCAATTGTAAACTCTCCTGTTTCTCCATCCTTTATCACACTTGCAGTAAGCCCTGCAGCACTACTGCTCTTCCCAGAAGTATAGACGCTTCTAGGAAGGAAGGAACTCGCCTGCTTCAGAAACTGGGATTTTGCAGTTCCTGGATCTCCTACAAGCAGAACATTGATGTCTCCTCGGAGGCTGGTTCCTCCCTCAGCCTTCTTTCCAACCCCTCCAACAAGAAGAAGTAGGATTGCGTTTTTGATTGAGTAGTGCCCATGAATCGACGGAAACATACTCTGGCTCAATTTGTAATAGAGGTCAGATGCAGATCTCATTTCGTTTATCACAGCTAGTTCTTCGTTAGTAAACTCTCCATCTTCCACAAGACTGCAATCAGCATGTATGCACATAAAGCTTAACTTGTAGTTCAGATCCTTGATGTTTATGTTCCTTTTCTTTTTGATCTCGTCCAGCTCTCCGCTCTGTACAGGAACAGTCTTACTCTGAGGCATCATCAACTGTATCACATCGGGAACAACTATCAGATATCCTGTCATCACAACCTTGTCTCCAGCCCTTATCTTTTCAACCAAGTCGTTTCTGACTATCACATCCATGCTCCTTGGAAGTGATCCAGGAGGAATCTCTTCTGTATTTTCTTGCACATGTATCTTTTGCCAATTCAAAAACTTACTTTTGTCAATCTCGAGCTTCCATAGCCTCCTATTTGTGCAGAGGTGGTTTGGACATACCAAAGGCTCGGTGTACTTGAACTCCTGGAAAACATCACTGACAACTGAATTACAGACCTTACACACAAAAGTCCCCTGCGAAAGTTCCGGCCTTACTTGCGTCGTTCTGGTAACCGTCCCACTAAAGCTCAGAAGCTGCCCCAGCTTGTCGCTCTTCAGCTCTCGGATCTTGTAGACCACCTGACTGTTGTGGAACGACACCTGTTCAAGTGCAGTAGAAAACTCTCGCATCGTATATACAGCTATGCTTCTGTTAATCCTATCCACGTCCCTTGAAAAGTTTCTCACCAGGTCCGTGTACAGATCCACTGAATAGGAATGGACATCCTGAAGATCAACCAATAGTACTGTTTCATTCCTGTATATGGCCTGTTCAGCCTCTGTCCTGATCTTCGATGTGTTGTCGAGGAATTCCAGGAACTTGCTGTGAACCTCCTCTGTCATTTGAGGATAAAATTTTTTCCTCATCTAAGTATCTCCCCAGACGTCCCGGCCCTCCTCACTTTACAGGTATGACCTTTCTGGTCAGTCTGCCTGGCGCCACTCTTCTGATGTTCGCCCCAAGGAGAACAAATGCATAAACAAAGGTGTATACAAACAGAGATGCAAATCGGAGACATACCTTTGGAGAGACGTAAGGTATGGAGATAACCACTGGAGCATGAAAGAGAACAAAAATACATATTGCAAAGTTTATCAATGCTATTCCCAAAAACCTTCTGTTCCTCTTTATATTTTCCATCCAGGGTCTAATGGCACCCCAATATCATGTGTTCTTCTCATTGTAATCCCCACAATAATGCTTGTAGAATTCGGGGGAGAATCCAACTCTATGGCTTCCCACACATAGAAAGCCCCCCTGTCTGTCGAGACTTTCTGGTGGAATCCCAATGGTGCCCTTCGACGTGTCAGATTCAATCAATCCCGGGCATTCTACCTTCAAAACACCGCTCCTTGGCCTTGCAACGAAGTACACCATACTTGAAGTGCTCCAGAACTTGAAGTAAAATGGACACGCAAAAACACATCCAGGCCTAAGCCGGTATATGAAACCCTTTCCAAAGATCACATATTCCTGATCGTATCTCTTGTCTGGATATACCCTATACACAGACCCTTTCTTTTCCATGCGTTCGTTTCTCTCACTGTACAGTTCATACTCATCTATCTTACCCTCCCCAAATAGCTCTTCTAGCTTGAGAAACAGGAATGTCCCATCGAAGTACTCTTGGATTCTAAAAGGAGGGAGAACTTCATATATCTCCGACTTTAGTATCTTCTGCTTTGTAACCTCAATGCCCTCGAACTCTCTGTATGACAGGATCCCCCTCTTTTCCTCGAATGAATAGGACTGTATATAGTTTACAGTCATGAGGCTTGGCTTGCCTGTATGTACACAGAGGTTGTCGAATATTGAATGGCGACTGAGACGCACAGGAATGTGGTACTCTTCACGAGGGGGAATTCTAATTGTGCTGTGGTGTACTATCTGGACAAAGGTACAATCTGGAGGACAGTCTGGAAGGAAGATCATCCCCTCATACAACCTAAGCATCCGCCTATGGGTTAAAGAATCTCTGGATCTATGGCTGTTTGCTCTTAGAGGAGAAGAGGTATGGAATGTCTAGGCCCAAGGACTCTTGCAATTTTTTCATTCTCTGAAAGTACCCCAAATGAAGATAAACTTTGGATACATAACTCCTGTGCCGTTGAACACGGAGCTGATAGACACGTCCCTTAGTAAAACCCAGAGGAGAACACCAACAGTCATCCACCCCCAATACAACATTATCAAGATAAGGATGTTCTATATGAGGAAGGTAAAGCATGCAGGAAGTGAGTTTGGATCGAGGCTTGGAACCATTCTTACAGACTTTCCAAGGATCGAGGACATCCATCCATTCTACAGGGATTTGATCAATGTTTTGTACGACAGAGACCATTACAAGCTTGCCCTTGGGCATGTAAACTCGGCAAGGAATGCCATCGACAAGATTTCAAAGGAGTTTGTAAAGCTCCTGAAGTTTGCGGACAGCTTGTACAGATGCAAGCAGCTGAAAAGAGCAGCTCTTGGGAGAATGGCATCTGCAATCAAAAGGCTTGGAAAGACTTTGGAGTATCTGGAGGAGGTTAGGATGCACATGAGCAGGCTGCCGTCGATAGACTTATCTGGAAGAACTCTCCTTGTGTGTGGATTTCCAAATGTTGGGAAGAGTTCGTTTGTTAGGAAGGTGTCAAGGGCGGATGTGGAGGTCCAGTCTTATCCGTTTACAACAAAGAGTCTTTATGTTGGTCACTTTGACTACAAGTATCTTCAGTGGCAGGTGATTGACACGCCGGGAATCCTAGACCAGCCTCTTGAAAACAGAAACACTATTGAGATGCTCAGCATCACTGCACTTGCACACATCAAGGCTGTTGTTCTTTACTTTATCGATCTGAGTGAGACATGCGGATATTCGATCAGCGAGCAGATAGACCTATTCAACACTCTGAATCCACTCCTGAATTCGAGCATGGTGATTGTTTTGAGTAAGAGCGATGTGGTGAAATTGTGTGATCTGGAGGATAAAGAAATGATCATGGAGTTTCTGTCTGGGAAGAAGTACATGGAGATGAGCTGTGAAAAGGAAGAAAACATAGATGTGGTCAAGGGGATGGCATGTGACCTCTTGCTCGACGAGCGATTTGAGAAGAAGATCAACAGCGACAAGCTCTGCGAATACATCAACCGAATCACGATTCTCAGGCCGAAGGAGGTCCGAGAAAAGGCAGAATCGTTTGTTTGCTCCCGGGAGATAACAGAGATTGAAAATGAGCAGGAAAGGTATCTTGTCCCTTCCGAGTACAAGTACGACATCATACCCGAGATTATAGACGGAAAGAATGTAGCAGACTTCTTTGACCCAGATATTGAAAGAAAACTTGTGGAGATTGAGAAGGAGGAAGAGGACATGCTTCCGATGTACTGCAAGACTTACGATGTGTTGTCTCCTGAAGAAAGAGCTCTGAAGGAAGAGATTACAGTAGGGATAGAAAGAAGGAGGATTATCAACAGGCTTCGGGAAAAGAAAAGACTTCCGGATTCATGGAAGCTGAGGACGAAGAACAGTGGAGAGGAAGTGGAAGTGAGTGTGAAGAAAGACAACAAGACACAGATAGTGCAGCCACCTCGGCAGCCAAGCAAGAAGAAGGCTAGGTTTGATGACAAGCACTATTATGACAGAAAGCCAAAGCATCTTTATAGAGGGCGAAGGTGAGCTATATTATTAAAAGATACTAGCAATTTGTTGGGAGCCTGGCGGCAATTTTTTAATAAAAAATCCTTGATATGGGTAATAACAAGATTCCAATGTGGGAGCAGTGCAAAGCCTTTACTCTTGAGTTTAATTCCTTGGAGAATAAGGAAAGGACAACCTCTATGCAGTATGGGGAGCGCCTATACATAGGGTGTGGAGACGGACGTGTGGAATGCTATGGAGACAAGAAGCTGTACTCCTTCCAGGGATTTGAGTTAGAGTTCGACTATCTTGAGAGCTGTGATGTAGCCGAGAAAGTGCTGGCGATTGAAAAGCTAGATTGCGGAGGGCCTGAGGAGCTTCTTGCCGTTGGAAACGAGCGAAGCCTGAAGATATGGAGGATCAGGAACAAGGGTCCTACCAAGGAAGTTGTGGAAGGAAGATTTTCGGAAGAGTATGATTACACATGTGTAAAAGAGTGTAAGAATGTGCATCCGTGTATTTTGAATAGCTTGAGTCTTAATAATGACAAGCAGTATCTTCTGTCCTCCGACTATCTAAAGATAAATCTGTGGAAGCCCGAAAAGATCGAAGGATGCTTCACGATTGTGGATGTGAAGCCACACAAATACAGTGATCTGATGTTTGTAATCAACTCAACGAAGTTCAGTAGCGAAATGAACATGGTGTTTGGGTATTCAACAAGCTCTGGAGTAATCCACATAAACGATCTAAGACTCTCCTCGAAGTCGTTGGAAGTCCTAAAAATAGACGGGGTGGATGTGGATGGAATTGAAGGGGCAGTGAAGTCCATTTCCGACTTCCAGTTTGTTGATTCAAACCTGATTCTTGCCAGATGTCTCAACTCTGTCACACTCTATGACATGAGAAATCCCAAGGATAGTGTTTTTACTACTGTACTGTGCGACGATACAGACGAAATCAGTTCTGTTTATGAGTCTGATGCAGTGTATACAAGGTTCAGGATTTCCTGTTCAAACGGCTATGGGTTCACAGGAGGATTTCAGGATGCAGTCCATATCGTCAATCTCTCGGACGGATCGAAGGAGGATTTGGAAATACCTTGTGAGCCAAAGAATACAGAGAAGAAAGACAAGCTCAAGCTAGTGTGCTCGAATGGAGAGAGGTTTGTTGTTGCTTGTGAGGACAAACTGTTTGAATACAAGCATGTTTAGTCAAGCTCTTGATGTGCCGAGAGTCCAGCTTCTTCCCAAAGCAACACAGTAGCAAACCAGATGTTTTGTTTATATAAAAAGTTGTTTAGAAAGAGGCAAGAAATGCCAACCACCAAAAACAGAACCTTATCCTTTAATTAATTATGCAAAGTCATCTTCTTAACATCCAAAAAACCAGTGCGAGCACCATCCAGAACACCATGAACTTGATTATTGCAGGGCGAGTGCCAGATACATTCTTCCAAGTCTTCCTCATAAGGTCCAGGCCTCCGAAGATAAGACCTTCCGAGGTCTCCATGAGGTCGTCGATTCTTCTGAAGCTTTCCTCCTGAAGAGATATGTGCATGCTTATCTCTTCCATGATCTGACCTATCTCGCTGATCTGCATTGATATCTTCTGCCTCTCTTTGATCCTCTCAGTTACCACTTCGCTTTCCATTAGCACAGCATTCTGTTGCTCTTGCGAGCACTCTGAATCAAACTCTTTTCTCCTCTCAGACACAGCCTGGGCCCGAGCATTCTTTTTTCTGGTAAGCTCCTTTAATCTTATATGGTGTCGTGTCGCCTTGTTTTTGATTATTCCATCGAGATTTGCATATGAAGAAGCCTCCTGGTCATTTTGGAATCTTATCTCCAGCCCAGAAATCTCTTGCATCTCTCTTATCAGCTCCCGGGCCCTATCTATCTTTGACTGCAGAGCAAACGACTCGTATACTCTCCCATTCTCCAGCATTCTACTCACCTCGGAAAGTATTTTCTCCACCGTGGCCTCTATCTCGAATGCCTTTGTGTATGGGGACGAAGAAGAAGGCCTTCCCTGTTGAGGAATGAGTGTGGCCTGGATAACCTTCATAAACTCGCCGGTTCTGTCCATGCAGGGCCTTGCCTATGAAATTTAATGTATTTGTTTATGTCTTCTGGGCCTTGAAAGTCCCTCGGAGATGTTTGAATACTATGAGGAACCGGTTCTCACCAACGATCTTCTGTCGCTGGCGTACATTTTGGATGGGAATGTCGGGAAGATTGTCTTTACATCGGAGATGGATCCAAAAGTTTTTCCTAGAGATCCCATTGTTCCCTCGAAATATGCAGAAGCCCTGTCCTCGTTTGAAAGCTTTCTGGACTTCTACAGAAATCTGAAGGAAGAAGGGGACTATTCAGAAATAATAACCTACTATAAACTCAAGCATAGGAAGCTGTCATTCATTGCCTTGCATTTGAAGTATGTCCACCTCAAGAAAGGGGCAGAAAAGATAGATCAAGGAGAAGATGCCGGCTACTACAACGAGGATCTTTATAAAACTTTACTAGAGTGCAACCAGTATGTCTCCAGGAGAGAATCCAAAGATATGTTCTTGGCTCCCCTTTACATGAGCCGATTCTATAAAGAGAATGGGGAGCTTGTGAAGTCTAGAAGACTGAAAAAAGAAGCACAAAAGATGGCTGGGGCCTCAAGGAAGTTGGACGTTGTCTGGGAGGCAGATGACAAAACATACAGGTCTTTTCCGTGAAAACGCCTTCTCGAAGCCTTTCTAAATAAACACTAACCATCAAGCTCGGGATCTTTACCTTGTATGAAGTCTACAATGTCTGCCTCTATCTTTCCAGAGGCTTCTCTATCCGACAGAATCTGGTCGCACACAAACTTCATGTAGATTGGAAGCATTCTCATTCTTTCCTCCACAACATCCCCACTCATTTTGTTCCACCTCTTTCTTGGAAACTCCGGAAGTACTTTCACAAGGCATCTGAGCCTGGAGTGAAGTTTGTAGAAATCTCTGTATCGCTTAAAAACCTTTGTGTAACGCTTCTTGAAGCTTTTGTTATTAGTGACACATACAACCTCATACTCGGTATATTTGCCCTCGACATTTCTTGTTCCGGGAATCGTTATTTCTAGAACACTCTCTTCTTCCATCGGGTTTGTTTCCTCATCTAGGCTTTATAACCTCTGTTTCAATTGTTTTAGATCTGAATCTTGTCCTTCAGTTTCTCCTGGGCACGTGTCCTAGACCTCAATAACTTCGTTCTGAGCACTGTAATTTTGTTTTGAGGAAAGGTAATGTCTTACAGATACAAGCATCAGAACTCCGGCATAGAAGTCCCCGTCCTCGCTTTCCTTTGCCTCTCCAGAAATACTTTTTTCACTGCTTTTCAGCTCTACAAACAGACGCTTCTTCAAAGATTCAAGCTCTTCTATGCCACAGCTCTCAAAGTATTCCTTGAGGACAGAGAACGAAAAACATTCGAAAAGCCCCGAGGAAGCCAAAGGTCTTTCCTCTTTGAATTCTTTAAGTCTCTTCCTCAGCCTCTCAGACTCCCATGGAAATAGTTTCAGGAAGATGCATAGCTCCTGCCGAACCATCGATCTGAACAGAAATTCCCTGTTGTTCTTTATGTACACAGACTTCCGGAGACATTCCACCTTTCTCGACTGCAAAATCTTCACCTGTGTTCTGTAAACAAGATCTTCTTCCAGTAGCCGGACAAACTCTCCAAAGCTTGGATCCACCATCAGCGACTCTACAGACCTGTAGATGATCTCGTTCAATCTAAGAAATCCAATCCTCCTTATTTTCTTTTGCAGGCCTTTGCATCTTTCCAGATACTCTGCCGAGCCGTCCTTCTGGAACTGGCGGCTGGCAGACATAACATCCTTCATTGTGGAAACAACCATGTCAAGCCCCATTGAATTCATGTCCACAGCCTCATCACTCAGAAAGTCCACAAGATCATATCCCACCATCAATGTGTTTATAGTCTGTATCCGACTATTCAAAGCTTCCAGCCTCTCCATGTATTCTCTTATCCGGGTGCTTAGAATCTTAAAACCTTCCGACTTCCTACGAAGTTGCTCGGCTCCTGAAAGTTTTTCTTCCAGACTCTTGATCTTTTCCTCCATGGAAACTAACAATTAGGGCTGTTCTTATGTCTTGGAAGACAAAGTACAAATTCAGGTCCTTGCACCCCATTGATGGAGATCGGGTTAATTGGCCTGGGAGTTATGGGGCGAAACCTTGCACTAAACATTGCCGCAAAAGGATACAAGCTCCATGTTTTCAACAGAACATCCTCAAAGACAGATAGCCTTATCCAGGAAAGACCGGATATCTGCCCTCATTATTCTGTAGAGGATCTGGTTAAAGGGATGAAAAGCTCACCAAAGATCATTCTTTTGATGTTGACCTCTGGGAAAGTAGTAGACATTTTTCTGGAGGAGCTTGGAAAACACCTGAGCAAAGATGATATTGTAATTGATGGAGGAAACTCCTCGTTCAAGGACACTATCCGAAGAAACAGCTATGGGTTTGAGTTTGTTGGGTGTGGGATCTCTGGAGGGGAAAAAGGAGCAAGGAATGGAGCGTCCATAATGGTAGGATGTGGCAGAGAAACCTGGGAGAAGGTTAGGGGGTTTCTCACAGACATTTCGGCAACCAACAGCTCCACGGGAGAGAACTGCTGTGTATGGCTTGGAGAAGATGGGGCTGGGCACTTTGTTAAAATGATCCACAATGGAATTGAGTATGGAGATATGGCAATAATCTCTGAGACCTACCTTATTCTAAGGTCACTGGGGCTTGATAACAGAGAGATCTCCTCACTGTTTGACAATTGGGACAAGAAGGAGTCGGAGAGCTATCTCCTCCGGATTTCATGCAGCATCTTAAGAATGAGAAACGAGAAGGGGAGTGTGATTGATCAGATAATGGATGTCTCTGAGCAGAAGGGGACAGGGAAGGAGACAGTGGTGACTTCTATGGAGATGGGGGTGGCTGTTCCTGCAATAATGGAGGCTGTTGCATCTCGGATTGTGTCGCATATGAAGGATAAAAGATGTAAACTCTCCTCAAAGCTGGAGAGTATTAAGGGGGAGAAAAGAATATCAAGCGATGCTGTGAGAAAAGGATTTTATCTTGCAAGGATAGTTTCATACATCCAAGGGCTTAATCTGCTGATGGAAGGGAAGGAGAAATATGGATGGAAATATACAATTAGGGACATTTCCAGGGTTTGGAGCGACGGATGTATTCTCCGGGGAAAGCTTATAAATGCAATTGAAGAGATGGGAAGGGGGCAGGAGGGAGATTTTGAACTTAGCCCGGGATTTGTGTCCTTGTGCAACAAGAACTTTCCGTATCTGAAGGAGATGGTGTTATACTCGGTCGAGAACGAGGTGGCGGTTCCAACGATTGCGTCTTGCTTGATGTACTTGAGCGGAATCAAGGAGAAAGAGGGGGGAGGAAGTATGATCCAGGCGATGAGGGATTATTTTGGGTCGCACATGGTAACGATGGAGGGGGAGGCTAAGGCCGAGCACATTGAATGGGCTTAGGCGGGGTTATGTTTGATTAAACCTTTGTAAATAGAATTAACAAGAGTTTATAAAGAATTGTTAGATCGGTACCCGTGGAAATGGAATGTCCGAAGATTGAATTAGAAACGAATTCAGATGCGTGCAATTGGACTAAAGAGGTTAAAGGAGGACCTCGGGATGCAGAAAAAGATAGATCAGAACTGCCTCAGATACTGTTTATAACGTCGAGTCTCTATAAGTACAATGCATTTCGGGGGTTTTTAGGAGTTCCTGTGAAACTGGTCAGCTTAGAGATGGAGGAGATACAGGGGAGCAAGGACGAGATAATCATGGACAAGCTTCAAAAGGTAAGGCATCTTGTCACCAAATCGAACTTTGTGTTTGTAGATGACACCAGCATCCACATGGATGGACTAGGAGGATTTCCAGGGCAGTATGCAAAGGACTTTCTAAAGATTGGAATTCCAAAAGTATTGGAGATTGCCTCAAAGGTTGGGGGAGGATGTGTGTACTCTACTATTATTGGAGTGATGCATATGGAGGAAGAGAAGATTGTTAGCAAATTGTTTTCTGGGGAGGTTACAGGAAGCATCATACAGAGGGAGGGATTTGAGTCCAATGAGTTTAAGGATTTCTTCCTTCCTAAGAAGGAAGAGTGTGAGGGAATTCCAAGCTCGATAGGAAGGGTTAACATAGGAAGATACAAGGCTGTTGAAAAGGCCAAGAAATATTTAATTGGAATTGGAGTGTATGGGCTGTTGGGTGGAAATTAAAGGTATTTTGTTAAGTGTGTCTATTTAGCTGTATAGGCTCTAGTGTGAAGGGAAATGGATTTGGAAAAAGAAGCCCTTAAAGTATTTTTGCAGGATGCTTGAGGATTTGGATGGGTTTATTTTCAGGCGAAATGGCAGGCAGGGAACTAAGGGACGAAGGCTCTTCTCTGAAGGAAAGGGGGAGTTGGAAGTGGCTCGGGGAAACACCGATGGGATCTTCAGTTTTAAATTTGTCCGGGAAAAGAAGAGAAAGGTAGACTTGGAGGTAGAGAGCTTAGGGAAGAAGTCCAAGGGAAAAGATGTGGTATGGACAGAAGAAAAGGGCAAAGAAGGGATGGAGGTATGCGAGGAAGGAGATATATGCAGCAGCATAGTAATTAGGGAAGTGCCAAAGAAGAGAATGAGTGTTTCCTCTTTGCATGAAAAACTTGAAGAAGGAGGGACACTAGGGGGCTTAGTTAGATTATGTGTTGAATATGTGCTTGAGAAGAAGAAAACAGGGTATGGAATGGATTTGGGGAGGAAGCTCCATCAGAACGAAGACTTGATTAAGAAGAGGGATGTTGAAAAGGAAGTCGAAGAGGCAGAGAAAAAGATTGAATGGGCTTCCTGCGAAGAGGAGAAATGGAACAGCTTGAGAAATGAGGTGGAGAACTCTAATTTAATCGAGATTCGGGAGCCCAAAAAAAGAGTTCGGGATTTTGGATATGAAGAGAAGATGGAAGGGGTGCGGCGAGAGTTTTCAGCAAAGATAGAAAGGCTTGAGTTTCTAAAGGAGTCTGCTTTGGCCTGTGTTTCCCGGATAAGAGAGCAAAGCGAGGATCTTCTTGGACGGATCTTAAGAATCATGTGTAAAGAAAAAGAAGTGGATACGCTTTTCCTGCTCAAGACCTTATCTAGAACAAGCAAGTAAGAGGTTCTGAGGGAGTGTTTTATAGAATAAAAGTCTTCTGTAGTCTTTTGAGTTTGTCCTTGGAAAAGGCAAAGGAGGGGAGTTTGGCCGTATGAGATTGGAAGGGGCTGAGGCCAGCCGCCATAGCTAAGTGGTTATAGCGCCAGTTTAGTAAACTGGAGGCCCCGAGTTCGAATCTCGGTGGTGGCTTTGTTTTTGTATCCCAGGTTCTTCCATTTGGTTTGGCCAACAAAATAATCTGGAAGCCATAGCCCTAAATGTCACAGAAGTCTCAGAGAGCAAGCCTTCTATCAGAGTACTGGAGATCCGTCCAGACCTTCTTAAAAAAGTGCATCCGACCTTCAAGAAAGGAATTCTCGGCATCGATGAAGCACCATGCCATTGGAATAGGCTTTCTCGGGATTTTGGGATATGGAGTAAAGCTAATACACATTCCAATTAATAACATTATTGTGAGTAGTAACCCAAACAAGGAATAAAAGATGTGTTTCAAAGTATTTACTTTCGATTCTAAAGTTACAGCTTTTGGCTAGGACTTTGCCGCTCTTCTGAACATAAGAAAAAGAATGAAGAAAAATCCTATTGTCAGAGAGCTCCTTACAGAAAACTTTCTGACAAATCCGTCTATGACGTCTCCAAAAACCTCAGCTATGATTCGGGTGTACCCCACCGATCCGTATCCATTCTTGATCACACATTCCCATTTGTTGCACAACTCTTCTATTGCTGGCACTCTTGTGGCTGGGTCGCATCTATTAATTCGGTAGGCCTCTCTTGCCTCCTCTATCTGATGCTTTATCTGTGTCCTTCTGTTGGTTATCTTATACCTTATGTCTCTTTGTAATCCTATCAACATGTATAGAACAATGTAGCACACAAATCCTATCATAACCAAATTCAATGCCAGATGGAGGTATCCTATTGCCACCATAGGCAGCTGCCCAATACTCGAAGTAGAAGGCCATCTTATCCTCTTCAGAACCGCCTTTCTTCCAATACTTGAGAGCTTGACAATCTGAGTATGGTCTTCTCCAGCAATAGAGACGTCGATCTTACGTTTCTTCAGTGGCGACAAATGCGAGCACTTTGGAGTCCTCTGTTTGCTTGAACACTTCCAGTTAAACTCATGCTCCACATCCATAGGCGTCTCTCCTCCCATTCGAAGGATTCCAAATTCTGCTTTTTAAAACATCGGAAATGGAAGGGACCATCTCATCATCAAGCTCTCAAAGACACTGTTCAATAAACTGGTTTTATTAGAAGATCACTATATGAGGTTCGTAGCCAACCTCAATAGGCTGATTGTTTTCAAGAGATATCACCATTTCCTTTCTTGGGCCCTCGATCTTCCTTTTGATTGGTGGAAGCACCATTCCCTTGGATTCGGCCTCCTTGGTCATCTCGGATATCTCACGGATCCTCTTCTGGCTCTCCTCGCAGCATCTGCTCTTTCTCACATGCTCAACACGTGCAATCACCTTCTTGATCACATACTTCCCTCGAACTCTCTTGTAAAGGGCAATACCAACAGATCTGGGCTTTACGTCATAGACACGCCCTGTTCGCCCGTGGTAGTACTTGTGAGGCATTCCTTTCATCATGGATGGATTCACCAAAATATCCACCATGTCTCCTATCTCATACTTCTCAAGATACCTTGATACATGTGCAACCCCATGTTTCCTGTGGTCTTGAGAAAACAGCGACCTGGTTCCTCTTCTGTATCCCTTGCTCCTCATTTCTAGGGCTGTTTTTGGAGTTTGAAAAATTTGCATCCCATGGGCATGCCAACCCAGGATTCCAAAGTTTATGACCCCACCAGTTCCAACCATTCTACACTTCAAGATGTTTCCTCCACCAGCACTATATCCTCTATAAACTCTCCCCGCACAACAGCAGAGCTTTCGACATCATCGGGCTCGGTAATTTCAGACAGTACAATATTCATAAACGCATCGTATCCCGCCAATCGCCCCTTGATTACTTGCCCTCCTCCAATCCTCACTACAACTCTTTTATGCAGTAGTCCCGTTAGGTTTGGAACAGCTCTCTTTCCCATCGGGGATAGGAAGACATTTCATTTAACAATTGATATGGGCTTCTTGGTTCCAGAATGGCACTCCCGGCCCAGATACACATTCATAATATATTCCAAAGGCACATGCAGGATGTCCGGGCCGATAGAATAGAACAAAAAATTTTCACCCTGAATGGCAGGCAAGAAGGGCAGCAAGAGAGCAAACACCCCGAGAGACCCGTTTGAAAAGGAAAGACTGATAAGAGAAATCCAGTTGGTTGGTGTGTATGGCCTGAAGAATAAGCACGAGCTCTGGACGATGGAGAAAATATTTTCAAAGGACAAGGAACGTGCACGTACACTCCTTACATCGACAAATCCAGAGGACATCCCTATCAATGGAAGGTGTCTTCTCAAGAAGCTGATGAAGTACGGAATACTCAATGGAATCGATCTTTGTGACAAGGAAAGAGTTATTGATGGTCTGAACAAGGTTCTTGACCTCACAATCAACCATTATCTGGAAAGACGTCTCCAGTTCCGAGTGTTTGCAGCAGGCCTAGCAAGGTCTGTGCACCACGCAAGAGTTCTTATCAGAGGAAGATGCATCTCAATCAAGGACCAGATTGTCGATGTCCCAGGCTTCATGGTAAGGGCAGATAAAGAGCCGCTCATCGAATACAACCCATACTCACGCTTTGGAGACAAAGGTAAAAAGAAAGCAGAGGCTACTGTGGAAAGGGGATGATTATTTAATAAAACTTTTATCCTTTTGACTTTCTTCCCGGATGCTATCAATGCTTTTCCCATACCACTTGTCCATTGTACAGAATACCCTTTGCTGGACAGATGTTATAACGCTTCTCATGGCCTTTTCTATCTCTGCAGAAACCCACCCCATCATGTAATTGTTGATCTCCACTGTTAAATGCTTATAGGACACCATCATCGGCATTCCTCTATTCTTGTATGTTTCTATCCAATTTTCATCCAGCCTTCCACGGCCACTCTCCTCATGGTAATAAACAGAAGGATCAAAGATGGGATTGATTGGAGGGGAGTTTAGATCCAATCTGATGCTTTCGACCCCACTGATGCGTGCAGGATCGTACTCAAACGGATTCTCAAGAATCTCTGCTCCATCCTTGTTAACTGTGTTGAAAACCATGTTGAATGTGTCATTGGAGAAGTATCTATTTCTGTAGAATGTATGGCATTTAGTGTAGGCATTGTATGAGATTTCCTCGACTATGCATGCATCCTCTGGAATAAGGCTGTGAAGCATACGCGGGAACCGGGATTTTAAGTACATGACTTTATGTGTTTTGCTGACCTTTCCAAGTGTCTCGTGCACAACACTTTCTGCTTTCAGGATCTCTACCTTCAAGCCCCCGGCATTTTCTGATTCGGTCATTGCTGTGACTGTATAGAAGTGGCCCACTGCATACTCGTCGGTGGTCATCGGAAGAACTGTTACATATATCTTCTCCACCTTGGCCATTGTGTTCCGGAGTCTCCCTTTATTTATCATAGAAGCATCCAGCAGCATTATGAACTTGACAATTAAAATAAGCAAAAGGAGGTAGTCAGGATGACGTGAAATAGAAAGTTTTAATCTAGGCGAACATGGCCTTGAACTTGGGCTCGAACATAGAATGGAAGCGCACAATCTTTGATCTGTCCTCGTCACATAGACCATAGGTGTCGTACAGCTTTATAAGAGACAGAATAACATTGTTAACTACATTCAGCGACTTGAAAAGCTCTCCTGTTCCAATGCAGTTCTCTTCTGCAATTCGGTTCCAATTTCCGTGGCGGAAGAAGTCTACTAGATATGAGTTCTTTACCTTGTCGAGATTCTTCACACTTAAAAAGGAGTCGATAATATGAAGGGGTGTATCCGACATCTCCTGCAAAGACTTCAGAATTGGAGAGTATAGCCGGGTGACGCAAGCCTTGGAGATACTGTTGATTTTCTTGCAAAACTCGTAAACAGCCGGGTCCAAAGGAGGGAGCGTGCATCCCATATCAAATAGAAGAGGCTTTGTTTCAAAGAAATGTGCCAGTGCATTCATAAGGGTGGTAGGGTCCAGAGGAAGGACTCTGCTCTCCAGAAGAAGTGCAAACGACAGGATCTCTGGATCAGAGTCCCTGTTTCCTATAACAAGGTCGCAAAGATAAGACCTTGGGAGGAAGTATGGATTGAGGAGTCTGAGTTGGTAGTCTACAAGCTCGGCTCTCTTTTCCTCGGATTCATATATGTTACTTAGGTCGTAAGAAGATGAGCTGTTCTCAGATATGGAAAGCTTTCCAATAGACCTTCCAAGCTCGTCTTGATTGCTATAGAGAGTACTCTCGAGCAAAGGATTCTTTACAAGGGAATCCTTCATATTAAACCCGACAAAGCTTGTGTTTGTGTAGGTGTAAACACCTTTTATGTTCGGCAGGAGAGACACCATGAGGTTCTGCACCCGTTGCTTTGGTATTCCCATGAACACTACATTTCCTAGAGTGTCAAAACCCCTTCTTCCAGCTCTCCCCGCCATTTGCTTGTAATTCATTGGGTCCAGCTGCAAGGAGTCCCCGGCAAAAACAACGGTTCTGCAGGGCATGTTAATTCCAAGAGCTAGAGTCTCCGTTGCAAACAGAACTTGCAGGTGCTTCTGCCTGAACAGGATTTCAACAAGAGATCTATACTTCCTATTCAGATGTGCATGGTGAACCCCTATTCCGCGATAAAGCATGTCAATAAACTCAAAGTCTGTGTTCTTTATGAACTTCGTCTCTTCCGAGATCTCGTAATCAGTCAGCTTTGTAAGAGGATCAAGAAAGGTATATTTGATGTTCTTCTTATCACTCCTCATCTGGAAGCTCTTCTCTGCTGCAATCGACTCTTCAATCCAGCTTTCCTTTGTCTTCTCCACATCTCTGGTCCTCTTTGCTTCCTTCTTCATCTTTTCTATTAGCTTGTTCTTCTTCTTTTCCATATCCTGAGACTCTAGCTGCCTGTATACTTTCAGGGCAAGCTTACTAGCAAAGTCCCTGTCTGTGTTAAAGACAATGCATGGAAACATACCCCGCTCCTTAAGCTCCATAAGAAGATCCAGAATGTTTTCAAGAAGATAATCGGTGCTATAGTCCACAACAGTCTCAAAAGCCTTTCTTGCTTCCTTTGTCTGTAACTTATAAACATACTTCACCTGCTTTTCATTTAGTAGGTCTCCTTCAATCATCTCCTGAAAAGTTTCAAGAAGATACTTTCCATACTCGCGAACCTCTTTCTTCGTCACTATGTTACTTTTGAAAAAGTTTTCGGGCGTTATTCTGTCTATAAGATGCTCTTGATCCTTACTAAGCACAGCACATATCGAATCATATAGATGGAGAAGCTCTTCGGGAAGGAAGCTCATGTCATTTCCAAACCCAAACTTCTTGATATGTGAATACGAATATGCAAACAGATTGTTTATCGCCACCATCTTGGGCTCAAATCCATGGGAGTAGACATAAGGCTTCAGCTCGCAGTATCTCTCATCATAGGAAACAAGCTCGCATTCCCTTCCCTTTTCTTTCTCAATCTTCTTCATCCATCCATAAAATCCCTCGATGTTTCCAAGCGTTGCACTAAGAACCAGCATAGGACATGGCGACAGATGAATTATCCTCTCAATCGGAATCCCCATCTCCTCGCTGCTAATCTTATGCACTTCATCAATAATTATATACCTGACTCTTTCGATAAAGCCCTTCGGGGGTGTGTTCAGCACAGACTCCAGAAGAGAAGGAATCACTATTAGCACCTGGCAGTTCCAAGGTGCTATTGAAAACTCCTTCATAAGGCTCCCTTGTAAGAAGGTCTTGGAATTCACTTTCGGAGTAAACCGGGCATAGATGTCTGCAGACACCTGATTGACAAGGGCCTTGGTAGGAAGGCAGAAGATTACCACGTCTGTGTCACTCTCCTTCAGAACCTTCTCAATTGCGTAGAAGCAGATAAACGTCTTTCCAGCACTTGTCGGTGCAGATATTACTGCACTCTTGTTCTGGTCGACAACATCAAGAAGTCGCACCTGCCACTCGTCTGGATTGAACAGAACACGTGGATCCTTCTTTGAATTCACACTTCTTTGAAGCTTGTCTCCAGTATGCTTCAGTTGGAAGCAAATGTCAAACTCACTAGGCGCACTTGTGTCGTCAGTAAAGAATTCAAGATTCAGGCCTTCCAGGCCATTCTTCTCAACTAGCTCTCTAACAGTGGCCTCAAATCCACATCCAATAAGATTCTGGAACACAAACTCCAACTCTGCATCGGGTGCCTGATCCTCCTTCCCGAGCCTTCCAAATTCACGGATGTACTCCATGCAGCTTAGGTAGCAGGGCACAATGATACCTTCATCACAATCTTCCGATCTCTTCTTAAGATTCCACATGTCTGCATAGAACTCTATCTTCAGGAGAAGAACCCTCCTGTAGATCCCAGACCCGTCCCGTTTGACGCTTTCCAACAGACTTCTCTTTCCTTGGTAGTCAAGAACCTTGTACTTTCCAAAAAAGTTCCGGAGCCAAGATGCCTCCTTTACTTTTCTTTCTTCCTTCATTCTTTTCTCATTTTCTTCTATAATTTGCTTTTGCTTCTGTGATATTTTAGGAGGCTTCCCTCCCTTGGTCCTGACAATCGGAGTGTATAATAGCTTCCCGTCAAACAGAGACTGTGCTGACTTTCTTACATTCTTCATATGTGCTGCTGCCGATGCTGGGCTCACCTCCTTTCCACTTATAAGCAAGTCTAATTCCATCTCGAGATTTTTACTTTCAATATCCCTGTGGTTGTTTCCAATCAAGTCTTGATATTCCATACACTTTGGATCTTCTCCCATCTCCATTTCCCCAAGAAGAAGCCTCCCATCAAAGTCCATGGTCCTCTCAGGACTTTCATTCCTGAACATCCAGACAAGCTTTCTGCATAATTCCATAGGCACCGAAAGCTTGCAAGGCCCAAAACTCTTGGTTCTTGTCTTGAACAATCTGTCAATTGTCTCAATGCTCATTTCTGCATTAATCTTCTTAATTTCCGTGTCCACATCCCCGTCGCTTCCTTCATCGCTTTCCTCGTCTAAAGGTTTCGTGGCCTTCCTCCCGGTCTTACGGTCAAGAGGAGAATAGACAAATGCATAGACACTCGGGATCCTAAATTCCATCTGATCTAGAACCCCACAGTACAGGCTAATTCCAAGACATTCGTACAGGAACTCAAGCTCGCCCTTCTCAGTCCCTCCAAGAACAAGAGCAACTCTTTCATTCTCAATGTACTCATAAACCTTTGAAATGTCCATGCAATCAAATCTTCTCATCAAACATTCCTTGATAACCCTTCTGTGCCCAGACTCTGCCCGGAAAAACATCATGATGTTATCAAACCCAACCTTCTGTAGGTTCGACATCATAAATCGGATCCCATGGATGTATGTATGTAGAGGAAGACTCTCATAGCTAACCCCATATCTCTTGCTGATACTGCTTATAAGAGCCCCTCCATCCACTATGAGATGCCCTATCCCTGTGAACTGTGCAGAGATGTTCGTATACACCGGATGCTTTGTCCTGAAGTATTCTTCATAGTCCATTTTCAGGGCAAAAATTTCTCCTGTGTTTTGCCGCCTTGGAAAAGACAAAAAGACATCTAAAACCGTATTTAATCATCTTCTCGATCTTTTCTTACCTGTATACCTCGTGTTCCGTGGAACTTCGACGCCTTTAAGCTTTAGTTTCTCTTTTCTTCTTAGAATTGCATCTATTCTTCCAATCCCCTTCTTCTTCCTCTCCTTTCTGCATCTTGCTTCCCTGTTAGATGTAAGAACCAAAAAGCTCTTGACATTTCGTGTTCCTTCGTTGTCTATTTGTATCCCTCCACTAAATCCTGCACGAATAGCCTCACTCTTCAACATCTCGATCTGATTTTGGCTCTTCAGATAAAATTGAAGGACACATTTAGCATCGGGCTTACAGACAGAATAGAGGGTTGTGAAGAATGTTCTGATTCTGCGCACAGGATGATCTTCCGATGAGTACGAGTGGAATAGCCATTGGATTGCACTGACACTCACCACTCCGTCAAATGTCCCGGGTTGAAAGTCCAGTCCCTTTCCCATATCCATTCTTATGTATCCAACCCCTTCTTCTCTTTCCATTCCGAGCTTCAACATTTCCATGCTTATGTCAATCCCAACCCATGGATATCCGTTTTCTGTGAGAACAGACCCACTAAGTCCAGACCCACAGCCAACATCTAGGAGTAGTCCTCCATCCTTTGCCTCAAGGAGCTCAAGACATCTAAGAGCAAGTAGTCTTTGGATATAGACTATTCTGCTGTTTTGCGTATACTTCAAAGATTCTTCTTCGTCGTAGTACAGTTCTGCCGGCCCAGAATGCTCGGGAATCCCCATGAGGGCTAAATTCATGCTTCAGATAATGGGAAGGAGTAAGACATACCTCCCAAGCATACTCCAAGGAACCAAGCATTTAAAAATAAATCAAACCGAATACTCCCACCCATGAGTATAGCATACGAGGTTCTTGGCGTGAAAAGATGCGCCCGCTCCGGTGCCGAATTCGAAAGAGATTTGAAGAAGTTTTCCATAGCAGAGAAGATAATGATATTGATATTTTACTTACTTCCAATTCTTATTCCCTCCACCGCCAAGTCGATAGACACACTCACTAATCTTGTCTTTCCCCTCTCTATGGGGTTGTCCACCTTTTCGTTCATGCCGATAGCTACCAGAGCAGCCCGCAGATTCTTTGACTCAGATGTTGTTAGGATCGTCACTCTGCACAGCTTGATAGTTACAATCTACATACTCATGGTGTTTGCCTCTTCTCTTCGTGTGTCTAATATCTTCTACAGCGACAACTTCCTCGAGTCAAGCGGGTCTAGCGGAGAAATGGCATACAGAATGGTTATCCTTATTTCATATCTATTCTATGAATCAGGAAGACTCATTAATCGATCCAAAGGGCTTTGCAAACGATTTGTAGTGGTGTCTCAGCTTGCCGGAGCTCTTCTAACGGGAGTATCTGCAGTTGTATGCAGGATGGGGCTTATCCCTGATTCCTTACTTCACCAACTGTTCTTCTGCTGTGGTGTTGTTTCGATCATAATGTCCTTAGCATTGGATAGTTTCCCAAGCATGATAACTCTGAAGAAGGATTTGGACATACTTCCACTCATTGGAGCAGGCGGATGTCTTTTTAATGCATTTCTTGGAACTTATATGATACTTCCCAGCCTCCCCCTCAACCAATAAATCTCTCATTAATAATATCTTGGCTTCTTACCAGTCAACCTTGAAATCTATTCTTTTTACACTTACCGGTCTAAACGTCCTTTTTTCTTCCAACCCCGGGTCCGAGTAATAGATCTCAGGCTGTTCCTTTCCATAGATGTTATATTCTGCAGAATCTACCTCGACACTATTGATTCTTTCTTGCCCAGGCCCTCCAATGCAGCTGTTCTTGCATAGAAATACCTCTGCCATTTTGTATTTTGGGCCTTTCGTCTTACTGATCTTGAAATAGTTAATGGAGTTCTCCAGGCCTGTTATTTGAGATACTATTCCACCATCATCTACCATGTACTCCCTGATTCCGTTTCTATCCTTTATTTTCTTTACAGAACGATGTTTGGAAAGTATGAACTCCGCATATCCCCCCGAGCTTGTTCCAATGTTCCATTGTGTTACCTCCATATCTTCTATCTCATGGTGATTCCAGGAATTGGCTTTGAGAAACAGTTCAAACTCAAGCTCGTCAAGAACCCTCCGGAATTCTCTTGTGGTAAGGACATGATCAAACTTAACTCCATCTCTTCCACTTTCCAGTTTCTTGTCTTGGCAAGGCATCACACTTACTGTTCTGTCTCCTTTCACAAGGGAGAAGGCCATCTGTTGGGGAGACTTAACTCTCGACAGATAGTCTATGAGGTGGGGAGCAGTTCTCTCAACATAGGCAACAACACCCGGACATGCGCTGATCACCAGATGGTCTGTTGCCAGATACTCCTTGTAGATCTCTTTGTAGATTTTTCTTCTCATGCTAGAAGTGTCAACTATCCTGCGTACATTGAGCTTAGCTCTGAGGAACGAGGAGAGAGCACCTTCAAATTCTCTGTAGCTCATATTTCCCTTTCCGTAGATGTTAAAGATGTTTACTTTCGATTGAGGAGAAAGAACAAAAGATGTTTGCGGGGCAGAATCTCGGACAAAGGAAATATCAGCAGAGAGTGCGCCAGCCTCATCTGTGGTCACACATCCACTACATGCAAGGCAATCGCTTAAAGATAAGTTGAATGGTGTATCTGTCTTAATGCATTTCTGATTGTTCTTCGAAAGACCTGCAAAGAAGGACATTGTGGTTTTGCAGGGGATTTCGCTTCTGAAGAATTGTTGCCATGGATCCCTTGAATGGAGATTAGACTAAGCTCTTTCAAAAGAGAGCATTCTCTTCGAGAACTGTTGTCAAAGGATATGTCCGAGTATTGGGCAACAGACGATGTGTTGCCACACTCCATCCAGATATCTTTTGACAAGGTCCGATATGTCCAGTCCGTACAGCTGTTTCTGAGCTTCACACAGGACGACAGCTATACTCCCGAAAAGATAGAAGTCAGGTCGGGGTTGACCAGAGAGAGAATCAGACCAATAAGCTCTGTTGAACTTGTGGAGCCGGAGGGGCTGTTGACCCTGAATGTTGCGAGAAATTGTCTTTATGTCCAGATTGTAATCAACTCGAACCATCAGGAGGGGAAGGATAGCCATGTCCGCCATTTGAAAGTTTTGGAGTCGTCGACAAAGGAGATTTACTACAAGATATAAACTACTCTTGTACAAAAACCAAATAAACCTTTGTTCATAGGATTTGGCCATACAGCCAATGAAAAGCGATATGCTTGGATATCCCATGTATTTCTATATACTAAACATTGAGCAGGTAAATGAAACAACGGTCATGCTTTATGGAAAGCAACTGGACGGTCTTCCTAAGGAGCCGCCTGTAGATGCATCTTTATGTAGTTCGATATCTGGAAAGATCCGTGTGGAAAATATACATTCGCCAGTCTTCCTGAAGGCAGTCAAGGGTAAGGACGAGGAGTTGAAGAGAGATGTCGAGTTGTTCATGAGATCCAAGGGAGTTGAGTGTGTGTTTGAGTCTACATCAAAAGAAAATGTGTTCTATAGTAATATGGATCGAAAGGTCGATTTAATCAAGGTCCTCCCCAAAAGAAACATTTCCTTTGACAACTTCTTTTCAGATTACTCAGAAGCGATCATAACAGAGTTTGGCAATCCAACAGAAAACATTGTTATATCAAGAAGGCTTAGAGGGCCTTGCATAGTTCGAATTGATGGACACTCCATGTCTTCTGCAAGGGAAACTGTTGTGAGGTCTCCCTCAATGATCCACTTTGTTTGCAATTCAAGTCTCCCTAAACTGGTCTTTGGCTCACTAGCAGTGAGATTTGACAAGACGGGAATTACCAAGTATTGCCTGTATGCACAAGGGACTTATCATTGCGGAGGAGTGAAACTTCCGGATTGCAAGGAGAATTTTGAAGGAAAGGGAGTTGAGTATACACACCATCAATCCTCGGATGCATTAGTGAAGGATCTCAATAATTTGATGTCTAGCAAAGGCATTGATTGTATAGTCTATCACAATCTCCCTTCTCTGGTTCTCAAGAAGCTGGATATATCTGGAATGGTGAGATGTGATTTATTTGTCTTTGCGAGCGGAAGCATAAAAGGATGTGATTTTTCCATTGGGGAACTACTTGGAACACTGAATCTGGAGGTTCCTGGGGAGCTGAAGGAAATCCAAGAACACACAGATGGCCAGCCCAAAAACTTATTCAAGACACTTGCTTTAGAATCCAAAGCAATACTGGAGATATTTGAGGCCACCGAAGCATTGCATCTATCAAAGGAAATGTGTGAGATTTCAGGATATATTCTAAACAGAACTCTGCAGAACCTACGTGCTGAGAGAATTGAATATACTCTCCTTCATGAGTTATACAACCGAGGATATCTATTTCCCTCATCTGTAAGTCGTCGAGAGGTGAAGTATACAGGAGGGCTGGTTTTATCTCCTCAAGCAGGGTTCTATGAGGATCTCGTCCTTCTCCTGGATTTCAACTCCTTGTATCCGTCGATTATCCAGGAGTTCAATGTATGCTTCTCGACGATAGGGATGTTTGATAAAAGCGTCTCGGGGGATATGAGTCCTGAGAAACTGGCAGTTCTGACCGAGAAGAGCAGAATGTCGGAAAGAGGGTTTCTCCCAAAGATTCTTGAAGGATTTGTTGGAAGAAGGAAGGCAATCAAGGACCTGATGAAGCAGAGCAGGACGCCAGAGGAAGCAAAGGCTCTAGACATAAGACAGAAGGCATTGAAGTTGACGGCCAACAGTATATATGGATGTCTTGGGTTTACAGGATCAAGGTTTTGTAACTACACGATGGCAGCATATATAACCAACAAGGGGCGGGACCTTCTTCTGGAGGCGAAAAGAATTGCTGAGGAAGAGTGTGGGATGAGGATTATTTATGGAGATACCGACTCTGTGATGGTTTACACTGGTCTTTGTGGAGAGAAGTCCAACTACAAAAGAGCACTGGAAATGTCAAGAAAGCTGAGAGACACAATCAATTCAAAGCATCAGAAGATAGAGATTGAGGTGGACAAGGTTTTCAAAAAGCTTTTGCTATACAAGAAGAAGAAGTATGGAGGGCTCTACATGGATGAAGATGGGAAGACCTATGTGGAGTACAAGGGATTGGATCTTGTCAGAAAAGACTTTTGTGAGGTCAGTAGGAAGATATGCAAAATTGTATTAGAGCTGTTACTTGCAGACAGTGAAGATCCTATGGTCTACGAAAGGTTTTATAAGGATAAGGGAGAGGCAAAGACCATCTTAAACAATGGAAACACCAAGATCATCGAGGCGGTTTATGACGAGCTAAAGAATCTAAGCAGCAATCTTGAGAGCATTCCTTCAAAGGAGTTTGTCATTCATAACACCCTGTCGAAGGCGCCGGAAAGCTACGATCCCTCGGTGGGGCTTCCGCATGTTTCTTTAGCCTTGAGGTTGAAGGAGTCGGGAATGAAGTTTGATCAGGGAGATGTTGTTTGCTATGTCATAGGAAAGGGAGATTTGAGGGAGGCTGTCCATAAGAGAGCATACCATTTGAGCGAGAGCTTTACCATTGACTATGGATATTATGTGTCTAACCAGATCCTCCCGCCTTTGCTCAGAATTGTGGGTGTGGTTAAGGGCTTTCACCCGGAGAAAATAGGAAAGATCTTTGGAGTCGAAAAGGCAGTGAAGCAGGGGGTGGAAAAGTCCATATCATTCTTAACACCTTGTTGTGAAATTGCTCAAGGAGCATCTTCGAAGTGTAGAGAATGCGGGAAGCCTGTTTCCAGGGAATTCTATGTATGGAAAGTTATGGAGATGGTTAGAAAAGAGGTTGAGTGCTTGTATAGTGCTGAGTCAAGATGTCTTGAGTGCGGGATATCCTCTTATACTCATATGAAGAGATGCTTCAACTGCAACTCAGAACTATCCTTTGAGCCCCTAAACTATGACTTCGATCGCCTCTTGAGTAAGGTGCAGTCTATGTTTACAGGATGGGTTGAGATAGAAGATATTACAAAAAAATATGCAGCTGCTTCGGAGTATAGGCGAATCGACCTGTCTAAGTATTTTGAAAAAGAGATTGGTAGAAATCATTAGCATGCCGAAGATACCCAATGTGATGGAGTAATGATGAAGCCAATTGGATGTATAGGGTTTAAAATAAGATGGGGGATATGAAGTATGGATGGAGTATGGGGAAGTATTAAAAGGAAATTGAAGGACATGTATGACAGGATATTTGTTGTTCGAATGAGAGTTGCAGTGATTGGGCCAGAGAAAAGCGGAAAATCTTCAATTGTGATGAAGATGTTTGGAGACGGATTGAGATATCAAGGAAAGCAGAATGATGCAGAGGTGTATAAGTACGACGAAGATTACATGAGCTACGTAGTATATGATTTGAAAGGAAAAAAAAACACCCGAAGGAAATGGGACTATTTTCATGGGATGTGCGATGTAATATTGTATTGTGTGGATTCTTCTGGGGATGAAGAGGAGTGGGGAGAAGCAAGAGAAAAGCTGAAGTCAATGGTGTATCGAAACTTACGATCAAAAAAAAACATCTTGGTTCTTGGGACAAAGAATGAGAGGGGAAATGCATTGGAATGCATAGAGATTGTTCTGAAGCTTGATCTTTTAGACATAGAAGGGAGAGAAGTTGCCTGTTTTTCGGTTTCTGCAGAAAAGAATGTTAATGTGGAATGCATAAAGACGTGGCTGAGAGGGCAGAGTTCTTTTGTGAGATCCAGATGGGGATCAAGAGTTGTGAGAAGCTGGTGGAAAGCGGGTTTTGTAGAAAATTAGCATGATTTGGGCTTCTAGAAGCATTTGGTAGATAAATTTTGGGAGGATTAGCCCTGGATGGAAGTGCACCGGGACTCCTCGGGTTCAGAAGAAGAGGCTACCGAGTTTTCAAGCAACGATTATGAGGTTTATGAGCCACAAGCCGACGATGAGAATCTTGAGGTTTCTGAGGAAGCATACAATGTTATGGAATACATTTCCCTTGACTGGCCGGCACAAAGCATTGACATCTTGAGGGGATTTACAGTTGTGCTTGGAACAAACCCGTCTGAGGGAGGTACACCTGGAATGGTGAGCATTGATCTGTTCCCAACCAATGGAATGAAAGCTCCGGAGAAGATGAGGATTTCCAAAAGAAAAGTAAAGGAATCATATAACAAAGTCCGGGTGAACGGAGAGATGGTGTACTGCCTATCGGATGACAAGCTTGTAGTCCACAACTCGAAATTCGACGAAGTCTATAGAAGAGATATTGGGCAAGGGCTTGGATACGGGCTCTGTTTTGGGAATTCCGGATGTGTTTTTGGAACGAAGGAGGGGGAGATATCCATTAACGATTGGAAATTCAATGAGGTTGGGACGATGAAGATCCATGAGGGTTCTATTGAGAGTCTTTGCTACCATGGGGGCATGGTTTTTTCTGGATCATGCGACCATAGTGTCAAAATCACAGACATTCGGAGTGGGAGCAATATCTTCCAGAAGAAGTTTGAGGTTGATATCAATGCCGTGGACTTTAACGGGGACTATCTCCTTGCTTTTGGGGACGACAGTGGGATGATCCGACTGATGGATATCAGGAACCATATGATTGAAGAGGTTCAAAGGCATAAGACACCTATCAGCTGCCTGAAGTGGAGAGATTCCGATATTCTTGTCTCAGGAAGTGATGAACAAGTATGCATATGGGATGTGTCTCTTGATGCAAGCGAGGAGGGAGGATATCTTCTATTTGTTCATCAAGGACAGAGGTTTTACAAGGACATTACGTTTTGCCGAGGGGATAACAATTACGTTGTTACAACATCGATAGACGGGCTTTGTGTCTTCTATCCGATTTCTTTTGATACTTAAAGAATAAAGCTTTAATCCATAATGACAGTCTGATTTAACACTCTAGCGGGACAGACACATCTCTTTAAAAGTAAAATTTTCTCTTTGGCAATGGCCCTATAATGACTGGGAGCTCTGGGCACCTCGGCAAGGAGACAAAAGAAGATGAAGAGAAGGCCTGGGATTTTCTTTTGACGGATATGGATAAGATGATTGTAAAGACAAATCATTACACACCACTTGGATGTGGAAGCATGCCCTTAAACAGGAAGATTGACGAGTACATTAAGTATGGGATAATCAATTTGGACAAGTCGTCCAACCCAAGTTCGCACGAGGTTGTGACATGGGTAAAAGAGATTCTGAAGTGTGAGAAGACGGGGCATAGCGGAACACTGGACCCCCAAGTGAGTGGAGTTCTGACGGTCTGTATTGATCGAGCAACCCGCCTGACAAAAAGCCAGCAATCCCTAGGAAAAGAGTATGTGTGTGTGATTGAGTTTCTAGAGGAACCAAGTGAAGAAGGATTTCGTAAAGCAGCCGAAAGGCTTGTAGGGTCTTTGTTCCAAAGGCCTCCTTTGATGTGTGCAGTCAAAAGAGAACTAAGGATAAGGAACATCTACAGTATCGACATTCTCGAGTTTAACAAAGAGAGAAGGCTTGGTCTCTTCAGGGTGTCGTGCGAAGCTGGGACTTACGTCCGAACCCTCTGCATGCATATGGGGATACTAATGGGGTGTGGAGCCGTGATGAAAGGACTTCGAAGAACAAGAAGCGGGAGAATCTCTGAAAAAGATATCTTTACACTGCATGACCTACTTGATGGAGTACACATATTCAATTCCACAAAAGACGAAAGGGTGATCAGAAGGGTGATACGGCCTTTGGAAAGCCTTCTTGTGGGATATCCAAGGATCATGATAAAAGACAGCTGTGTTAACGCCATATGTTATGGAGCAAAGTTGAGTATTACAGGAGTCCTCAGGTTTGACAGAAACATCGATGTTGGAATGGACATTGTGATTGTTACAACGAAGGGAGAAGCTGTTGCTCTTGGAATTGCTCTTGTCAGCAGCCCCGAGATGAGCATCATCGACCATGGGCTTGTATGCAGAACCAAAAGAGTTATTATGGAAAAAGATCTATATCCGAGGAGTTGGGGGTTTAAGAGCGAATATGAGATACTTAGTGAATAGATGTCCTTGGGAAGAAAATCCCTTTTTTATTAGTCTGTAAGGCAGCTATTTCGGAGGATTTGACGGTTAAAAATTTACCCTTTAATGCTTGAGCTGGAATTGGCAGCAAAAGAAAAAAGCAATGGGGGAGCAGCATCTGAGGTTTTGACACTGATGAAAAGGATGTTGGAAAGTCTGAATGAGATTGTAGAAACGGCAGATATAAAGGCTACAGAAAAAGGCCTTTCGATTCAGGTGATGGATGTGACGCATGTGGCCTTTGCAGATATTTTCTTGTCATCAACGATGTTTACGAAGTACCGGTGCGACAGGGATCTGGTGATTGGAGTCCAGCTCAAGACCTTTACGAAGATAATAAGAGGAATGAGTGTTGAAGGAGGGGGAATATTCAAGATGGAATGTGATGATGCCATCACCAACCTGAATGTTAAGAACATCCGAGAAGGGAATGTTCTCAGCTTCAAGCTGAAGTTGTTTTCCTCTGATTCTGAGGTCTATAATATTCCTGACTTCGAATTTGATGTATCTGCATCCATACCGGCAGATGAGTTTATGTACGTTCCTAGGCTTGTGGGTACATTTGGAGATGTTGTTGGGGTTCAGGCAGAGGGAAAGACTCTGATGTTCTTTCAGACCGGAGAACATGCGGATGCATCTATGAGCTTTGAAGAGTCACCGGGAAGGGAGGGGATAAAGATTGAGGCAAAAGAGCTCATAACCCAAGAGATTGCTATGAAATACGTTAACCTTATTAGCAAGGTTGTACCTCTTTATAAGGATGTGAAAATCTCTTTGGGAGTAGGAAAGCCTGTGTTTTTTGGGCTTTACCTGGACGGCACAGCCCATATGAAGCTCTATGTGGCACCCAAGTTCGAAAATGAATGACCATTAAAAACAAACTATTCCAGTCTATAACTGTTCCATGGTATGAAATAAACATCTTTAGACCTTCGTTTTATTTCCCAGTTAGTCCCTATAGTAGTTTATGTAAATTATTGAAAGCAGCTTCTGATATAACTCTTCTCTACTTTTGAGCTTTTCCTCGGCCTTCTTGACCTCCGAAGCCATGTAGTTCCATTTGTCCCTCAGAACCCTCCACTCCACAGGGTTAGTGACCTCAAGGACATCAAGTAAATCAATCTTTTTTTTCTTGTTGAACGTCATATCCAACCAGAAACATACCATGTCCACTAGAACATGTATGTTAAGAACACTTGCTCTGTCTGGGTTCTCAACATAGTCATGATAGAAGAATGACACCTTTTGTAGATTAATGTAGTTTACGTCACTGTATACTTGGAATATCCCTCTAGGCCTGTATGGGTTACGCCCGGGGCCCTCAAAGATCCTTAAATAGGATGTATTATGAAGCACAGTAGCCGTCACGGCCGCTAATTCGTATTGCCTCGTGCTACAAAACTCATAAAGGAAGTTTAAAACCATTACAATGTATTCGCTTCTTTCTTTGGTTATTTGCATTCCTATCCTCTTGTATGCTGGAACACACATTCCAAAATACACCCTATGAAGATATTCGCCTTGGGAAATCATCTTATTTTCATCACTCGGAGGATTCAGCTCTTTAAGCGGATTAACATAGTTCTCGTTTATATACACGTCGTATAAATGAGAGATGTACTTCGCATGTAATCCCCGAACTGCAAATACAAGAACACCTAGAAGCGGTAGTCTTTGCATAGGTGGCGATTTTAAGGTTTCTTAAATACTTTTCTAGAAATATTTAATACAATCGCAAATTTTCGACGTTAATTATCATTTCCAAGTGATACTCCGCGTGGAATTAATATACCTGAAAGTAATACTGGAATTTAATTTCAATCACTCTGTGATGTTTTAATTAACAGCACAAAGGATTTCTCTCAATCTTCTGGACTCACGTCAATCCTCGGGTTTGTGCAGCTAGGGCCTCTACATTGATGCAGACACATTATACATTAGAGCTTGCGTCGGAAAGCCTTATGGAAAGCGAGGATAACATGAAGGAATATACAATGATTTCGGGAATGGTTAAGAACAGATACTACACAATTTATGGAGTGATAGTAGATTGGCTGGAGTGGAAAAGATGCCGAGGAGGAGATTACATGATGACCTTGGATCTGATTGATGAATGTATGAAAAAATTATCTGTTAAGATTTTCAGTCCAAAGAAAATATTCTCTAAAGGATTCTGTGTTGGAGAGGTTGTAAAGATAAGGAACCTAAGGATTTACGATGCATGCAGGGCGGTGACTGATCGTAGCAATGACATTGAGGTGATATTCACGCCATACGAATCTCCCAGCGATGTTATTGCTCCTTTTCCAAAGCGGCTTATGGAGTTTTTTAATCAGAACAGGGAAATTTTTGTGAAAGAAAGGAAAATATCTGAAATAGAGGAGGGAAGGTATTTTGATTTCAACGGAGAGTTGATAGACAAACAGAAGGAAAGATGCAACTTAATTCTCCTTAGATTTGTAGATTATAGCAGAAACAAGCGGGTTCAGGGCCAAGACACCACCGAGAACTATCCAAAGGACATGGTTCTGATTGTGAAAGCATGGGGATGCTTTGCCATGGAAGCCGAGAAGTGCGAAATTGGGGGATGGTATAGACTTAGGAATCTGAAGGCAGACGAAGTGGGATATCGTTTGTATGCAAGTCTGTCTGAGTCAAGCAAGGGGAGCATTTCCAACATAGGAAGAGACACGACTCTCGGGAAGTACTTCCAAACAAAAAAGGACAAGTACATGGAAGGTTTTGCACTCCGGCAAGGAGGAATGAAGGTTCCGGATGGAATTGCAAGATACAGACTGACTGAAATTAAGGACATACTTTTGCCAGGTGTGTACCGGATTAGGGTTTGTATAAAAAGATATATGCCATCTGGAGGAATGGAAGTGTTTTTCTGCAAAACCTGTGGATCGGAAGACAGAGGAGTAGATGGAGATTGCAAATGTAGTATTCCCGAGATAAAGAAAATCAAGGTAGTAAAATTGCTGCTCTGGGATGGGAAACAGGAGATAATAGCTGTATGCCGAAACAAGCTTGTAGAACATATATTTATCAAGGAAAACGATGGATATCTAAGCAGAAGAATGTTTGATTGCATGATTCTGAACGTTAGGGGTGTGGAGGGAATGGTCTACCATCTTATTGATCTTGGCTTTTTTGAAGTCGAAAAGGAAGGTTGAGAAGGGAGCCCATTTGTAGACCAAAATCATTTATTTATCATTTTCGAATAGACCTAGTATCTTAAAGAGGTCTCCCTCGGAGAATCTCTCTTCCATGTCTTCTATTACAAGTTGGAGACAAACAATCGACCTGGGGTTGAGATCTATCAGTTGTATTGACTCAAACTCTGTCAAGCCCATGTTCATCAAAGCTTCTCTGACCTTTCCGGCCTTATCTCTGGTCATGGAGAAGGTGCAGAATAGCCTTACCTTTTCCAAGAATTCGGTCTGGCCGGGATGACTTTCCATGGAGTTATCTATTATATCTAATGCATCTATCTTTGACAGTAGTCGAATTCTCCCCGTTATTTTCATTGGGAGTATCTGACAAGCGTTAATTTATTAACGGGGGAGATGTTGTAAAGTCTAGAGTTCGACCCATGAAAAATGAAGGAAACCCGTCCGGAAAGGAGGAGGAAAGATAAATCTGATAGAGCGACAGTAGATAAGGTCCTTGACAAAAGGACCCTGAAGGTCTTGGAGAGGCTGCAGGCTAGAGGAAAACTAACAAACCTCTGGGGAAGTCTTTGCACGGGGAAGGAGTCTAATGTCTATCTTGCAGAAGCTAGCACATCCCTGTGCAGCAAGTTCATCAAGAACAGATATAATGAATTGGAAGAGACTGGAGATTTAGAAGAAATGATTCCGGTGGCTGTGAAGATTTTCAAGACGTCGATTATGTCATTCAGAGATAGAGAGAGATACATAAGAAGTGAAAAGCGATTTCAAAGATTTTGCACATCGAATCCACGGAAGTTAATTAAGTTGTGGGCTGAGAAGGAAGTGCGAAATCTCAAGCGGCTGGGAAATGCCGGAATCCCCTCTCCAGAGCCCATTTATCTAAAGAACAACATTCTTATAATGACACAGATAGGAAGGCAAGGAGAGGTAGCACCCAAGTTGCGTGATGCGGAAATAGAAGATATCGAAGGATGCTACTTGCAATGTGTAGAAATAATAAAGAACATGTATAAGAAAGCAGGTCTTGTGCATGCAGACTTGTCAGAGTTCAATCTCCTATATTATGAGGGAGTGGTTTATGCGATAGACGTTGGGCAGAGTGTAGAGATTGACCATGATAACGCTCAGAGGTTTCTGATAATGGACATAAACAATGTCAATAGTTTCTTCGGTAAGAAAGGTGTTAACACAATTAGAGGAAACGATCTGTTTGAAGAGATTACGGGAAACGTCATTCCATCCTACCTGAAAGACATGGACATTGTCAAGGATGTTTTTATCCCATCCAGGGTTTCTGAAGTGGGAAACCTAGAAGATCTTGTAGCTTTCAAAGCAGAAAGAGAGGATTCCGAGTCTATGGAGTCTTTATCGTGCCAGTCTTCAATTGAAAGCGAAAGTTGTCTTGAGGATTCCAGTGCAAATCTTGAGGGAGAAGCAAAAGATGGAGGGGATTCAAAGGAAGAGAAGAAAAAAAAGAAAAGAGCTGTTAAGGAATTGAACCGAATCAGAAGGGCATCGAGAATCAGTAAGAAGGAAAAGAAAAAGATATTCAAGAAGTATATAGGAATGAAGAAGAGAAAAAGCTAACAGCATTTTAGTTATTAAATTTCTTATTCTATTTTAAACCCATATGATTATTGCAGATCTAGACAGAATATCTATCAGCTCGGAGACAAGGCCAAGACAGCAGCATATAGAGGAAGCAAGAAAAATAGTGAAAGCAAACTCGAAATACAGGGGAGATCCTGGATATAAGCACTTCCTTGACGAGACAGTCAAAGGTCTTTGCAAAGGATGTAGCAACGAAGACATTTTCCATGTGATCCGATCTTTGCAGAGGATGATAAGGCCTAAAGCTAGGATCCTTGGAGAGGATTTGTATTACAGAAAATAAAGATAAACCCACATTAACTTCTTTTAATAGAGAGCTTAAGCCGCTCCTTATGTATAAGGTGATTACACTTGATTAGCTTGTTCATCACATCATCAACGCTGTCATTCCACTTTCTCTTCCTAAATTCGATAATCCCTGTCTTTTGATTGATCTTACATTTTGTAAACTTGTTGTTGACCATGAAGGATATCTTTCGGATGACGTTTTCTGAGGAGCTTTGCATCACCATTGAGATCTCTTGGATGCTGATAGACGAGTAAAACCTTTCAACAATTCTGAAGTTGTGCTCATCGATTACAGAGCCAAGATCATTCAAGTAGATTGAGACATCTAGGACAGAGGAAAAGGCCTGTTGTATCTCATTGATCATTGACCTGTCTATAATGATACGTGACAAGAACCTATTTACAATGGATCTGGAAACCTCATCGTTGTTTTTGTCCAGGCTGAGCTTTCTCAACATTTCTATCCTTCTGTCAACCACATCTTCCATTTCTGTTTCGCATGTTGTTAGGATACAAAAGAACGAGCTCAGTACAACATAGCAGGTAGAGTTTTCTCCAAGCTTACTGAGGGAGTAGTAAACGTCGGATGCATTGAAATATCTCCTCTGCCCAAGATGGAGCAATACGATAAGCTCATAGAACTTGATCTTCTCAGCAACAGTATCGTTCTCTTCAAAGTACTTTCTCCTGATCTTCTTCATGCTTATGTCTGCCCTTATCCAATCTTGGTTCTGCACACACAGCCTTAGTTGCTCAAGCTGGTAGTTGACCACAACACTTTCCTTAACCATTGTAAATGTTTCCACCGGAACATTTATAACCACATCCAGTGCACTCTTGATGTCTCCAGACAACTCGTATCTTTTCTTAAGCTCTTCTGTGATGTATATCCTTTCCTCTTCAAGAAAAATCCTCCCTTCAATCACTTCTCTCAAGATAGAGCTGAAAAACACAACAAACCCTTTCTCTTGCTTCTTCCTTTCAAATAGCTGCCCAATCATCCATTTGATTGCCATTCGGTTCTGGCCTCTCTTTATTGTAAGGACCCGGGCGAGCCCAACAAGTTCCTCGTCAGACTTACAAAGATTCATCAGGTCTTCAAATGTCTTTAAAAGTGTCTCGTAGTCATTTTTTACCCTGGCCTTTCTTTCCTTTTCTAAAAGTTCCTCCATTCCCAAGGGCTGCCCAAGATCACAAAAATCCATTTCAAACAATAGCTCAACAAAGACTTTAATTCCTGATGTTTTTCCTTGGCTTCCAGAAAATGTTTTCTGGACGGCAGTATGTTTTCATTATAAATGTAAGGAGTATTCCAAAGCTATTGAAGGCCACAAACTGCACAGTGAAGTCGGGAATCACAATCCAGTCTACAACCCTGTTCCCCCACACGGCCTTACCTTCGATGACTCCGACGGCTTTGATCACAACGCCTTCATCAATATAGGGCGAGCACTCCCACACTCTACATAGATTCTTTTCCCAGAGAATGTCAAGCACTCTCTTTCCCTTCAGGCAGAAGATAACAATGGTTGAAGATTTCTTCTCTACTATTCTATATACAGGCATGGATATAAGGTGTGGTATGACATTTGAAGGATACTCAATGGCCAAGAAGTGTGTGGTTGGATGTGTGGTTGTGTATCTTATGATGCTCTTGGAACAGTCTGTAGAAATTATCTCGCATGAGAAACACAATACTGACGAGGCCATAACTAACCATCCAAACAGAATAAACATCTAGGGATCCCCTTGGGTGCTTCGCAACTTTCATTTATGAAAAAGGAATGGATGGGGCCCTAGATGAATCCGTTTGCAGAGGACATACAGTTTGACCCCAGGCTCTATGAGGTAGTTTCTAGAGCCGGGAAAAAGAATGACAAGACAAAGCTTAAGGGACTTCGAGAGCTAAATGACATGCTGGACGGTGTTGATTTAGAAGCAAACATCGATACATTGTTAGAGGTGGTAGAGGATGCAATGAAGTCTCAAGACCTCCAGATAAAGAACCTATCGATCGATATTCTCTACAGGCTTCTCTCTTCGGTAAAGGATAGGCTGAAGTTCAAGAGGGTGCTCTCTATTTGGCTTTATGGATTTATAGAAAACCCTGTATATTCCACCTCAAAAAAGATCTTCACTGAGTTTGTGAGGATTGAAGAATTGGAAGACGAATTCGTGCAGATATTAAACTTTAAGGAAAACCCTGTGCTTGGATTGTCCTGCTTGCAGCTCCTGGTAAAGAAAGGAAGAAAGGACTACTCAGGAGTGATTTCAGAAAACATCAAGTACCTAGATTTAAACTCTGCAAGGGAGTTGAGGGAAATTTACAAGCTATGCAAGATGCAAGGGAAGATTGAAGGTCTTTACAAAAAGGTTGTCGAAGTTAGGGGGCCTAATCTTGCAAATCTCAAATGGAAGATTCTCTTAGATATATTTGGTTCGGTCCCAGAGTGTATTAAGAGCGATGGAAAGTATCTTGACTCTGAAACGCTTTCAAGGGCTGTGGAGAAGTTGGATGTATGTGATGATATACCGGTGAGGACCATTGATGCACTTCGTATAGTTTTCCCTAAGATTAAGGACAAGAGACATTACATGAAAGGATATCTAAAAAACGGATCTATAGAGGAAATATGTATTCTTGAGTTCCTTAACGACTTCCACTTTCTGAACGAGAATGCAGGTTTTGAGACGGTTAACAAACTGATTGAGAATGTGATGAACATCCATTTTCAAAGCGACAGAGATGTAGAGAAGTCAATCAGCAAAATGAACATAGAGGTTCATTCAGAAAGTTGTCCTTCTCCAAACGAGAAGCTTAGGGAAAGCCATGAACACATATGCTCCTTGGACGAATCGGATTTCAGAGGAAGTATTCTTAGAATGCTTTTATCTTCGCTAGATGGGCTCCATGGAAAGAAGAAGATAATCCGAGCAGATATCTTGGGGATAGAACTTAATCCAGATGAGTTTTCAAAGGAAGAGATAGAGGAAGTGTTTCAACATTCGGTTAATGTGTTTCCAAAGGACTATATTCTGAACTCATCTTTTAGCTGCAATCTTCTTCCTTTGGTGCTAAAGTATCCTGAAGATGTAGGAGAAGAAAAAATAAGGAAAACAATATGCAAGGATAACCTCTTTCTATTTATTCCTGTGTGCAAGGATCTAGATTTTCTAAGGTCACTTGTATTTTCATATGATAACAGGTCTATAAACGAGATCTATCTATCTTCGGATATCCCTTCTGAGCTAGATCTGGATTTTTACTACAGACTCGGAGATAAAATAGATAAGCCTAGGATTGTGGACTACAAAAGAGTTCTAGAACAATATCTGGACCGTGAGTTCATAAGTGGTATGATTGAGAGTGAAATAATGGACAGAAATGTATTGTACACTACAGTGGTTGAGCAGTTGAGTTTGACAGATGTTCCCATTAGTACCAGCTATACAAGTGCGTTTTATGATTGGGACGAATGCTTTTATAGAGATATTAAGATTCGAGAGCAATCGCAAATGGTTCTGGGGCTTAGAGATGTATATATATGTATACACAAGGGGGCTTTGGAGGCATTTCTTCTACTTGTTCTAGATGCCATGTGTGATGATGAGGATGAGTCCTTAGACGAGAAGCTGAAAAGTATGGGAGTACCTGGTGGAAAAAAAGCATTAGCAGAAAGTGTTCTTGGAAGCCAGTCTGCAATAGAGAAATGGAAAAACACCGATTTGGGAACAAATCAGCACTTTGTTGAAAAGGTGTTTTTCGATCTAGGTCTTCCATCGAGAAGATGTGGTGATAAAAAACTTGAGCAACTTCTGGAGGAAGGAGGGCCACGAGCGATTGATTATGTTTTTAGGAAGCACATCATTCCTCCACGATTTGTTGCATCGGTGGACTTTAGTTATCTCAGTAACAAGGCGCTTATGTATGTAATCGGTATCCTGGAACGGGGATCTAGGAATGGCTTCCCAATAAGATTTGAGGAATTCCCAGTGGAAGATCTGGAAAGTTGTTTCTGCGTGGATAGAAAGGCTATAGATACCCATCTTTTAGAGTCTCTCGGGCTGGTAAGGACTCTTGAAGATCTCGGTATAGAAGAAGTTGTCCAGATGATAGAAAAGGATCAGCAGCTGCAAAGAAAGGAACTTTATAAGAAAAGATACTCCATTTATTCTCCATTGCTAAGGACCATTTATATCCATGTAGCAAATTCCATACTCAACATGTACAGTATATCGAGGTTGGACATAAACTCTGTCGATGACGAGGTCTATTCTCTCTTAAGGGGATGTCTCTTTGAATCGGAGATTTTGTTCTGGAACCTCCTCCTCAATTCTCTTCTAACCATCAGAAACATTAGGGTCAATGCCTTCCTAGAGAAGATGGTTGGGAAAAACGAGAAATGGAAGGAATTTCTTCAAGATGCAGATCTCGAGCAAAGGTCTCTATTTGCATTTGTATTTCCAAATTTGTTTGCCACAGCACCCAAGATGGAGATATTTTTGGACCCGTTTATACTAAAGGAGACGTCCATAGGAGTAATAGATGTTTCTGCTAAGACCCAGAAGCTTACCAACGGATTCGACATCAGAATTACCTATGAAGCAGGAGGCACTCAATTTACAGCTCTTATATCGATTCCATCAGACTATCCATACAAAAAGCCTATATTTACCTCCGAGATGGGAAAGAAAAGTCTTCTTAATCTCAAAATCAACGAGATGATCAAGAGATGTTCAAAGTTCATGGAACTTGTGGGGTTGTGGAAGATCAACATTGACGAGAAGCTTTCTGGCCATGGAGAATGTCCCATATGTTATCTCGTCATAGACATACATGACTCGTCATTTCCAAATGCCCAGTGTGAAACGTGCAAAAATAAGTTCCATTCACGATGCATTGTAAAATGGGTTGCTGCAGGAACAAGAAACAACTGCCCGATGTGCAGGAGACCTATAGAAGTGATTCCAGGAAAGGGTACGTAGGCCAGTTCTTTGGTTTCTATCAACAATTTAATTGAATTTTATATCAAGATCACTGCAGCTACTTCCTTGTTCTAATAAACTCTTTTAGTGTTTCTGGATCTAGGCACAACGAATTGTTCCTAAGGAACTTGAATAGCATTTGGAAGGTCGATGATCTTCTGAATGTTCTGGAATCCCCAATCACCACCAGCCCTTTTTTACACCGGGTTAGAGCAACATTGAGTCTTTTCTCGTTGTCCAGAAACCCAAATTCGTCTCGGTCGTTGCATCTCACCAGTGTTATTATTATATAGTCTCTCTCCTGCCCTTGAAAGCCATCTACGGTAGAGACCTCTACATCCACCATATCCCGAAGAAGTAATACCTGGGAAGTATAGGGCGCTATGATTCCAACCTCCTCTCCTTGGAGAGTCTCAACAATGCTTTTTACTATCTCAGCTTCCCCTATATTGGATTTTGAGACCCCGTCGCTTTCATAAAGCTCGAAGTACTGAGTGTCGACAAACAGAATTAAGCTCTTTCCAAACACCGATGTGTGCTCCTCGGTGATGCTTTTGACTCGTCCATTATAAAATACTTCGTTACTGAACTTCAAAAGGCCTGAGGGCATTCTGTACTGCTCATTCAAAAGCATAGTTGGAAGATTAAGGGATTCATATAGAGAGGATGTTTCCGGGCATAGCTGCATGGGGTCACCAACAAGGATGAATGTGCTTCCTTTAGAAACAGCAAGAAAAGACTCGGCCTCACATGCCTGGCATGCCTCATCAATCAGAACCCAATCGAACTTAGTCTTCTCCTTAAGAGAAGAAAATAACGTGGCAAACACAACAGAGGAGTTTGCTTGCTTCTCTTCAATGAATTTTTTTTGCTTCTCTCTTTTGTCTTTATAGAAGTTCTTGTCATTTCTCTCTTTCTTCATAAACTTAGTGTGCAACTCTGCCTGCGAATCCAGGTTCAGGTGGCTAAAACCTTTTTCAGAGCTTCCGAGGCGATAGAAGGAGGGTTGGTTACATGCGAAGTATTTACTCTTCAAAAACCTTTCTATAATGTTGTCGACAGACACATTGCTGGGCCCACATACAAGAACCCTTTTGTTGTTGACCAAAAGTTGAGATATTATTTCTACCACTGTTCTTGTCTTTCCAGTCCCCGGAGGCCCGAGTATTTTGTATGGATTGTTGTATTTTAACATCTCCACTGCTTTCCTTTGGCTTTCGTTCAGAGAGGAGTCATATAGATTGAGACTCCAACTCTCAGCTATTTTGCTGTTTCTTATATCCAGAATATCTTTTTTTAGGTTGTGTGCTTCTTTTGCCCCTCTCCATGATTCTACTATGAAATCATTGAAAGGTTTCCCCAACTTAACAAATCTCTCAAGATTGTCTAGAAGGACTCTGTTAGTATACTTGAGGTCAAGGACAGCTTCAAAGTCATATCCTTTGAGCTTTCTATTCCCAACGGCCCTAACTATATCCCCTTCAATTCCCACAACAGTACATCTCACTGGGCCGCTAGGAGTTTGCACGAATAGTTTTTCTTCCTCCTTCAACACTCTAGATATCTTAGTTCTTCTCGACATTGACACCACCCTCAGGGAATACAAATAAGCTCCTCCTCTATTTTCCATTGAAGCAAGTTTACACTTGAACTTGGTTGTTGGGCTCTCCTTTTCCTGGGCTTCCAGAATTCCTTGTAGATCCTTGCACAAGTGATCCAGATATTCCTTTCTTCGGGAATCTATCTCCATTGACCCCTACATCAGATCAAATTCTATACTACGAAGCCCATTGGAATGAGTGTCGAGCAAAAGCTTCATTTGATTACAAGAAACCTCCAGGAGGTTCTAGGACTGGAAGAACTGAAAAAAATTGTTTCTGAGAGAAATCTAAATGTTTATTGGGGAACAGCCATAACGGGAAGACCACATATAGCCTATTTAGTTCCTCTTATGAAGGTGAAAGATTTTCTAGATGCAGGATGTAATGTAAAGGTTCTTCTTGCAGACATCCATGGGTTTCTCGACAATCTCAAGGCGCCCATCGAAAAGGTTCAGGACAGATGCATATATTACGAAAAGTTGATAAAGTCCTGTTTGAAGATGTTGGGAGTAGACCTTGGAAGAATCCAGTTTATCAAGGGAAGTGAGTTTCAGAAATCTAACGAGTATACAATGGACTTGTACAAGATCTTGTCCATAACATCTGAGCACGATGCAAAAAAGGCAGGGGCACAGGTTGTCAAGCAGGTCAAAAATCCGATGGTGAGCTCTCTAATATATCCGGCTATGCAGGCTCTTGACGAAGTGCATCTATCAGTAGACGCACAGTTTGGAGGAGTCGACCAGAGGAAGATATTCACATATGCCAGGAAATACCTTCCTCTTCTCAACTACGAGAAAAGAATACATCTGATGAGTCCGATGCTCCCAGGATTGAACTCCGAGAAGATGAGTAGTTCGGACGACCTTTCAAAGATCGATCTTATGGACTCAAAAGAAACCATCTTCAAGAAGATAAAAAAGTGTTTTTGCGAGGAAGGAAACAAGGAAAATGGGTTAATGAAGATTTTCTCGCATATAATATTTCCTATCTTTCAACACAAGGGAGAGAACGTTAAGATTACGGATAAAGATGGAAGGGAAATGGAGTTTGAAAAGTACCAGGAATTCGAAAGCGAATTTGTCAGCAAATCCATCCATCCCGGAGATCTCAAGAGCAACGCAGCAAGGCTCATTGATGGCATCATAAGACCTATCCGAGAGGAGATGGAAGAAGATTTGTCTATGGTCAGGCGAGCTTACAATTAAAGACAGGGCTGATGTTTTACTTGCTTGTTAAAAACAAATCTCACATTACCCTGTGATGGAAATACGCCTCTGGCCAAACCAGGAGTTCCGAATCGAGGTTAGTGAAACACAAAAGCTGAAAGTGATGGTTGTGTCTGGCTTAGCAGAAATCAAGGGCCAGGAGCTTCTCAATGAAAAGTGGTACGCATTCAAGGACATAAAGACATTTATATTCACGTTTTCTGGATGCAAGCTCAAAGTGGAGGGAGCATGTGATCTACAATATGTGTCTGGCACGACGAATGTCCCTTCGATATTTGGGATCGTCAATTTTTTCTCGAAGAATGGGTTTGACTATAGCAAGCTTAGGACATTCATGGTGGTAGGAAATGGAAGATCAACCCTGTGCTTCACACTGATCAACTTCTTTGTGCGAATGGGAAAGAAGGTACTATTCACAGAGATAGATCCATCGAGGGGAAACATATTTCCTGGAGCGCTAAGCACCATGCACGTAGACACCTTAATCGACTGTATTGAAGGTCTCCGTCTGAAGAACCCGTTATCCTTCTTCTACGGATCCACAGAGATAACAAACATGGAGTTGTATGATCTCCAAACAACGAAGCTCCAGGAGGCTATAAAATCCAAAAACATCGATGATCTTCATCTGATACTTTGTCCGGAGGGTGCATCTGCGTTTTATAACACGTTAATAAAGAGATTTGAGGTCGATAGAGTTATTGTTGTAGGGAATGAAAGGTTATACCACACTCTGGACGTGATAGTGGAAAAGTTGATGATCAGTAGAAGCGGTTTTGTTGAAGAAAAGGAAATAGGAAAGAGCATATCCAGATACTTCAAAGGGGTGAATAATGAATATACACCATTTACATTCAATGTGAAATACAAGTGGAGGGTTGTGAGAATAGGAGAAATGTATGTTGCACCTGCTAGTGCTTTGCCACTGGGGAGTGCAAGGAAAGTAGGGTGTGTGGAGGCCTCTGAAGTGGAGATTTCGGAGAATTCTGTCTTAGGGATTTCAGAAGCTAGAGAGATAGAAGATGTTGCAGGATCTCCGGTTCTTGGATATGTGGTTGTGATTGATACAGGGACATTCAAAATATTATGTACCCAGCCAAGGCTTCCTAAGTATGTTTTTTTGATCCAGGGAGACCTCAAGCATATCGAGTACTAGCTTTCTTAATAAAACATTACAGTTCTCCGACTTTATCCAAACGGAAATTTTGTAAATTCGATGATCCCTTGGATGAACAGAAAGAATCCAGTAAGAGATGCAGGCTCTATTCTCAGAGATAAATACATTACCTCTCATCTGAACGAGAGTTTGAAGATTGATCATGAATATCCTCCTCTCCAGAAGGTGGGAGGGATAAAATATCTACTACCAAAGATAACAGAGCTTGTATACAACCCACTGTTTGCTAGGGCGAAGTATGACGAGATTGGGATCCATCCGCCCAGTACTCTCCTGCTGCATGGTGTTTCTGGGGTTGGGAAGACGTTTCTTGTAAACTGCATAAGCCAGGAGTACAAGCTTCCGATTGTCAAGGCGTGTGTAGACTCCGATAAGGAGCTTCGTGAGTCATTCAGGAAGTCATCCTTACTCGAGAAGTCGATTGTGCTCATTGAAGACATCGACACTTTAGGAGAGGATGATAAGAAGGTGATATCCCAGCTTTCCGAGTATCTTGAGAACTACAAAGGAAAGTCGATTGTGATTGCTACTGCTCGAAACCCCGCATTTATTCATGAAAGTCTCAACAAGTTTGAAAATTCGCTACTGGTGAAAATACCAACGACATCGGAGAGGAGAGAGATCTTGGCCAGTATTACCGACAGAATGAAATGCCAGGATATTGACTGGCTGGAACTTGCAAAACTTATGCCAGGATTTGTTGGAAGAGACTTGAAGAGAGCCCTTAAGATTGCTTCTACAAAAGCCGTGACTGACGGATCACATGTTATCCGGATGGTGGACTTTGAGATGGCGCTAAAGGAGATAAGGTGGAAGGGCACAGACATCACCTTTGATAGTATTGGATCTCTTGAGGAAGTCAAAGACGAGCTCAACATGAGCATCATCTTTCCGTCCCGATTTCCAGAGAAATTCCACAAGCTTGGGATCACAAGGCCTTCTGGAATACTTCTTTATGGACCTCCTGGATGTGGAAAAACATTACTTGTTCGGGCTGTGTCGAACATGAGCCATTGCAACTTCTTGAGCATCAAAGGCCCAGAGCTCATAAGTAAATATGTTGGGGATTCAGAGAAGGAGATAAGGAAGCTGTTTGATAAAGCTAAGCAGCTACAGCCATGCGTGTTGTTTTTTGATGAGATAGATTCCCTTTGTGGAGAGAGGAATGGAAACGAATTCACCAGTCGCATAGTCAATCAGATATTGACGCTCTTGGACGGGCTTGATGATAGAGGAGATGTGTATGTAATTGGAGCCACCAACAGAATCGAGAGCATTGATAAGGCCATATTACGTCCTGGAAGATTCGACAAGATTCTTAAAGTCCCCCTACCATCTAGAGAAGGATGCGTGGATATATTTAGAAAGTGCACCAAGGGAATACCCATCGAGCCCTTTGATTTTGAAGGATTAGATTTGGAAGGGTTTAGTGGAGCAGAAATAGCAGGTTTAATTAGAGATGCAGCAATGTTATGCCTGAAACGCAACTTCAATGCAGATTCTTTTTTAATATCCAAAGTGGACATCTTGGAAGCGTTGAAGGCCGCAAGAGTTACCAAGGACTTCCGGTAGGCACTTTAAGCTGATGCCTTCTAAGTTCTCCAAAACCCAATGCAGATAGAGCTACCTAAGATGGAAATGGCTCGTTTATTTTTAATAAAAGGTATTGAGCCTATCCAACGCCATAATTATTTTGTTTCTATCATATTTTCCAGCTTCAATAAAGTCTTCCAAATCTGCGCTGTTCATGTTGTTTATCACATCGACGTTTATGATTCTGGTTGTCTTTTCCTGGAAAAATGGTGCCAGTCTACCAGCATGTCTTTCCAGTTCCGTAAGGAGCCCAAGTTCCTCGTTACCCAGAGTAAGGCTCCCTAATATTCCAATCCCTCCGTTTCTTGTTGTGAAATAGACAGAGTCAGACCGGGGTAATGACAGAGACCCTGGACACATGCTTGTTATTCTGTCTCCAATAGAAAGCGTCTCCATATTATAATTTCTGTCCAACATCAGAACCTTCCCATCTGTGGTTGTAAGAATAAGACTTTCTAGGGCGAAAACCATGGATTCTATCTGTTCTTTACCATTTGAAAGGAAATCTAGGGATAGATGGTTGGTTTCCTCGTTAAATGTAAAGACCCCAAAAGATCTGTAGATACATGAACAGGCAATCTTGCTTCCATGCATTGCTATTCTATACGGTATAAAACCTATTTTCATTACACACAGCTCTACAAGGATTCGTGCTTGTCTTTTGTATACATATACATTGTGGTTTCTATGTGTTGCCAAGTAATCCCCGTCGGAATCCAATGCATGCACAACACCCTCCCCTGTGCTTTCGTAGACAAGCTTGATACAATTCCCTCTTGTAGAAAACATAGCAAGCCTTGAAAAGCTGCCCTCTCTCGAAAGGTTACTTACAACAACAAAGTAATGTCTTGACAGAAACCTTCCATCCATTACTATCTCATCTTGGAGGAAGAGATTGTGTACATGCCTTTTCACTTTCAAAGAGAGATAGGAATTGATTATCGGATCATTGTCGATGTTGAGGATTGGGCTTACGAGCCCTGTAACTTCCTTTTCATCATTCATGGCAGAGAACTTCAGCACATATCCATTCCTCGGATCCGTTTCTTGTAGCTTATCTTCAATAGAAATCTTAATTTTGGGAATGGATCCAAGATGGCATCTGTAAATGGACTTCCCTACAGAAACATACAGATGATCGGCAACTAAGGCATAAGATATGCCTTCTAGGGAGCATTTATAGCACGAAAAGTCCTGGAGGTCTATAAATATGCTGGATACCCCAATTCCCATTATGTGCCTTCCAACGGGAATCATGGTTTCAATCATTGTATCAGAAAAGAATGAAGGCTTAAGAAATAGAAGCTCCCATTTGTTCTCTTCTTCTGTCTCTTTTAATATTGATAAGATGCTTCTGGAACTTGTTTCGGGCTCTTGCCCAAAAGTAACTTCATATCCCACCCCATGCATGTCTCCAAAAAAGAGTCTCCCGCCTGCAATGCATACCGATTTCAAGATTTCATGTTTTCTTCTATGAACCACTTGGAGGTGTTTGTTCATAATAATAAACTCGTCGTAGTATGTTGATATAAACAGGTAGCTATGGAGATAGAGAAGGCTAACTTCGTAAGGGCATTCTACACACTCAATGCATTCCATTGTCTCAAGGCATATTGCCTTAAGATTCCTGTCTCCAGTAAACACAATACATAAGCCTTGATGGTAGGAAGAGAGTACTATGTCCTTTATCTCCAAACTTGAAATATCCCTTCCTTTCAGACGATACATGTGGTTTTTTGTATTGAAATAGCAGTAGCCATCTATATGTATGTTAAGGATTTCTCCAAAGTCCTGTTCTTCACTCATACCTTCTCTTAATACTTTCCCTTGGTTTGGATGTGACACAATCAAGACTCCATCTGCTATCCCGAATCTTCGGATAACTCCAGAAAGATTATATCTTGGTTCTACCGAAAGATCAACTGAATATGTGATCTTCTTAATCGAATTTCTTGAAATATATCTAAATGAAGTCCCAAGGTACGATAGAGACATTGGACAGGCACCACCTTCAAATGTTTTCAGAACCCTTAACTCTTTTCCTATTTCGAGATGGTAAGAATTTCCACAAGGTGATCCTCCATAGTACAGCTTGTCTTCAAGATGAAGCAGAACACTAAACCAGGACCCAAGGTTTCCCAAAACCTCGGTTTTTAGAGATAAACCTTTGTAAGATGCAATTTCATTTTCACAGGTTTTGTTACTAGTTGGAATATTTCCTTCCAGGGATATGCGTATAATCTCTCCGTCCTCCATTGAGAGCAAAATACTTCCGTCTGCCGCCAGAGTGTTCTTGATCCCGGGATTTGCAAATTCGCTCTCAAGTACAAACTTGCCTCTCACATAGTAATATAACTTCCCTTCGCCTATAAGGAGCAACCCATCCCCTATGGCCCTTGCAGATACAAGCCCCTTTCTAAGGAGCATCTTTTCTTTTAGAATCATTTTAGGTTTGGAAGGCGCCATTTGATATCTCGAATAAAAGACGTCTCCAGAAATGTCTTCTAGCAAAAACCCGACATCACCCTTATTGGAAAATCCGTCAAGAATCTTATAGTATCCAAAGTCATTTACATCATCTCCAAAAACAAGTCCTTCGTGGCCCATACTTGCAACAGTAACTGTATCATTTTCCGCAATAAATATAAAATTCTTCGAAGTTCGGATGCATTTGATATAGGATAGAGGAGCTGGCATCCTTCCGCACACAACTGGCTTGTCTCTACCCATAATGGCATAATCTCCCCTATTGGAAACCAACAGAAATCTTTTTGAACTCCTAAATACCACTGGCACAATAAGTGTTACATATCCATTGGGATATATCACATCCACAGGCCTCAGGTCCAGATTGTATATCTCGACTATCATTCCTCTAGTTACCGCGATACACGGTTCCCTCTCATATTCAATCCTTGCTCCGGAAACCGCAGAGTCAGGGTCGTTGATGGTTCTCATTGCATAGTGCATTGATACAATTTCTGGGTTCCACTGGAATAAGTTACAACTATTTCATTAAAAATTTTGTTGAGTAAACAAAGGTTGGATGAAGGTTACATATGACTTTGCCGAAACAAAGGACACCGCAATAGTGTTTGTATATAAACCCTCTGCAGAAAACATGCATATAGACCCTGTGCTTGAGGGCCCTAGAAGACTCAGACTATCCGAGAATATCTCTATAGACCTTTATGGAGATGTTTATCCCGAAATCAAAATTAACGAGTCGAAGTTAAGAATGGAAATTCACCTAAGAAAGGTAGAGGCAATAAGATGGGGAGGTATCAGAGGAAGGCCGATCGAAGAGCCTCAAGACAGCAATAAAGAAAGTGTAATAGAAGATTCCGAGGACGAAGAGAATACTTCTGTAATGGACCTGTTCAGAAAGATTTATCAACGATCTGGAGAGGATGTCCGAAGAGCGATGGAGAAGTCTTTCTATGAGTCTGAAGGAACTGTTTTGAGTACAGATTGGGACCAAGTCAAATCAAAGAAGATTACCCGGGAAGATTAAATCCTTATTTCTAGAATCTACGCATTAGACTATCATTGGCACTTTCAAGACATTAATAGACAAGAAAGAATTAAGAAGCCATTGTACAAAGTTAAAATCTTTTGCTAGCGAGCCATTCAAGAGATCCCGAGATCACCCTATTGGTTTATTTCGTTCTGGTGGTATGCTTTCTTCAACTTCTCGGCTAGGGCATATATATCCCCTTCCGAGCTCTTGAGGGCCACTTTTTCCATGGAATTTCTGAACATTTTTAGATGGTTTTCTCTTTCTGCCTCTCTGTCTCTTATCTTCGAAAAGTACTCCCAATTTCCTATCGAGTCAATTATCGCCTGGTCTGTCAAAAGAGAATGATCAAGCCCCAGATCTCTTCTTATGTCCTCTTGGAAATACTCTATTTCCTCAATAAGCTCCTTCATGAGGGCACATCCATTATTCCAAATGTCATCTATGTTAATTGTAGTCACACAATACAAAAATATATTGAGATCAAATTTAATTGCCTGTCAACCATTACACCCACCAAAATTAAATCCGCAAGATACTTTTTGGGAGAGTAAACAATACTCTGATTCCTACGATGTAACAATACCTAGCAGATGGAACTGTATACAAAACTCTAAGTAAGGGATTACCCAACTATTATATTTTCCGTTAAATATTTCAGATACACCCTTCATTAATTCAAGAGGAACTCCTTTCGGCACCGAAAAAAACACTTGCTGAACAAGATATTTAACCTCGCTTGAAGCCCTTATGTCGTCTCTTATCCTCTCCAAAATCTCAAAAATACTCTTGTCTTCATTGGTAACAGCATTTTTCCGGATGTCCATTGCGAGTTGCTGGAACTTTTCCCAAATGTATCGAGAATTTTTCTTTTCTGGATTGTGGATTAGAAAAGAGTAGTAGGGATCGATTTTGGATCCAAGATTCTGGAACTCCTTAAAATCCTCGGGACTTATACGATAACAAACTTCAAGTCCTGTACTTATTTCCCATGATCTAACATCCAACAAGAGCCTATCAATATTAGATTCCGTTTCTTTTATTGTTCGCTTAATCTTATTGCCAAAAAGATCCTCTCTTGAAAGATATAGCTTTATATCTTCTGAAAAAGAGAATTGAACCATATTTCCATCCGACATGTTCTCCAAAAGATTTCTGATCGTTACCAAAATAGAATATACAACAAAGAGCAAGGAGTTCTTACGTGAAGCCATTTCGTTTCCTATATCATCGAGAGCACGAATAATTTCTGCAGTTTGTCCATCCATGGGCTATGATGAATAGTTTTATCAAATATAGAAAATGATTAATCCATTTATTTCTTGATCAAACTCCGTTTCGATTGATATGGAAAGACGGATGCTTAGAAGTAGAGCCTTAAATTTAGACTGTCTCTCTAAGGACTTTAGATATGGTCTGTTGAAAATCCGAAGGTCCATCGATGGCTTGTAATATGCGAGACGAAACATTAATAATATTGCAATCCTTTGTGATTAATTCTCCATTCCAGCCTATCTCCTTTGCCTTAACAACATTACTATTGGAGTCATCGAAGAAGTAAACATTTCTAGGTACTTCTATTCCCAGAGCCTTTGTCACAAATTCATAGGATTTATAGTGCGGCTTGCAGCAGAAGGTTGTGTCATACTTTCCTATACATATCACAACCTCAAAACAATCTAAAATTCCTATCTTTGCAAGAATATTTTCTGCTCTGTCTCTAGGCCCATTTGTAAAGCAGCACCTTCTGACATTCTTCATGGAAAGGAGAAACTCCCTCAAGCTTGGATCTGGAGAAAGATATTGAAGATAATCAAATTCCGAAAGCATCTTCCAGTACTCCTCAAGGGAAATTCCCACATACTTGTAAAAAAGAAATGAATACAGTAATGATATGGCTAGGTGCTCTTCAAACATCTCCTCGGTTCCTCCTTCCTTCAGGGAAATATACTTCTCCATAAGAAATTTCTTCTCCATTTCCTGGAGGTTATTTGATGGATGATAAAGAGTGTCATCTATGTCGTACAAGAACAGAGTATCGCTTCCTATCTTTTTGAGCTTGATATCCAAAAGAGATAGATCCTGCCCCATCTCAATGAAAACAGGACTTTGAAAAGGTTTCTCATCCCGAAAGTCCTTGGAACTTGGTAGGCTATCTTCTAAGTGTTGTTTCTCCTCTTCCATAGGAAACGACATTTTCTCAGACTTCTTTGCAAGTTTGGTCGGGATCTTTCCTTTATCACAAGAACTGGACATTAACCTTTTGGCCTTGCTCTCAGCTTTCTTTATCCCGCTAGAAAAAACCTTGAAAATAGCCTTGACCACATTCCCAATTCCTCTCATCGGGGTAAGTAAAGTTGTTTTAGCTGTACTAAAATTTTTCTTAGAAACATATAAAAATAACTCACAAGGGAGATCTTTATTTACTCCTGGCCGTGGTCGACAGGCTTGGTCGGCATCTTGGAGGAGAGACTAGACTCATTCTTTTCTCCATTTACAACTGTAGAGTCAATGGTAGAGAACCCCGAGTCCGAAACATCTTCCATATGGGAGTTGTTGGGGGACATCTTAGAGATGCCTTCTTCGTTCTTTATCCCGAGGATTTCCTCTTCCATCTCTTCAGTCCCACGCCCTCGGTAGTTTTTTTGAGCCTTTTCGTAGTACTCGTTGAAATACCTGAATATTGCAGACCTTGTTCTCTCAACTATTTCCTCGAGATCTCCTTGGTACTTCTCCATAAACCCACGAATATAGAACTTGTAAACAAACACTGCGCCAGTACAGGCAGGTATGGATATCCATGCAACCACTATAAGCTTGAACAGCTGGTAGAAAGGTATGAAGTCAAGCACGAATGAAAACAAATTGTCTAGAACAAGAAACACGGCAATAACCATGAAATACTTATTGTATCTCTTATAAACCCTTTTATCTTCTCTGCATGCTCTGAATGACTGAAGAACATTGTAAAGAACCAACATTGCCACAAAAGCATTAACAAGAAAGCTTATCATTTCAGGGTTCCTTCCTTTCTATTTTAAAAACAAAGAACCACAGAAAGAAAAGTTCCCTTTCAGGGAGCTAAAGAGGTCTTTTTAAGCCTGATTGGCAGTATTGCCCGGATTCTCTGATTGGTTTAAGCCAAATCAAACATCACACAGATTCTTCCGCCAAAGAATTCAATAGGGCCATTCACAAAGACAAAAACAAGATCACCTAGGAACTATACCTGATAGATGAACAACAGAAAGAAATTTGAGGAAATAAAGCAGCAGCTTGAGTCCTTTCTTACTCCAAAACATCTTAGGAACGAGTTTCCCCAAGAGAAGGGATGGATGATGCCCGAAAACTCCCCATACAAGAACGAGTACAGAAAAGAAGGCTGAGCACAGTAGTCTTTTAGTAAACATATTGTAAGTGATCTTTAATCAGATGTTCAATCCTTTCTTATACTCAAGGATGCTTCCATAGAACCTCTTGATGTTTCTATTTTCGCAAACATATATTTCCTTAAAGACCGAGTCAATGAAGCTTAAGTCATGACTGACACAAACAACAGCTCCTTCAAACCTTCGGAGTGCTTCTGCCAGTGCATCTATGGATTCCATGTCAAGGTGGTTTGTGGGCTCGTCCAGAACTAGAAGGTTTGGCCTTAGCCCATTGATGATTGCAAACCCTAGCCTACTCTTTTGTCCTCCCGAGAGCGTTCCAATACATTGGTTGTCAACATTTAATCCGAAAGAGGCAAGGACCCGTCTACTCTCTTCTTGGCCATAAGACTTCATCATAAAGTCTAGCACGTTTTCATTGATCTTTAGTTGATCTACATGGTGCTGAGCAAAGTATCCAACTCTCAAAGAAGGACTTCTTATAAGATTCCCCTCTGTGGCCTCTATCTTTCCAGCTAAGAGCTTGAGAAATGTACTTTTCCCTTGTCCATTGGCTCCAACCACCACTATTCTGGAGTTGGACATGATTCTTATGTCAAGACCCTGAAGAGTCTTTCCAAGACCATAAGAAAATCCAACCCCAGACATCTCAAGCAATATGCCCTGGGATGGAGTAGAAGAAAACGAAAACTTGATGATGGGATCTTGCTTAGGAGGAACAAGTGTTGGCATTTTTGCAAGTGCCTTTATCTTACTCTGCACAAGAGATGCCCTTTTAGCATTGTATCTAAACCTATCAATGAAAGTCTGCATGTGTTCCCTAACTGTAAGCTGGTTTTCATACTCTCTTTTGGCTGCTGTCATCCTCTCCTTTCTTTGCCTCACGAAGTTCTCATAGTTCCCCTTGTACATATCAATCTTCAAGTCGTTAAGATGAAGTATCATCTCTGTGGTACTGTTAAGAAAATTCCTGTCATGGGACACAATAATAACCGTCTTCAATTCTTTCACCTTTTTTTCTAGCCAGCTTAAAGCATTGATGTCAAGGTAATTGGTAGGCTCATCAAGTAACAGCAAATCCGGGTTCATATTTATCGCCTTCGCCAGATGTGCACGCATTCTCCATCCCCCACTCAAATCATTCATCTTCTTCCCAACCATATCTTTTGTAAATCCTAATCCATTTAGTGTTCGCCCGGCCTCAGCCCCAACAAATTCTTCCACTGTTCCTTCAGAGAGCAGATCTTGCCTTATCATATAAATCTTCATTCCTCTTGGAATCCCAAACTTTCTTTTTCTAATTGCCTTCAAAAGTGTTGTCTTTCCTATTCCATTCCTCCCTACAAGACCGTACTTCCTTCCTTTGATAATGGTAAGAGGCGTCTCCCGGACAATCTCCTTCCCTCGTACAAAGAGGTCAATATTCAAATGGAGATCTCCTTCAAACTCCTCGGAGTCTGTGTCTTCCCCTGATGAGGATGACTCCAATAGATATTCCTCTTCTGCTATTGTGTCAGGTATTGCCTCTTCCTTTCTGCTTTCTATCGATCTCATCGAAAATGGTGTTTCCAATGGAATGGGATTCCTTCCATAATCCACAGTGTAGGATTCCACCCCCACTGCAATGGCCTCTTCTTTCGACTCAAACGGGAATTTCTCAAGCTTTCCTAAGTACTTGGATTTCAGAGAAGAGATCTTTCTGTCCATCCGACCGTAGCGTGGGTCATAAGGCCAGAAGAATTCAAGTCTTCTTCCTGAATAAAGACCGGGGTGGGTCGAAAACGCCTGAGTAAATAATAGAAAGAGATTTACCAAATACCACTATTAACTAACAAGACGCTCCATCAGATTGCAACAGTGGGGTAGAATCCAGAAGTCAAAGAGATGGCCTTTGTCTTCTCCCTCAATCAGAATTCTTCTAATGGCCTTCTTTTTCTTTTCAAATTTCTGGCCTGTATAAACAATTTTGTTGTTGTTCACAAACTTAACATACTCCGAGGCAAGAAATTCTTCTTTGAATTTTTCTGTCCATTCTGTGATATTTTGATTTTGATTTGTCTTTGTTGAATTGCAGGCATCAAGAATAGAGAGAAGCTTTGCCCACCAAGCTTTCTTATCGCTATTAAAAGGACTGCTGATATCATATAGTTGGGAAAAAATTTCTTTGAACTCTTGTCCAATATACAAGTTAAATTCCCTCAGGCTTGCTTTTCCTATCTCCTTCTCGATCAGCTTGTGTGCATCGATATACCATAAGCACACCTGCATCTCAAGCCCCTCAAGATCGTTCCGTATCTTGGATAGAATTTCTGTCATTTCCTGAGCAAACTCAGGTGTGTCTTCTCCCTTAATGTTCTCTAGGATGTTGTTGTTCAAGATGAAAAAAGAAAACTCGTTCGAATGTACTAAGGCCGATGCCTTCCAGGCCATCTCCAACAAATTCACAAGAATGAGAATCTTGGGCTCTTTGGTATAAGCAACACATCGGAGAATAAGATTAAGGCGTGATTTTTCACTCATTTGTTAGGGCTTTTTACAATATCTCTTGAATCTCTCGGGCTGTCTTCCCCATCATTTCTATCAATACTTCTACATTCAATATAATATCTAATAGGAGTTACAACCAACTTGTCTTGTTTCCGTTGGACCAACTTTTCAAGAAACCTTGTGCATCTCCCGCTAAAAGTTCCCACACCCATTATATCTTCAATATCAACCTCTAATCCTTCAATCTGACTCCGAAGATACTCCCCGTCCTCAACAAAAGGACAATTGCTTTTTCTCTCCTCATTCGTTGTGTTTGCTATCTTCGAGCAGGTGAAGCAGGTGTAGTTCGCCCTTTTTCCTTCAAGACCATAGTTGTGCCTAATTGAATATAGATATTCTTTATCAAAGACTTCTTTTCCTGCCTTGAACGATCTTCGAAAAAAATCTATTCCATCTTCAACACTCATGCCACAGTCCTTTAGGAAGAGACATAATGTTTGTCTGTCGTTGTATTTAAGATGTCTATTCTTTCTCAGCCTTTGCATTATGGCCTTAATACATAGCGGAAAGTATTTCTCGGCGTCCTCTAATGAAAACACAGTGTTCTTCTCACATGTTGTAGGATTCAGAAGTAATTTTGTGGCAAGGCTTTTCATCCTTTCGTCTGGATTTCTTAAAAACATCTCCACCAGCTCATTCATCTTTCCTTCCAAGTACCTTCTGAACTCATTACCAAGTAGTGATCGGATCCCCTCGTCATTCAGCTTGAGATATCCTCCCTCAGGTATAACTATTCTTCTTCCAACCATATCAATCACCTTTGTAAAGTGGACGAGAACCTCAGAGCTCATCATCCCAATTGCACAATCTGGATTGTATTTTGCTTTCATTCCAAGCACCAAGACCCCATTCCGAATCTCGGCTCCATCCATGTAAGGCAACACCTCTGTAAGGAAAAACTCCTTTGCACCCTCCGGATTTTTGGCCATTCTTAACCGCAGTAAATTCACTTCTGCATTTACAAACCAAGTAGCTGCCCACGGATCTTGAGAACACACCATTCTACAGAAAAAGTGGGAGAGAGTATCATCTTCCGTGTCCATCTCAAAGCATCTGGAAACCGAAGGATTTACTTCTTCGCGCTTCAGAATTTCTATTCTTCTTTCTGCACACTTCCTGAACGTTTCGTAGTCTACTGAACTCTTGGAAAGCATAGTATAAAATTTAATTCCAGGCAATTCGTCTCCCTTTGCAGCCTTTATTCTCTTCATCCTTCCTAACCCTAGGAAACCGGGAAATATTTCCTATTCCGAAGATCTCTATTTTCTCCGTGCTACCTTTAGAATAGACATAAGAACAAGTACAACAGAAAGAAGTAACATAAAATACATAATCTTGTCCTTCATCCGGCGATGAGAGGCGGGTATCTTCTCCAGCTCGCAGTTGGCTCCCTCAAGGTAAAAGTTTACCGACTCGAGATAGAAGTCTAATCTATCTATTTGAAGTGTTTGTTGCCCAACGGCCATTTTCATGTCTAAGAGAACGGAGGTGAGATCATAAATCGACTTCCTTAAATCCTTTACATTTTCAAGGAGCATTCTACTTCCCTCGTTCTCCTCATCTTCCTCCTCTATCTCTTCATAGATGTCTATGTTTTTTAGGAATTTCTGTTGTAGCCCTCTATAGTCATGGACTATCGACTTCAGCTGTCCAACAAAATAACCATACATGCACTCTGTCAGAGTTTTCGAAGGAGAGATTTCTCGGATCCCCTCGATGTTTTTCTCTGCATTATGGATATGTTCGACTATACATCTCTTGATATCCTCGATCTCTTCTTTCTTTTTCCTTTTTGGCGAAAACGAAGGCATACAATGTTTTTCCTGCACGATACCTAGTCTGCAGATACTTTTCCTTACGTCTTCCAAAAACACTCGAAGCCCGGATGTCGAAAGCGGATTAAACCTGACATCCTTTCTTTTTGTAAATTTTTTATATTCCAGGGTTCTATTCACAAGCATCTGTGCTCTTTATTTGTCTTAGAGAGGAAGGTGTTATCACTCTTATGAAACAGTGTTTTATTTGATTACTTCCTTGGAGCATACAGAAATAAAATCCATTTTCAGTATCCAGAACATCCTCTACATCCACAGTTGTCGCATCTTATAGCCCTCGCAACGTCGATACTTCTCTCGGGAACTCTGCATATGCATACATTTCCATGCTTGCTGTCAATGGGCTGGATGCATCGGAGGCAGCATAGGTCTTCATATCCCTCTTTTTTCCAATAACAAACTAATTCATGGTCCACAAATCGGTTTAGTGAAAGATATTTGTATAGCTCATTACTTATCTCGCCTTTTTTATCTAAATTATATATGTATCTAGATCTCTGGTGATGGAGCTGGAAAATCGGCCAATAGTTTTCGGGAGGATTTGTAGCAAGAGGAGCATTCTCCGCTTTTCTCATTTCTGTCTCTATTTTCTCTAGGAAAGCCTTTACTTTCTCAAACTCCTCTGGTGGATTGATTGGAATTCTTGTCATTCAACCCAATCCGGGGCTCCACACAATAAATAAAATTGTGCTGCATCCATGTGCTTGTCGTCACAGATCTTGTCTTCTTGTTTCAGATTTTTTTGAATAAAATGGATATTTTATTCTTTAAAACAATGCAAGGAAAACTTACAGGGCTATTGACTTTGCTGTTAGGATCGATAGGAGCTTCAATAGTTAAGGAAAATACCCTTGGAAGCCCAGACCTTAGAACTTCAGAAGTATTATACTCCAATGGAGCCTGCAGCACAGAAGTTCCACTGTGCTCGAGGCTTGGAGTCAAAAAACTCATGGAGGGTGGAAATGCAATCGATGCAGCAATCGCATCTGCCATATGTATTGGAATAATAAACTCTTTCTCGTCGGGAATTGGAGGTGGTGGGTTTGTCCTAATCAAAGGCCCAGATGGAAGCAATATGTTTGATATGATAGACTTTAGGGAGGTAGCCCCTAAAAGCCTTTCTTCAGACAAACTTGAGGGAATGGGAAGGACAAAGGTAGGAGGTCTGAGTGTTGGAGTTCCTGGAGAAGTCCTTGGGCTGTACGAGGCACATCAAAAGTACGGAAAACTTCCATGGAAGAACTTATTTCCCGAGAACATAGCAATCGCTAAAGGGTTTCCTGCTAGTAACCAGCTTATAAAGAGAATCAATAAGTTCAGCAGCTATGTGAGGAGTGATCCGGGACTAAAAGAAGTTTATACAAGAAATGGAGTTCTCCTTAAAGAGGGGGATATAGTTGTGCGTAAAAACTATGCTAAGACATTGGAGACTATAATGAACAATCCAAAAAGCTTCTACACAGGCGAACTTGCAGACTCGATTGTCAAAGCTGTAAGGGAAAAAGGAGGACTGATGGAAAAGAAAGACCTTGAGAAGTATCGGATTATCCATAGAGATGTTCTGGAAGGAAGATATCACGACTATAAGGTTTATACCACGAACCTTCCAACAAGCGGGGCATTGATATTGAGAGCCCTTAACATACTTGAGAAGTATGATCTAAAGAAGCTAAAGGAAGATAGTATAAAAAACGGGAACTTTAAATATATCCACTTACTAATCGAGGTCTTCAAGTTTGCCATGGCAAGGAGGGGAGAGCTTGGAGATCCTGCATTTCTCCCGGGATGGGAGAGGATAGTAGAGGAAATAGTCTCGAAAAAGGCAGCAGAAGAGGCTTATAAGAAGATAAACATGGAAAAGATTTTGGACGTAAAAGAGTATGGAATAAAAGCAAGAGGAGTTGAAGATCATGGAACAACACACATAAATGTTATAGATAAGGAAGGAATGGCAGTGCTTCTTACAAGTACAGTGAATCTTGAATTTGGGGCTCAGTTCATGGATCGTAAAACAGGAATAGTGTTCAACAATACCATAGACGACTTCTATGTCTCGTCTTTAGACAACTCCCATGAAAAGCATCCCAATGAAGTAGAAGGAGGCAAAAGACCGTTCTCCTCTATATCTCCTGTTATTCTACTTAAGGATGACGAGATTCTTACCCTGGGTGCAGCAGGGGGAATAAGGATTCCTACATCCATTATCTCTACAATATTCTATCTTTCGACGGGAGAGAATCTGCGAGAAGCCATAATGGAAACAAGGATTCATAACCATCTATCTCCGGACACGACGTTTGTAGAATACAACAGTCCAAGGAAACTCTGGAAATATCTTAGCGGGGTTGGACATAGAATAGAGAAGTCGCTTCAAAACACTGTTTTCACTTCTGTCCAGGGAATTTTCCTGAAAAAGATTGGTGGAAATAGAGTTATCCAAGCTGTATCGGATCCTCGGAAAGGAGGAGAAGCCTTTGGGTATTAAATATAAATTTTAAGACTCTACTTTCCTCGGAGGAGATAATAAGCAAGGTACAGGCCTTCAGTGGATACCTTTTCATAGGGAATCACCTCTACCCTTTCGTCATCCATCCTATACCACTTGCCTCCAAATATGGCATAGGAAAGATAATGGCCATAAGTAATGGATCCACGATGGCTTATAAACCCTAAAACATCATAGATCCTTTCTCCCACGGCTAATGTATTTGATAAGGCTACATGGGAATCGATTTTTCTGGACACTCCTTCATAGGAGAATCTCTTTAGATGAAGAGATAAGACCCTTGGATATCTTTTGACTTCCAACCTTTTTGTGCATAACCCTTCTTCCTGGCAAGCTTCACACATTACCTCATCCTTCAAGTCCTCGGTTCCAAGGAAGATGTCCAACGATGACTGGATAGAAGGAAGGCATTCAAGAGGAATTGTTGCAAATGCTTCTTCTTTTGTTTTCTTAAGATTACAGTTTCTACACAGCATTGTCGAGGAAAACATCCCGAAGAATGTTCGATGAGATAAGCATTTACAGGTGATCTCGTCTGTAGACTGGAAGTCATATGCCTCGTGAATCTTTTGGAGAAGGCATACAAAGAATTCATGCACATCCTGCTGCATAGATCCTACAAAGTGAGGAACCAGAAGCCACATTGTGTGTATGAACTTGTGCGTAAGCACACACTCAGAGCCATATGAATAGTCAATTAGAGACTTCATGGCACACATTATACACCTGCTGTCTCTACACTTGAACCTTGTATGTGTATTTGACAAAAGTTCGTCTCTTATTGGACATAGATTGATCATTATACTAAGAACTGCGTTTATATAGCACGTATTTCCAAGGTTTGAAAACCCTTTGAGGGGGATGTATGGAAAAACTTCATACAGTGATGAAGAGATACTAACTATGACTGTGTCTTCTATTCTGTTGGTGAGGCTTCTCAAGAAATACCTCCTAGCACATACAGCACAAGAGATAACAGAAGAAGTAGGATCAAGAAATACTTCATGGCTATGCAATCCCTTGTCTGTGCTACAAAGGAGACAGTAGCATTGTAGGCATATTTGTAGGTCTATTGAAGTCTTGCCGGCATTGCACCGGGTACTCAATCCCTTCTTTTTGAGATGGCCCAGTTTTAAAGTAATCGCCTTGAGGATCTTTTCAACATTCTTTAGTGATTCAACATGTATACATAAATTCATTTATGGGTGCAGTTTTTATTTCATCTGAAGAATGACACTTTTAAAGATACAAAGCCAAATAAACAAATTAATCGTCTTGTGTCCTCCATTTGATATGATCGGGCAGAAGAGAGCCTCAAAAGAAGACCTGAGTATATGCGGTTGTTCAAGAACCTTTAGAAGAAGGGAAGAGAGTGACACAAGTGAAAAAACACATTACGAAGTCGTGCAAAATAAGGTAACAACAATAACCAAAACTAACTTCTTCAAAAGATTGATATGGTCTATTCTTATGATCTCGGGTTTCTTTTGGATTTGTGTAAACAATAAGATATACTCTTTCATCTTGATCATCTTTTTAACAATATCTATCATAAGAGAAATGATTGGAATCACAAAAAAATCTGAAGGAAGGCCTTTTCATCTTCGAGTATCAATCCTTTTCGGGTTTTCTGTGCCGATATATCTTTACTTGGTCTTTCCTTCGATAATGGGTGTCTATTTTCCTGGACTTCCGAAGTACTTTTTTCGGAGATTATCTTTCATATGCTTTTACAGCTATGTAGTTGTATTTATGTCTTTTGTTGCTTCACTTAGAAAGGGAAAGCTAAAGTCACAGCTGGGACTGTTTGCCTTGGTCCACCTATCTACGTATATAATGGCGATAGTAGCAAAATGTGCAATCTTCAACCTTAATAAGGGGAGGTTCTGGTTTATGTTTCCTGCTCTGCTTGTTATATCAAATGACATCTCGGCATACGTTGTAGGGAAGAGCATTGGGAAGAGGCCTCTTTACCGCCTTAGTCCAAAGAAGACACTTGAGGGATTCATAGGGGCCTTTGTTTTTACGGCAATTGTAGGATTTGTACTGGGATATCTTCATGTGAACAGTGGATTTTTGAGGGATGGGGACTCTGAACAATTCCAGAAGCTTATAAAGTTCAAAGCCCTTGGAATGAGTCTGAAAATACAAAGTATATATATACATATCATTCCATTTGTTCTCGTAACGTCATTTGTGGCACCGTTCACAGGGTTTCTTGCAAGTGCACTAAAGAGAGCCTATAAGAAGAAGGACTTTGGAGAGACGATTTCTGGACATGGAGGAATAGCAGACAGAATGGATTGCCAGATATTAGTTGGGATTTTTACATCCACATATATAAACTCGTTCATCTACACAGAAGATAAGTCAATAGGATCAGTATTCGGTTTTATATGTAGAAACTTCAGTTCCGAAGAAATAATGATTCTCATCGAGATGCTGAACCGAAGAATAGAAGGCATAAGAGGCAGGGAGCATTAGATCTTGCATATTTACGATTTAAGGTCCAATGTGTCTATCTTCACTACATCGGATAAAAACAGAAAAAAAATCTTTCCCATGGAAACCTTTAAGATGATTGAGGCCATGAGGCAGAAGAATAGGTTTTCTTCCGGGGATTACACGGGTTATAAGAACTATCTTAAAGTTGAGATGAGGGGACGGGGGCAAGGAGAAGATAGAGATTTGTATAAACTTGAGTCAAACCTGTCGAAGTTCTTTATTTTCAACTCGACGAGGTTTCTGAAGAGTAATTTGAGAATACTTAGAAGGAATAGGTCTGAGTTTGGAGTTATGTATAGTACCCTTATGAGAGGTATGGTTGGGGGTCTTATGGAAAAACCCATTGAAATTGGAGATCTCTTGGAGCTCCGGAAACGGCTTTTACCATATAAGACATTTGTAGGCCAGATCGATGCATTGCTTGAATCGGCACCATATAGCTTTGACACCTCATCCTTAAAGACCAGGTACATGTGGAATGACATAGCGATTGGATTCAGAAACGACTTTGAAAGAGACCAATTTCTAGAGGGAAAAGCTCCACAGGACGGGGGATATGATGCAGACATTGCCACCTTTATACTGAAGGTGGAAAACAAAAAGAAGCGACTACTGTCTCTCATTAAATCCAAGCCTACTAAGATTGTCTGTATTAGTAAGAAAGTAGAAAAGCTTTTGGAGACACTTGATAGGCTAAAGGTTGTTTTGAATGAAAATCTGGTTGAATCAGCCTATGTTGAGAAGATGATCAATGACACAGAAGAACTGAAAGCATACTACTTGAATATCGCCGAATTTAAGAGGTGTCTGAAATGGGACGATTCTATAGACGGGTTCAAGGTTCCTTTGTCATTTAAAGAGGTAGAACCCCAGATTCTGGAAGTAAGAGATGATTTATCGTATGTCTCAAGGAAATGCTTGAGAGGTGCGCTTTCCAAGTATCTAGAGAAATCCCTCCAGCCAACCAAACCGGCTATAAAGGTTCCGTTTATACCGGTGCTGTTTGATGTGGCTAGGGATTACATATCGTATCCTGCAGAAGATAAAAACATGGAGGATCTATTCAAGAAGCTTCACATGTTCAAATGATTAAATAAGGCCTTCTTTCTAATTTACTCCTTGTTCATCCCCAATGAGGAGCCCTGCGATTCTTAGAAGCTTGAAGAACAAGATTCTTGCCAAGTTGAACAGAAAAAAGAAAAGTATATGCAACAGAAGCACCTCGGAATCGAATTCTCTTGGCGACGAAGTTTTGGCCAATAATTCAGAAGAGCTTCTAATGGAATGGCCTTTACCGTTTAACAAGGATCTCCTACCTCCATATCCTACAGATGTTCAAAAGACTGTAATCCCATACATCCTGGCAAAAAAGAGTATCAATGTTGTTTCTGAGACAGGAAGTGGAAAGACTCTCTCCTATGTACTTCCATATACTCATATCCTTGAAAATGAAGATAAGAGATTACTGGTTATTGTTCCCACAAGAGAGTTGGTTTCGCAGGTAAGTAAAGTGTTCCAGAAGTTTTCGGAGGGTCTTCTTGAAGTTTTAGAGATAACAGGAGAGGGAAGCATAGATTCACAGCGCTTAGAGGCTTCCAAGCCCTTTGATGTAGTAATTTCCACACCTGGAAGACTGAAGGAACTTATGGAACTAAAGAGTATTGGAAGCTTTGAATATGTTGTTGTTGATGAAGCAGATAGATTGATGCAACACGATATTAGAAGGGATGTAGCATTTATATTGAGAGAAGCGAGGCCTGAGGTTACTAGCTTTTTTTCTGCAACATCTTTTGAATGGTATGGGGGAATAAAGATTTCAATTGGTGGGGTTTCTGTTAGTAGAAATGTAGAGGAATTTTTCTTGTATGCTGAGAACAACGAAAAGCAACAGGTTCTTGGAGAGATTTTGAATTCTTGTGAGGATTGGTTTGGAAGAACCATGAATGTCAGAAGGGATGAATTAGAGATCAAGAAGATCTTTATATTTTGTAACACTATCAAGATGTGCGAAGACCTTCATGAGAGATTCAGGGAGTCCCTGGTGCTTCATTCAAAAAAGTCCATGGATGAAAGGAAAACAGTTATGAAAGCATTAGAAGGAGAAAATGTGGTCTTGATTTCCACAGATCTTGGAGGAAGAGGGGTTGACATAAGGGACGTAGACTTGGTGATCAACTACGATCTTCCCAAGACGATTGAAGCCTATGTACATCGATGCGGTAGGGCTGGAAGGCAAAAGAAAGGAGTTTCTCTGTCTATGGTGTGCCGGGAAGACAAGGAGATACTTCCCAAGCTTAGAAGGCTTATTGAAAGAAAGGGAGGGGTTGTACCAAGATTTATGAATAGAAAAGAAGACATAATACTAGACTGATATGGTGAATGGATTAAGGTGTTTAGTAGCCCCTTGGGGAATGTATTTTGAGTATGATAAGGCTATAATGCAAAAGATAATCAAGAAGCTTAAGGAGGAAAGCGATGAAGATCAAGGAATCGAAGATCATAACAAAGGGAATGGAGAGGAATAATATAATAGATGAGGACATCTGTTTTTGAGTTATGGTAATAAATTTTTGGCTTGTTTATTCACCCAGGAATGAAAATCTTAATAACATCTGATAACCATCTTGGATACAAGGAGTCTGACCCTGTTCTGTTTGATGATAGCTACAATGCTTTTGAGGAGGTCTTGAAGACGGCGCAAAGGGAAAAAGTTGACCTGATTTTGCAGGGCGGAGATTTATTCCATGAGAATAGGCCATCTAGAAACTGTCTCAACAGAACTATAGGACTTCTGAGAAGATACTGTGTTGGAGATAGGAGATCCTCCCTCAAATCAAACCATAGCTTAAACATTCATGACCAGAATATTGGAATCTCGATTCCTGTGGTGGCCATCCATGGAAACCACGATGACCCGAGTGGAATAAATATGATTTCTCCGCTTGACATTTTGCATAGTAGTGGGCTTGTGAACTACATAGGAAAGTATAATCTGATGGACAGGATAGACGTTTTTCCCTTGCTATTAGAAGGAGACTATCGAATTGCAATCTACGGTCTAGGACACATTAAGGATCGAAGGTTATACAAGATGTTTTGTGAAGGAAGAATAATGTTCCACAGACCTCCGGACTGCGATTCGTGGTATAACATCCTTGTATTGCACCAGAACAGGGTTCCCAGAGAAAAGGAACACCCCTCAGAGGACTTTATAGACGACTTCTTTGATCTTGTGGTTTATGGGCACGAGCATGAAAGCAAAGTTATCAAGAAAGAACGTCTAGTACTCCAGTCGGGCTCCACGGTTAGGACATCGCTGTGTGAGGGAGAAAGGTATGATAAGTATATATATATTCTAAGGATAGGAAAGGAATGCATTCTAGAGCACATTAAGCTAAGAAATGTAAGGCCGTTTGTCCTGGATGTCCTTCGGATTGAGGGAAAAGACAATGCTGAAGAGGTTGTTGGAAATAAAATACGGGACATGATAGAAGCAGGGAAAAGAAAAGAAGTCTGTTTCAATAAAGAAATCACAGCCGTAGATGTTGATACACAGAGATTTAAATGCAAGGAAAAGAAAGAAGAAGAGAATGAAGAAGACACTATTTGTAAGAACTTTGCACATGAAGAAAAAGAATATACTCCACTGATTAGATTGAAGATTGAGAATTGTGGAAATAATGTGTTTGATAGGCACAGGTTTGGCATCCAATTTAAAGGACTTGTGGCAAATTCAGGAGATATGCTGACCATATCTAGAAGACCACGAAGAAAAGAAGAAATTGAGATAGAGGCGGTAGAGGAAAAGGTTGAGATAGCACGGGTATTAAGAAGAATTCTTAGGGATGTGGAGTTTGGGGTCTTAAGTAGGACAGGATTCTCGGAAAGTTTAGAGGAATTTGTAAAAGGAGATAGCAATGCTTTTATGGGGATGATCAGAAAGAACATCGAAAAGATTACGAAGGTGATTGACTATTCCTCAATTGTGGAAGAAGACGTAATAAAGACCATGAAAAGAATTAGCAATGAAGAAGATTTCTACGATGGCGAAGATCGCTTGGAAGACAAAGGAGATAAAGGGGCTTCTAATGAGAAAAGAGTGGAAGAGAGTTTTACCAAAGATCTGGAGGATGAATATTCATATCATTCAGAAGACAACGAAAAGAACAAGGCTGGGGTCAAGAAGAACTTCAATGTGGAAGATCTATTGGGAAAGAAGTATCTGAGCAAAAAGCCAAGGAAAAATAAGGAAGATTCAAGCACTGATGTTTCTTTTACACTTTCGAAGTACTTATGATCGTTTGTAGATTCAATCAAATCCTACAAGTTTTTTGACAAGTGAAGTCTACTAAATATACTTTCCACAGGCTTCTTCTTTTCTAAACTGCTAAACTTATCCTCTAGATAGTCTTCTGTAGAGTTTTTTTGAGGTTCTACCTTTAGATCTGGAAGGGATGGTGATGCTTCTAGATCGATATCCGAAGAAAAGTCTCTTTCCTCAATACTTGTGGAATCATCAACAACTATAATATAGCTTTTGGTAGGACTAGCAGAGAACTTTTCAATAAGCCAGACTGCGGAATTTATCACGTCTCTACTCCATAGGATAGTTTTGGAATGAACCTTTTTGGCCTCTTCCAAGGCATTCATAGGCACAAAGTTCCCATCCACCACAAGTATGTCGCAAGGGGAAATTGCCTTTACATTGTTTGTAAAATGGATATGAGTGTACGAAAGCTTCATTTGGGTGTTCTGAAGCAGAGTATTTCCGATAAACATTGTAGGAGGAAAGCTCATAGGAGAACTATATGTTACTATTCTTACTGCCATGGATTAATTGTTTATGGGTATCATTTATCTTCAAAATCTGGAACCTGATGGAAAGTATAGTGGGAGGAAAGAATGCCCCCAAATGCTTGGGTTTGTGGCTGGCTTTATAGTAGGACTTCTGTCTTTTCCGATGATCTATTGCCTGTTCCCGAGAGCTGTTGTTGAAGTTAACAAGAAAAAGATGGTAAGGATAAGCAACAAGAGTAAAGGAATTGAGATTAGTGATGAACAAATGAAAACAGTGATTAGAAGTATGCACAGATGCAGAGACACCCACTGGATCAATGCTGTTATTCAAAGACTTTATATGGAGGTTTCGAAGTCGTATGCTATTGAAGCCAAGATCAAGTCTATTATATTGAAAAGATTTGAGATGTCGGGAATTAGGAAATACTTCAAATCCATTGATGTCATTGAAGTGGTTTTAGGTGAGGAGGCACCATACATAGAAAACATCCAAGTTGTTTCCGACGACGACATACACAAAATGATCTTCTTAGAAGGACGGAAGTATGAAGATTGCGAAGAAGAGAAGTTATTCCATCTTGAAGAAGAGATCAAAAAGAGTTTGGAGATCGAAGGTATAATACCTGAAGAAAGGTGCGAATGCCCGATCGACTCAGATGAAAGTGTTCCACTTGAGGAAGTGGAAAATAGTGGTGTGGAAACAAAGACAGACAACAGGAAGAAGTGTGTATCAGAATTATCTACAAAGCTTGTTGAGGATTGCCTCACTTCTCAAGACAGAGAAACAAGTAGGATGGTGTTTTCACAGAAAGTTTTTGAGAATCTCCAGGTTCTTCTGGGAATCAGATACAAGGGAGGAGCTCAGATCTCCCTCAGTTTAGAGCTTCCTAAGAGAATAAATCTCAAGACAACGATATTTATCAAAGGAATGAAAGGAGATGTTCTTGTTCGAGTGCCTTCAAAAGACTACGATACAAGATATGAGTACTGCTTTTTGTTCAACCCGACTCTTTCAGTGGCTGTAGAATCGGGAATATCTGGAGAGATAGGAAAGCTTTACTTCCGGAAGTCGATTTCAAACTTCATAGAAAGATATATAAGGCATCTCATAGCGAGGACGATGGTCTATCCATCATGGAACGGGCAATATCTTCCCTTTGTTGTTCCTCCGATCAAGGATGTAGTGCATAGAATAGAAAAGGTGACCTTAGAAAACCATGCCATACATCTTCCACAGATAGTGGAGAATATTCTTCTCTACTCGTCAATGGATTACAAGATTGTAGAGGTTGATGGGGAAGTAGTATATAGAAGGACAGGATATTTTATCAATGAAAAGGAAAGGATATTTTGCACACACTTTCCTATTCCTAAGACATCACTTAAGATATCTCATTTTGTAGGAAAGAACAGACTTTTCAAGGGCCTAACACTGCAGGAAAGCAAAATCATGAGCCAACTATATAGCTGGGGTGCCTTTACCAATGTGATTTCTAGGTTTCAGGAGTTGAAGATGAAGACCATCCTCACGCCTACCTCTTCTTTGGTTGAGCTTGAGTTTGAAAACATAAGATATGAATTCATAAGAGTAATTGTGAAAAACACTTTAGTTTTCCAGAGAAACGATCCAAAGAGCCCGGAATTCATTGTATTTAAAATAGCCGATGAGGTTCTTTACATTTACCAATATGTGACCACAAAGCATTTCATGATGACCAAGAGAAGAATATGGAAGCTGAGGAAGAAGCTAGATTCTAAGCCGTTCACTGTTCTCGGATCTGTTTCTCTCTACAAGCTAATCAAGTTCTCCAAAAGAATGATGCTTGATCATCTTCGAAAGCCTTTGAGCGAAGTTGTTGAGGAATCTACAGATTCTCTTTCTGTTGAGAAAAACTCGGATACAAAAACAGAATTGATTGAGATATTTGAGGACATAAAAGAGACCTTTTCCGATGAAAAGTATCACCAGAAGAAAATGTGTTCAAAAGCATCTTCCGAGTCGATCTACAGGGTCCTCTCTTTGGACGAAGTTCGAACCAAGCTATTCTCCGAGAACTGTGGAATATACACGGTCATCAACGAGGCAGACAACATTCGCAGCATTGTCATCGAGAGTAGACTGCAAAGTGGAAGTAGTGAGTTTTCTTCTCAAGGAAACACACAACCGGATATCACTATGGAGATAGAAGAGGATTTTATAATTCATTCTTATTTTGGAGAAGATATGATTATCGATTTGAGGTTTGGAAGGGAAAAGGAGATTCTGATATATAGAATAAGAAGGATGGAAGAAAACTCATATGGATACAGCTCAAAAGTAGTTCTTTATTATAGCAAATCTATGAACCTTAACTTTCCGAATTACTTTATAGAGGCTTTCCAACTGAGAATAAGACAGGATGAATATTTGATGATTGCAGCCCAGCATTTGTACTCCACATCCTTCCTGGAAAAGGAATTCCGGAAGGTGGTGGAGATTGGTAAGGGAGCTCTCTATATCGAGTTCTATACCGATGTTCCCGACGATTATTCCTTCACAGTTTATGGGGCCTCTGGAGATTCTGTGTATAGTATATACAAGGTAATTACGTCCCGGAAGGCGAGAATAATCCTCCCCACCGTAAAAGAAAAAGAGGTGTTTACTATTGTCCTTACTCCGAAGTTTAATAGAAACAGGAAAATCCACTACAAGATTGTATCTCTTCCCGAGGAGTTTTCTACCGAGGTTCTGGTTGACTGCAATGTCGGGCTATCCAAAAACATGAAGTTTTATTGTCCTGTGTTTGGGAGAACAGATTCGGTAATATTCTGGGAAAAAGGAGACGACAACGAGATCAAGGGATACATAGAGAATAGTGACACAAAAATAATGATATCAAGGAGTGGAACCATGAGGACAGAGAACAGGGAATATAATATCTACTATAAAAACAAAGGAGAGAAAAAGAGAGATATAAAGATATTCCTTGGAATAAGTCTGAGAAGAACATAGAATTGGTAAAAGCCATAGCTTTATTATATTTTCCATATTCTTGGATTGAAATCAACCGACCTGGGTTTGGGCTTGCAGGGCTTGGATCTCTTCTCTAAGATCCCAGAAGTTGACTTGTGTCAGTTCTTCTGCTATTTCTGGAGATTTGAGCCCTATCATTGTAATGTTTTCCCCTCTCACTATAAATAACTCGTGTTTCCTTTCTCCGTATTTTCCATCATGGAATATCCTCTCTATAACTTTGTCGAGTGTTATGCTATTAAATTGATCAAAGGACTTCATTACGCCGTAAAGGTATCTCCCATCTCGGAGCATGACAACAACTTCCTGTTCCAAATACTTCTCGTAGTCCCTTGTATTGTCAAAATCTTCATCCAGCATCTCAAGGCCAAGAAGGAAGAAGAAATTAAAACTCCAAAACCGTCCTGAAGCATTAAATCGTTTTATTGATGGATATATAGGTTTTCTTAGGAGCATTCAAACATAGTTGAAGTCGTCGGCCACTCCGTTGAACTCGTCGATCTTCTTCTTGATCTTGGACTCGTCGACCCAAGACACAAAGTCCTCCATGGCTTTACTTATAATTGTTGAGGGATCGTAAACAACCTTCGACCCAAGCCTAACATGGCCATGCTCAACAAATCTCGTGGCGTCCTTGAAATTGGGGACCATTCTGATTCTCTTCATAACCATCGGCAACCGTCTCTCACAGAATGAAGAAACAGTTACTTTAGTACAGTCCACAAGCTTTCTATTTTTGATGATTCCAATACTGTATAGCTTCCCTACAAGCTTCTTGGTTACATTTGCCCTAATGAGATCGTTTTCGGGAAGTTTTGCTAATTTCTCGGCCAGCTTCCGTATCTTCCCTACTATTCTGTTATATCTCACATACTCCTCTCTGTCCCGCAGACAGTACTTTACAATAGCAAGGTGTTCAAGCGATGTGTTTGTGTTCTTCCACTCGAGGAAGTTGACTTTCTTCAGAAGCTTCTTTTCATGGAATTTCAGCTCTCTCATGGGCTTTCCATCCTTCAAAGTAAAACTATTCTAAAGTCAAGAAACAGAGTAGCATTATTTAGACAGAAACAGAATTTATTATTTATCAAATACTTCGGCAATAAAATGGTCAAACAACACTACTTCCTGTTCCCGGCAGTCCTCCGTACTAATCGGAGAAAAGTGGAGTGTTTGGCTATACTTCTCATTGCCATTCGAGCAAACACCAGGATGGTTTCTACCGCTGGAGGCTGGAGTCATCCTGAACGTTGGGGACTGGGGAGTGTACTCTTCGGATACACTTGCACTTTCAAAGGCAGAAGTGGATATAAATGCATCAAGCTTCTTATAGTTTGAGTTGTCTTTTGCAAACTCCCTGTGCTCAAACTCTTTTATGTGTTCTTCATAATTGCTGAACCTGGTGTAGCAAATTTCACAAAAGCCTTCCCGAGTATGGCGGCGTTTGTTTGATTGTTTGTACTTCTTGGTGGCCTGGAAAGGACAGCATAGAGTTGGGCTGTCCAGGTGAAGTTTTGGGGCATCTGAGTTAACGTATTCCTTGTAGAACGGTTGGAACTTGTTCTTAAAGTCCTCTATAAGAACATAAGGCTTCTTGAATACTTTGTAGCTCTTCATTTCTTGACACTCTTCATACTTTTCTTTATTATTTTTCTCTTTTTGGCGGGAATCTCAGAAATTCACATTCCATTGACTTAAATACCAAAACAAATCTCAAAAAGGCAAAAATCAAAGAAAAAAGTTCTTTTTACTATTTAGCATGGACTTCTTCAAGACATCTTAGGACCTCTTCCTGCGCAAGGAATCTCTTACAGTCTTTAGAAAAGTGCAGGATCTCCATCCTATCCCCTTCTTTTGGCCCCAGCTCTCGAATCCTTCCAAGAAGCTTTAATATTTCAATTGTTGCTGTATTCATATCCATCTCTTCCTCCGGCAAATCGTTCTTAAGCCCTCCGTTAACAGCTTCTTCGTTCTCTCCATAACACATTCCTTTCCATCTGTTTAATGTCCCACTTGGATCTGTGGAAAACAGGGTATACTCTCCGTTTACTATTCCTGCGTACAGGAAGGACACTCCAAAGGGCCGTGTCCCAGCATATTGAGTGAATGCTTGTTTTCTTTGCCCAATTGCCTTGCATAAGGTTGTAAGAGGACATTGTACTCCAAGCTTTTCTAGAACTTCCTGAGCTTTCAGCTGTGCATATCTCTTGAGTCTCATTGCATCTCCAAACAACCCAGATAGTGCACAATAAATATCATCACTCAGCTGGTAAATCTTTTCCATCGGCCCATTTGTAGGCTCTTTATTTATTCCTATGAGAACAATACCATCTGTACACACATACCCAATTATTGTTCCTGCCTTAGACACATTCTTGATTGCAAACTCCACCTGGGGCAGCCTGCCTTCGTCCGTAAATGTGTTGGACTTGGGTTTGTTGTCCTCCATGTTCAGGGTCTTATTTTAGGGATGATTTCTTCAATCGATGGAATGGACTCTCACAAGATTGTTGTTTCACTTTTAATGGGGAGTTTGGATGGCATAAGGCTTGGAGTTTTTGCTAAAACCCAGAGGTATACAGGCTTACCCATCTATATATGAAAAACCTATTTGACAAGCTGGAAATAAGCTCTTCGTGCTGTCTCGGAAAGAAAGACAAAAAAGATATAAACAGGCAGCTAGGCCGAGAGATATTGGGCAAGACCGAAGGATATATGCTTCATAAGTGTAGAAATAGAGCATCTGTGATATCTCGGGAGGGATTGGCAATTTTGTTCTGTTTCAACAAGAAGTACTTTCCAACAATACAATATCTTGAAAAACACAGCAACGAAGAGTTTCATGAAGTATTTTTAGACGATGGGGCGCTTGGGCCTTTAAGTAGAGGAGCAGATGTCATGATCCCGGGTATACTTAAATACAAAGATCTGGTGAAAGGAGACTTTGAAGAAGGAGATAGTGTTGTTATACGGATTCTTGGGAAGTCTATTGTGGGTATTGGAGAGGCGGTTGTAAGCTTTAAAGACATGGCCAAGAAGGGTAACGGAATAGGGATTGAAGTATATCACCGAATTGGAGATGAGCTATACAACGAGAAATGTCTCTAGGAAATCAATAAATGTTTCTCTTGAGGATGAAGAGAAAGGATATATACTTGACTTGTGAAGCGAACAGTTGCGGCCATATCCACGGAAAAGCACCGGAACTCGTCAGATCTCCGCAGTTAAGCCTGTGCGAGCCCGGATAGTACTGAGGCGGGAGACCACTCGGGAATCCCGGGTGCTGCAACTTTTTGCAGAAATTCTTTTTATGGAAAACTCAGCCTGGCCTGGCAAGAGAAGGGTCCGGTACTAAAAATTGTCTTTTTATTTACTGAAGGATCGAGTATCTGCATTAACAACCTCTGTAAATGTGTATCCAGGAGACACCTTGCAGTTTATAAGCACACTCCCAGGAAGGATTGTGGCTCCCATTCCAATTATAGAGCCTTCAATGTGTGATCCATGTCCAATCGAGACACTGGACATTACAATTGATGATATTATTTTTGACTCTTCCCCGATATCACAATCCCTTCCAATTATCGAGTCAAGAAGAAGCACATTTCCTGTCTTTGTGTTGTTGTCAATCACATTACTTAGGTCCTTGAGGTTATACTTCTTCACATAGTCTTTTATGAATTTGGCATTTGATTCGCTTGTTTTAAGTTTCTTATCGGTACTAATTGAATGTCTTTTGAGCAGAGCGTTTACGCTTAAATAATTACTTATGCTTCTTATCTGATAGATGTAACTCTTCCCAGGCCTATGAATTCCAACAGGATTTGTCAAGGCCAGGTTCTTCACAACATTTGGAAGAAGATCATGCTTAAAGCTGAAATAATCCGGCTTGAACATCTTGAACAGCGAAGTCTTGAGCATGTAGAACTGGAGGATGTCAAGATCTTTCGTAAGAGTTAGACCCTTCTTCAATAGATGGAAGGGAATCTCTTCGTTACAGTCGTTTGAATAAAACATCAAGTCGTCCCCTTTGTATCCTAGAATAGATGTTTCTGATACAGCATTTCCTAGAATCACCATGAGTGCTTTCTTACTGTCGAAGTAGTGAAATGCCATTGCCTGAATGTCCATGTTGGTTACAATATCTCCTTTGCACACAAGAACATCATTAGATGTTATCCTTGGATATAAACTTAAGAGAGACGCAACTGTTCCATCGTATGTGTCGATCCCCACATATTCTACCGGTACATCGATATCTTCTCCCAAAGCACTCATGAGATCTTCCTTTTCCTCATTCAGCCCAACCACAAAAAACCTTTTTGAGACGCTCTTTAGGCACTCCATTGTATGTAGAATCATTGGGCTATTCATGATTGGGAGGCATGCCTTTGAAAACTTCTCATTCACTATTGGAAACAGCTCTGTCCCAGGACCTATCAAGATTATTATCTCAAACATATGAGAATAGGGGATGGAAAATGAATCCAATTGGTCTCTCCATGGCTAAGTCAAGGAAGGAATTCTCGGTTCTATAATGTGTAGGAAGACTAAGGGAGTGTTCCTTTTGTTCTTTTCTGTAAGACTTGGCATAATGCTTTGGGAGGTTAGATTTCAGCACCTCTATTCCTCATATCTGGAAAGAGGACTGCCATGGTTTAAGCCAGATACTTTGACAGGAAAGATGGCTACTGATGGAAGATTGTTTGGCGATGCACAGCTCAAAGCTTCAAACCTTAGGCTCAAAAGCCTGTATAAAGAGATGAAAGCTCTTGTGCTGTACATGGGAGTTGTATTCTTGATATTCAACAACAAGATCCGAAGCAAAGCAATCAGGTTGTTGGGATTTCTTTGGATACCCAATTCAGAAGTAATGTTCCTATTACTTCTGATTTCCACAATTACCTTTATAGAGAAACTCTGTGGTGTAGGGCTCACACTAGTAGAAGGCACGTGCAGTGTGAGATATATAGAGTATCCGTTTAATATGGTAGTTTTATTTCTTGTAGAGCTCCCACTCACAATATGCCTCATAATAAAGCTTTTTGAGCTCCTGAGGAAAAAGACTATGGCGACATTCTATGCTGCCTTTGTAATAAGCAACTTATTCAACACCTTTTGGAATGCAAGGATAGATAAGAACAGGCTAACCAAGGTTCCTCTTGAGAAGTTTCCGTCGAAACTACAAGCGATGCTTAAGTCCGAGGGACTGGAAGAATCGATCTACAAAGTTAAAGGCACCCAAGAGAAAAAAAATGCATCTCTGATTGGATTTAGCAGCTTTAAAAGAATTGAAATAACCGGAGACTTTGACAAAGATCCAAAAAAACTATATCCTGTCCTGTTCCATGAAATAGGCCATTCGATTGATAACATTATACTAAAGAAAAAGATTATTATACACATAATAGTGGGATGCGAGGCGTTAGCATTTTGGTTGATTTATGTAAAAGGAAGCAAGGCTTTTGGATTTTCAGACATAACGTCCGAGTCATTTGTCTTGATCATTCTTGCCATGTATCTGGTTCTTGGAAGGACTTTGATCCTTATCCCTTTAAATATGTATGTGCAGCGTTCGGAGTTATTTGCCGATGAAATTGCATTGGCAAACGGACATGGAAAAGAGCTTTCTCAAACACTGTTTGACATGGCTTTAGAGCACAGCACAGTTATTGATACGACATATCTTTTCAATGCGATAGCATCGTTACATCCTATTGTTAGAGAAAGAATCGATAGATGTGGAAGTCTCCTGCAGAAATAGTAACTAAAATATCCCATATTTAGGAATGAATGGAATTGAAGACAGCAATCCATTTGAAGAGCTTAAAGAATATGAAGTGGTTGTGGCATACGACGATGAAAACAAGAAGCTTTCCAACGTAATGAAGGATAGAGGGCTTGATTATGTCGAGGTGAATCTGGCGGTTTCTGAGAAGCTCAGGACAGAATTTATGAAACATTTTAGAGTTTCTGAACTCCCTGTGCTCTTGATTGAAGGAATACCTGCTCTTGACGATCCAAGTGAAAGGATTAAGGAGTATATTGAGAGAAAAGAGAAAAAATCCTTAGAGAAAATTCAGAGTGTGATTGATCCTAACAAGATTACTCTTTTCATTAAGGGATCCCCCGAACATCCAAGATGTGGATTCACCAAGTCCCTTATAGAAATTTTGTATGGCTTAGGAGTAACAAGGGATAAAATAGAATACCTTGATGTTCTTTCAGATGAGGATATTAGGGAGAGACTAAAAGAAATAAACAGATGGCCCACTTTTCCACAGGTATACATTAGGGGCCGATTCATAGGGGGGTTGGATATTGTCCGAAAGATGTCTGAAAAAGGAAAGCTTAAAGATGAACTCTCAGGAATAATCTGAAAATAAAACCTGTTGTTTGTATTCTTGATACATATTAAAAGAATTCCAACAAACAAAAAGATGAAGTACCTTTCTCGAGGGATGTTCTATTTGTTCTTCATGCTTACGTATCTTGCCCAGATGATAGAGGTCTTGAATGTATTGATCACCAAAAGTCATCTGGACTCTGGACAAACAGGAATTGAAGAAGGACTAGCAACAAACGAAATGGCAAAGAAAGATCAGGACTATGCCCCCAAAGCCAAGAAAGCAATAGGAAAAAGAAACAAGGAGCTACTTGAGGATATAGTGGCACACACTATCCATTTTACCGCCAACATCTTGTTCTTTACTGGGATTGGAAAATCGTTTAGCATGAGAATACTTGGCAAGATCTTTGGGGAGATATTTGACCTTGAGATTGTGTTCCTTACAGCCGTAATTTCGATGATTTCCCTTGATGGTTTTATAGAGTATATTGTCTGCTTGGTATATAAGAATCCGTCGCTAGAAATGATTTTCTTGTGGTGTTTCTTTGCAATTGTATTTGTTATCCCAACATGTATCCTCATTTCTATAAAGCTCTTGAGGATCTTTGGATCCAGTTTCGTAATTTCCTGTTATCTCTCCTACTTCATTCTGGAGATATCTGATATCTTATCTGTATCCAATGTGGATTTTAGTAAGATGGAGAAGGTGCCATCAAATATATTTTCGGAGAATGTCCAGGTTCTTATGAAGGACAGAGGGCTTTCGGATTCTATCTATAGAGAAATAAATCCGGGAAAGAACGTCAATGCAGCTCTTATAGGGATTGGCGGTGCTGAGAGGATTGAAATCTACGGAAAAGTCGAGAATATGAACGATGGACAGCTGGAATCTATATTGATTCATGAAGTAGGACATTCCTATGATGGAAGTTTGGTCAAGAAGATATCGGTCTTTTTGATTCTTCTGGGTTTTGAAATGATGCTTTTAGTATTCTTGTACGATAACATAGCAAAAGAATTCATATGGAACAATATTTCGAAGGAGGGGTCATTTGTAGTGCTTGTATGCCTTTATTTTGCATCAATCCGTCCATGGTTGTTTATTCTGTATAACCTTACGTCTCAAAGTGCAGAGATGTACGCAGACCTTTTAACAAAACAATATAACTACAATGGAAAGCTGGCAGATACTCTATACAAGATATCTGTGGACTCCTTTGATTTCCTGGCACCATCCTGGCTGTACAACAGCTTAAACTCGTTACATCCCAGTATAATGAACAGGATTGAATATCTAAGCAACTAATAAATCTTTAGAACATTTCGAGTGGGTCTTGAGGCTTTGGACGGAGTTTCTTTAGTGGGATTTGAAATCTGATGAGTCCTGTAAATGCGCATCCCCAGGATGGAAGATTTTAAACAAAGTGTAAACACCTACAGCTCAGAAGGAAGAATACATCAGATTGAGTATGCAATGAAGGCGATGAATCTTGGAACAACAACAATAGGAATAAGAACCAAGGATTTTGCAATATTGTGCTCTGAGAAGAAAATATTATCTACTTTGCAGAATCCTAGAACAGTAGTGAAACATTATGAGATCTACGACCACATTGTGCTTGGCTTTTCGGGGATAAGCGGAGACACAAAGACTATTGTAAAGAAATCTCGAGATTTTTGCATTTCTCATATGCATATGTATGGAGAAAATGCTAGTGTAGAGAGGCTTCTGAAGTATCTTTCCAGCCTGAGTCTAAGGTTTGGAGAGGAGGACGAGGCTAAAATGATATTTCGAAGGCCTTTTGGAGTCTCACTAATTGTGGCAGGGTTTGATAGCGAGCCCAGGTTATATTCTTTGGATCCTTCCGGATCATATGTTAGCTACAAAGCAAAGGCTATAGGATCCGGACATGAAGTGGTTGAGGGTATTCTCGAGAACGAATATGAAGAATACAAGGAGCTTGACCAGTCCTTGAAAAAGGCTCTTTACACCCTGTCAAAAGTGATGAAGGACAAGATCAATAAGGAGAATGTAGAGGTTGTGACGGTTACAAAAGAGGGAAACAAGTTTCTGACTCCAGAAGAAATATCGGTATATCTATGAATGAATTTCTAGGAATCTGTTTTTATGTTTATGTTTCATCAGGTATGTCATACGTACTTAGATATCTATTTTTCTTCCTTACTCCTATCTTCGTGCAGTATTCAGACTCAAAACTTACTTCACTGTCGGTATAGTCTTTTTTATAGTGCTTTTTGAGTTCAACAATAGCTCTGGTTAGAGAGTCTCTCTCTTTTAGTAGGCTAAACAAGGAAGGACTATAGACTCTATTCAAGATAGACTTAAGTTCTTCGTCTGTTGGAAGACATTTTCTTGCAAACTCTTTGAAGTAGAACTCGTCGACTTTTGGATTTCTATGAACTATGAGTCTTAATGCCTCAAGGAGACCTAGTTCATGGTATATGTACTTCAAAGACTCCAAGGAAAGTTGTTCCATATATTTTCTGTTGCAATGCTTTTTAAACAAGGCAATCTTTGAATTTCCGCACAGCTTATCCTTACATCCGTTGTTGTTATTGCAAAAATCCTCAAGAATCTTAGTGAAGTAGCTAAAGACATCGATGCTGAAATGAGTAAATAAGTATTTCAATATTCTGCCGATTATCTTGTTGTATGTATCCGATCCACAGCAAACCTTTTCGTTTTGTGTCTTCTCATGTATGAATATTTGTAATAGTAGCCGTTCTATTGTTTCATCACGGAAGTTTAAGGATGCAATCCTCTGCATTGCACCATCATAGTCCTCAAAATAGATATAGTTGTATAGTATTTCATGATTATATATAACCTTTTGGTTCCCGACTAGCTTGTGCTGAAGAGCTTGAATAGCCTTGTTTTTTTGGTTAGTTCTTCTGTAGATGCTTGCTAAGACCGAAGGATTTCTCCTCAAAATCTTCTTTGTTATACTTTTGTCCAACAGGCCTGTGTCACAGTTGGGTGTCCCAAAAATAACCAAGTCCTTTTTTCTTATCAAGCTCATGGATATTGATCTTAGGGTTTTGTATAAAATTCACATAATTGGTTGGTATGATGTTCTGGAGAAATCGGCTTGTGATTGGACATTCAGTATAAGTGGGATTGGACGAGTATTGGATATAAGAAAGAGGAAAGCAATGGGGATGGACACCAAGATTAAGATAGATCTAGACAAGGAGATGTATCCCGGGGGGTCTGAAGTAAGAGGAGCCGTTGACATAAAGATGAGGAGTCCTCTTCGGATAAGTAAGATAAATCTGGTGTTCTCTAAGACAACAAGACTAAAGATACAGGAGATTGAGAGAAAGGAAAATACAGAGAACAACGAAGTCGAGAAGATATATGATGGATACAGACATGAATTTGAGATATACTCAAGTGATGACCCATTAGAAGAGGTATCTAGTGGGCACCATCGATTCCCATTCCGATTCATGCTCCGGAGAGAAGACGAAGGATCTCTTGAAATAAAAGGAGTCTACTTTGATATCCTGTGCAATATAAGAAGTATATACGACTTATATGCAGAGATTTATATCCTTGGAGTTCACAATCCGGCATATACTGTCCGAAGAGAGATACAAATAGTAGATCCCATCATGGAGCCCAGGAACTTTAATACAGCCATTGATGTGCTATCACCCATCTGCTTTCTAAGTAGGAGATATAACATCCGTCTTGAAGTTGACAAGGAATTCTATTACTCGGGAGACTGTCTAGTTACTGAAGCTTCTATACCATCTAAGAAGCCCAAGATTAAGAGAATGGAGTGCTTTATATATGAAATTCTCAGCGTTTCTGTGGAAGGAAAAGAGATTCTTAGGACAAAATACATTGGAGGGGGAGAGGCCGAACATTATGATGGTGGAAGAGTCCTTCGGGCATCCCTGAAGATACCTTCAACAACACCATCCACTGTCATGGGCAGTAACTTCAGCATAAGAGTTGTTTTGTTCATAAACCTTGAGCTGTATAGAGGAACACCTGTCCGAATCAAGAAATACATTCATGTCATCAAGAAAAATATAATTCATCCAGAAATTGATTGTATGGATGTTCTTGAGGGAGAAATATATCCGGAAAGAATACTTGTATTACCATAGAGTTTTTATAAGTTGGATGATTTGAAGATTCCTGATGGAGGAGGCCCCCAGAGTATGTAGTGTTTACTAGTCTTTCTTCCTATTCTTGCATGCCTTGACCTTTCTAGACCATTTCCGTTGTCTTAGCATGTGGGAGAACAAGAAGATGAATCCGGGAATATACACCACACCAGCCAATACTACAAAGTAAGAGAGTATTTTTCCTAGGGAGTAATACAGAGTTTTCAGGCAGTACATCTCAAGTGCAAATCCTATCGGAGATGTTAGGAGAAACAAGTTGTATCGAATGACTCTAATTGTGTCAACACGAAACATATAGAAAACATATCTTATCGAGTCCGAAAGATACCAGCATGTTGTTATAATGGGGAAAGTCCAGTCGATAATTCCATAGTACCAGAAAACAACCCAAATGATGAACATCCGGGATACTAGCTGCATCACTGTGGGAACATATCTAGCATTGCTTTTTTTTGCACATATATTTGCTACTTCCATCAGAAAAAATGTTTGGCAGAGCCCAGCCTCTCTTAGGTATTTTGGATCCATTGTCTTGTAGAACATTAGGCTGGTTGAAAGAGCTACTATACAGATAATAAAGCCAACAGTATTGTATATTCTTATATAACTTAGGTACACCATTATCAGGGGGTGTATTTTGGAAATTGTCTCTGTTCTATTATCGATTTTGGCGGATGGACATTTAGGCACTTTATTGAGGAAAAGGGATGCCAAGGGATTGAGTTTAGGAACGTGTGTGTGTATGGTCTGTATTCCAGATTATTATGCTTTAAGCATGAGTAAGCGGGAGTTTTGTTCTCTTGAATAAAATATTTCAAGTTGCAGACCCCATGCAAATATTCATAGGAAAGATCCCAAGTCACGTTAGCGAGGAACAAATCAAGGAGTATTTTGGACAGTTTGGAGAGGTCACGGATTTGAGCTTGAAGGGAACATACGGATTCCTTAATTTCGATTCCGAAAGCAGTATAACAAGGGTTCTTAACCAGAGATCCCACGCCATTGATGGCTTGCCCATATCTGTGGAAAGAGCCAATGGACGAAAAAGACCTCTTGATGGAGAATACCATGATAGATACATGGACATGGGACGAGGAGGATACTCCCCCCATCGGGACTATCGAGGATTTCGAAACGCACCCTATCCCCCCTCTATGAGATACGATGGTAGATCTCCAGGAAGATATGACCCGAGGTTTCCCGATCGATACGGAGGTAGGTCACCGGAATACCGTGGAGATGGCTTTCGAGGAGACCCTCAAAGGAGCAGAGACTTCTGTGAGTATTGTAACTCATGTCCCATCCATGGCATAAGGGATGTGGTGGATTCAAGAAAAAGACTACATACCACAAGGGATCATCCTAACAATCATCTGAAGGTAGTTTTTGAGAACATTGCTCCGAATACAACTGTTGAAGACTTCAAGAACTTTGTGCATGATCATGGTTTTGAGCCTTCCTATGCAAGGCTTGGATATAGTGGAAATCATGCTGTTCTTGAATTCAAAAACATTGAGGACAAGGATAATGTCATGAAGAAGCTCGATGGAGTAGAATTCAATGGCCATGTTCTCAAGACCAGATCCTATCTTTCCAAGGATGAGTACAAGAGCAGAGAAAGGGAAAGTTATACGAGAAATGAACTCCAGCCAACTGATACAAACTCATCAGAGCCACAAGGTACGACTGGTGATATTTATGAAGGGATTGAGGACGGAAAGGCTGAAAATGATTAAAAACCTTGGATCACTTTACTAGACATTTTTGGGGTCATGGTTTTACTCCTTGGGCAGTTCCATCATTCCTGAGCAGTAATTTTCCGATCAGTGCAGTGTTTGTTCTATAGTTTTTCTTGAATGTCACAATGTAATTTGTGTTTCTAAGCAATATAGAGCTCGTGTTCTCTTTCAGAAATATTTTACTGCCGGCTCCGAAATCTATTGGGTCGATGAAATAAACAACCTTGTATCCAGACTCGTTCTGAACCAGTGCCTTATGCATGCCCTCTGTATGTTCTGTTCCTGCTTTTAAAGAAAGTAGAGGTTTGGATATGCACAATATTTCAATAACTTTATATCCGCCTTTGTCCAGTGAGATTGGATCTTTACGCATCAAAGGGCCTTGAAGATGGAAGTTGTTTTGAACAAAGGAAGTAGGAGAAACGTATTTTAATGAGTGTTTTTATCTTTCTCTGGTCTAAGAAAGAGCTTCAGAATCATTTGGACTGCTAGGCTGAAGACAAGAAACACATGACCTGCAAAATACACACCTTTCCATACATGTATAAGATCGGAGATGCTCAGAAGAAAGAAGGAGGTGGTGAAATATGTTGTAAGAAGAAGCATCTGGATTCTAGACAGTATCCAGAACAGGGATGGACAAAAGCGTTGAAGCAACTTGTTGTTTTCCTTTACAATTGGTATGGAGGATGAGAAGGAAAGAAACATTATCAAATAGCATGGATTTATGCCATGCCAGAGTGCGGAAACACCAGATGTTGCTATGCTTGCCCAAAATATGGACTTTTCTTTCATCGGGAGGAAAAAGCAATTTTTCAGCCAAATCCCAGTACATATATTCCAGTAGGTACTTAGGTCCTTTACACTTGTTGCTAACTCTACTTTCATGAAGTCAGCATTTAGAAGGTCTGGGAAGTTCTGGAACGCAAAGCATCCATGAGAGAAGTGCCAAGCAAAGTAGAACTTTATCCTATTTCCCACTGTGAAGAGGTACAAATAAATAAGCCTTGATAGTAACGAAGTGTTCTCTTCCAAAAGATGGCTCCTTGGAACACTTATTCTTAAGGCTTGGAAGAGAATCAGAAATGCAAAAGATTTTAGAAAAGTTCCATAGGGAGGTCTTTTTGGCTCTTCGTACTTATTTTGGATGAAATCTTTAAATGTTGGGGTTGGACCTAGCATAAGGCCTGGTGTAAACAACATGTACGAAAGGGCATCCTTTATGGAGTTCGTCTTCCTGTCATATTCCTTTCCAAGATAGCACATTTTTATGGTCATCAACATTAAAACTCCGGAGATGTCGAATGATCCTGAAATTCTTTCTTCAAATAAAGGTCCGAAGATTTTGTAAATGTAAAGGATTAGAATGTTGAACAGAGTAAACGAATACTCTGACATCGGGATGTACTTGAGAAGGAGGGAATTTAGGAAGATCGATCCAAGTATATATGCAGTGTGCTTGTAATCAAAGGCAATGTACAGAATCAACATTGCGGATAGTAGATGATGGGCTCTTGCCCTATTTCTCATAGTATAACTTGTGAATAATGTTAGAAAAAGGGAAGCCAGGAATCTGCGCTCCAAATGGCTTACCTCTGAGATTTTCCTTATCATTAAGAGCAGAAAATTTCCAGCTATTTTCAAAAGATATTTCGTGAATTTGATTGATAGAGACCAAGACAGTTTTGGAGATATGAAATAAATGTCATCCAGTCAATTTATTGAGATATTGTTGTAATCTTTCCTTCTTTTTCTGGGGAATGAAAGTAGAATTCACACGCTGAGTAAGATCTCCAATATTTACCTCATCTAGATGCATCTCTTCCCAAGATTTCAAAAAGATTTCCATATTGCCTCCCTCATCGCAAGCCAATAGACAGTGAAGGGCTACTTCTGCTGGATCACCCGTAAAGTTCCTGAGAGCCCATTCCTTCACTATCTCGGGATAAATATCCATTTTAATGCCAAAATCGCTACATTCCTTAACGCTACTAATATAGCATGCTACATCTGCCATGTCCTTGTAATTGATCTTTGCATATCCACCGCTCAGTTTCAGCAACTTCAACTCCTTTTCTACGAGCTCTATCTGGGAGTCTCCCAAGTAAAAGCAGCCTTGAACATCTACGGGCGGCAACAGATTCCATATGGAGCTAGATGGAATAGAGTCATGAATTTTCTCAAGATCTAATGGATTTTCAACGAGTTCGAGTACATGCTTGATCTCTGTATACCTATTGCCCCTTTTTACTATAAAAGTGTTAGATGAAGACACTTTTTTTACTGTGTATCCTTTGTCTGGAGACAGGACTTGTGCTTGTGATGTCCCTGTCAGGACTGACATTTCCCTGCTTCCCGATACAAGCAAAAGTGTTTTTTCTCCGATGCCCATGGAAGAGAAATTTTACTCGGAGGATATTAAGTCTGTTAGCTGTGATTTGGATGAGGCCAGATCTTCTATCCAGAACGAGGTTCTTGATGTAAAAAGTGACTTGCTATCGGTGTATCTTATGAATCTTGTTCTTTACAAGGAGATGGATTCGGAAGATAGAAAAGGAAGCCCAGTAGAAGAAATGTTGAGCAAGACAAGTATTCTTCTTGAGAAAATATGTGCTATTGAGCGTAGAGCTGGGAGTCTCGGGGAGGTGCCCCAAAGCGAAGAAAACAAGGGCAGTGTGGAAGAGGAAGATCCTGCAGAAGAGGGAAAGAGAACAATAACAGACAAAATGAAAAAAAATAAGTTCGTTAAGAAGAGAAAGGCAGAAGATCGAATACCAAGGCTTAAATATAAAAACAAGGCCAGAAAGCTTGCAGAAATGGCAGAGATAAAGCATGATGGAAATATAGACACCAAGAAGCCAAGCTTTAATAAATTTGACTAGAGACTTTAGAATGGAGTTTCTGGGAAATGCTTATGTTTTTTCTTCTTGGGACTATTAGGTTTAATTCCAAAAAAAAATTTGCCCTGAATAGAGATGAGTGGAAAGAGCAGCAAGGGTGACAACGTTACATCTGCACTTCTGTTAGCGATGAAGACTGGAGAATGTATTGTTGGATTTAAGAGGGCCATAAAGTCTATCATTATGAAGAGGGCAAAATGCCTTGTTATTTCATCAAATTACCCATCCACAAAGAGGAAGCAGCTTGAGTATTACAGTGTCCTTGCAGGGGGACTTCCTATTATTTTCCACAATGCTAACAACGAGGAGCTAGGAAACATCACCGAGAGAGGGCATAGACTGGGATGCATTTCGATCATTGATCAAGGTGAGGCAGATCTAATACCTGCAAAGGGAGAATAAAAGTTATTTAATTGATTTCTTGTGTATATTGGTCTAGTAGAATTTCCTGCCCTTACAAAATAAAACTTTAAATGCATCTTATAAGGCTGAGGTGTACCGATAGGATGTCGGTGTCTGTTTTGATTACCATAGGAGTGGATAATACAATCAAAGAACTGAAGGAGGAAATATGCCGGCATATAGGAAAAGACAGGGAGCAAATTACTCTTAAGAGGGAAAATAGGGAACTAGCAGACAGCATTGAAATTGATGCATACGAGCTTAAAGATGGGGAGTGTATAGAGATTGAGTACAGATGAGCAAGTTCTCATGATTAGGGTGGTCTTTACCCGCGAGAAATAGTCTCTGATGTTATACTAAAAGTGAAGATATTATAGACCCAGGATGTCCAAAAAGATAATAAGAGAAAAAATAAAGAGTGGAAAGAAAATAGCAGAGGAGGCACTGAAGGATGTGGTGAACTACGATATACTTAGGACAGAGTCTTGTGGATACATTGAAGTAGATTCAGACGAAAAAACTTATGATGTGACACAAGGGAAGATTCGAAAGTATGTTAGTATCAAAGCATCTGAGCAGGCGTACGATCTGAAACTAGAAAACGGCCCTGTGCATGCCAAATATTCGAGAAATGGAAACCACATTCTTCTAAGAAATGATAAAGGATATTTGGCATCGTTTAATAGCAAATCGATGGATCTTCATTTTGAGATGGATGTGAATGAAACAATACACGATGCAATATATCTCCACAACGAACGGTTTATTGCAGTTGCTCAAAAGAACAATGTTTTCATATACGACGGGAATGGAGTTGAACAGCATTGCGTAAGAGAAAACAGCCATGTATTTAAAATGGAATATCTCCCATACCACTACCTTCTGGCAAGTGCATCGCACCAAGGGTTCTTAAGGTACCAAGATATATCTACAGGAAAGATTGTTAGCGAAATTTTTATAAAAGAGCGAAGAGTTACTTCTATGAAACAGAATCCGGCAAATGCCATCATACATACCGGCAGCATCAAAGGTGTTGTTAGCCTGTGGTCTCCTAACTGTAAAGAATATCTTATGAAAATACTATGTCATAGAAATACCATTTCAAGCATTGAGATTGAGAGAAGTGGAAGGTACATGATCACAGCAGGGATGGACAATAGAATTAACGTGTGGGACCTGAGGAATACGTATACGCAACTCAACAGCCTGAAAGGAAAGACCAGCTTGTCTGCAACATCCTTGAGCCAGAAGAACATGCTGGCCCTATCCTATGGGAACAACGTCTATATATGGAAAAACTTCATTGATTTGAATTCTGACGAGGCGCTATATATGAAGCACAAGACGGGAACACTTGTATCAAGCATTGACTTCTGCAACTATGAGGACATACTATGTGTTGGAAGCTTGAATGGAATATCAACGATCATCGTTCCAGGATGTGGAGATCCGGTATATGACTCCTACGAGGATTCTCCATTTATTTCTAAGAAAGCAAGAAGTGAAAAGGAGGTTAGAAGTTTGATAGAAAAGATACCTTACGAGCTTATATCCATAGACTCCAAAGTTGGAAGTATTTTCAAAGAACCTAGAATGGATAGACCTAAGGAGGAGTTGCCTAGGTATTTTGAAGATAAGCCTGTTAGAAGGGGAGCCTTGAGTAGGTTCTATGATAGAGGAGATTGAACAAATGGTCTTGGTATTCCGAGTGAGTAAAACAGATGGTTTTCTTTAAGAAATTTTAATTTTTCGATGTTCTGGGAAACATGTAAAGTTAACTACTTCGATTCAAAAAACGGATGCTTCAGACATTCTTCTGCAGTAGGCCTACTTTGGTGATCATAAACCAATATCCTCTCCAACAGGTCTATTGCATTGGCATATAAGGCAGCCGATCCAGGAGGTGAAAAGGAGGAAAGTAACACTCTTTCTCCCGTACCCTCGTGTTTTGGGCTGAGTGGGTCCATCTTGTATTTCTCAATGTACTTTCTTAGGTCAGTGTATCCTAAAACTCTAGCTATCTTAACAAGTTGATCACTATTACTTTCTCCATGGAAAAAAGGTCTTCTCCTAAATACTAACTCTGCAAGTACACATCCAAAGGACCAAATGTCAAGAGAATAGTCGTAGTATGGATAATCAACCAGTAGTTCCGGGCTTTTGTAGTATCGGCTTGCAACTCTTACACTATATTCTTTTCTTGGGTGATAAAACTCAGCAAGTCCCCAGTCGATTATCTTCAACTCTCTTTTTTCCTGATTGATTACCATATTCTGCGGCTTGATGTCTCTATGAATTATCCCCATGCCGTGGCAGTAGCTAAGTGCAGAAAGAATCTGTCTGGAATACTCGACAACATCCTTGTAACTTAATTTTTCAAATATTTTTGCATAGTCTTCGTGCTCTACATATTCGAAGATCAAAGAGTATATTTGAGACTCAGAATCTACAACAACATCCATCAAGTTTATGATGTTTTTATGAGAAAGATTCTTCAGTATTAGAACCTCTCTGCATATCTTTGCCTTCCGTACGGGCTTTAAAGTTTTTATTACTATCTTCTCTCTATCCTTCCGCCCTTCAAAGACCTCGGAGTACTTTCCTCGGCCCATTCGCTGGTATATTTGGTATCTTTCTATGCATCCAGTAGGTATGCTATAGTATTCATAATTCCAATACTTCTCATCCTTCTTCTCATTAACATACACGTTTGATTTCGCTATAGTTGGAATAACCATTGTGTAGGGATTCTTAGGAAGGCCAGGAAAGTAAAATCCTGATAAAACCATTTAATGTTATTGACCAGGATTGAAGTAGACAAATCTACCAACTCATTGCCTTGAGTAAGAGGACTTAACTCTGAACACACCCTGTTGCCCTGTCAAACATATCAGGGTTCCATCTTGGTGTATAAGCTGTCCTTCGCAAATAGCTTTTGAATTCCTTATTCCTTTACACTTTACAATATAATACAAATAGCAATCATCAATATTTTTTTCAAGATTCACAAAGTTCACTACATGGTTCAAAGAAGTCAATAGAGATAGATCCTTGGAGAATAGAGACAGATTCGACGTTATGAGAGCAGTTTCCATTAGTAGTATATCGGTAATTAAGGTGATAAGGGAAGCCTTCTCGACCATACTCTCAGGTTTTTCTTTTATTCTAATACGGATTTGTCTCATGTCCTTATTCTCTTTCCCTACATCCACATCCAACACCTTGAACAGCATCAACATGTTTTCATATAGAACCTGGAACTTGACGGCTATCTCTGCCTGGTTTGTCGAGGTGTTGGCAAGGGACCTTGATATATATTCCGAAAACGGGATAAATTCATCATCATAAGCTGTATACGGGGGACTTTCGTAGTCATGGGAATTGTTATCCGGCCTGCTAAAGCTGATATGAGAACTAGATATCAAAACATCGTCCTGATAGCAATCTACCTGCCTCATGTCCATGATACTACCATTTCTTAGATTTTTAACCGAATACCTAACCTTTTTGTCAGATTTACATCGATTAATAAACAGAATGTTCATTGTAACCGGGACTGAATCCGAGCTGACGGTTGAAAATGCAGACGCAAGGGATTGTGCTGCCAACTGTCCTCCGAATGCAGGGTATCCCGGCAAAGGAGACCAAAGGTTACTTCCTTCAAAGGTCCAGCTGTCAAGCCTTGCTATTTTGAGAAATTCCATGGGGGATTCCCTCAGTAAGGTTTTTTATAGGAATGAGAAGATTGAAATGTTATGGCTGATGAAAAGGAATTTTTTTCTACCTTGCAAAATGTCTCTGGAGAGAGAACCGTTGAAAGGAAAAGTATTTGTGTTTACAGGGGACATGAAGATGAGCAGAGACGATGCGAAGGCAAGAGTAATGGTTCTCGGTGGGAGATGCACAACAGCACCATCGTCCAAGACGTCCTTTCTTGTTGTGGGAGACAATCCTGGGCCGATGAAGATACAAAAAGCAAATGAATTGAATATAAAAATCCTAAACGAAGAGGAATTTGTTAAATTGGTTGAGAGTAACATAGATGATTTTAGCAGTACACCCGAGACAGAAAAACATCTAAAAATGGATCCGGAAAAAGGGGGTGGGTCTGCTTTAAGTAGTGTATGGAATGAAAAGTACAGGCCCAAGAGAAAAGATGAAATTATAGGAAATCCAGGGATTATGAAGCAGTTGGAGGACTATCTTCAGGGATGTACAAAATATAAGGCAGCTTTGTTAAGTGGGCATCCGGGAATTGGAAAAACAACCATGGCCCACATTGTCTGTAGATCTCTTGGATTTGATGTAGTCGAGTTCAATGCCAGTGATATTAGAAACAAATCGGAGATAAGTAGCAAGGTAAGGAGTTTTACCAATAGCCAATCGATTTGTTCCGGAACATCAAAGAAGAAAGCTCTCATAATGGACGAAGTCGACGGGATGTCAAGTGACAGAGGGGGAATTCCCGAGCTTGTAAGTGTGATTAAAAAGACAACAATACCAATTATATGCATATGCAACGATCGCAATAATCTGAAAATAAGAACATTGTCCAACCATTGCTTGGATCTAAGATTTAGAAAACCAGACTCTAGGCCAGTACTCTTAAGAATAAAACATATACTGGAGAAGGAGGGAAAAAGAATACCTGATGGAGTTCTAAGTGAAATAATAGCAAAGAGCAACGGAGATATAAGATACGCCATCAGCATGGTACAAGGAATTTCACTCAGAAGAACTCTTAATTCCAGTATATCTACAAACTTCGTCAAGAAGAGCGTAATGAAGAGCCTGTTTGATGTAGCAGGAGAAGTCTTTCAAAGAAAGTCGGTCTCGGAAAAAATAGACCTTTATTTTGAGGATTACTCTTTGGTGCCACTTTTTGTGAGCGAAAACGTTCTAAAGACCTCTTTTAAAAGTCTAGGAGACCTTTCTGAGTGTTTTGACTCAATTAGCTTAGGAGATGTTGTTGAAAGACTCATAAGAGGAGCAGGCCAGGATTGGAGCCTAGCACCACTTCATGCAGTATATAGCGTTGTAATACCAACAAGAGGAAGGCCGTTAACAAAGAAGATGATGTTCCCATCATGGCTTGGGCAAAATTCCAAGCATTTGAAAGCAGAAAGAGCACTCCACACAGCTTCGGTGCATTCATCATGCAGAATCCGGGCAAATGCCGAAGAGCTAAGAAAATACGCTCTGGAATTGATACTAAGAAGATATTCATGCCATTTGAAAGCATGTTCCATTGATAAAGCAATAGACAACATCATTGAATATGATATGACCAAAGAGGACATTGATAGCCTGGGAAATATAGTGCTAGGAGGCGTAGAGATGTTCGAAGGCATAGAACGTAAAACAAAAATTCATCTGGACAAGGAATATAAGAAGCTAAAGAGGAAACTTCCATATCCAGAGGTAGAAAAGGAAGGACATCATACTGAAAGCCAGAGCTCGGAAGAAGAAATAGCTTCTTATCAGGAATATTAGGGAAGATAGTCGGACTAGTAAAGATTTTATTTGTCATGGGTTTTTCTAACCTTTTCATAGCATAGAGGTTCAATAGCAGGATATCTCATATGCTCTTGGATATACTTCGTTAATTGTATGCAATCCCTGATTCCGATACCTATGTCAGCCCCCGACTTATCCTCTCTCAGAGAGTAAAAGATACCATCAATAACCTTCCCCACTATCAAACCTTTTCTAATTGTTCTCTTAACCAGATACTCTACTTCTTCAGGATTGATGTCTAAGAGATGGCCTATGTCTGCATAAGATATTTGGGAATATATAACACTTATTCTTCTTATTCCCTCCTGAATTACATTTTGATATAATCTTCTTGCCACAAAGTACAAGCCTTGAGACATCAATTCATTCTTATTGTTTTCTAGAGTCTCCTCAAACTTTTTTATCTCGGCTTTCTTCACAACAGAAGCAAGTTCAAAGTATGTTTTAAGACTTGGCCTATAAGAGTACGGAATGTTGTAATCGCTGTTAAGCAACATACACAAAATAACACGTTTCTCAGCACCTAAAATCACATCACGATTTGTTGAAAGGATGATGCTTGTGTGAAAGCACTTCAGGGCCGACTCGTAGTCTCCTTCAACCATGGAAATTATTCCATTGTAATAATTGTACCTTGCTTGCTCAGAAGTTGTTACAATGGAACTCTCGATCCTTTGGAATATTTTGTTGCTAATAAGCATATCCAGAAGACAATTGGTTATCACCGAAACGGTATATTCATTACCAAGCTCCTTATTTGTAACAAGAAGACTGAAAAGAGTGGAGTTATCCTGGCATTCGTTCTTCCTTGCAAGATAAAAAATCTTCACAACGAGCCCGATAAAATAATCGTAGATTCTTTTCTTTCCAATGAGATAAGGCAGCAGGTTTTCATTAACCATCTTGTCGATCTTCTTAAACTCCTTCCTCATGAAAAGAGCTCCAAGAACTATAGGATATGCAGCAATCCTCTCAAGCTCACTTCCAAAGTCAAGAGAGTCAAATGTCTCAGGCTTGATATCTTTCATAAATGCAAACACACGTCTCTCGTAAATATCCATTCCTTCTTCTCTGTTTGTGCCTAGCCGGCTTAATACCTCAAGTAACTCTTCAACACGTTCTTTTTCACTCATCTTAGGGTTTGTTTATCAAATGAATTCAAGAAGAGAGGGCAAGCCGAATTGGCTCGTTCAGCCAAGTAAAGAGGATGAATGGTAGTCATTAGTAAGCTAGAGACATTATAGAAAGGAAGTTTGGGAAGACTAACAAGTCCTAGAACTTCATTACTACTAGAGACCCTTTAAATTAAATTATAGATAGTCATCCCTAAAGTAAAATATGTTTCTTAGAGAGATGATTGAGTTCTTGAATGCACTGTCAATTGAACTCTATCAATAGTTAAATCATAACTTAATCATTAACGCCATAATTAGCCATATATAGGAGTTTAAAGTTATAAATCTTCTTGGAGTTAATCACCCTAAGGAATATGAGGCTGTTGTACCAAAGCGTTCTAGGATTAATGTTCTTAGTTTCCATCCATGCTTCAGATAGCAAGGGCGCAAGCGGAGGCGAGAGCAAGGTTGATCAGGGAAATCCTTCGCTGGAGCCAAGTTACAAATATGTAGCTTTGGCAGTCAAAGTTAAAGAGCACAGCAATCTTTACCTCAGGGTTTCCTCTCGAATACAAAATGTAATCAAAGCATGCAATGAAGGGAAAGTGGCTTTGGAAGAGAACCACTTAAGACTTTATAAATCTCTAGGAGAGCTTTCTGAGCTTCTCTTTAAAAGCTGGAATGATTTTTCTTCTCTCCTAGAACAGGGAGCTGAGCTAAAAGATCTTAAAAGAGAACTTCTGGATATAACTAAGCTGGAATCCCGGGTTATACAAATCTCTGCTGAATTGAATATTGAAATCTTGGTCAACGAAGATTTCTTAAGGGAATTCAATGAGCATGCGGAAAATAACGATCACAAAGCATTTGCAGAGTTACTCGGAGATATGATGGTATCTGTACGTGAATCACTTCTACTCCGCGTATCTAAGGGGAAGGAAGCTGAAGAGAAACAACAGGAGGAACAAGAACAACAACAACAACAACAACAGGGGGAGCAAGAACAACACCGGGAACAGGAATAATTAGCTGGAAATTAAAAGAAATATTATCCATTAAGCTGTTTTATTTTTTCTATGTAGATCTCAGATGGACTGTTATTTTAAGTGCTAGAATTCCTTTGAAGAAATTCAGAAAAGACTTAAGGGATAACATAATAATTGATCAGTTAGATTGGGATCCCTAAAAAACACGGTAGAAGGGAATTATATGATGTAGATCTTAAAATTAGTTGCAATGAGGAGAAGGAAATGCCAGATTAATAAACAAGTATATTTTAATAATTAATAGAACTCTGACCAATATTCCGTATCGGTCGATAAAAACAAAGCATATAAGTATTTTTTGATGAAGGAAAAATGCTTGCAATAAAGGTTCTTGAAGTTCTTGGACTCTTGGGCAAATCAAGAGGGAAAAATCTTCTCTTTCCTTCAAAAAAAGCTATTAATGTTAACAACGTAGCTAAAAGTTGGGGAAGTGCCTGGAAGAGAGAAGTGCCTAGGAGAGAGAAGTGTTCTTTGGATGGGCAGATGGATATTGGAAAAGTTGACAAAATTATAGAGAATACTCCAAGAAGAGATAAAAAAACTATCTTTTTGTTTGACGTAGATGGAACGCTTACGGAATCCAGATCTCCAATATCTAGGAAGATGAAGGAGATGCTAAAGGAGGTTAAAAAGAAGGTTCTCCTAGGATTTGTGGGTGGATCAGATCTTTCAAAGCAAAAGGAGCAGATTGGAGACGATCTTCTTGAGCTATTTGATTATGGATTTCCAGAAAACGGTCTCAGCTTCTACAAGAAAGGAGCTCTGATGTCTCAGAAAAAGATAATTAACGTCCTCGGAGAGGAACTCCTTAAAGAGTTTTCCAACTTTGTCCTAGAGTATCTTACTAAGCTCGAAATCCCCATGAAAAGAGGTAAAAATTTTGTTGAGCATCGAAACTCAACAATCTATATAAATTTAATAGGAAGACGTTGCAACAGAAAGGATCGTAGAAAGTTTTTGGAAATTGATGAGAGGGGAAAGTTCCGAGAAAAAATGGTTGCTGCGATGAGAGAAAGATTCAAGGACACTTGTCTAGTGTTCTCTATTGGAGGAGAGGTATCAATTGATTGCTTTCCGAAGGGCTGGGACAAGACATACTGTTTGAGACACATAAAGAGGGAGGGAATCGAGAATGTATACTTCTTTGGAAACATGACCCAAGAGGGAGGAAACGACTACGAAATCTACATCCATAAGGATGTCCATGGAACAACCGTTAAAAACCCTGATGATACTTATGAAAAGGTAAGGCAGAAGCTGAAAGATCTGAAGCTTGGGGATATGGACAAGAATTAAACACTATAGTAACTTTTAAGATTTCTTTCTACTCAGACCACATTGAGACATCGGCCTAAAATGAAAAAAATTCTTTAATTGGTTGTAGCCTAACTTCTTCCTTCTCTCAATAATTATTCCTTTATAGCTCTCTTAACTAGGTCGGAGTTTAGCTTACCGAGATAGTCCATTTAATCATTGTGAATACATCAAGAATTATAACAATGATAAAGAGAAAAATAAGTGGAATTTTACTATAAGTCTCAACACACCTTAGAGATTGGGTTTTTCTTCAGTAGGATGATTGAAAGGCCAAAGATCATAAAGCACAAGAAGAGCTAAAGGCCACAGAAAAGGTGGAACGGAGGATAAAAGAAAAGAGAGAGGGAAATAGATATAGATCCTAGAAAAGGGAGAGATACAGGGATTGGTAGTAGAATGAAGTATGGTTGGATCATAAAAAGAATTTAGAGTAAAA